CAAAAAAAAAAAAATCTCAACGCCCACAGAAAAAGGTTCGATTTCAAATTTGGCGCCTTCCCCCTTTCTAATTCCACCTGCCTCCCAAAAACAGGGAAAAAGGCCATTTTTTTCAGCAGTTATATGACTCTTTTCCGGTCACGTCAAACCCCTGAACTCATTGCCAGAAAAGCAGCTTTCATATCTATATATGGAATTGAATGTCCGAGGGGAAAATAGCCGCCCCGGGCGGTGCACTTTTTAATTGCTTTCTATTGCTCAGGTTATGGGGTAAACAGCGTCTTTTGTTATTGGAAAACAGAGCACTGGATCGGGTTTTTTCAAAGTGTTGTTGGAATATAATGAAAAAAGGTTTTCTCTTGAAGTTTTACCATAGTTTTCTGCCGTTTCAATTCACTTTTTGAGCCATTTTCAGCTCACTTTGAGCTTAATCTCCATATAAATTTTTAACAGGTTCTCAATTTTTTGACTTTTTTTAGCATCGAAAAAAACCTTATTAAGGATCTGTGTATTTTCACTAGCCACTTAAGGGACCACTCTGATGATTTCAAACATGTTCTCAATTTTTTTCTTATCCTATTTCCAGCAAATTTTTCAGTCATTTTCGCTCAATTTTTCAGCTTATTTTTGAGCTCAATATTCATGTAAATTTTTTTGATAGATTTTTCAATTTTTTTAAAATTTTTTTTTAGCATCGAAATAAACCCTCAAAAACTTGTAAAGAACTATCTAACTAAAAAAACCTCTATAGCGGCCACTTTTTGCAAGCTTAAGTGGTCCCTAGAGAGTAAACTTCAAGGGCCTCTAAGGCTGTCCCTATAGGGGTTTTCGAGTTCCTAAATTATTTATTTCCACAAATTTTGGGAATCAGTGTTGAAAAACTACGCGTTTCCTTTAAAATGAAGGTGCGCCCGACTTTTAACTACTTACGCGCCTCGGCATTTTCTTTGGCAAACGAAGCGGAAAAAGTCTTTGAGAGTCAGAAGTAGGAATAAAATAAATACCGTCAGGATACCTTCATTTTTTCTGCCAGAACGCATCGCGACCGCAACGCTTTGAGCCATTTCAAATGCGACCAGAGATTATGAAATCGTAGCACTTTTTTCTCCAATCAAATTCAATTCAATTCAATCTTCCACTTTCTCTACGTTAACGGACGTCATAATATTATTATTCTCATTAAATTGCACTAGCCTATTTTGCCTCATTTTTTTCCGTTCAAACCACCATTTTTTTAATCCCATTTTCCCTTCCCGGATTCTCCTATTTTTTTCTTTTCCTTTCTTTTTTTGCTTATATAATCACTGGTTTCTAGGTTATTCTTTGGAAAGATTAATTTACTTCTTCGTTTCTTTTTGTTTGAAAAAAAAAGCATTTTTGGTTTATTTTTTTCTATTCTCAGTGAGGTTTTTTTGTAAATTCATGCGGGAAAAGAAAACTTTGTTCGAAAAACAATCACCAACCCACCAAACTTCTCCAAATCCTCACAAGTTTTGTCTTTTTTCAAGCTTTTAAGTTTTGAAAACAAGCTGGGAACCAGTTATTCATTAATTTTTGAACTGGAGTTTGAAGAGAAGGTTTTTTTTTCGGAGTTTTGAACATTTTGCACGATTTCCATGTGATTTTTATTGATAAAATCAGCGTTTTGAGCAGTTTTTCAGTCAATTTTAAGGCGATTTTCAGCTCACGAAGAGCTTTTTTAGTTTTTTTTTTTAGCTCAGAAATAGCTACTTATTGACTCTAGAGTGATCCCTATAGGGGTTTTGGTTAGTGGCCCTTTAAGGGGAATTTTTATTCCATGACTTTTTTGAAGTCTATGATAAAAAGCATTTCCATGCGGAAAAATCAAAAAATTAGTTTTTTTGAAAAAAAAATGAAAAAATTGTCCCTAAAGGATCTGTTTTTTTTCCACTAGCCACTTAAGGGATCACTCTGGCGTTCCTGAGTATTCCCTCAATTTTTTCATATCCGTCTCCAGCAACTTTTCAGTCATTTTTCACTCCATTTTCAGCACAAAAAGCCCCGAAATTGTACAGATATAAATCGGAACGCTCTTTTTTTCCGATTTCCATTCAAAGCGTTCCGAAAAAAGCTTATCGGCTTTTTCTGCATACAATTCGGGCCAACCAACAAACCGGCGGACAAAAAAAAATAACACGGCCTACGGCCAAAAAGTGGGCGGAGTCTTTGTACGAGGCTCCGCCCACTTTTTTACGCCTCTGGTTACGCTTTTCTTGATATACTACTGAACAGTGTTCGTGTTGGTTTTTGAAGTTTTTCAAGTCACATTCCATTCTCGTTACTTTGAAATAAAAAGTTAAAATTAATAATATTATTTATTTACAGGCAGAACAAAATAACATGTACAAAAAAAGAAGGAGAATTAATTTTTGTTTTTTTGAGGTTTTTCTAGTCACATTCCATTTTCGTTTACTTGAAATAAAAAGTAAAATTTTTGTAATCAGTTCTTACTAGATATGAAAGAAAGGGGAAAGAGAAGGTTTATTACCGAAAAATGCAATAAAATCACTGGTTCTGATGATAATTAATTTCTAGTTGCCTTCACCTGGTTATATAAAAGTGAATCAACCGGACACACCCTTGGCCCTTTGCTTTTCCGAACCCGCATTTTTATCTGATGATCACCTTGTTTCATCAATTTTATTGCTCTTCACGTGGACATATAGTCAAACAGCGATAAAACGTCTTTCGAAAAATATGATTTCATCAAGAAAACGAGGGAAATAATAGATTTTTTTCTACAGTAGAATGAAGCATACTTTTATGATTTTTTTATAGTCCATTCTTCCCGTTTCTATGCAAAGAGAGGTGGAGAAAAGAGGGCGCAGACACGTCAGGACTTTTTCAATTAATGATGAATCCCTTTAAAAAAATCATACCTCAGGTTCTAGGTTCATAAATTTCGAAAATTCCGTACCAACCTTTTCAGAATTTCATCTTTGATTCAAATAAAATCTCAGCTTCTTTGATAAAAACTTCTTCAAAACTCAGAAAAACGCATGATTTTTTTGAGGCTTGCTTAACTTCAAAAAAATCAGAACTCAGATTGTAGATTTCTAAAATTCTAATAATTTCAAAAACCATACGTTTTATTAAAAAAAGATACCCTAAATCCTTTGTTAAACTTAGAAAAAAACCTCTTCAAATTACGCCTAACTTTTTGAGAATTTGTTTGGTCCCAGCTTTTAACAGAATTTACTCACTGATAATTTTTTTCTGAATGAAAAAAATGAGGATTCAATCAAAAGATAATATTCATATAATGAAAAACAATATTTCAAACTAGGGCTGGTAACCAAATTTTGATGAGAATTATGAAAAGAATCTCTCGTTCACCATAATTTTTCGATTTTTTTGACCTTTTCCTCATTATAAACCATTCAAATAAGGGTTTTCAATCTGGGAAAAAAATCTTTCTCACATAAAAAAATCTATCATACGATCGTAAAAGAGCCAGAAAAAAATGGCCTCCTTCCAAAAAGGAATGCGCTGGCTCCGCCCCTTTTTTTCTGACGGAGCAGCTCCTGATGACTGGAAATTTTTTTCTTTTTGAAATATATTTGAAATATATTTGATATCTTTTTATGATTTGAATCTTTACAGACTGCTGAGAAGTTTTTAAAAAAATTGAATTGGCTTCTATTCTACCTTTTTTTGGATTTTTTTTGAAGTTTGTTTGAAAAAAAGAACCTGAAAAAAATTAATTTTTTTGAAGTTTGAAATCAGAATTAACCTGAGAAAAAAAGTTTTTAAAAGTCAAAAATGACCTCATTAACTTTTTTTTCACAAAATGTGGTCGCTTTTTTTGATTCGCTTCATAATCTCAAGGAACAATAATGGTTTTTAGGTATTATGATAGGTTGATAATCCTCGTTTAATGAGCTTATTTTCCAGAACAAAAAGTCACCTTCAGTTCTGACGTTTTCTGATAATATATTGCGATGAAATATGTGTTTTGTATAGTGTAGGAATGAACTTTAGAAAATTTTTGGTGGTTGGTAGAAGTTTTCGAAATGATGTACCGATGTGGTTAGGATTTTTAAAGCTTCGAAATTAAAGGTTTTTTTCTGGAACTTGAAAATTCTTAAGTTTTTAAATTAATTTTTCTCGGTTTCTGTTGGGTTTTATAATTTTTTTCTTCAAAATTGATAATGTTGGTGTTGTGTATTTATTTGGACAAAAGATGAAAAATTTTTTTGGTTTTTAAAATATGTCTTTTTTTATCAACTTTGACAAGGGAGGTCATTTCACTTTAAGGTTGGGAATTTCTGGAAAATTGCTCGAAACACTCCTTGATTTGTCAGAAAAAAATATCCTGAAAGTTTTCAGCCCGCCCAACTCACGGGTTTTTGAAAAAAATTAGAGCTCGAAAGCCCACGAATTGGCCTATTTTTACTGATTTTGGGCATTTTTTTCTTCTCAAAAAAACTAGAAGTCCATGCAGGTTGTGAATTTCAGGATCTTCTTTTTGGGACCTCAAGGCCAATTTTTCCTGGCCAATTTTCAGAAAAAAATCCCAACCGCAAAGTTAAATATCTTCCCTTGTGAGGAAAATCCTTTTGAATTATTCTACAATTTTACTACTGCAAAACCTTGAAAAACCATGATTTTCTCTTTCTCTTGACTGCTTTTTTTCATTTCAGACTTAAAAAACCTTATTATTGGTATCAAAAAATGACCAAACTCCACAGACTCCCGTATCGAATTATCTTCCCCCTCCCAAATGAACTGAAGAACTCTTTCAGAACTATAAATAATCATTTTTATCGCGAAACCCACAAAAGAAAGACAATTTTATTGCCCATTTTCTGTCAGAAATTTATCAAAGAACTCATGATTTTATGACGCAGACACGTCAGGTCATTAAAATCCCCCCCAACCCGGAATCCGTCGGCTTCCAATTCGATTTGCTCGTTTTTCTTGGAATAAAGGTTTTGCTGAATGATTTTTCTTTTTCAGAACAGAAAAAGGCGGAACGGATGATGCGGAGAAAGTCGGTTCACTACGGCGACCTCAACCTCGACTCGGTCATTTCCACCCTTATTCAGGTTTTTTTTTAATTCTTCATTTTTGCCGGAATTTTTGAGGCTTATATGATCAAAATTCTGCGTTTCTCCATATTTATTATTGTCGGATTTTTTTGAGAAAAAGTTTGAATATCAAGAGATTTTTTTCAAAAAAATGTATCACTTTTTTTCTGAAATTCCATCGGTTATGTGATTTATTGATCCAATTTTTCGGATTTATTTTTCTTTCAGGTTTCGAAAAAAACCTTTCAAAAAAATCGAGGATTCAAAAAGAAAATTCAAAAACCAAGTGATCCAGAAAAAGAAAAACAAAAAAAGCTCTTTTTTTCTATTTATTTTATCACAGAAAATTGGTTACCAAAAATTTTTTTCCTGATATGTACGTCATTTTTTTCAATTTTTTTCATGATGCAAAAAAATCACTCACCAAATTTTCAAATATAGGAATAAGACTGGTGAATTGACAATAAGCTTAGAATTTATAATTTTTTTGAGATTCCTGAAAGTTTTAAATTTTTTTGTTGAACTTTTTTTATCATCGAAAAAAATCTCTAGACGTTTTTTTCCATTTTTTGAACGATATCCAACCTTTTTAAAGATTTTTTCCCGTTCCAAAAATCAAAAAAATGACCTGAGCTGGTTGAAAGCCCCAAGCGGAACATTTCCCAATTCTGCTTGATTTATGAGCTTCCCCCATCGGAAAAAAGGTCAAAAACTCGGGGCACCAAATGATGCTCGGCTCCCCAAAAAAGGAAGAAGAAGACGATCCCCGGAGGCACTCGTTGCACTTGTGTCTAATGTATTTTGTCAACTCCTCCTGGGACTTTCTCGCCTTCTTTTCCCCCTTCAGAAGGGGGATTTTTCTCTTGACTAGGGAACTGTTTTTGCCTAGTTTGCGTATTTTGCACACTTTGAAGCTCCATAACTCGGAAACAAGATCTATTGCAAAAATTGTTTTTCTTGTTCTGGAATCAGAAGATCCTAAAGTATACTTCAGCAAAGTTTCAGCAAAAGAAAAAAAAAGTTTTTTTTGTGATCCTATAGGTCAATAGATGTCTGACCTCGATCATATCGAAAAAGTAGATGATCAATTTTCAGGTGAAGCCATGGCAGAAGAACATCGACGTGACCGAAAACGAGATTCGGATGATTTTGCTTTTGGCTCGACAGATTTTCCTCCACCAGCCAATGCTTCTAGAACTTGAGCCGCCTTTGAAAATCGCCGGTTAGTATGAAGGAATCATTTTCCAGTTTCGAAAAAATGGGATAAAATTTTCGATCAAAAATGAAGCCATTCGGTCTAGTTGAGATTTTAAAACTTTATTTTTTTCTGATTTATCCGATTCTCAGATTTTTAAAAGCGCTGGTGTTATGAGAAAGGCTCAAGGCGGCCATGAAAATCTTGAAAGTGCGCCCGACCAGAAACGGCTTGCGCCGACATAAACATCGTAGGGTGTTTTCAAAAGGAAACTACGAAACTTCAGCTTTTTGTTTCAAAAAATTATAAGTGATCGAGCAAGCCTGTTTCTTTGTAAACCTTCTGGCCGGATCTGAATCTCGGTCCTTATCACCACCCCCGGAACTTCTAACTGACTGAGCCATCATTCCAGGAGACATTCACGGACAGTACAGCGACCTTCTTCGACTCTTCAACCTCGCCGGATATCCTCCCGAGTCGAATTATCTCTTCCTCGGTGACTATGTTGACCGAGGACCGAAAAGCATTGAGGTGAGCAATTTAGAAGGAGATTTTGAGATAGAGTTGAGATTACTGTTCCACTTCCTGAATAAGTGGACTGAAATCAACGGAAATTCAATCGAATGCTTCTGGGCTACTGTAGTTTTCGTGATTTGGAATTTATCTTTTTCTCTGCGCCCTCCTCGTCTCTTGACGACCATCTCGTGTTGACGTGCTCTTTTCTCGTTTCTCTGACCTCGCCGGTGAGGGAACAGAGAGACGCAGACACTCGAAAATTTTCAAGTTGCGGGAAATGGACTATAATCATCTTTGATGAACTTTTTTCAAACTTCCTTGTTAGTTTAGAAGTTTTCTTATTTAGAAATCACACCTGAACCAGAATTTGATTTATTCTCTCTATTTTTCTGAATAAAGCGCCTATCGAAGAGCCTCAAAGCTCGCAGAACGCTCCAAAAAAGATGATCTCGAAATCGGATCCACGGAATCTCCTCAAAGTACCTCTGACAAGTCTTCTCCTTCACTAAACCGGCTTCTTCGGACATCCTTTTTCCGCTCTCTTCACGCATTGTGTGCGCAGACGATCAGCCGCCGTGAATCATACCGTAATCCGTCCAGCTTTTGCGGCTTTTCCCGTCGATTTGCCACCCGCCGAGTCGCGCAACGGGAACGGCCTCCGATTTCTCATGTTTTCAAGTGTTTTGCCCGTAACGGGGACCGTTTCAAATTTTCCTATTTTTGCCTAAAAAGCTGGGTTTTCAAAAACGTGATTCAAAAATGAAAAATAAAGTATTCTACATCTCAATACTCTTTTATCCTAAAACTCAGGAGCCCATCCCATCGAAAAAATTTAGCGGTAAAGTTTCATAAATTCACCAGAAACAGTGATATGAGTGAAAAAAGCGAGCAACTTGGAAAAAAAAATTGAAGAAGTTCTAAAAGGCTTTTTTGAAACAAAAAGTGATAAGAATTCTTGAAATCTGGTTTATTTTTCAAATTTGAATTTCGAAAATACGATTTGGAGGCCGAAGAACTGTATAAAGGACATTTTTTTCGGCTGGAAAATTTATTAAAAAAATGATACGCAATTTTTTTCTGTTTGAATTTACCACTGGAAATTGAAAATTAGGAACCTAAATCAAATTTTTGATTTTTTTAAAGGATTTTTTTCTTGTTTCAAGGAAAAAAATTTTCGAAAAAAACTTATCCAAATAGTTTTTTTGACCATTCAAAGTTCAAGACGGTCAGTACAAAAAAATTTTTTTCTTCTGAAAAAAATTCAAATTGTTGTTTTATCGATTTTTTTCTAGTCATCATTCGAAAAAAATTAGGACATTTTTTTGCCGGAAATTTTCCCTGAAAAATAAGAGAAGAATCGAAAAATTTTTCCAAGATTCCATAATCATCTGTACAATTTTTGAAACCAGCTTAATAATATATAAGGTTTTCTATTTTTTATATCTTGATTCAGTGCCAAAGTCCCAACGATTCTGATCCGAAAAATCTTCTCAAAAATTGAAAACAAGCGTTAAAAACTGCTGAATTTACAGACGATCGTCCTGCTTCTCTGCTACAAGATCAAGTATCCCAACAACTTTTTCCTGCTCCGCGGAAATCACGAAGTCGCCAATTTGAACCGAATCTATGGGTTTTACGACGAATGTGAGTCCATCGGGAAACCACGCGTTTTGATAGAAAAGGTGCTAAAATGACGAATGATAGGAAAGTTGGGAATTTTCCCGGACAGAATGTGATTCGGGGCTGAAATTTTGTTGCTTTGAAAGGACAATTTTTGAGAATTTTTAGGTTAACAGGGTTTGGTTCAATGGTCATTTTTTATAGCTTGGAGGGGTTGAGGAACCTTTCCAAAGCGAAAAATTTGAAATTAGATAATCTTTAAAACTGTATCTTCAAGAAAAAAAAATCAAAAAAGAAATTAGAGAAAGTAAATTTCTTTACGGCGTCTGAAGCTATGGAAAAAAATCAAAGAAAGCTCGAAATTTTCCAGGCAAACGACGATACAGCGTGAAGCTGTGGAAGTGCTTCCAGGACGTGTTCAACTGCATGCCCGTGGCGGCCCTCATCGACAACAAGATCTTCTGTTGCCACGGCGGCCTTTCTCCGACTCTCCGCACCCTCGACCAGCTCAAACGCATTAATCGACCTTGCGACGTCCAGGAAACTGGTTAGTTTTCTCGAAAAAAATGAGTTTCACATTTACGGTCCGAGCCATCGAAAAAAGGGTCCTGACACGATAAAAAAAACAGTGTATTGTTGGTGGAGAGCGCAGACAAGTCACACGAATAAGTTATACGATTCTTTTGTGTTTCCGTCAATTTTTAAAACGCCATTTAGTGAGTTCCAAGCAGTAGATCCTTTTCCAAAACACAGCAAAAAGAAAGCTACCGTAACCTTCAATTAATGATTAGATATTAGGTCTGAAGAGTAAAAATAAATCTTTCCAGGACTACTTTGCGACCTTCTCTGGTCCGATCCAGACGCTTCGGTGGTTGGCTGGGCGCCAAACGAACGTGGCGTCAGCTACGTCTTCGGCGTCGACGTCCTCGTCCAGTTCCTTCAGAAGATGGACCTCGACATCGTCGTCAGGGGACATCAGGTACGACTTTCTCCAGCCAGAATTTAAGAAGATGTCTTCGAAAATGTTTCTAATAGGGGCTGAGTAGAAATAGTTCATAAAGTGAGCTCTTAAAGTCAGAAAAATCGAGATTTTGTTACTGTTTTTGTAGGACTTGGTTGAGTTTTTATTTTTTAAATTAGGTGTCAAAAGATTCATAAAATTATGAATTCTCTCTTCACGAATCGAGCTGATTTTGGTACCATTCCATACGTCGTGAAATTTTGGGTCGAATGGTACTTTCAATAGTCGAATAGGACCAGGTAGAAGCTTTTATCGCTTTTTCGAAGAAATCAATCACTTTTTTGAAAAGGTCCTTCCTGATAAGGTTAGTCTGAAAAGCGAAGAATTTGAAAGGCCTTCCTCCAAAACTATTTTCTGTTCATTTTCTGAATCTCAATGCAAGGCTTCCTTCTCAGGTGGTAGAAGACGGATACGAATTCTTCGGTCGCCGAGGCCTCGTCACGGTTTTCTCGGCTCCCAACTACTGCGGCGAGTTCGACAACGCCGGCGCCGTCATGAACGTCGACGAGAACCTTCTTTGCTCCTTCCAGGTCCTTTTTCAGTTTTATTGATTCTATTGTAAAAAAAGATAAGAAGGGCTATTTTTTTAGAGCTTTTCTCTGCTTTCCAAGTACTCGAAATACTAAAAAGTTTCATGGACCATATTTTCTGTATTTCCTTATCTTATAACTTTGAAAGTCCTTGAAGCGAGATTTCGATAGAATAATTTGCGAAAAAATTGTATTCTAATGATATTTGATTTTTTTTTTCCGGAATTATTTTTTGAATTTTCTTCATCAGTATTTTCACAGCTATTGAAGCTGTCTTTCAAGGATTTTATAATTTTTCGCCCCGAAAAATACCGATTTTTCTCAGATTTGAAGAATGAAATTCGGAAAAACAGGAAAAAAGGAAGACCAAATAGGACTTTTTTATTGTTTTTTTCAACCTAAAAGACACTTTTTTTTTGTTCAAACTCCAAAAAACTGTTCAGTTGTAGATTATCAAGCCGCAGCAACAGCACGAACCCTCGACGACCACGGAAAAGCAGCAGAACTTCGCCAACGGCCTCGCCAACCTCGTCAACATCAAAATCGTCGAACAGAAACAGCCCCAGAAGCGGTTCCGACGTGGCATGTTGTGACCCCGTATCCGAGTCGATGCTCAGCCAATTTTTCCGGTGCTTTTCTTTAGGTATTTCATTGGCTAGATCCTGTATTACATATCATTTATTCAGCTTTCCTTGTAAAAAAGGAGCTTGACAGGGCGTTTCCTGAACTTGTTTAACCAGTTTTTCACGTTGAATCTGAATCTCAAGCAATTACATCTTCGAAAATTCACATTTTTGAGCTCAGATTCAGAACCAGCGTCAAAAACTGCCCCCTAATCATGCTCCGATGAGAAAAAAGCTGTTCTTTATATTGAACTTTCGCGCTCCAAGGAAAACTGTTAAACTGAACCTTCCGCCCTCTCATAGCTCATCCGGTTAGGCTCTCGACCTTCCTCCGTAAGATCCTTGGTTCAATCCCCTTCAGTTCTCTCTTTTGCCTTGAACATTTTCAGTTTCCTACGAAAAACAACATTTTCTCACTTTTTTCTGCTTCGGGTACGAAAAAATGGAGAACAACGATTTTTTTTCTTTGCTGTATATTGATCGCTTTTCATTGAAATTATGTATTAAGATGGCTATAATAATTATTTCTTCTCTTATAAAAAAGCCTTTTTTTCCGCTCGTATCATCTGAAAGCATATTTTTCTTGTATAATTACTCTTGTACACTGTAAAATGTTTGAAAGTCACGGTTATCACTCAAAATTATCGTTTTATCATTAATTCATTGAACTTTTTCTGTTTTCTTTTCGCGGGTTTTTCGAGTAAATGTTTTATCGTTTTTTTACAACAGAATCAGGATATTTAATTTGAAAATTTGCTACAAACGATTTTTAGCGATTTTCTGTAACATTTGTAAGTATTACAAGTTGATGGGAAGCGCTGAAGTCGTATATCATTAGAAAGCTGATAATGAAAAGAATTTATTAAAAAAATCAGCTACTCTGTATCTTAAAAATGAAAAAAAGCTTTGAAGCTCGACATCCTGAAAAATAGAATTATTAGATCCCATTCTTCATCGCAGTAATAATAGATAGTTTATTCACTGCCATTAATTAACATAATAATTGAAGAATAGATGATCAAGTGAAGGAATAGGCAGAGAAATAACAATACACGGGAAAGAGTCAACCCCAACGAGTTGACGGGTGCCCGGAAATATGGCTAATTCACAGGAGACGAGAGGGGATATTTTCATGAAAGGCTTCAAACGGAAGAGCATTCAACTTTTTACGCAGAGTTTCTGGGGTAACGTTAAAATCTAAATAAGAAGTTAGTTTATTCCAAAGAGGAATAGTTCTAGAAAAAAAGTCATTAGAAAAGTAATATGAAAATACTTTATTGAAGCTGTTCTCTAGATTACACTGGAAAAACCTCGAAAAGAAGGAAAAATTTTGAATTTTCCTCTTCAGACGCGACAGTTGACCTGACGCACAACCTCGGACGAGACATTTTATCTGACGCGCAAAAAAATTACACGGCTTATGTATAAACTTTCCAAGCAGCTACAGCTTATCTGATCATATCATTCAATTCGTCTCAATCTCAAGTTCCTAATAAAACAGGTTTTACAAGAAATAACTCATAGAACAGTGGTTTAGTCTTGATAATTAATCCAAAGGTCTCTGGTTCGGTTCCTGTTGAGCGATGAATCAATTTTTGTTCATTTTGGCGTCAATCAGCGATTTTTCTGGCCTAATATTGGCTCATTCCATATTTACAATTTTCTTGACCTTTTCAAAGACTCAAATGTTAATATTAATAAAAAAATCGAGCTCTCAGTGGTCCCGCAACTCGGAACGAGGCTTGTCTACGAGATTCTAATCCCTTCGGTACACACACGTGTGGCAAACAAATCGTATTAGTGGTCCCCCCAAATCTCCGGCCAACTGAACCTGTTTATTAGTTACAAAACAAAAATTCTGGGACGATTGATGAGTTTAAAGAGCATTTGATACTGATAGGTCCTGGATAGGCTTTACAGAGAATTATTAAATAATATTGGGCTGTTGAATGACAAGGAAATCGTTCCTAGGGAAAAGACCGAAAGTACAGAAAGAAGTCGAAAAAAAGTTTCAAGACATATTTTCCGAGTAAACGAGAGCGAAAGATTTGTGGGCGTTTCACCAAGATGGTACAATTCTCGACATACAACCATAATTCGTAAAAGGTCTGACGTGTGAGGTGAAGAAACACAACAAGAAACAAAAAATAAAGGAACATCTTTTCAGCGGGTAAGAAAGTTTGCAAGGCGATTTCGTCCGAATGTGGGATATGAGCAGGAGTGTCTCCAAAGGATAGAGTATAAACAAAAAAGAAAATAACGAAGGAAAAATCAAAGCTTTTTTTGTCTTTGCAATGATAATGAACAAAGGATAAACATTTGAATAGAGATTTCAACACAATAAACATATTTAACAGGTCAGGAAAAAACAACAACCGAAAATATTCTCGAGAAAAATCAATAAATGATGATTTCATATGGGCGATAGATTGATTGCAAGCTCGTAGGGTACTTTTTCGTATGGTAAGCATTTTTCCGATATGTACACAGACAATAGAGATGTACAATAGACTTTCACAAAAGTTATAAATTAATGGTAAGAAAAAGCCGAGATTCGCAGGCAAAACTTGACCATCATTCGAATCAGAAGCCGTAGGAGGTAGTGATTGAGTTCCTGGACTTTTTAGAGAAAAATCAAAATTTTCACTGACACGAAAAGCTTGCAAAAAGTAAAAACTGGAATTTGAATATTTTAATTCATTCCCAACCTCTTTCCTACCTACAACCTCAAGCTCCAAAAAATTGAAAAACCTAAAATATTCGTATTTACAAAACTATATACGTTTCTTTCCGAAAAAACCCGCGAATCAAAGCTTCAAGCATAGTCATTCAACAGACAAAGAGAAGAAAAAACAAAAAGTTAGTCAGAAAAAAAGGAAAAAACAAAAGAAGGAGGCTTTAAGCAAAGCTGTACAAGTATGTACACAAGGTGTAACAATTTTGAGGGGTCAGGTGGCCAAGAATCGGATGAATCGGTTAACGAGGTTCGGCTGCTCGATGTAGTCGTCGGTGGAGCCGTCGCCGCGACAAACTGACGCGGCCGAAGTCGCCGACGACGCGTTGCCGCCTCGCATCGACGTCTGCGACAAGGGACGGAGCAGTTCTGAAACAGTTCCTTTTTATTATGTCCTTCAGACTTCAACTTTTGAAAATCAACTGAAAAAGCTCGCTTTTTGTTTTTGTTTCTTGAAAAGATATAAATTTTTCCTATCCGCTCGGAACTCACTAGGCGGGGCCAAGGACTTGAGCGACTCGGTGGACCAAGTCTTGGAGAGCGAATCGTTGAGAACTGCGAAGGAATGAGGCCGGGCCAGTTTCGTCGGCATCGCCTTGGGGATGTCGACCTCGTTGCAGGTGAGCATGATTCGGCTGAAAATGTCACGTTGGAGCTGGCTCTTCTGATCATCTACATACTCATTGGCGTAGGCCAAGGTGATCTGAACGTTGGCGACACGACGATGACGAACGACCAGGGTCTTCTTGAGCAATGTCCTATCGGAGCCCGTCTCGGCCTGCTTCTTGTTCGTCTTCTCCATCATCTACAAGCAGTTCAATGGTTTCAGATCTTGAATATCTCTGACATACCCCTCTTTGAGCGTACTCGATCTCGACGAAGATCTCGTGGAATCTGAAGGAGTCGCCGTCGAGGGAGAACTGGGTGAAGATGGCCGGCTCGGCCGTCGACTTCCAGGCCATAACGAAGGCGGCGATCCCGGGGGCGCTGAGTTCGCGGCAGCCGGTCAAGTTGATCGAGATCTTCTTCCTCTCGTTCAGAGGCAGGCGCAGCCAGTTCAGCAGCAACGTCCCTTTGATCAGCACGTTCGGATGGCTCTCCTGAACAAGATCCTTTGTTTTAAGCGGTTTTGATGTTCATAAATGAATTAAAGCAGATTGGCGAGGTTCTGGATTGTTCTCTTTTTAGCCTAGGTTTCCCTGAAAAAATTCTTCCCCTCATTTCATGAGCTTTCTACAATTTGAAAAAGTTGTGTGCTCGTTTTTAAGATTTTCAGTACACACGAATTTCTCCTGAAACCAACCGGCTGGACGACGTTGAAGATCTCGATGTTGGCCAAGGAGATGACGTCATGAGCATCGACGGGCGTGACGGCCTGGAGGTTGTGGAGGGTGAGACGGTGCAGACGATGTCGGGCCATCTTGATGAACCAGAAAACGAGAATCGGAGGGCGGTTCTGGTAGCAGCAGTAGTCGCGGAACATCAGATGCAGGGGTCGGATCGGCTCCAGAATCTTCGCCAGGTGTTCCAGTCTACCTGCCGAGATGCTTCGGAGGCCTTCTTCGCTCTGAAAATTCGGATTTGTTTGAAAGTAAAGGGTTTGTAAAGTTTTGATAATTAATTGAACTACATATGATATTTATGATTTTTTGTTCTTCCGTATTCTTTTTTGTGTCGTTTTCAAAGTAATTTCCACAAAATTCAAAGTTATCTCTGACTCTCCAAAACTCATTTATCTTCCTCACTCTCTGACGGCAATTTTGAATTTCGTGGAATCATTTTGAACATGGCATTACTTTGAAAATATGTCGTTATTTTTCGTCAAAGGTGAGTCAAATTTCACGAAAATCTCAATTTTCTCTTTATTTTTCTTTATACTCTACAAACCTGAGCATCCATCTTGGTGAACATCATGTCTGAGGTGCTCTGGTTCGACGGAAGACGGTCATAAGCCCGGGGTTCCATGGAAACTTGCGGGGAGATCGCAGTAGATGGGCTCACGGCCTGGAAAAACTTCAATAATACGTTGTTTTTCTAAATTTTTTCTAATTTCCGTCAATTTCTTGAAAGAGAACAGCGTGAACGTTCACAAAACGAAATTTAGAAAAACGTCGCCAAATTTACAAAAAAATTCAAAAAGAGCTCAGAAACTTGCTAGAAATTATTTTCAAGTTAAGAAAGTCATACAAAATCGAAAAATGATGAACTGACAGCTATTAGAAGCATATTTTTTTGCTGGAAAAATTGAGAAAAAGGTTTACAGAAAAAAACTTCTCAGCTAAATTTTTTTTATTAATCAACAGATTCTCCTCACATAGGCCCATTTTCCTTTCGAAAAAAATAAAACTTCTACGAAACTAATTTTATTATAATGAATTCGTTGAATCTAGGAAGGAAAAGTTAACAGGTTCGCGAAAAATGAATTTTTAAGACAGCTGAGAAATTTTTTTCGAGTTTATTGAGCAAAAAAACAGGTTAGTCGTGATCCTACAAGATGGAATGGTATTTAAAAAAACTTTTTTTCAAACTAGATTCTTTAACTAATAAGCTTTATTGCTGTCAGAGGGCCATTTCAATTTTTTCAGCTTTTGTTTTAGGCAACTTCAAGAAAACATCTCAACTTGTAACCGAGTGTTTCAGTCTGAAGATAAAAATTGAAAATTTTTGACACTAGGTCTACTCAATCCATGCAGGGGACAAGCCTTCCCAGGATAGAAAAAAAAACACTTTTGTGGAGCCTCGAATTTTCCTATCCCCACCTTTCCAGAAATGCTCTCGGAAGTCCGCGGCGAGTTGACGCCGGGTCCGAAGTCCATCTCCATCTGCGTCGACTCGCGATCCAAGAAAGAGCAGAAGTTTTTGAAAAACACCTGCAAAAATCTCTCTTTCCTTTTTCCCCATATTTTCCGGCACCTCAGTGATTTCATAATTGGAAACCCAGGGCTTGAAGTCGAACTTGAAGGCCCAGTTGGAGTCCTTGATATCCGTGTACTGGTCGGCCAGGAACGACGTCGATTTGACTTCCGAACGGGTCGAAGAGGCCAATTTGAAGACCTGCTCCCAGTCTTCTTTCCTGTCGCCTTGCTACAAAAATCAACTTCAAAATGAGGAATTTCGGTGCATTTCGAACCATTTCCGAGGAATTGTGCTTCCTCTGGACCTTTTCGAGGTAGTTGGAGTGTCCAGACGACATCGTGTTGATGGAAGACGTCCGCGACATCGTCTCCGACGTTCTGTGGAGTCGCGAAACGACCGGCGTCGGTATTTTCTCCAGAATTGCTCTGAAACGGAACATCTAGAACTTTGCTTTTTTGGATTTGGATATTAGTAGTTCGTTTAAACTCGATTGAGTAACACGTTGATCAAAAATAGAGATGATTGAAGTTTTTTTGTTTTAAATAAAGGTACACCCATTGGGGGTAATAAACATGATGGTTGTCATAGTCAGAATTGACCTTATTTTAATAAAATTTCATTCAAATTTTAGCTGATTATCTTTGAAAAAATTCGAAAATCAGTTCATACTTACAAAAAAATGCTGAAACCTTAAAAAAATATTTTTCCAAAAAGTTCAGCGCAAATTTATTTTTTTCAAATATGAAAAAAAGTTTGTCGAAATGAAAAAGCAGCCGTTTCCAAAAACTTATTTATATATATCTTTTCGAAAGATTATTCAAAAATCAAAAATCTGGTAGCACCTGCTAACTCAATTAATAATCAGCAGTTTATCGAAGGTAAAGGTATTTTTTTCAGGATATTTCTCAAAAAAATATCTTTTTTTAGTTAAATAACCTTTGAGACAGCCTCCTTGCATTCTGATTCGAAAAAGTTTGTCAATGAACATTCAGAATTATTTCCTGATTTTCCAGAAAAAAAGCCTTCATAAATATCAAGCTATAGTAGAAATTTATAATAATTTAGCAACTAAATTATTTTTTTTACAGCAAAAATAAAATAGGCACTTGAAAAAGATATTTTCTATTTCTACCCTGCCCTGTGCCTTCAATTTTCGTTCAGATTTTCTCTCAAACACATCAAAAAAAATCTAAAAACTACAATAGTCCGTTCAGATTTTGAAATACAACTACAATGACGTCATTCGAAAAAGCTCTCTGATTGGCTTATCTTTTAGGGGCGGAGCTTCAGCCAACGACTTCTAATTCAAAACGACCAAAAAAAAGTTGAAAGTTCGTCTTTTTTCCATTATTTTCGCACGAATTCTTTAATTAACTGGTCGCTGAATGGTCGAAAACCAGTTCGACACCAACCCAACAATTTCGAGAGTGAAAAACTCCATAACGCCTCAAGGATCAGCTGTGTTTTTGGGTGGTGGGGGGACAAGTGCGTCAACATTTTTGGGCAATCAGGAAGATTCATTAAAATGGCTCAGCTGTGCTCGGGAGCCCTCGGTCTGCTCTCGTTTCTCGTCATTCTCATATCTTTGGCTACATTTCGGTGCTATTTGAAGCGGGTGGAACGTCGTCAGAGTCTGGGACGGGTCTGGATCGTCCAGCTCAGCGCCGAGGACTACGAAAAGTTCGTCGTTTGAGCAGAAGTCGTCAGAAAAAGTACGAAATTGTGACTTTTTCCTTTCTTGTTATCCATTTTTCACCCTCTTACATTTGAAACTGGTCAATCTTATATACAACTCTTCAGGGATTCTTGTCCGATTCAATTTAAGAAAAGTTCAAAATGATCTTGATTTCGCTCCTCGCACCAAAATATCCAAAAATGAGCTTTTTTTCGCCAAATCTTCCAAAAAATGAGAAAAACGTTATTTCGAATGACTTGAAAAAACGTGAAAAAAACTTTGTAGAACGCATAAAAAAATAATAAATATCTTTTTTTCTACCATTTTCACGAATCTCGTTTTTCATTTATCTCGTCATATTATCTCTCAACTCAGTTAAACTTTCAAACCCCCAAAAACATTCCTGTCCCTTAAAAATAAAAATATTAAACAGAAAAAAATACGTTGTTTGTTGTAAATACGATGTCCTTTCAAATAAAAAAATTGAAAAAGTATTTTTCTTTTTTTCGTATTGGAAATAACATGGCATGAGCCCCACAAAACAGCTGATCATCCTATTTTTTTGAACAAAAAAATGAGAAAAATTTGATCATTTTAAAAACTAGTGAAACTATTTTAAAGCTGGAACCGAAGATGAAACTCCTAAATCATGACTGTTTTCAGAAATGAAAAACAAGACAGATTTGAAAAGTAATAGTGAGTAAATATTTTTTTCCATTCGAAAACAAACCTTCGGCGATCGCAGATGAAGATCCTGGTCCGTTGCCAACTTCTCAAAAACCTCGCCTTTTTTTCCTCTTCATCTTCGATAACTTCGCGGAATCGGTGGCAAACCAAGGCACACCTTGTCAAATCGACTGGCGAACATCTTCAAATCAAATATTATTTTATTTTTCTTTTTTTATTCTAAATCAAAAACCTGTGGAAAATCCCGGCGAGAACCTCATCGGGAAGGTCGAGCGCATTGAAAGTCGAAGTACGAGAATTGCTTCGAAGGTTCAGAAAACTCATCGCCGACTCTTTTACATCACAGGAAAAGCCTTTATAGTGATACTGAAACGAAAAAAAGATTGCTACAATCGTACACTACAAATATTGTACTTTGAACGAGTGATACCGCGAAACCAGAGACAAAAAAGGATCTGTTGTTGCTGAGCAAAGGCCGGTTGGAAAAAGTAGGAGTTTCACGCGGGAACCTCCTAACAAAGAAACTCCAAAACACGAACAAGGAGAATCTTTGTTCGCGAAGAGAGGAGTTCAAGAAAAGTGCAACCGAAAAAACAGGAAGATTAGTGGGAGATCGTATCTTTGAAGTAGAAAGAAAAAAAGCAGCAAAAGTATTTTTTCGAGAAAAAGAACAGCCATGAAACGTTGGCAACGACAGAATGAGAACAGCTGTTGCAGTGCGGGAAAAGAGAAACTAACGCAACATAAAAAAAGAACGAGAAAGAAAGACTGCCGGTGGCGCTCATGAAACAAATAGGCACGCGGTTTGCCAGCCGCACGTGACAATCCGTGTCATCCCCGCTTCCGCAATCATGACGAAATAGCCGCGAAAAATAGCTACACAACGATATATTTCATGAATACCTTTTTCACTTCATAGTTAATCGATTATAATCACAAAAAACCGAAACAGGAAAAAACCGCGAAAGTTTCGTACAAAAATAGAAAAACGCGCGTGAGATAAGGTGCATTTAGTGCGAAGCCGCAGCACAGACCTACCGCCTACCGTAATTAAAAATTCCTACACTTTCGAACTTTTTCGAAATAACAAGTTTAAGCCATTTATAACTTAGCTGTTCGCAGATGGAACTCGTAAACTACTTTGAAGACCATACGTTTTGGTTTCAAACATTTTTTTGGCTAATGTGTCGAGGAAACTTTTTTTAAACGCGAATCATCACAGTTTTTGTTTAAAAGTGTGAAAACAAGGAATTTTCTTTGAAAATAAGTAGGAATCATTAAAAATTCTGGCGCGAGAAAAAAACGCAAAAAAACAAAAAAATAATAATTAGGCAAAGAAGGAAAAATAGAGAAGGTGGGCGGAGCACTTCATTTTTCCCACGTGGCGGCGAAATACGTGAGAAAGTGGGCGTGGTTACACACCAAAGCATGGGAAAATGAAAACTTTGGGAATATTCGTCACATTAAACAGCTGGCTGAGTATTCATTAGGGAATTAATGGCAAATATTTTTTTCAAAAGACTACCAGCGTAATAAATTAAGAAATACGTGTCAGAGGCACGTGTCAAAAACATTGGGAAGGGAGATGGTTTTTGAAAATTCGAATATTATTTGGGATTATGAAGGGCAAACTTGATATTTGAAGTCTCTTTCGTTGGAAAAGAGGAAAAAAGTTAAGAATGGAAAAAAAAACTGCCGATTTGGACGAAAATTCGATGGAAAGGTGATTTTTACAAGGGATTATCTCGGATCATTGACTGGAAAGGACGAGTTTTCGTGGAAAATCAGTGATAAAAAGTTCTCATTCTTGATTTGAAAACTGAATAACTTGAAAAAGGTTAAAAAAAATGCTGGTTTGGGTCAAAACGCCTCGATTTTTACTAAGGATTTTCTTGAATTATTGTCTACAAATAGATTTTCGTCAAAATTCAGCGGAGAACTAGGTCCTTTTCTGAGCTTAAAACCAATACTGAATTTTCAGGAAAGTCCATTCACCACTTGGCTCATATAAAAGTGCTTGATATCCAATGGAAACATGGAAAAAGGTCTTCAAAAGGCTTGTGAAGCTCACTTTAAAAGGGCAATGGATTCATGACATCCATTTGCAGAGATAGGATTACTGTATGAGGGTGATTTCAATTTCCCTTTTCCATTCAAAACCAATGGGGATAGAGCAGGAAATAATGTCCTGACGGATGATGAATAAGGGAAAAGCTGATGATGGAAAGAGCGAACGAAGCCATATAAATATGAAAGGTGGAAACTGGAAGCCCACGCGGCGTTCATCGGAAACGACTTTCCTCCACTTTTTCCCCCCTGCTCATTTCAAATCGTCGGACCACGGATTATATAAACAAAAATGGGCTCGGCAAAAGCCGCGAGTGACGTGCGCGACGTGCATAAAACGCCTGCAAAAAGGGCAGTTCCGGGTGGGAAAAAACGGCCGGAGACTTTTTTTTTCGGTGGGCGGCTATTCATCGTGGGATAAATTCTGAAGAAGCTTTCGAATGATTCAAATTTTGGAAGAAAAGGCTATTTGTGTCATGAAATTTTTCGTGAAGGTTATTTTAGGCTGATTTTTTTTAGCTTTTTCACTGTCGGCTTGAAATAAAGAAAACGCCCTCATTTTCAAAAATTTCTTAAAAACAGAGATTGATTCTTGTTAAAATTCAACCGATGTTATCATATGACGTCAGGATTGAGGGCACAACTCTTTGAGCCATTCCCTTCAACCGTAACCGGGTTACTGTAGGTAGAAAGAGAGAAAATAAGGCAAAAATAACAACAGAAAAGTGTCAGTACCGTTTTCTACCGCACTCTTTGGAGTTTTTAATTGAAATTCATTCAAAGTCTATTTGATAAGTTCTACAAATGCGCTCCAGCGAATCAAGTAACTCTATTAAATACAATTCCAGTATTTTCCAGCCAAAAAATACCTTCTTTACTTGAAAACTTTTTTTTAAAGACCACAGAAAAATGGGAAATAGAAGACAGAACTATTTTGAGGCGAAAAAATCTTTTAGTAATTTGCGAAATAAATAAATCTAGAAGAAAAGTTCAAAAAATCACAAAAAGATTCCAAATTTCTGCACATTATCCGGTCAATCCTTCCAGGAATTTCTGCTTGAAAATTCCCTAATCCTCCAAATCTTTCCTCGAACCAGCAATGAATCAAGTTGATTAGAAACCTCCAAAAAATGGTCTTGAGGAACAAAGAAAAACCTTGATAGTAGAAGCGAGATTGTAGTTTGGATGAGAACAAGCAAGAAAAAAACCTTCAAAGGTTATAATCCCAAAGGGAAAAAGAATTATTTGACTCTCCCATCCAGAAAGAAATACACCATATGAAAATCGTGGGAGAGTCGATCTTTTGATTTTTCTTTTCATGTCGAAATGATATACGGTGAGAAAATGTGAGCTGAGAAAAGATCAAAAGATCAATAAGTGCTGGGAAATCAAACTGTGCAAGCCGCAAAATACGGGCTTTATAAATATTTTGAATTTTTTTCACAATTTATTAAAAAGCATTGAAAAAAAGTCTCAAAAAAAGTGAAAAAGTATTCAAAATTGATTAGGTTATGGGAAGAAGCCTGAAAAATAAAAAAAATTGGATCAAGAAGAAACTTTCCGAAAGCAAGACGGGAAGAGCTATACAGTTTTTTTGTAAATTTTGATTTTCCAAATTTTTTTTGATTTTAGATTTAATGAAGTCTAAAGTATGTAAATATTGTTGTAGTAGTTCAAGAGAAGCTGAATTATTGTCATTTTATAAGTTGGAACAGCTTAAGTCTAATTGGAAAACATCCAAACTTCATAAAAACGATCGGAAAGGTCCAAAAAAAATGTTACTCGAGACTAAAAAAAAATGCATAAGTCAAGGATATTTAATATTGAAAGGAACATAGACCAAGAGCAAGAGTGACTCTAATCAGAATAGTTAATGTAAACCCCCTAAAAATCAGAATAATGAGTGGAAAACCCCTTAAAATTCAAACGAAGAACGTACGAAGTTGAGAAAAAAAACGTAATGAAACTGTCAAAAAGCCTTGAAAAGAATGCAGAAGAAAGTATGATCCAAATCAGTCCTCAAATCGGAGATCCCACAGGAAATGTTGAAAACCTACTCTAGACCCTAGACTCAAAAAACCGTCGCGAAACTTTCAAAGAGCGACAGTTGGGAGGCGCAAAAAGTTCATTCAAACAACGGAGGGGTGGGAACGGCGGCGGCGGCGAGACAGACCCCAGTCAGACTACAAAAAAAACGTTTCGAAAAGGGCGCGAGCGAAGGTCGTTGAGGTCGGCGACGCGAGACTGTGCTCGCCGGCGAGACGCAGAGCCGCGACGCGTCGCGTACTGCAACGCGGCAACGGCGACCGTGTCGTCGCCGCGAGCCCATCGATCGCCTTTTCTCTGGCACCCTCCGACCTGCGACGACTCTCGTCGTTTGACGTCAGAGGAGAGGAGGAGCTGCGGCATGGAGAAGCTCAACTTTTTTGCGTCTTTGGTTTTTTGACCTCTCCGAACATTTTGGTCTTGTTGAGGATGTCACGTAGGGAGATGGTTTTCCAGTGATAGCTTCTGGATTTCAGATCAGACTGGGTTGAACTCAAAAATTGAGAAGTTGGGACAACACAGGGACATGATTAACTATCAGCAATAGCTTGTAGATTCAAGATTATACTGCCTTGAAATTGAAGATAAGGACAAGAAGGAGAAATATTCAGAAAGAAAAAGACTTTTTATCTCTTTGACCTCAGAGAACTTTTTGGTCTTGACAAGAATGTCCCGTCCGATAGGCTATCAGTAATAGCTTCCGAGTTGCAGATTAGACTGGCCCAAACTAGGAAAAAAGAGAAAAAAAATACCCGTGAATTTTTAACTCTCTCACCCGTGTGGATCTTTTTTTCTGAACTGAGGATTGTACTGAATTCTTTCGAAAATTGAAATTGAACAGTTTTTTTTTCGATTTTCTGATGTTTTGATCTCAGAATCAGTTAGATCTTCAAAAAGTCCTTTCAAATACTTCTCTTGAAAAGGGAAAATGATTCTGACTTTCTTTTTAAATTCTTTTTTTGAAGTGATAGTTCATTCACCGCAAGCAGATCTCAAAAAGGTCCGGCTTACTGTAGAGGCTCACACTTTTATTATCAACAACTTTCTAGGCTCCCAGCAGCACAGAAAAAAAACTTTTCATCTGAAAACAGGTCAAAATAATCTTTTTCGCTTCGATGTATCTTTTAAAATCAGCCTATGCTGATTTAAAAACTCAAGAAAGTTTGAAAAACAATATATCCGATTTTTTTTTGAGTTAAAATTTTACAAATTGTATGAATACAACAGCGCTGAATGAACTAAAAAAATTTTTTTACAGCAGAAAAAAATTGAAAAAAATTCTTCAAGCTCAAAACTCTGACCTTGAATATCCTCCCAAAAATCGTTCATTCATAATAAATACTTGATAATCACTAATCAGTCTGTACCTTTGACCAAAAACTTCTGAAAAAAGGAAAGCCGAACAGGGTCGGGTGCACTTTTTGAGGGGGGAGGCCGTCGGTCGCAGCTGAGCGACACTCGCTTGAGTTCTGACGTCAGTCGTCCGGACAGACTGGCGCCGAAAAAGCCCTCGGTTCTCGACGGTACGATTGGGAGAAAAGCCTTTCTGTGAAGAGCCGCGATTTTTCCTTTTTTGGAACTTCTTATCCGAAATTTTTGCAGATGTCTTTTGAGATGAAGAAATTCGGTTTGTAGATCAATTTTTTTATAGATCATCTTTTTTTCTTTTAAAAATCTCATACTTTTCGAAAAATTCAAAAAAGATTAAGTTTCTAGTAATAATTATTTATAATGGAGAAGATTTTCAAAGTCAGAATGATAAATACAAAAATGAGAATTTCCTTTTTTTTTTGGTTCTATGACTTCAAAATCAGCTTAAATATGGTCGATTCTTCGAAATTTCCTGAAAAGCGCAGATATCTATTTTACGTTTTTGGAAAAAAGCCTATTTTAGAGTCCTCAAAAAGAAAAACGGTGTAGTTTACCCACCACGCTATCGATGACTAAAAATAAACAAGGCCAGCTGTCTGAGTCAGTCAGGGGGGAACTCTTAGAAAAGCCGTTCAAAACACAAAAACAAGGCAACGCCGTAAAGTATAGTAGATAAGGATGGCGGACCAAGTGGCTCTCAATCAGTCTTATCTTTTCCGTCGGAATGAACGGCGGGGCTGATAAGAACTCGAGACATCCGAAACATGTGTGCCGCACATGGCAGCAGCCTATAAATAGGTGAGGAATAACCTAAAAATAAGTTAAAAATAGCCTTTAAAGGGAATATAAACTTAAATAGGTAAAGACTAACTTGAAACTAGGTAAGAAAAAAACGAAAAAAATGAATATATAACACCCTAAAAATAGATCCGAATTACCTAATAATAGATTAACTTAACCAAAAAAGGTCAAAAATAATCTTGAAATGGGTAAAATGACGTTAAAATTCCTTTCACACAAATGGTTGCTTATCAAATTCACAAAAAAATTAGTGAAAATTGAAAAAAAAAAAATCGAAAAACCAAACTCAAAAAATAATGAAAGTAAGGTTACTTAAGGTTAAGCAAAAAGTCCGCAATTTTCAAAATTTGGATTGCGGTAGTAGGAGTGATGTTCAAAAATCAACGAAATTTAATTTAATTTTTTTGAAAAATAATCTATAGAATTTTTTTGAAGGTGATGCTAGATCACATAACTAATGTCAAAAAAAAAGAGACCTGCAAAAAAATTCAAACAATTGGCTCAAATATACAAAAAAGCGTCATTAGACAATCAGAGATGTGTCCTAAAAACAACATAGTGAAAATCAACGAAAATCAACGACTCAGAGAAAGATAAGATGCTCTCGAGATACAGTAAATCCTCCTCATATGAAGTTGCTGAATTTCCAAGGCGCAGAGAAAAAAAATAGGTACCTTTCAAAGTACCACCTACAGCAAAAACGTGGGACAGATCCGAACTCACGAGGTTGATTCTCGATCGGACCACCCTCACCGGCGCCGATTACACTACCAAGCAGCCCATAAAACATCAGAAAATAGCTAAGAAACACGTGATTGAAACCGACTGGGCGTCGGCAGGTTACGTTGGAGCGCAACAGCTGTCTCCGTCCGTCGAAATATGAGTCAGGACGCATCGAAACTATTCTATTCACTTTGACGTCATCTCTTGGTTCGAAAGCCCCGGCTGAAGTCTGACCTGAGGAACCCCAAAAGAGGAGCTCAACCCTAGACACCTCGGTTTGGCGGGAAACCGAGGGACAGCCAGCTGGAAACGCGCCAAAAGATCCGCCCACACGGAGAGAACGTTTCGGTGCCAGCTGAGAAAACAGCCGTATCTGTCTGTCTTTCCCTTCTGGAGGTCATCTCTTCCGCCTCCACACAGACGACGTTGGAATGCGGCTGGTCGAACCGGCCAAAAACACGATTTCCCACGCACAGTGACCGCATTTTTCCGTGTTTTTCATCACTTTTTTCCCCGATTCTCGACGAGAGTGGCCAACTTGGGAAGGATGTGAACAAGGAAGGACATTGAGTCATTGTAGATCTGGAAAAAGTTCTGAAGAAGGTTTTTTTTTTGTTGAGCGAGCGCTTCGCGACCGCCGCGCGTGAGAGGTTACGCGGCGGTTCAATTTTGAAAGATGTTCTTTTTTTAAACAAGACTTTAAAGCTTCAAAGCTTCATCGAACACCTTAAACACATAAATGGACAACGAATCCTATCATTTCGAAGCTGGATTACTGTAAAAAAAAAATCAAAAATGGAAAAATAAAAATAAAAAGGAAGTTTTTTTGCAGGGCGAACGCTTCGGAGCTGCAGCGTGCCTGTCATTTTTTTATTTTACGTGAAATTTTTTTGACAAGTTTAAAAAAAGTTCGAGTTTTCGAAGGTTATTTTTAAGCTTGAGAATTCAAAAAAAAATATCCTGAGTTACCCAAAAATGGGAAACTTTTTCTGAATTCACCGAATAAAAAAGTCATTATCTTTAATATATCCGAGTCATACAGACCTCCCTAATCTCTAAACTCGATATCAAAGTTCAAAATTATATCCTTAACAACAAAAAAATTTTTATCCTTGAAAGCCTCAAAATTCTATCCTTTTGAGCGATATTGTCAAACTTATCTTCAGAAAAAGCTTTTTAAGCCTAATCTTCAGATGCTTCCTTCATTCTCAACTCCATCCATGATGATGGAACCTTAAAAGTCCTTCACATGATGCCTAGAACAACAAAGCGATAAAAAACAGTCTTATCAAACCGAAATAAAAAGAGACCACCACAGAAATGGAATAGGACTACAAATGCGTCCATTTGTTTGCGGCGGCGATTTCAAAACATTTCACAACGTTGGGTGAGTTACTCGAAATGCTGACAAAAGTATTCGTCAAAAATAGGTTGAGGTGACGTGGGGGGGGGGCAGCGAAATCTGAGATGAGGAATCAAGCTCGAGAGGTTGTGAAAGGTCAAACCTTGGAAGTTGGTCTCCAAAAAATTCTGGAAGTAGGTTTTGCGTATATTTTTAAGCTAGTAAACTTGGAAAAAAAATCTAGAGGTCATAGGAAAAATAACCAAACACAACAGATAGCTCAGGAAAAAAACCCGCAGGAATGCTTGAAAAAAATATAAAAAAAGAGAAATTTTTATTTAAAATGAAAAATCTAAAAATAGACATTTTTTTGAGCTGCTTCTGTCTGAAGCCACACATCAAAAATAACAAAAAAAAAATAATAAAAATATTTTTCAAACTTTCCGGAGTTGAAACTACGAGGAAGCTCTCCGGAAAACGTAAATCAAGGAGCTATTTCGAATGAGGTTTGTTTGGAAATCCCAGCGGGGACTGCAAAAGCTGCCCCGGAGGCAAATTGAAGCGAACGGCTTCCCAATTCGAAATGAGCTTAATTCCGCTTTTGCCGGGTTGGAATTAAGGCGAAAAAAGCTTTTCCGAAGGCTCGCAATGATGAGTTTTTGGGTTTTCCAAGCTTTCATTGTCAAGAAATGTGATTTTTCAAAGAAAAAAAAAATTATTTTCTGAGAAGTTTGGAAATATCTATGAACTCTCTGAACTTTCCTCCTGGAAAACTTTTTTTGTAGGGGAATTTTTCAGTACTTCGTAGTTCATCACAGAACGTATACCTTCTATCAAAGTAAAGTCAATTTTTCGCGACTTAAAATACGAGATAGGTTCATTGGCAAAGGGGACGCGTTGCGTACGCGGCGCGGCTTGTTGGCGGGAAACTCGAGGTGGAACGCAATCATTAAAAAACGAAGCAAAAAAAAAGTTTTTCCATATTTTTATACTTTTATTCCCTCAACTAAACTTTTTCACTACTATAAAAAATCAAAGGTTTTTGAAAAACTGTCAAAAAAGGAGAAAAACAAGGAAAAAAAGGCTGGCTCGCGTTTGAATTTGAGTTTCCCGCCAAAAGCCGCGTCGCGTACGCAACGCCTCACCCTTGCCATTCTACCCATCTCGCCTTCTAATTGGATAGAATATCTTTTCGAAAATTCAATTCTTCTGAACGGAGAGTTCAAGCAGGTACAGTCTGTAAGGATTTTTCATAGTATTTTTAAGGAATTTTTGTGTTTATCACTAAAAAAAAAGCTTCTCTGCGTGATCTCCAGGCTCATTCAGGAACAGGATCAAATTACTTTTTCCCTACGATAAGACAACTTTGAGTTGTAAAGAGAGATGGGAGTTGCATGATATGATGAAAGTGACAAAGACAGAGCGGATCCGTCACGACGAGATCGACGCGGAAACGATTCATCAGGCGGGGATTCCGTCCCTGATTATTCACGTGGTCCCGACGGAAGCGAATCAAACATCGTTTATCATGTTGCAAATCGGATTCCGAGTGGATTATCTCTAGCTTGATCTGAAGGAAAAAAAAAATGGAAACTACAAATAATTTTTTTTGCAAACAAAGTCTTGATATCCAGCTCTAACCGGTCGAAAAAAAAAAGCTTGATTTCGTTTAATTTTTGAGATTTTGAACGGGTGAACCAGATTTTTTGAGCAAGATTTCGGATTTTTAATCTTTTTAAGTTGAAAAAAATGGAGACTTCGAAAATTTCCTGAAAGAGATTTCCGATCCCGAAAAAAACCGTGTAGTTAAGATGTTTGGAAAAACATCCTGGATCAGTTTGGAAAAAAATGAAATTTTTTTCCTTCTAACCAGAAAGATATGTTGAAAAAAAGGCAAAAAAACTCCTCTTGAGAATTTTACAATAGACTTTTTTTCTCAAAGCTCAGTTATTTAATTTTTTCTTCTCTCCGAAAAATCTTTACATTTTGAAGAAGATATCAAGTGCTTCTCAAAGCTGAAAAGAATTTCAAAAAGTCATAAAAAGACAGAAAAGAAATAAAAAGAAGTATTTTGTGTGGCAAATCAGCTGGCGACTCGGCCCGATTCTTATCGTCGCCAAAAAGACAAAAACAAAACAGCAAAATGAGCGTCTTCAGTGATCAAGGTGAACATCTCGTCGGTTTTTTTCATGGAACTTTGTTATGATCCAAGTTTTTTTATTCTAAAATTGGAAAATTCCCCCTTTCGTGGCTTTCTCTAGTGATTTCAAAAATTTTAAAAAAATCCCACAAAAAGAGTTTCGATTCAAACTTCGAAAAAGCTGGAACAAGAAGCGCCACGTTTTCCGGGGCTGTCAAAAGTTCCAGGTGATGATAAATTTCTGATAAGAATTTGCAACAAAGAATGGAGAAATTGATAAGAATCAAACAATGAGAATAGAAACAGAAGAATGTTCGGTTAAAGTTTGGAGAAATGTATTTTTGGCCCTTGAGGAGATGGAAAAATTTTGAAAAAATGCTCCAATCAGCGAATTTGTGCATTAAATCGAGTGCATTTTTTTACCCTTTAGATCCGAAATTTTCGCGCAACATTTTTTTGTGAGCTCTTCTTCGTGTACTAGAAATAAAGTTCAACCCTCTAATATTTTCAAAATATTAAAAAATCACGTTTCTGCTGGAAGTTACGTGATTTTTGCGATACATTTTTGAAATTATTTCTAGTTTCACATCACTCCAAAACCGTGGGTTATTTTTGTTGCTTTGAAAACTTTTCATTCATTCTGAAGTGTAGAATTTTTGAAAACCCCCGCTGAGATGTTTAAAGGAGCATAGTAAAATTTAAGAAAGGTCTCAAGACGAAAAGCCGTTTCCTGGTTCCCATAGTCCGTTCGCCGCTGAAACTCGAACTTCTCTGCGCCCTCTTTGTCTCTCGGCAACCCTCTCGTGTTTACGTGCTATTTCCGTGTTTCTCTGACCTCGCCGGTGAGAGAACAGAGAGACGCAGACAGGCAGAAAGTTTCAAGTCGCGGCGAACGGAGCATACAAGAATTCTGTGCAAAAAAAAACCTCATAAAGGTTTTTTAAACTTATTTTATTCAAGTAGAATTCAAATTTTTATTGAATCTTCTGCCAAATTTTAATCTGTAAAAGGAGAAGAAGTGATGTAATACTCCCAATTTCCCTCGTCATTCAGTCCTCCTAATAATTAGCCCGATTAAAAGAGCAAACAAAAGACTGAAAAAGCATGACAAAGGGAAATGCATAGAACCACTTGGTTGTGCAAATTTCCGCCCAGCTGGAGATTATTTTATCGCTTTTGCATTTTCAATTATAGTCGTTTGGTTGTTGAAACTGTGATAGTCCAAAGTTTGAATAATCCGCCGGGAAATGGGAGTTTCGCAGTTTTGAATGATGAAGTCAAGGCCATAGAGAAGGGCTCGATTGATTTCATAATACATTTGAAGCAAAAAAAAATTTTTTTTTTCTTGATTGATCACTAAAAAATGATCGTCTGGGAAATTTTTAGTGGCCACTATAGAGGCTCGCCAAGGACTACTTGGAGAGAATACTAAAGTGGCCACTAAACCCACCTCTATAGCGGCCAATATTTTCCGTTTTAATGATCACTATAGAGGTTCTCTATTTAGTGGCCACTTTAGTAGTTTTTCATCCAGTATTCTTTCATCTAATATTCATTCCAGTAACTCTGTAACTTTGAAAAAAAAACAGATTGAACCAGTTATGTTGATCCCTGGACCCCTAAAGTGGCCACTAAAGTTTTTAGTGTCTAGTAGTAGCACTTGGACCTCTATAATGGTCACTAACACGTCAAAACCCTGTGGTAGCCACTGAAAATTTTTCCAGGTCAGTGTTTACTGTAATTTTCAAGATTGAAGTCACGGTTCTAACTTTTTTGGTTTCAGCTTGAAAAATCTGTTTTTCGGCCTTTTCGGTCTCCTTTTAGGAAATCTTGACTTGTGATTTTAGGTAAAAACGAGCAAAAACAGAGTCCTTTTTAAAAGGATTTTTTTGATTGACCCACATAAGTTATTATATTTGAGTTCTTTTCTTTTTTTAGAAACAGAACCTCTGAAAACCTTTTTGAAAAAAATTTTGGATCTTTTGAAATAAAAAAATCAGAAAAAAAGTTTTAGAGGCTCTATTTCAAGTTCCGCCTCACCACGAAATCCTGACTTTTTTGAGCTTGAGCTGACCTAGATTTGAAAAAAGTGAATTTCTGTCATTTTGACCTCATCAAGAGCTTTTTTGAAGATACAAAAAAACGCCAAAAACTAGAAATTTGATAAATATTCGACGTTGGTTTTTTTTTTGCTCTACAAAGACAGGAAAGCAGTTGAGCTTCACCTCTAAATGATTTAATTTCTAAGCTTCTCCACCCAAAAAAGACTAAACCAACCTCCACCAGCTGGCTTGAAAAAATGTGTAGTTTTCTCACATGAAAAAAAAAACAAACAAAAAGTGCAGGTTTGGCGCGAAAAAGTGCAAAGAGGGAGGCCTGAGGCACGCTGCCAAGCCCCGCCCCTCGGCCCGCCCCCTTCTCAGCAAAGTCAGACTCTTTTTGTGTTTGTGACTGAATGAGTGTCGAGGAACGACGGAACGGCGTGGCTGGCACCGACTGGCACTGGCAAAGAGAAAAAAAAACGCGTCCGTCATCCGGTTCTTTTTTCTCTTGGTTTTTGTGTTGCCACCACTGTCTTTCCCCTCGATCAACCTCTCTTTTGCACTTCCGACAACTCGACCGAGACGCGCGAAAACGCGTCGTTTTTCTGTCCGTTTGAGTAGATTATGATGGGCCGTTTTTTTCCCCTCTGATCGGGGGGTCGTCGAGGAAGATCACGTGAAGAACGTTTTTTCTGAGAACGAATTCTTGTTTGCCGAGAGCTCGACACAAAACTTCTGCCCGTCAAACAGAAACAAGCGGAGAATTAGCCTGGGAATGGACTGGAAAAAGTGTAGTTGATCTAGGGGATATTTGACAATGATAGCCAGCTGGAATGAAAAAAAACTGAAGCTTAAAAAAAACGAAGAATTTTTTTCTCGAAATGCTTTCCAAAAAAATTGAGGGCTTTGATTCATGTGAAACTCTTCATATTATAAAAAAAGAACATTCAAATTTTTGAGAAAAAAACTTGAGCCACAAAGGAAAAAAAGTTAGCGTCACTAGCCTAGTGATATAGAAAAAATCCATTTTTTTCGAGTCTTTTGGGGGTCAGATTATTCAACCTTTTCACCCTCAGACAACAGTTCCAGTCGAAAACGTTACCATACTTAATATTATTGAAGAAATATTTTTCAACAAAAAGTTGTTCAGTAACGTTTTGCCAGTACCTTTCCACAAGGATCACGAGATTTTCTGAGTTTGCACAAAACAACGGGCGGTCTGAAACTGGCTCGTGACTGGTACGATTTGGCACCGAAAGATGTTAGGAAAATATCTTGTTGTCAACTTTTTCTCTTGGATTTTGAGTTATTGATGAGTTCTGACAAAATTGAATGGATGCGGAATTTTTAAAGGGGAATGGGGAAAAAAAGATGGAAAAATAATTATACATTTTGAGGACAAGAATCTTTTTTTAAAAAAACTAGTTTTGGTGATCTTAAAGACAATCTACCTTTTTTCGAAATGAAATAACTCGAAAATCTTGTTTAAATAAAATCCAAAAAAAGAAGTAAGAATCAAAAAATTTGGAACTCATTGAATCTTGAACTAAAACTGAAAAAGTAAAGTTATTGTGCAGAAGGGTTTTTTTTTCATAGAAAAAGTTTTTTTGAAGCTAAATTTTCTTGAGGAATACATGGGTTTATAAAAAAAAATCCAGATAAATAAATCGCGGAAAATTAGACCTTGGCAGTTAGCCAGAAATTGAAACTGTCTGACCTATCTGTGCCCTCTTTTCTCTCTCTAGCTCATCGAGAAGAAAGAGCGAGGGAAAAGAGAGCGCTGACAAGTCAGAAATTCCTAAGGTATGAAAAATAATGCAATTTTTCGAACTCCACCACAGCAGAAGACCACAAAAAACGAAGTGGACCTTCCCGAATTTTTCCCCTTCACGGAAAAAAAAACCACCGTAGCCGATTGCGATTCGCCCTGCGTAAACATCAGACTAAAGACGAATCAGAAAAAATGTCACAAAAACCACAGCTGAAGCACTTTTAAAGTGAGGCGAACGTTGAGATCGAAAAAAAACGACAGGTGCTTTCGGGACGAGCAACGGAAACAGGTGTGAAACACTCGAGTCGCAAAAAAGTCTTTGATCTCGAATTTCGAGGAAAAAAGTGATGGGGAAATCCGCATCTGGGCCGAAAGTCTGGAAACTGTATCTTGCAGCTGAGAAAGGAAAGGGATGAAAAATCGGAAGTGCAAAGAAAGAATGGAGATAATCATAGCGGTTTTTTTCAAGTGTAAATCTTTCATTATAACCGGGTGAAGCTTTGATTATACTCTATGATTATGAAATAATCACTTTCCCTCCAAAAAATAAAAGAAATGGAAAATGTTTTCGTATAATTAGTTTTCCTACACTTTGTGGCTTAAAAAAAATTACGACGATTTTGGTGAAAAAAAAAAACAGTTATGGTAATCGCCCTGGAGCGCACTTTCCTCCTAATGCTACAGAATACAGCAATGCGGAAGTAGCTTTCGGTCGGACGCGTAGAAACGATACAGCTCGCTCTGAAAGAAGCCAGGGCGTTGCAAATTGTAGAAAGCTGAATATACAACAACTTTTTTCCACAAACTCTTTTACAAAAAAATTCAAAAAACAACAATAAATTAAATCTGACAGAATTTCCTACCAAGAATTCAAAAAAACCTCAAAAAGGAAATGAAAATAAACGGAACTGTCGCTTCGAAACCACGATGAGACAAATCCTCATCGGATTATAACAGATCTTTTCCGTCTGCTCCAAATCTCTCGTCATTTTTATTTGCCTATTTTTGGCCATGCCATAGAATATGGTCCATTTCAAACCGAGATCTATCCTTGTGAGTTTTCTTCTTTTATTTTCTTCTTTAAGCATTTTTTTAGAAAGGACTAATTTTAATTGCTTTGGCGGTGGTTTTCTATAACCGTGAGGCTTTGGTGGCGAAAAAGAGGAGGAATATTTTCGTTCGAGTCGGAAAAGAACCTGAGAAACAAGCTCATTTATTTGAAAACCAGTGCAAGTTTGCCTGGCTGCAACCACAGGAGCCTGGATATTATGTGAGTTTTTTTTGATTTTTTTTGCGAAATTATGAACTCGAGACTTATTTTAATGGACATGGTGCTGATAAAAATCTCAAAAAAGCTCATAATATTTTCGAAGAGTTTTTTTTGTGAGTTTTCAGCTCTTATTTAATTTTTCGAAATTTATCTAGGTAGGCTTTGAAAATAAATTTCACGACTTGAAAAAAATTGTCTGACTTGTCTGTGCCTTCTTTCCTCTCACCGAACAGCAGGTCATATCAAAAGGAAGCGAGAGAGAGAAGAGGGCACAGATAGGTCAGAATTTTTCAAGATATGACGAATGAAATCCAGTTTATGTGTAAACGAATGAAATTCAGTTTATGTGTTCTCTTGTTCCTGACAAATTTTTAAAAAGTACCGAGAAGTTCCGAAAAATGGAAAAAAATATCATTCAGAAACACGTCAAGAAGGTCATCGACAGCCCGGAATGTCCCAAAAAGTACGACGACGTCATCATTCGGGACGGAGTTTCCGGAGAATTCCGTTTCGGAAACGGCTCTACGGGAAATGAGACATGCCAAGTCCAAGTGATAAAAGGTGCCCTTAGGCCGAGGGCCAGGAGTTTCAAGCTGGAAAATGAAGAGACGGTATTTTTCAAAATTTTCTCATGAAAATAAATGTTTTCTTAAGCTTGTTCCTACGGAATCGCCGTTCTGGATAAATGCCGATAATTTTCTGATCACTTGCAATGAAGGAAAGAAAGAAGTCTTCAGAAGGCAATACATGGGCTTGAAAGACGAAAGGACTCCCATGCTGATTGTTCCAGGTTTCGTTCTGCAGTTTTTCTTTCTCAAAAGATGGGAAATATCTGAAAATTTTTAAAAAAGCCAATTTTTACAAGAAAGGTTTTTAACTTAGCGGTTGTGAATTTCCTGAAAATTGGCCAGAACTCATCTTGATGTACAATATAAAGTACCGTGCAATAAGATATACAATTTCCCTTTTTTCGTCATAACTTTTGCAGGAGTTGTCCAATTTCTGTCAAACTTTCTACAGATGTTTCCCGCAGATCCAGTATGTTAAAAAAATCAGCTAGGTAGCTAATTGTTGTAGTAAGTTACAGCTTGAAACCTGGAATCAACGAAATCTCCAAATTGATTAATACACGATAGGAAACAGTTATTGAACTTATTTTTATAATTTACTAAAGCTTTGAGCTCATTCTACCATTGATTGCTTCACTGTAAAACTGTTACCCAGTAAATATCCTGAGAGTCCTAAATTCCTAGTTTTTGAGAAACTTGAACCTCAAAGAGAGCCCTCAAAATCCGTTTAAACAGTCTATGATGAGAATTTAAACCCTGAAATCAGGAAATTGTGCAAAATACCTTCACGTGGTACACCAAAAAGTGTTCTGGCCATTTTTCAGCCTGAACAAAATGATCCTTGTAAAGCATGACTTGAATCGTTCAAGCTAATGATTTATTTTTAATCTCAAATTATTTAAGGAACCCAACCTGCGGCCTCGGCGGACAACGGCTTCCTCCACGGGGTGATGTCGGTCAGCATCTTGGTCCTGGATTCCGTTTCAAGGTCTCAATTCGCCCGCCACATGCCGCTCTCCACTAAAATCATGGAAGATCTCGGATTCGTCACCATGAACGCCTACAACAAGGTAATTTTCAATTTTCACAAAAAGCTTTGAGCTTTTTCAAATTTGAAGCACGTGGAGATCAAAATGATACCTTGAAAGCTACAGAAGCACATACGTTTCACAAAAACAATAAATCTCTTCCAGTTTTGGTTTTTTTTGTTAAAAGCAGAAATCGACTAAGGTATTCACATAGTTTTTCGCAAGATACTGTAAATATAAATAACAAATTGAAACTGAGTAAGTCAAAAAAAAATTAAAAAATAAAAATATGAACGAATGGACAGAACAGATTTGGGGTCAAAGAAAGAGAAGAATAAATGGTTTTCTTTTGAATAAGTTTTCATTAACTTAGTTGAAGCCAGCGTCTGAACAGACGTCACAGAACTTCTTCGTCATCTTTTTTGAACCGCTCGAGCGGTCCCGTAGTCGATTAGCCTAGGTCCTATTCTGATTTAAATTATAATCAGGGGACTGGCTCTAGTGACATGTCCGTCCTTGTCTGTGTCAGCTGGTTTGGGCCGAGGCTGGGATCGAACTTGTAAACCTGTGGGCCGTAGACAAGCACACAACCTGTTGCGCTACGGTACACCCCGAAAAGCAGAAAATTTGATTTTATCATTTTTGACACTGCTTTCTAGGTTCAAGCTCAATATTTTGATATCCAAAAGACTTGTACCTTGGGAATTTATGTTTGAAAGAATCCAATAAATAAGATCTTTCTAGGTCGGCGACAACAGCGCCGTCAACCTGATCCCGATCCTGGCCGGTCCATTGAAAGAAGCCCGAAAACAGCCTCTCTTCGACTCTTCTGGAGACGTCAACGTCGCCAGAATCATGCCCTTCGACGCCTCCATCGACCCGAGTGACGTCGACTGGATCTGGAAGCAGATGAGCGGCTGCGCCACGATGCTCAACGACGACATCATGAACATCGGAAGAGGGCTCTTTCATTATCCACCTCGGTATTTCAAGCAAGGTTTATCTTTTTTCACCTTTTTTGGGAGGATCCTGGGTGTACTTTCACAAAATTCGTTCTGTTCTCACTTTTTTTCTCAAGGTTCGACTAGGAAGTTGTCTCCTTTCACAATAAAACTTCTGATCAGATTCACCAGATTCCGTTTTTCACGCAGATTCAGAATCCGTGCTCGAAAACTATCAAGAAAGCCTGTGAAGAAGTTTGAAAATCTCAAAACAAAGAAAATTTATTTTCCTGAGCTATTTCTGAATAGAGCTGGCCTTGATGGACACGAAAATCGAATTTTTTTTTTTTTTTGATAAAATTTTTGAGCCAAGGTATACATTTATTCTGAAATTCGTAGGACGTTCCAGATTCTACAAATTTTCAAAGATTTTATCGAAAAACTTGCGAGATTCAAAAATTCTCAAAAATAAACTAAACTGAAAGAATTGATAAAAAAACCCTCCCCTTTTCAAATCAAAAAAAGTCGTTACAGTTTTTTTTGTACGACACTCCGCCGAAACGCTTCGAAAATCGGTTAAAAGTATATGAGGTTAAAGAGGAAGGTTTTCTCTATTTTTCCTCCAGTTTTCTCCTTTTTTGGTTCAATATTGCCTTTCTACAAAAACAACGAACACGAAATCGCGAAAAAGGGCGGGGCTTTGCAGTCTCTACCCTTATCCCAAGAATCTCCTAACATTTTTTCTTGATTTCCTGAGATTTTCCAACTTTACAGGCTTCCGAGAGCCACCTGTGGACCACTACTACCGTCCATACTACGTGAATCTGTACAAAGAGATGAATAACCACTGGAAAATGTGCCACGACGGCCGTTTTCTGTCGGAAGAGTTTCTGGACGCCTGGTTTCGGTTCGAAAAGAGATTTTCCAATGCCTGTCATTTCGGCTTCACTTTCATCGCTAGGTGAGTTCTTTCACCTTTTTTTCTGAAATTTTAAAAATCTACAGTGCCACTCACGATAATCCAAACGATCTTCAACTGCTGGATGAGCAGCTCTCCGATCGGTTGACTAGGCTCAAGGTTTTCATTTTTATTTTATATTTATCATCGTTCTTATAATATCAAAAACCTTTTTTTTCAAGGAGCTAGGAGCCTTTGAAAGAACAGCTTTCATAATTATGGGCGATCATGGGCAACGCGTGAGCAAATTGAGCAGACATTCCATGGCTGGAAAAATTGGTACGCTTCTTTTTTCAATTTTCCAAATTTTTGAATATTTAGAGGAGCGAGCCCCGTTTCTCTCCATCATGATGCCCGAATCATTCCGGAGAAAACAGCCGACAGAATTTTTCAACCTTCAGCAGAATTCTCAACGCTTTATCTCGTTTGTTTTTAAATGAGTCCGAAGTTTATTTGAAAATATTTAAGAAACTTCGATCTTCACGAAACTTTACAATCGATAATATCGAGAGACTACACGAGTACACCCTTCCAAACTAGAGGTTCGCTTATAGTTCATTTATCCCGACTTAGACGAGATGGGTAGATTAGCAAAGGGGGACGCGTTGCGTAAGCGTCGCGGATTTTTGGCGGGGAGCTCGAGGAAAAAAGCCAACTTCCAATTTTCCTACTTTTTTGACAATTTTTTAATTACTTTTAGTTTTTTATGTTTTTGAAAGGATTCAGTTGAACGAATCAAAGTTAAAAACGATTTTACAATTTTACCATAAATACGCTCGACCTTTTCCCGCCAAAAACCGCGTCGCGTACGCAACGCGTCACTCTGGCCAATCTGTCCAAGTAACCTTTCAAGTCGAGAAGAATGGACTATTCCTAGTTTTTTCAATTTTCTAACTAGCAAATTTCAGGAAGAAGCTTGTTCCTGAGACACGACCCCGACCGAGATTGCATTCGAAATAACGTTGTCAGCAATTTTTGCCTCTGTATGGTTGATGCTTATGAAGATCTGAAAGGTTAGGAAGAATACATGATGGAAAATATTATTGTCATTATTTTTAGCGAAGCCAAAAAAGGAGCAACTGACGATGACGTTGCAGGAATACGTCAGAGAAGAAAAGCTTTGTCTAATACCGGGAACAGTTGTATGTTCTGATGTGGTGATGCAGCTTTCGAAAATATTCTTATTTATTATTTTTTTAGATAACAAGTTGGATGCCGAATCCACAAGTTCAAGTTTCATCTCGGGCCAAGCTTTCTGTGGAAGAATTGAAGAAATTGAATCGGAAACCTATCGAGGTGATTTTTTTGAGCATTTTTTTATTTGAAAAAGTTTATTTTTTTCAATAATTATTTACGATTGAATAATGAAAGAGCTACCATTAAAAAAAGTTCAAGTAGAATTCTTCCGTTTTTCGATCCAAACTTAAATTTTAAAAGTCAAAAAAAAAATGAAATAGGTTAAAAAAAGTTGAGAAATGATCAAAAACCTGGTTTCAATAGCTCCAATTCTGATTTCCAGTACGTCTACATCGAAACCCAATGCCGAATGACGTCACAGAAAGATGATGACGTGCTTCTGGACGTCAGATTCCGTTGGCAACAGCCCAAATCCGAGCCCGTCATCGTCTACCCGCCAATGATCACTTCCCATGGAAACTGCTCTCATTTTTCCTTCATTCAGGATTACTGTAACTGTTTAGGTTTTTGAGTACCTCCTTTTTTAATTAATGAGTCATACTGGTCGAAGTTTCATTGTCAATGTCCAAATTTACACAATTATTGTTGAAACGGGTTTTTTCGATAAAAGTGTGAAAAGAGATCGGCATGAAAAAGAACGAGGTACTGAGGTTGGGGAAAGAACGACGGTGAGAGAGAACCCGGTACTGCTTGAGAAGGACGTTCCGCAGCTCTCAGAGCTCCTTGAGGGTGGCCTGACGACGGTAGCTCGCGTAGATGCCGTCGTCGTCGACCGCCACCTTCTTGGTTGACTTCGGGAGTTCCTCCAGGTCCGGGGTGACGCTCCGCTGCTCGGCCGCCGCGTCGTTCTTGTGTTCCTTCAAACATGTTTCTTTTTCATATGTAAAAGTCCCGAAACACTCATTTCTTTTACAACAATCTTCTATGGACCTCTATTCTTTCAAAATTTCCCAAACCTCTCTGAGGATAGACTTAACGGGAGCCGTCCCCGATCCTCCATTCATCGAGATCAGCCAAAACGTTTCCATCACTCCTTTTCCCTAAAAAATTCCCATTTTTAACTGTCCCGGAGATGCATCCAACCTTGATGATGACCTCGCCTCTGCTGCGAGTTTCAAAACCGCCCAGAACTTCTGTCAACATGTGGTTGGCTTCGGAGGAGACGTGGATCTGGCCGGCTGGAATATTTTTCCGTATTTCGAATGGAAAATGGAGCTGAGCTCACGTTTTCCGTTGCTCTCCATACGGCTGGCCGTGTTGACGGCGTCTCCAAAGAGGCAATACCTGGGCATCGTCAGACCTACGACGCCAGCCACTACCGAGCCTGAGAATCACTACTTCAAAAAGTCTAGCAAATGAGCAGCAATTTTCATGATTATTCGAAAGTTAGAAATTTGTATTAGTGGTTAAGACTATTTTTACTGATTTTATAACGTATTTTATCTATTGTCGTGCTTTTATGGTATAAGGAACGTTTTATAGGTTTTTGAATTTGACAAATGCCGAAGACATTTTTTTAAGGATAATGAAAGTTTATTTGAAGATGAACATGAGCTGACTCAGCACGGCGTTTTTTTGGCGACGACCCGCCCATATTTTTTCCGTAAAGTGTAGTGTGTCGTGTGCATGCACCGCGGCGCTTTCGTACATGCCAAGTTCAAAGTAATTTTCGCGAAATTCAAAACGATATCTGAATTTCTGAAATTCAGTTTTTTTTTCACTCTCTGGTAGCTATTTTCAAAAACACGGCAAAAGAAATGAAACAGAAAAATCCCGTTTTCTTTTAAAGGAGAAATAGTTTCGTCTCATGACCCATTGGTGCGCCTTTAATATTCCCTATGGTTCACGCTTGTTTCCCATGACGTCACATGGGAACGGCGGAGCTTTTGACCACGCCCCCTTCATTTTTGGATTTGCATTTTCTTCCACTAACAAAAGAGCCGTGTCAGCGCTAAAATTGAATAAAAGACAACATAAATTTAGATCAATTGGGTAAAAAACTTGAAAAACTCGTTTAACCCTACCAGTAGCTATTTTTTTAATAACTGAATAACTGAAATTTGAAGGCAAGTCCACCTCAAAAACCCACTCGAACTTCTCATTTTCTTTCAAACTCACCACAATGAATGCCGATGCGGAGATTGATCCTCTCAGCCGGCAAATGAGGCACGCGGAAGTTCTCGAGACTTTCCATGAAGGCCAGGGACATGCTGGCGATCTGTCGTGTGTGGTCGTTTCCGTTGCGTCGAGGCAGGCCCGAAACGCACAAATAGCCGTCTCCGATGGTTTCCACCTCAAACCAACTTCTTCATTTTCTTAATACAGATCTGTGAATCAAGCTATTCTCGCAGAACCCCCTAATATTTCCTAAATTCTGAAAATTGCCTTGTAGACGTCGTGGGCGTCGATGATGCTGTCGAAGACGGTGTAGAGGTCGTTGAGGAGGTTGACGACCTGCAGAGGCGTACATCTTCCGGCGAGTTTCGTGAACGAGACCACGTCCGAGAAGAACAAGGTCACGCTTTCGAACGTCTCCGGCTGGACGGTCTGACCAAGTTTCAGCTTCTCCGCTACTTGTCTAGAAACAAAATTAGTAGCAAGGACAGGAACGGAATAGGAACAGCATCTAAAGAGAGGAGTTTACAAAGTATTCTCTCTGTTCACAGACTCCATAACATAAATCGGTCATGCTTTGGGAAAAGTTTGGGGTTACCTCGGCAGCATCCTGTACAAGAGAACGTCGCTCTTCTTCTTCTCCTCAACGAGTTCCTTGGTCCGTTCCTCGACCTCTCCTTCCAAGGTCGAGGCGTAGGACTCCAACATGTTGAAGACGTGGTCCATGAGGTTGTCGTTGCGCGAATCGGTCATGCTTCGCAGCGACGACTTGACGATGTCGACCGGCGGTCTTTCAGACGCCCTTTCGGCCCAGCAGTCGCGTACCAAGTGGAGCTGAATGACTATTCTTGTTTTGTTTTTCGAAAAGTTGATTCGGTTCAGTAGTCATCCTGAATTGAGTTCGAAATTGATATATAGCGTCTCTGACAAATGTTTTATGTGAAGTCTAAATCATTCTTAAAAATTGCTCAAATACTGTCTTAATTCTGAACTAAGATTTCTAAGTTTTAAAACAGTAGGCCTGAAACCAGTTTCGTTACTTTTTAATTCCCCATAATCTCAATAATTTCCCACCAATGCCGGATTAATTTCGATGCTTTCATCGATATGGAGTGCCGGTCGAATAGGCTGGTGTCCGCCTTTTTTGACGAGATAAATGAGTTCTTAAACACTTCATTAATTATCGGGAAGGCTAAAACTTTAACCTTCAGGGGTTTCTTTTCTATTATCCAGGTCGAAAACGGTCGCACGAGTGATGAGCTCTGAGCAAATGATACCGAAGCTGTAGATATCGCCTCAAAAATTTCAAAATAATTTCTGAATGCCTATGATAGTCCTTGTTGTGAATGGCTCTCTTAACTCAGTTAAATGAACTTATTTGAATCTAAAAACCTTCGAACTCGTGTTCTAAAAATAAATTTATGAAAAATCGTAAGAGCACCCTTCAAGGCTAAGACTGAACTTTTGAACTTCTCCATAGGCTATAAGCATTCTTAAACTCCATATAAGAAACCCCCATTCTTCCAAAAATCATTAAACAAATGGAATAGATTTCACAAAACCTTTTTCTCGTATAAAAAATGTGAAAATCTAAAAAAAAAAGCGCGAAAATTCAATCTTTAGGAAAAAAAGCCAGAAATACCTTCGGCCGTTCCTTCTGAAGCATCGCTGCGTAAAAGCTCCGGTGCCGTCCACAGAAGCTCTAGACAAAAGTTCAAACTTGAAACAATTATTTTTCATGCCTTTTTTGGAGAGCTTCTCGCTGTGTCTAACATGGCGCAGACCATAATAGGCGACTTTGACCTGCCATCGGTCGTCGACCAGGCAACATCGGGAGGTGAGTTTCCCGTGGAACTGCAGGAACGAGCTGTGGATGTACGCCAGACCCTGTGATTTCCTTTTCATTCTAGAATATCACAAGAAGTTTGCGAAACGGAGCATTTCGGAACACTTTCAAGCTTCATTTGGCCTGTTTTCGAGGGAATTTTTACCGTAATATTTCTGGTACGTACAGAAAAACTTGAAAAAGTAGATAGAAAGTGTTTTCAAAAAAAGAAAACGGCATTTCAACACTTTTGGAGACTAAATCTTGAAAAAGCACTATTTTTTAAATATTCTTTTTTTTCCAATAGTACTCAAACCAAAAAAAGGATAGGCAACATAAATTTTTGAAAAAATTTACGAGACTATAAAGTAACACAGGTTTTCACTGGCTAAGTCAAAATTCCCGAAAACGGGCGCAAAAAAACCGGTAAAACGTTTCGTTTTGAACTTTCATCAAGCCATTCAATTTTCCTAAAACCTATTGGATCAAGAAAATATGGGAAATGAAAGAGAAGCAAATAGGTTGACAAAAAAAAAAACGCAAAAATAGGGCATAATAGACCTTTTTTTTACCATTTTAGGAACGGCTATAAAGTCGCTCCGACTCTGCAAATTTACATTGTTGCTGAATACTCCGTCTTGCAAAGATCCTACGCCCAAACCACAAGAATAAAACCAAACATTGACGATGTCCTTCAGAAGAGAGAAGACGAAGATGTTGTCCATCCGGACGGAGCTTTTCTGGATGACGTCGGCAAGACTTCCGCGGGCGCAGAACTTCCAGATCGACAGAAGCTGAGGGCCGTCGAGGCACATCCCGATGAAGCGGTTCAGGTTGTCGTGCTCCAGAATGCGCAGCTGCAGGATTTTTTGGAAAGGGTATTATGCAGAGAGGGAATACTTGTCTCATCTCGGCGCTGTCGGTCGAATCCAGTTGGACCCTTTCTTCGTGTTTCATCGCCACCACTATCTCATTCTCAAAAAGCATATTCAGTTCAGTTGAAATTATCGTTTTTTGGAAATGAAAAGATAAAGGGAAAAATCTGAGAGTTCCTTAGGAAATAGGACTGAAACAGGTTATTACCCTTGGACAGAGTGAAAAATTTTTGATGATTCAAAAAAAGCTCTTGAATTTGAAAATACTCAAAAGTTCAATATTTGAAAAATCAGGCAGAAAATGATAAATAAATCTGAAACGTCGGTAGGAACCTTACAAAAACAAGGCAATAAAAACGGCTAATAACTCTAAAAAAAAAATCTTTGACCTCAACCTCAAAATCTAACCGGAAGGCTCAATTTTAAATATATTAGTCAGAAAAACATGAATAAATCTGACAGAGGCAAAGAAAAGCTGTGGATAGGCCACCTTAAAATCATTAGTTTTTAATGGCCTAAAAAAGCTCGTACTAGGAATTTGAGAACTTCTCATCACTAGTCAATATTGCATCCATTTTTTGAATTCATACGCTTGAAGGTTTTCCTTCAAAAACCTCATAAGTGTAAAAGATGAAGTGCTGAGTCTCAGATCGGCTCTCGACTGTGAGCTTCGTCGAAGTGGAGCTTGGGCCGCTCTGAAGAGACCGAAAACTTGCTTCTCCTTTTCCCTGGAACGGGATCAAACTACATCTTTTCTGCACCCAATAGTCCTACTTTTTTGCTGATAACTTTCAATTGGGTGAATGGAAGTTGCCAGAGCAAGTTTTGACGTTCAATCTCCTTCCGGCGTTGGCTGAAAATCAATAAATTTGTGAATTTCAAGTCAAAACTGTCTGGCTTGTCTGCGCTCTCTATTCGCCAGTTATATTACCTTCCATTACCCCTATCAATAGGGAAAAGAGAGCGCAGACAAGTTTTTTCAAGTATTGGAGAATCAAGTTTACAAAAAGTATTTTTATTAAAACTTTTTTTGGTCTTTTTAAGCCAATTACAAACTTATTTTGCAAAAAACCCTATTTTTTGCTCTCTCTTGATCAAGTTATGCTTCCATATTTCTACTATCCTGCCGATGAGAGAAAAGAAATCCCAGACAGGCGAGAGCTCTTTGAGGGAAAAGAGGTCCCAGACAGGCGAGAGTCTTTTGAGAGAAAAGAGATCCCAGACAGGCCAGAGTTTTTTTTTTTCAAAACGTTACTTGATGGTGTAGAAGATCCCGAAAATGATACAAATCAATGCGAGAAGGACGATGAAGGCGGCGACCAGGACATAAACCAAATAGGTTTGTACAAAATCCACGGGACACTGAAAAAACGGGTCCTTCCCGAAAACTATTCCCTTCTCCGACCTCCTTGCCGCTGAAGCCGCAGTCAGGCACGGCCTTGGGTCGGACTCCGCCTCTGGAGGCCCAGATCATCTTCTCGTCGGTGTACATCGGCGTGTAAGTCTGGAAACCATGCAACTGCACAGTTAGTGCGCCTCAAACCACCAAATCGGTGTCGTTGACCGAGATTTTGGCGAAGATCTGCGGCACCTGCGAGGTGTTCATTCCGATGAGGAAGACCGTCGGAACCCGCGTTCCGTTGGCGTTCAGCTGCACCATGTTCCCGTCGACGCCTGAGTATCTGACGATTCTGGGATTCTGGTTCATGAATAAACTTGTAAAGTTCATCTCCGAGTTGACGAGGATCAGAGATCCGCTGCGAATGTTGCCGTTTGGATCGTCTGTGAGTGTTTGATTGACGACCAGGGCGTAGGCGTAGAAGGCTTCGTAGAGTTGTGTTGTGTAGGGGGCCATCTAGTGAAAGGTACAGAAATTCTCTGGATTTTTGAAAAACTATCAAAGGCAACAGCGGGAAGTAGCGGATTAGATTACTGGAAAAAAGGTCATTCTACTCGTATCTTCACAATTTTCTCTAAAGTCGGCGAAAGTCATTCGATGCTGATCTTGAAAATTTTTGCGTGCGAAACCTAATTTTTTTCTTCAAATGAAAGCTTCGAAATTACTTTTGCAGAGCTTTGAAAATGTTTTTCTCTAGAAAATTGTGTCGGATATGGTTTACAGGACCCTATCCATATCTATCCAAGTTTTTTGGCTTTTTTCATAAAGTTTTGGAGTCCCTGGTGAAACTTCCTCTTTTCTGCCTAGTTCTTAGAAATTTTAATGCGTATATGCCTTATTGTGAAATTTATAAAGAGGTTCCCTTCAAATTTTCGATTAAAAAAACCAAATTAGACAGGAATTTAGCTAAAAAATAAGCATTTTCTTCTTTTCATAAGTAAAAAAAAGCAATGAATTTCACACCCCTTTCTTTCTTATAAGCTTCTAACTATTCTCAAAAAAAAAGAAAGTCTAACAGTGGTGTAATTTGGCCCTTTACAGTCGGTAGTACATAAGAACGGAGGATCGGCCATCCTCCGGATGACGTCCTTACTGAACTGTTTGTAGGCGTCCGTCTCAACCTCGGGTGCTCCCATATTCTTCAAAATCTCCACATCCGTTAATAAATCAACCAAATCCAACATCAGCAATGAAAAAGACGCTTTTGAAGGCTTTCAAGGCGTCGTTGTCGCGTCCGTCGCTGCCCTGCCAAATGTACTGCAGGCCGCCCGTTTCGCTGGGAACTACTGAAAAGTTTTGCACCAGAAGACGCGACGCTAAGCTCACCAAATCCTTTGGACTTGGTGTCGATGAAAATGTAGACGTAGTCGTCTTCGATCAAATCGAGGTCGTGGGCCGCCAACATGTAGGACCGTTTGAAGCCTCGATTATCCGGGAAGCAGGAAACGAAGACTGCAAAAAGAGATGGATGAAGTTTGTCAGCCTTTTATTTCGAAGAAAGTTTAGAATTTTCTCGGAGGATTTCTGAATGTGATTATTCTAAAATTCCAATTGGAAAACTTTCGTTTCAACAAAAATAATTCTTCAAGTTCCAGTAGCCAGATAAGTGATCTTGAAGTTTTTTCTATAATCAAAAAAAAAGAAAGAAACCTGGGCAAGATGAAAAATTCAGCATTTTCATCTTCACAGAAAAAACAATTTAGGTCACTTTTCAGTAAATCATAAAGTTCCGAGTAAACTTACCTCCCTAGTTGGCAGAAAAGTAAAATATTATAAAAAAATGAGATTTTTCCTTTTATTTCCGCTATACTTGGAACAGGCTATATATGAATTTAGAAAAAATCCATTTTTCAATTAAAGGCACATGATGAGCGGTTTTAAAAATCCCTAAGCGAATGTGATGTACGGTAACCTTGATTTAGCTGACGCTGATTGAACCATATGTAGCAAATTTTCTGATTTCAAAGTCCTCAGAAAAGTAATACTGAACATATTACTGAAGCTGTGTTCAAAATTATGCCGCAACATCCGAAATAGCCGTCAGAGAGTAAAAAAGATAACTAAATTTTGGAGAGTCAGAGATAAATTTGATTTTCGCGGAAGATTCTTCGAACACGGAATTGAATATATGAAATATGAATAGCTGGGCCATCTTGGAAGCATAGGAATCTAAGAATCACTTCTGCCCCGAGTCGAGATTTCCCTGAGGGCGACCCGAAGGCTGGCGTCAGTGACGTAGGGGATCTGGTAGGTGTAGGACATGATGATGTCGGTGCTGATGGCCGCCATGCTCTGCAAGTCCCAGAATGAGTCGACGTTGACCAGGCTCCTCACTTGGATGTCGTCCTTCATCGACTCGCACTTCTGCTCATCTCCGTCAGACGTGAAGATGAAGACGAACTCGTCCCAGCCAAACTCCCGGAACATTGCCCGCAGGGCCATCGTCATGCTTCAAGTATAGGCGTCGAGAATTTTATTTTTCGTTTTTCCAAGAAGAACCTAAAAGTGTCTATTGTCAAGGTGATCGTAGTAGGCAGCCGATCGGCGTCGCGCAGATCTGGTGACGTCACCAAGCCCCATTCGTAAATGGGAACGTCGTAGTAAGAGGCCAATGTACTGGCGGACAAAGCAGCTGAAAACTTGTTTTTTTTTCTTTTGAATGAAGAGAAGGAGAAGTCATAGGCTTTTTTTCTCAATTTACATTCTGTTATAAATTTTTTTTCTTTCAATTTTGCTCTTAATTTCCAGGAAGCGAACTGAAGTTTCGAAAATTAAAAAAATGTTTTTTTGAAGAAGCTTTTATCGACCTTTTTGCTAGGTTTGAAAACTAATGATTTTTATTATCAAATTTATTAAGTAAGAAAATTCTGACCTACAGTCCTCTTTTCTTTAAATAACCTGTTGTGCTTTTAAAGCAGATTATGTGAAAATCGTTAATTTATCAAGAGAATTATTTCAAGTCGAGAAAAACTCCCGAACCTTCAAAAAGTTCAAAACTTCTTGTGGAAACTATATACAAAGTGAGAATGACCAACCTTGAAGTTTCACAAAATTTAAAGTTGAACGACGCTTCAAAACCTTTCAAACCCCTCAAGTTCAGGAAAGAAAAAGCGAACGAAAGTTGCAGGTAGGTCCGATGATGACGTCGACATCGGCGTCTCGGAACAGACTCACTGCCATTCCAGCGCCGACACTCTCGGAACATTCGTCGAAAACCACCGTATAACTGAAAACTCCCCAGTCCATGTTATACGTCAGAATAGAAAAGACTTGAAGATGTAGTTGTCGAGAAGATGTTCGGATCGGATCCTATCCTCGCAAATTAATATTGCCGATGCTGAAGTTCGATACCCCACGTAGTATTTTGATTCCGGTTCGTCCTGATTTTTTAATTCTATTGTTTCTTATTCTAAAAGTGAAAAAGTACCTTGACGAACATCAGACCGACATTGAGCGTTTGTCTCAAAGGATTTTGGGCGGCAATCCATGTCTGAGAGTTTTAAATGTAATTTGATATGTTTTTATAGTTTATTAAGGAGAAATTGGATTTGAAGGAGCCTGGGAAACGTTTATAAAAACTTCAGGGCGAGTAATAAGTTTTTTAAACACTCCGAGGAGCTGTAATGAACAGAATATCTTTAGAATTTGAACCTGAAACGTTTTTTACTTGCTTAGGAACACACAGAAAAACTTATCTTTTTGTAAATATTCAACGAAAAAAAGTTTAAATAAATGTGAAAAAAACGAGAAGAGTAGGAAGAGAAAGAAAAAATTGAGACTATTTTATTTCTGATGCAAACCGTTTTCCGACCTCTTTATTTCCTCAGAGTATTCGTACAACTATAGCTTCAGTACTCTCTTTCTTTTCTCATATCTACGTAAATAAGTATAGTTTTCTCGAAGCAAAGACGAGAGAGTAGCGGCAGCACGAAGAGACGCCAGAGAGTAAAAATCCTCTCTTTCTCTGGCCTATCCTCAAAATTCTGCTCTGTCAAAACACCTTCATTTCAAAAAACTTAACTTTACGTTTAAAAGATATTTCCTTTCAAAAAAAAAAAAGAAAAATCTTGCGAAACCTACCGTAAGCCATGCGAAAAAAGCGAGCCGTCGCAACATCGAATAAAACATAATAATCCGAGGCTTATTATATAGCCGTAACGCACCAAAAGAAACCTCATCCCACTGTTTTATCTTTCCCCGCCATTTTGTCGGGCTTCTCGCCGTGATTTCAATAACCTTTTATTACTTTTCATTGTTAGTCACATGCGATCACAAGGAAGAAAGAAAGGAAGTGCAGGTGGACTGATTATGTTAGTCTGGGACGAAGAAATCGTCTTGATCCGGGTGCTTATTAGACTTTTCCTACATTTAGAAACCGAAAGCCATTTCTTCAAAACGATTTAAAAAATATGTTTTTCACGCTATTCGATAGAGAAGACTGTCAAAAAACTAGCGCGAGCGGCGTTCAACTAAGGCTCCATCTCACGGTTCACCCGCTGCCGTTTTTTCAGCGATTCCGGGAAGAAAAGGCTAGACTTTGAACTTTGAGTCTTTAATTTATAAAATTTGCGAAAAAAATTGAGATTATACTTGAAGAAAAAGGAGATTTTGTATAAGAAACAAAAAAACCTTTGCGCGATCAATGTTTCTGTAACTCTCAACCAGTGAAAAAAATTTTTCATTCATTATCCGAAGTTGAATATTTGATCCCATGCTTATCATTATCATAAAAATAAATTATGCCATAAAAAAATAAAAATAAAAAAACCAATAGTCCAATAAATTTTTCGTGTAACTTTTTCCTAGTTTACAATTATTCCGTCGTCTCAGTTGCCTTCTAGGGATCACTTAAGTAATCTGACGTCGCTAAAGTGTTCACTAGAAATTTTAAGAAGCGTTATGAGTCTACTAGAAACAGAAACAGCATGAGTATCACAATTTTTAAACTAACTGAATAGATCGTTCTAACTTGAAGTACCCTTGAAAGGGGCTTCAAACCTTAAACTTTCACTTTCACAAAAAATGATAAAATTTTTATTAAAATATCGAAAAAATGACACAACTCGCAACCTGTAAAAAAGCAATCAATAGGAAAAACTCAAAGGCACGTGGAAAAAACATGCAACAACCATTTCACACAGAATTAAAGGTTCAGCAGCTTTTTGACAAATCGGAACTGGTGGGTCAGTTCATTACCGTACAACCGGGGTACTGTATCGTCTTTTCGGCAGCAGACGCGGCCTTCTCGGTAGTGGAAAAGACGGACTTCGGAGCCGTCGTGAGTCGGACTCGTGTAGTTGTCTTGGATGACCCGGCTGGTGTGGTGGATTCCCTGGAAAGATGGGAAATTCCCGCGGAAGTTAAAATGAAATATGTTTATGTTTTTAACTTTCTACGACTTAATTTTTACATGACACTCTTTTTTCAATAACAGAAAAGTCACTTAAGACCGACTGCAGTTTTTGATCAAATGCCAATTTATTTACTTTCTCAACGCAAAAGCGACAAACCGTGCAATACATTTTTTTCCTAATCAAATTTCTTTTTTTAATATTCCGCTCAGGTTCCGATGATTATTACATGAATCTTTCAAAAAAATGTATAAATTTCAGAATTTTGCCCGACGCAAAAAAATTAAAGTAATCAATAAAAAAACAAGTTCTTTGACTTTACTGAAACTCCAGAAAAGATAAATGGACAATTTATAATAAATTTATAAAGACTAAATAGACAATTTTCGAATGAGGGCAAAAATGACCTCATAACTGTGGCTTTCGATTTTCGAAAAATCAAAAAAAAAATTGAGATCATAAATCGATTTTGAATTTCATAAAAGCTGAGACGAAATGAAAACTTCAAAAAGTAATAAAAATAAACCAAAAATAAAAAACTTCGAAATTTTGCAATATTTTTTCGATTTCAAAAAAATGACAACAAACCAACTTAGAGTCGTCATTTAAAAAAATATGAACTAAACTAGAAACAGGAATGAATTCTAGGTTGAAAATTGACTCTTCCGTTGAAAACCCGGCGTTTTTTTAGAACTTAGAACTTAGAAAAAAACTTGGATCAATTCAAAAAAACAACTCAACTAACTAGTGAGTCATAATGTCCATATTTCTATTCAATACACGAAAAATAGATAACGAACCTGCTCGAAAACCATTTCAGGGCGCAAAATACACTTCGTAAGTCGTTTCTCAACGATCCGCTCGCTGGTGACCGTGCTATTGAGGGTCAGAAGCTCAGAACCATTTCTAAAAAATCACAAGATTTTTTTAACTCTCTAAAAGACCCACACTAGACTCATATATTGTGCAACGACACGCAAAGAAGCCGTATTTTCACTAAAGAGGTCCCTAATCGTCTCGATAAGCGTCTTGTTGACCATGGGAATGAAAAACTCGTCGATGTCGTTGAACGAGGTGAATTCTGACACTCCGATGTTGCGCAGAAGACAGTCTGAAGCTCGAAATCGGATTAAATCGACACTAAAAGCGATATACCAGTGATGGAAATGAGTTGTCCGTGGTACCAGATCTCTGAGTCGCCGAAAGGTAATTCTATCTCGACCAGTTCGAAAAAACTAAGATTTTTTTGACCTTCTCCAATTTGAATGATGCGAAATACTTGTTTTCAACGTAAAATTGAAGAGTCGTGTTCAAAAAATCTTCGAAAATCGATTTGCGCCCGTAGATGTAGACTCGCTGAACGCCTTGTAGAGCATTCAGTTCGGCAAACTGAAGATTTCTTGGAATTTGAATTTCAGGCTTCGCTAACCTCAACAATCCTCCGCGGTTTGTAAACGCTACCAAATAAGGCTGGGACGCAAATTGACAGGGAAATTTGATGTTGGCTGATCTTTTTCTCATCTGGGACACGGTAGGTGATATTCAAGTCCGTATATTTCTCATCTTTTGTGAGTTTTATCTGAAAAAATTCTCAGTTATCCCAGAGAAAAATAGGAGAAAATTTGATGGAAAATAAGCTCAAGGTTCGACAGGTGGAAGAGAAAAATAAAAGTTGAAAAGCTGAAAATAAACACAAAAAAAAAGTGAAAAACTTCAAAATCTCCACAAAAAAAAAGTCCTAAAGCTCGATTGAAGCTATCGAAAAAAACATTTAAACCAAAAAATTATACCTGGAAGGTTTCCAAAGAGTCAATTTCTACGCTGGCCGGGATCTTGCAGTTCAAAATGTACGTCCTCATGTGCATGTTATGATTTTCCGACAACTCATAAACCGACGTCACTGGCGATTCTTTTTCTCCAAACTTGCACTTGAAGTCTTCTGAGTTTCTCATGACCATCTGAAGTTCTTTTTTTTTTATCAATTTATGAGAATATGCAGGTAATACAAATTAATAAAACGTCAATTTAGACCCTTTTTAGCAAGGTTGACTCTGTGAAAAGTCGAAAAAAAGTTAAAAGATTTAAAAATTATTGACATTAGAAAAAAGTAAAATGAGCTCTATGAAGAGCGTGTTACACGATTAAACTGAAATTTTTTCACAGAAAATTAAAAAAAATATAAAACTCACAAGAACTCGTACGAATGGATAGCCCATGTTGCCATTGCGCTCGTCCAAAAAAGATGTCGAAGCATAAATTTTTGCAGCAATTTGAACAAACTTCACATTTTGGCCATTTTCCAGCGGCTTGAAAATCTTTCTGCCCACCACTATCTTTTCACTGAAAAATTTGAAATCAATGAACCAAGTTCAAAACAGTAGATTACTCTAAAAAAAAAGACTTACTTCTCGTCGGTTGAGAACGGTTCCAAGGCAACCAAAGAGTCATCCAAAGTTTCACTCAATTGGTAATCGATAGTGAAAAGGATTATCAGAATTAAGACGACGGCAGCCACAATCTTCCTGCGCCAGCCGCCTCGCCGGACCATCGGAGGCCCAGTTGGCCGCTGGTCCAGCGATGCCTTATCGAGTGACTGTCAACGCCGTAAAACGTGGCGTTGATTATTGCTTTTCACAAATGAGAAAAAAAAACGAGAGAAATCATAAGTAAATTAAAATCGGCGATAATTAGTAATCCGCTTTTTTCATGAATATTATTTTCCAACACCGAGTAAATTATTGAAAAAAACACTATATACTGATAAAGAGCCTTCAGAAAATAGAAAAAAAGCGAACAGTAACAACCAAAAAAGTTGAAGGTGTTATATTAAAAGAGTTTCGAGCATAAACAACTTAGTCCATTGCAACAGAAACAATCAACAATTATTCATCCAACAACGAGTCTTGAACGTCATTTGAAAGAGATAATTTGAAAAAATAAACAATTTTTCAAAAAAAATTCCACTGCGGCGTGTTGAAATTAATTAAAATCAAAAAAGCTCATCGCACCGAGACTTGTGGCAAGTCCAACCGCTGTTCCTTTAAAGAAGTCGGCGTTTTTATTTTTGAAGAATTTTGATTTACTTTTGATTTGTTTTTTTGTTTTTGTTATAATTTTCCTGTTTGAATTATTGAACTAAACACTAGTTTGATGCATGAACTTCCTTTTTAAAAGTTAGCAGAAAGTAGGGCGTTTCTCTGTGTCTAGCTTTCACCAATAATTATAAACATTGACAGAATATCGTCTATATGTAAACATTTTGTTGAGCGTTCGTTCAAAAATGCACTTCAATCGTAAGTTTGTGCATACCTAATTTTCTCTAGTGGTTTAGGGGAACTTCCATAGAAATTTTTTTAGTTATAATTTTTTTAAAGCTCTGTTTTCATCCTTTCGCTCTTTGTTCAGTTTATAACTTCAAGCACCAAAAAGGGGTTTTCTGCAAAATTATAGATAAGAACTAGCAGAGAAGCCGAAATAAGTTAAGCTCCAAATGATATCGTTTCCAAACACAGGGAGGATATGTTTTGTTTCAATTTTTACAAATTAAGCTTAATCGAACGTTGTCAATAAAGTTGTTTAGAGCTTTCTCTAGAGGCATTTATTTGACTCATAGCCGCAAAACTTTTAATTTATTTTTGTGCAACAAAGACCAACTGAACGTCTGAGCAACGAAAAGTTAAAATATTTATCACGAATTCTCCAAAATCAACAATTTTTCTTCCTAAATCCGTATCGATCAGATAAGTTGAGGTTTTTTGTGTTGATAACAGTCGCGTCTGGTGCAGTCGTGTTTTTTCCGACAGCCAAGTTGCTCAGCGTAGGCCTTGGCGTAGCGTGGCGACCTCAGCCAAGTCACGAAGTAGTTTTGGCAGAAAGTTGGTAGCGAAAGTAGGAACTGAAAAAAAGTGATAAAAGTTAATAAAATTTCCTGTTCATTACTACTCATAAGTCCATTTTTTTCTAAATCTCTTGAATTTATTTGTTTCATGTGAAAATTTGTTCAAGTTTTTTTGAATCACTTGGTTTTTTTCGTTTTCAAGATTCGATCTTCAAAAGCTGATATATTTCTAAACTTTTAATTTTTGCTCTCTGTTCTCAACTTACATTGTACTTTTTTGAACATCGTAGGCGACCTCGGTGGAAAAGTACAAAGAAACGTGTGATAACAGAATCGAGGCGCTCCAAGAACAAACGAAAACGAACATAAGTGTAGATAACGATCTTAGGAGCTGAAAATTTAATGGCTTTTGAATTGTATATTAATTTATTAACCTTGGCATCAGAATGCTTGCAAGATTTGCAGCTACTGATGCTTGTTGAATGCTGGAGAAGTAAAGACGATTTTATAACTTTCTTTTCTGAAATTTTCGTTTTGAATAAATGTTTAAAAGCGGGAAAAATACCTCTGCGATGAACTTTGTAAGCTGCGCAAGAAATTAATAAAACGGCGAAAACAATAGTGAGAAATGTGATGAGAGTTCCCCAGAATCGAACACCCGGCGGCGCTGCTAGAAATTTTAAAAACTTGTAAAAATTTTACATCATTTTATTTTAGAACATCTGAAACGGCCCCAATCTTTGGCTTGTTCTTGAAAGTTAATTTTTTTGTACTCTTCAAAATACTACTTTAGAGATTTTTTTTTTTAAAACTTGATCTTGAAAACTAACCCAAAGTAACAGAACAGATAAGGAGATCATCATGATTCACGTAAAATTCTTCGACGGCCAAAGCAAAACAAGAAAATGCGAAGGGAGGAAGGCACATTAGAAGTATGTAAGGCCCACGGCGCCATAATCTGTGCCTAAAAAAATTTTTTTCATCTCCAAACTTTAAATTTAAGTTTCAGACATCCCTAATTCATTTTTTTCTAATAGTTGGTCATAAATCAACTTTAAATATGGTTCAAATTAATAATTGTGAATGGAAGTATGCCTTTTTATGTTCCAATCAAACATCTCCAATTTCTCCATTTCATCTTGATAGAGCTCAAATTTCTTGAGCAATTATTAGGAAACGGCAAAAAAAGGGAAGTGGGTGTCTCAAAAAAATGAAGTCTCAATTTCAAATTAAAAATTTCTAAAAATGCTCAATGAGATTTTTTTCTTTCAATTATATCTAAGAAATTTGTGATCTTCGTTTTAATTCAAGAAAAAAAAAATAAACTTGCCTAATTGGTATAAAAACAGCCAAAGTGAGATCGATGGACATCATGAGAAAAAGAACCGATTGAAAAAGGACGGCAAACATGTACAGCACAACGGAACGGTAGCACTCATCCCGGTGGGTGTGAGTGAACCTACAATTTTTTTTAATTAATGGATTTTTTTGAATTCACAGCCTCGAAGAAACTTTTCTAACAATTTTCTTGATCTACAATGAATTCTTCAATATTCAAAAATTGTGAGTTTACCTCAATTTTAATTTGACACAGACCAATTCTGACACGAGGCAAATTGTGTGAGCGAATGTAGAAATCGCCAGCAAACATCCTGAAAAAGTAGCTTTATAATGAGAATATAGTTTGGTAATTTGATGTTTTTTTGAGAAAGAAAAAAACTCATCTTTGATTAGGTGTTCATGTTAAAAAAAGGTTTTTCCGATTTTTGTTCAAAAACAAGGCTAAAATTGGACATTTTTTTGAACCTGCTCCCAAAAATTAAAAAAATATAATTTTTTTAGTAATTAATTTTTTTATCTGCAGTCAGACTTCTCAATTCTCTCAAATATTTCCACTTCAAAAAAAAAAAGAATTGAAGTGCGTCAATCATTTTTTTTGGATTCTAAAGCTTCATTTTAGCCAATGAGTCATACGAAAAAGGTCAAAAAGTACAGAGCGCTCACTTTTCATTAAAAGTCTCTATTTACACAAACTCCAGAATCGTATTCTAGCTAAAATTAGGTCTGATTTCGAGCAAACGATCATTCGGCTAGTAGGAAACACTTCAAAAAGGCTTACGTTTGGAAACTCGCACTACTTGGACTTTGAATAGAAAAGCATTGTTTTGACATTTTTCAACTTATTTTCAAAAAAGAAATCGAGGATTATTGAGCGGTGAAAAAAAGTTTTTTTCCATTTATACATTAAAAAAACTCCAAAAATAAAGCCGACGATTATTGAGCGTGTGAAAACGGCAGAAGTTTGTCACTTTTTCTAGTTCCGCGAGTTGTTTACTCGAAATAAAGTAAGCCATTTGTAAGAACTAACCCATCTTAGTGCGTAGGCACTTTTTACGGAGAGTCGCAACCAGAAGATTGACATTTCCGAAGAGGCCGGCCAGGCAAATGACGACTGTGAGGCCTTGGATCGGCCTCGACAGCGAAATGTAGTCCACAGACATTCCAGGCCACGAGGGCCAATTAACCAAATAATCAGAGAATATAGATTTGTGTGTTGATGCTGGGTTATAGCTGGAAAAGAAGTTCAAATTCTGATAAAAAAATAAGTAATTCGTTCCGAAAAACTTCGCAAAATGACTTGTAAAAACAAATGTAAACATAGAAAAAAATGAAAAAAATCAGAAAAAAATCTCATGTAATCAATCGATAATTCTTATTCAATCCAACAGAATTTTTTTATTTCCAAGATTTATACACCCCGGTTTTTTTAAACCCCATTAATTTTTTTCAATCTGAATTTTTTTAGCTCAAATAAAAAAATTTGAATTCAAATTTGTAGACTAAAAATAATATCGACATATTTTTTTTATAATTCAGAAGTTTATCGAGCTAAACGAAAAAACACATCAGCTGAAAGAATCGTCACGAGATAATTTGAATAAACCGGTCGCAGCCGAGGCTTATGTCTCTTTTTTCGACTTTTTTGCGGTCATGAGAGGTTTTTTTTTATGGAACTCACAAATCAGCTTAAAAGGACATGAGAAAAGGTTTTCTGAGAGACTTACATCATTCTTGAAGACTTGATAGGAATAAAGGAAATGATATCATTTTTGAAAGCCCGAAAAAATCTGGAAGTCGAGAAAAGAGGGGAAAAAGGCTGTCAAATGACTTACCCAAGTACAAACTCACAAAGTTTTGTATCCCAATGACCTGAGATGCAATCAATAATATGAAAAAATGGTGTCTTGAGGGTCTAAAAAAACTCAAACTCAGTAATAAAAATATTTATCAGAAAGGTGTGGATTAAAAAAACCTAGAGACAAGGAAAAAAAGCTTCTATGAATTTGTTTATTTCTAAAGGGAGCTTAATTTGAATGAAAATCTTTTTTTAATGTATTTAGAACGCGATATTACATTGTAAGAAGTGATAAGAAATGCACAAAAATTGGTTTTTTTAACAATCTCAAATATTTCACTCCATTAGTCATGTAATTCATCATAATGAAAGCATGAAAACACATAATAATAAAAAAAGTTAAAAAAAGTTCCTTATTATTTATCCCACAAAGATTTTTCGAAAAAAACGCCGAAGGCGGAATTTGAATGAGTTCTTGAAAGACTCCAAAAAAATAGCCAAAAAAAGACTGGGTTGAAAATGAAAGAAAAAAAGAAAAAAACGAGAAACCTTGGCTTTGTGACTTCGCCTGCAATTAAATGAAGAAAAAAAAACGTAGTTGCGCAGAATAAAAAATAGGAATGAAAAAAATTTTCTTAAAAGAGTTTATAGCAGCTTTTTTTTATGTTTAATCAACTCCCTTTATTTTGAAAAACTCATCTATCGTTCAATATAAATTTTAAAGTGAATGCAATGTTGGGTCAAGTCTAAAAAAGGAATTTCTTGCCATATTTGAACGGCAAATTTTTGACGTCTCAAGTGGGCGGGGCCTCTATTTGCCTTTCTCAGCTTTACCTAATGAAAAATCGACTGGTCTGGGTCTAAAGAACGACTAAAAGGTCAATTTGGGGCTTGAGAAGAGGATTTATATCTCTTGATGAATCTCAGAGGATAGAAACAATTAGAAGTCCTAAAAGGAAAAAAAACAAGGAAAAAGAAATTTCCGTGAAAGAAACTTGGCTTTTCTATCTTAAAGCATAACTTTTAAGACAATCATGATTCATCGCACAGAATCAAGTTCAAAGTATAGTCCGTTTGCCGCAACATGACATTTTTCGAGTGTCTGCGTCTCTCTGTCCCTCGCTGGCGAGGTCAGAGAAACATGAAAATAGCACGTCAACATGAGAGGGTCGCAGAGAGACTAGGAGGGCGCATAGAAAACGTCAGTTTCATGTCGCGGGAAACGGAGTTTTAAAAAGCAATATTTCCAAGCCGAAAACAATTCGCGCAACGTCTATCTATTATTGCACATCCTTTTCGCTACCGACCTCGAGCCCTTGAAAATCCGGCGCTTCAAACGATCTTTGCGTTCCAATGTACACAAACAACAAATACTTTTCCCAGCAGTTATTTATTAAGAGCTTTCGTCTCATTTCGCGGTGAAAATTTTCTTCCAAAGGAGAAGAATCCGTTTGGATTCACTGTTCAGTGGTCCTCCTAGTTGTTTCGCGGTTGAAAAACTCAGTTTCAGTCTTTAACACACATTTTGATTCGGGCATAAAATGCATCGATTATTTCGACAATGAAACTTTCAATTCTCAGGAACTCTAGAGGGATTAGGGGAAAAACTGCACCTATAGAGGAAAAACAAGTTTTCCCTAAAGGGGTAAAACTTAGATTGTCCCTATAGGGGTTAAGGATCATATCCCTCATTCCCTGAAGCTTAATTGGGCTCTGTAGGGTTCTTTCAACTATTTGTTCAGATCAAAAACTTGAAATCCCAATAAATAAAAGTTGATCAATTTACTCTTTGTTGATATTTTTTCTCAAAAACGGAAGTTTATGGACTTTTTCGCATGGAAATGTTTCTTCTCATAGAATTCATAACAATAAACGACCATCATGCTCCCCTAGAGTGGCCACTTTTGCAAGTTTTAGTCCCCCCCCTATAGGACAGATAGTGGCCCCTAGAGGGGAACTTTTCAAGTGCCCCTAAAGTTGTCCCTCTACTCATTTTTCTGGCAATCCTCAGGAAATAAACAAATCTTAAAATAAAAGCCTCAAAAATTACTAAATGAAGCTGAGAAAATCTACAAACCCAAAAAATTCGTAATTAGAAACCGGGAAATTGAAACATGAAACCGAAAATGTAGGCTTATCCAAAATCAACATGAAAAGCCTTCGGAAAAACTGATGTTCGATTTATTTTCCAGACTCGTTTTGCTGCTGAAAAACACGATTGCTTTTTGAAAAATGTTTCAATACCAATTTTGAACATTGAGAGAGCTTTGGACTTTTCAAAATTTTCAAAAACAATTTATTATATTTTATAGAAGAAAAATTCGAAATCAGGACCGCTCACTTTGAGCTACACGTCGGGAAATGATGAAAAAAAACTTGGTTGAACCATTATTAAAGCAGTAGAAATTTTGAAAGACATTCAACATGTACAGATTTCAAAAGGGAATTTTCGGTTTACCGGGGACAGATTTTTGGGTTCTTCAGGCGTGGATAGGACTTCCGGTGATCTCCGGTTCCGGCGGATTTGTTTCGTTGACAGGCTTGAGCTGGGGTTGCTGGAAGGAATCTTCAGTTGTCGTCGGACGGATCGAGGCGAAAAAGGCCTTCCAGACGTCGTTCACAATGACGGGAACCATTTTCCGGACAGCTAAAAGTCGATTTTCTCCGTAAAAGATTTAGTACATCGCAGGGAGACTTCTGAATTATTGTATGATCACTAGACGTAGTTATTCAAGCTCATTCCGAATATGGGCTTCAAAAAGGGTTCCAAATCATCCATTAAAGACATTGTGTAAGTTTTTGAGCATAAATTACTTCTTTCATAGTCCCTGAGGGCATCTTGAATCACAGAATCGAAAAAATACACGTCTTGAAATTTGAAAAATTGGATACAAAATCTGTAGCTTTCTCTTCAGAGAGACCCAAACCATTGAGATCAAAACCAAAAATATCCTTCAATTAATGAAATTTCCTATTTTCGCTCCAAAAAGCATTTTGCTAATCCGATTTCGAAGATATGGTCTTATCGCCTCAGGTTAGGAAAAATGCATTAAAAAGAAATATCAAAAAACATCATCTGAGTCCTGAAAAAATATCAGGGCAAAGAACTATCATTTATGTAGAGGAAAAAAATTGAATAATACCAAGGGAAAGTCAAATTGAAAACAGAAAGGAAGACCGAAAACCCAGTTAGCAAACTTCAAAAAAAAACTTTTGATTTATTGGGAAAAAAAAATTTCAACGGAAAATGACCAGCTCGTTTTCCCCTAACAGTAAATTTATTTTTAAAAAATGGCTTTTTTTAAGTCGTGAAAATTTTTCTATTTTTGGAGTTTATACTTTCCGAGCCTATGATTTTCGAAAAACTGAAAAAATCGTTTTATCAAAACTAATGGAAAAAAGAAAAAATCGAAGTAAAGCAGTAAAACTTCATCTATCTCGAAGGCTGTTTCTATCAATTTATAGTGATGAAAAACCCACTCTGCATGACGGTTCCTTCCTCCTGAGGCGGAGCGTGACTGGCGCATTCTCTGAAGGGAATACACTTCCCACGGCTGCCCCGGGCCAGCCCCATCTTACAGACACAACCCTTATTGCACTGTTCCTGAATTGATTGAAATTAATTTGGAAAGAACTGGAAGACGTCCAGTAAGAGGAGCAGCGAAGCATCGGCGAGTCAAGCCACACAAAAACGTCGGAAATGTCGTTTTTCTTTTGATTCAAGGCACTCAAAACAGCGTTATATTCTGTTCAGATTTGAATGTCAAGAACAATGACGTCATTCGAAAATGCTCTGATCGGTTAGGGGCGGAGCTTGAGTGACGACTTGACATTCAAAATCTGAACAGACTGTAGAACACACGGAAACACACACTCAAGAAGCGGAAAGAGCTGGACTCGGCACGACTACCTCGACGCTCCGCTGCACTCGGACGTCTCTGATGGTGAAGATGGCGAAGAAGGGCCGTCGTACCTTGCGACATTTCGGCACCAGGTTGTGGCAGGTCGGCTCGCAGTCGATGCACGAATACATCTCCCCGGAAGGACATTGGATCGGGTCGCCTGCAACTTCTTCATCATTATAATTGAGGTAGCAAGTCGAAAAACTGAGCTTTTGCCATGTCGAGCTTCCTTCAATCAAATTCCGTTTGCAAGAACATAGTAGATGGCTAAGAATTGGTTTCGAAAGTCGAAATAAGTTTTTTCCTTCACAGAAATGTCTATAGGAGTCACTCAAAGCTATCAAAATTATTCGAACTAATTAGCGATTTCAGGCCATTTACCATTTCTGGATAGACGCTGTATCATTTTACTGCACACAGGCTCAGATGACCATACTTATGAGATTTTACAAAACAAATACGAAGGGACGTCAATTAGGAGTTTGCCGATTTCACGCTCACACGTTAGTTATTTTTTCTGCCTTCTGATTCCGGTCAAGGAACTTTTTTTCTCATTATTTCCTACCAGTGCAGTTATAACGGCTCAAAAATGTCATTTTCTTTTCTGAAATGATGGCGCACGAAACAAGATGCGGTATAACCCGGCTAAGATGCAGAAGACGTAAAATTAAGCTCACCACAAGATTTTCAACGACAAAAAACAACGTTTACCGATTGTCGGTTGAGGGGCTGGTGTCGGACGTTTGGTGGGCGCATTTTGAGCTTCTCCCGGTTGCAGCTGGAATCCGACGCATTCCGGGCGTTCACTCTGAAAATTTATTGAATTTGAAACGCTAAAAACCTGGAATCTCACCTGTTTTCCCATCCGAGTCCAGTACTCACACCAATCCAGTGAGGTGGTACTGACGATTGAAGTCTGAAAAGTATAGAATTATTTTTAATCTCAATTTTCTCGTGGAACTTTCTGCGAAGTGCAAAGAAAGATAAAAGATTTTAAGACTCATTTTTTAAAGCTGCTTTTTAATAGAAAAAAATTACAATTCAAAAAAATAAGAAGAGAAAAACCTAATATCAAAAAAATTTTTCTATACAGTGACAACATTTTTTTTCATTATTTTTTTGTTCCCAGACCTTTTAATTTTTTTACTGAAGTTCAATTTGAAAGAATTCCGAAAAAGAATAATACGTAAGAAAAATTAAATAATTTGAAGAAAAAAACCTCGAAAAATTATTCGGTTCTAAAAAAAGAAATAGTTTTATAGACAAGCTCATCCAATGAGTAAAACTGGAAATTTCGAATTCCCGCTCAAAAATCTTCTTCAAACGATGAATGTTCTGAAAGCCTCAACTTCCATAAATCGCTATTTTTTTTAGAAAATATGCCTCAATTTTTTTTCTGAAAGCTTTCAAAAACTAGATTTTTAAGCCCATGTTCCAACTGCACGTTACCGCCAACTCTATTGAAATTTGAGACATCCAGTTTGAATTTAACATGAAAATGAACTAATGGCGAAATAAATTCAAGGAAACTTACAAAGAAGACGAAGAGAGTCAAAGAGCGCATGAGGGCGTGTGTACTCGAGAGCGGAGACCAGGCGAGACTGATGGATCCTCCGAATCGTGGCCGTCGGTGTTGACGCTTCTTACCGCATTAACCGAGGTGATTATCCGGTCGGCGATAGCCCGCGAGAAACTCTCCTTATTTGGCTTCCGATGACAAAGCTGATTCCCGCGCGGCCTTGCGGTGTCTGTTTCAGTTTGTTTGACCTTCGGCATTAACTGTGGTGATTCTGAAAGAAAACGGTTGCAATTTGAGAAATCTGGACAGGCCGATGGCACAGGAATAGAATTTTCGGGCAAGAAGAATCGAAAAGCTTTCTACAGTTCGCAACAAATACGAAAAAGGTCATAAATAATCCACGGATTAAAAAAAACCTGAAAACCTTCAAAAGGAATTGAATCAAGTTTCAAGGCCATTACAGGTTCATTCCCATGAGCTATCACTTGCAAAAAAAGCAGAAAGTTTTCGGAACCCCGCCTTTTCCAATTGAAATTTTGATGGTACGACAAAATCTCAAGTCCGCAAATCTCGAGGACCGTAATCTTGTGTACGCAGATCTAAAGTCCCATAATCTTGGAAACCAAAATCTTGGAGACCAAAATCTTGGAAACCACAATCTTGGAAAGCAAAAATCTTCTCTTTTAGTCTTCTTTATTGCACTCTATCTACTTATACTCTCTTGTTTGGATCACCGAATACAGTTTCTGAAAAAATCTATTCGCAAAAGCGTTGATTTTTGCTTTCCAAGATTGTGGTTTCCAAGATTTTGGTCTCCAAGATTTTGGTTTCCAAGATTATGGGACTTTAGATGTGCGTACACAAGATTACGGTCCTCGAGATTTGCGGACTTAAGATTTTGTCGTACCATCGAAATTTTTACTACGACGCAGCAAATACGCTCGGCCGAACAGCTCAAAAATTTTTACGGGGGTCTCAGAGAAATCGTCTTTCATTTTTATTTCCCTTTTTTGAAGTTTTTATTTTAGTTTATCATCTCAATGCGATGAAAAATGTTGTGTTCGCTGCTCTCCGCTATCGTCAATCGTTGTCACGGTTAGCCAGGCTTCCCACTTTTCAAAGGTTCGATTATTGGGATATAAATTAGTTTTCATATTTTTCAGTCCAACTTTGCAAACTAACTCGAGGAGTTTTTGCGTTGAAACAGCACAAGAAGTACCGAATCCTGATGATGCTCTAATATTCAGGGGAGACTTTCGCGGCGTAGCAGCTGCAAATTTCAAGGTTTAAAAAATCATTAGCTTTTGTGGTAAATTTGAAGAATTTAGCAAAAAGGAGTCAATAACCCAGAGATAACATTGGCCAACGTACAACAATCGTTGAAGAGGAACTACAGGGTTTCCGGAGAAACGATTCTGGTGGAAGTCGTACAGAAACTTGAGCGAAATGATGGTTCGTTTTTTGGAAGTTGTTTTGAACCGAAAAAAAAACTTGGATAGCATGATCATTGAAGACTTTAAAAGCTTCAGCTAGATTTTCTAAATACTTTAATGATAGTTCATTTTATTTCTAAAACTTTTAGCCCCCCTAATCTCGGCTCTGCGTTATTCTCCCGACCGATGGGTTCCACTTTTGCTTTCCGCCTGCGGAAGTCCTCTGTCCAACGTCCAAAAATCGGCTCGCGAACAGATTTTGGATCGTTTATGGGCCCAACTAATCGAAAAAGGTTGCCGATTCGAGCGAATAACTGAAGAATTGTGTAGAAATCAAGTTGACGGCCGAATCTTGGAATGCGCGGCTGAACGCCATGTTGGAGAACGAATCCGTTTGGGATCCGTGGAAGGAGTTGACTGAGATGGAGAAAAGGTGAAAATAATTCCTTTTAGAGCCTTTTCAAACAAAATATGTGGAAATTGTTGAATTAAAAAAATGGAATTTGAGCGAAATCGAACCAAATAACGAAACTTTTTCTCCATTTGACAACGAGATTGGCGTATTTGGGCGATGTCGAATCATGTAGGAAAAATGGTAAAAAAATTATTTATTTTTTTCTATAATTTTTAAAAATTTTTGTTGAAAGGTCTACGAAATGGCGAAAAGGGGGATACGTGGTGAGCGAAGACATCAACGCGGCTTTGGTTTTCTGTTTCGCCGTGAGGGGTCATCACGCCAAAGCCGATTCTCTGGCAGAGGTCGGCGATTTTTTTCCTTGATTTTGTATTGGAATACAAAACGACTTTTTTTCATTATAAATAATGTTCATGTTACGTTAATCTACTTTAATAGTCTAAATTAGGTGCTCCGAAACTTTTTCGCCAGTTTTTTTTTTGGCTTTTTCAGTGTTCTAAAGCGTTATGAGCTTGTTAGAATGCTTTTTACTGCAACAACAAATATTTTTTTAAAAAAAGTTAATAAGACTAAGGGTTTATTTTTCGAATATATATTTATCCCAATTCTTTTTATTTCTAAAAAAATCTCTTCGGTTCACAAAAAGTTTTTTTAGCGCATGATTTGGATCAATAAAACTCATTTCAAAGCTTTGAATTTCCGTTTTGAAAACAAAAAAATTCAACAACCTTTTTTTCCTCCACGAAAAATTTTTTTAGATCTTCTTTGAAAAATTTTGTAAAAGTTTTCTTTTTGGCTCAGACTATCAGCTGGAAATTTCTTTTTTTAACCGTTTATTGGTCTAAAAACTTTTTAATTTTGAGTTTTAAGAACTCATCGTGAATCTTATTAGCAGGCACAAGACAAGTACGGGGATCGTGGGGTTCAGTTGGCCAAAGGAGCTTTGGTACGGGCTGCTGCGGCTCGTGGAGACACCGATCGACTTCGACTGGTTTGTTTCAATATTTCAGAGAGCTTCGTTTTTATTTATTAAGCCTCAAACATCATTTTTGCAGGTTCTACGAAGATCTGTAGACGTGAAGACGAAGAAGCTGACGCTGAAAATTGAAGACACAATGGAGACAATTTGGCAACTTGCCGAAAAAAGTCGCGATGGGACGGCTGTCGAAAGGACGGAGCTTGTTGAGCAGGTGGAAAATGAAAATTTTCATCCCTTGACAGGAAAAATCGAGTTTTTTCTGTTTTATTTGGGAGAAATCGAGTTTCTTTTTATTCAATTTAGGAAAAAAAAAAATCTTGATAACAGTTTTTTTGAGAAATGTTTATCTTCAACTATTTTGAAAAAAATTTTTCGTAAGTCATTCCCCGGATCCTCCCATATTTTAAATGAAAAAAAATTTTGGACGGTATTTTTTTATGGTGTGAAGGGAATTTCAAGTTTTGCGAAAAATTTCTGTTCATTTGACCTTAATTTTTTTCGAAGCCAATCGAATCATTATTTGAAATCTCATTCAGTTACTTTCATTTCCTAAAAAAACACCTTCAAAAAAATTTTTATTATCATTCATTTTTTTGTATATTTTTTTGACTAGAAAAAAATCAGACGCTTTTGAATTTCTACCATACAAAAATCCATTCATTATTTTTTTGAAAAAATTTTTAGAAAAAAATTTCTAATTTTTTTATTTAACCGTGAGGTGCAGAGATGATGAATTGACCAGTCAAATCTTAAATTTTTTATCTGAAAAAAACTCTGAAGGCTGCATTTTTTTAGATGATGTCTTGCACTGTCCGAGACGCTGGCTTCTTCCACAAGCTTTTCCGAGAAATCGAACGACACATTTCTCATAGGTTCATTCTTTAATTGAATTTTATTGACTGGTTCTTCAGACATTATTACACGGCCATCACGCTTCTGGAAGACACGAAAAGGATTTCCGACTGTTTGAAAAACCAAAATCGAAGCTGTCAGTTTTAGTTTGTCATGATTCTATTAAAAAAAGCTTAATTTCAAAAAAAGCGAATTTTTAAAAAGTTGTTTAGAAATTTTGAAAAAAGCAGATTTTTCTTTCTTTCGCTGATTCACGGCTGGTTTGAGCCATTGAAAAAGGGTCCTGACACGATGAAAAAAGAAATAGCACCTACTTGGTGGAGAGCGCAGACAGGCCACGCCCCTTAGTGACCCAAGCTAGCCGTGAATCGGCTACACCTCTCTTTTTGAAGTTTTTCGAAACCTGCTTGAAAAAAAAATTTTCCTTTGGATTTTCTTTGATTTTCTAGTGTTTCTACATCAGTTGGTCAGCCGATTGGCGACACAGTTGATCAGAAACGGGGAACCTATGGAAATCGTGAGAGACGTGGCGAATCGGGTTCATTACGCGTTCAATGAGAAAGAGAGGTGAGTTTTAGAAATCGGAAAAAAAAACGGAGAATTTTCAAGGATGTGACAATGAGTGCAAAATGACAAAAAAAATGCGTTCTTTTTTCTGTTTCTGTTAACTTTTCTCAGCTTGAGCTGATAATTTAGAAAAAAAAGGGAAAAATTCAATTCAAGCTTGAGAAAAATAGAAAAAAAGTATTCAAAGTAAGATCTGGATTATTCTTTTCCCTTTGTTGAGATTTTTTTGATAACTTTCTTAATTTTTTTGAATATTCAATAAATTCGATTTTGACATTCAAAAATAACTAGAAAAACTTCGTTCTGACCCTGAACAGGAATATTTGAAAATACAAACTTTTTTTCAACGTCTTTTTCTTGCAGTTTTTTTCTATTTTGTAAAAAGAAAAAAACATGGTTTTTTTCAATGCTTTCAGTCGACATGAGCCGTTAAAAAAAGTAACAGTTTTAAATATTTTTGAAAAAAACCGCTCGAAGAATTTGATTTTTTTCACGTTAACAAAAAAATGCTCTCAAACATTAATTAACACTACTTTTTACACAACATATTTTGATTCAAGGTCAAGCTAAAAAAAGTTAATTTAAAAATTTATTTGAAAAAAATGTCTTCACTTAATTTATATCATTTTACCAAAAACTTAGAAGTGAACTACTTTCAGAAGGATCCGACTTTACGACGATTTGCTCTTCGCGGCGTTGATGATGAAGAAGTTGACGTGGGAAGAAAGATTCGATTATTTGACAGCTTTCATCGATCAAGTCGACAGGAGACGGGAACGAGAACATCTCATTCTTCCCATTTTGACGACGTTGGTTTTTTTCTCAGTCATATTGAGGCTAACTTAAGAATCTTTCAAATTTGATTTTAGAAAAAAACGATTCTGAATTTTTTTTACTTTGAAGAAAGTTATCAAAATTTCTTCCCGTGGAGTCAGTCAGTAACAGGTTTCAGAAATGCTTACAGTTCAGCATCTTCAAGAGTTTACTTTAGGAACTTGATGAGTTCTTATTGTCCATCTGAAACAGGAGTTTGAAAAAAAAACCTAATTTTTCAAAAATCGTAAACACTTTTTTTCTATCTCCATGTTAGAAGGCACTTGGAACACTTTCAAAAATTTAACTTTTTGTAAAAAAAAAAGTTTTTTGTAGATTACCTCTGTAAAGCGAATACGCTCATTTTTTTCTGCATTTTAACGAAAAAAATCCTAATTTTTTTAGTTTCAGTTATTGAAGTTTAAAGTAATAAATCAGAAAAAAATAGTTGGGTGAAACGAATATTTTCCTTTTTTCTGAATTTATTCTCCATTTTCTTCAAATTGTAAGCTTGTGGCCACTATAATGGCTGCTTCAAAACGCGCCCGAATCAAAGAGACTTACGCGCATGGGCATCAGAAAATATTGGAGCTAACTTTATTTATGCCAAACTTTAATAAAAACGCGTCCTCCACGATTTTAGAGATCCCAAAAGACTAGGAAGAAACCAAAATTGAGAAAAAGGTTTTCAAATTTTTGAAAGTATTTTTTTAGCATTGAAGACGTCGAGGACCGTATGCCTGTCCTCTACCGTTTTATCAACCTCGGCTATTCGAATCTATCAAATCTTGACATTGGAATCCTTTCCGAACTCATTTTGCAGCCTCTTTTCGGTTATTTTCCCATTCAACGTCCTTTTCTCATCGTTTTTTCCAGACCAGCAAGGGTCCCGGAGAGATATGTCGCGGCTGGATAAGTTGGGGAGGGTTTTGAAGGTGAGAAAATGGAAAAAAGAAATTTGGAAAAAAGATACTTTTTAGAGTTACGGAGTGAAGGAGAAGTCTTTGTGGCTGATCATGCACGATTGGTACAAGAGAAAATTGGCGGAAGAACGGTATAAAAGCAACGAAGAGGAGTGGGAGAAGCCCCATGCCCGGGATTTGAGAGGGTTCGTTCGACAGAAGAAAAAAAATTTTTGGAAAAACCGTGGTCGCATTTGGAATGGCTCAGAGTGTCGCGGTTGAATAGCGGCTGGAACCTCTTTCAAAGCAGACGTTAGAGCCATTCCAAGTGCGTCCATTATTTTCCAGTTTAGGTTTACCTTAGTAAAGGAGTTTTTTTTAAAGCTTTGAACGCAGAATTTCCCATAAAAGATATTTTTTTAAAAAGTCGTTTTTCTTTTCGAAATCGTATTAGGAGCTTATTTGAGAAACATTTTTCAATAATTTTTTTAAATTTTTTTAAAAAATTCGCTTTAATAATGCATTACAAAAAGCTCAGAAATGTTCTATTTGCGTTATCGAGATCCCAATAATTACGGTTTCACGTTCAATTTAATTATTCGAGGTGTTGAATCACAGCAATCGAGGGATGTTTATGATAACTTGAAAGAACCTGGAAACAGATTTTTAAAAAAAGTATGTGAAAAAAAGTTTTTTTCAAATTTTTTTCAGTAGAGACCGGATATTTCAAACAGAATAAATAATTTTTTTGAATTTCGAGTAAGAGATATGTTTATTTTGAATTTTCTTATCGATCCATTTTAAATTCAGACATTTCTTCCGATAGAAACATAGCTCGAACAGTTTTTATTGAATTCTTAATGTATTGCACGAACAAGAAATATTTAAAAAAAATGCTCAATCATTAGGTGACATAACTGTTTCACTTCAACATGAAAATGTTTCAAAAAACAACCTCGTACAATTTTCGAGGTAAGGTTTAATCCAAATGTTGCCATGCTTATGATTTCGAGACATCGGAAACTGCCAAGCCTTAAAATCTAAAATATTTTTCTTGTTTTCTAGGTTTTTTGGCTATTCCGAGACGATTTCATTGTTTTCTTACGTCAGAAAACAATGAAATCCTTCAAAAAATCATATTTTTCGTCTCCAGATGGTGCCGTGCCTACTATTCCGAGACATTTGAAACTCCCAAGCCCACAGCCAAGCCGCCAGTTCGAATCTCCTATGAGAAGCTGAAGTCTCTTGTTGAGCAAAAGGTCGCGAAATCATATATGTTCCGAAGAAATTCGATAATTTTCTTCAGGAGACCATGAAATTGACCGCAGTGTTATCTGGTGGCGGCTGGCCTCCCGACACGGATTTCGAGGAGATCGTTCCCAGTATCCTTTCTTTGTACTTGGAGCACGAGAGCTGGAACAACGTCACTCAAATACTCGCGTCTTTGTGAGTTTCCTCTTAAGGGATCGGGGAAAGTTGGAAAGATCTTATATGAAAGATTGAACTTCTTTTATGAAAGAAAACGAGTCAAAGGTTAAGTTAGGCGGTTCAAATTTTCAAGCGCGGTGACGTCATTCATAAATGCTCTGTGTGGTGCTCGTTCTCTGATTGGCTTGTCGCAAGGTTAGGGGCGGAACTTCAGTAATGCCTTGAAATTTAAGATCTGAACAGATTATAGTTCTCGACGTGACTCAACTGCTCGTATTTTCCGAAGTTTCCTCTTAAGGGAATAATTTTTTTTAAAAAGGCAGAGACAAACTTTTTTTTTGAATTTTTTTTACCTTATCAATCAGATTTGAGCGTATTTGTAGCACAAAATTTGCTTGCAAGGCTAAAAACGAATTTCTAACATTCACACGCAATTTTTTTTATCATTCTAAGAAAGCCTTCTTGATGATTCCCGATTTTAAAACAATGGCTGATATTGGCAAGCGTCTTCAGAAATATTTGACGAACATTGATAAATTCGCCGTTTTTTTTTTTGAGTTGTTTAGTATTCCTAATTGAGCTCAATACTCTTGTATGTCTATTTTTCATCGCTCTTATTCAAAAATTGAACTAATAACTCCAGATCTTCAATATCTCGTCATTCCTCTGTGCAGTGGGAAACGGACGCTTCGAAAACTCCGGTCAAAAATTATCATCTTCTCAGTATCTTATTAAGGTTCAAAAAAAAAAGTTTAATTTTTCACGGAAAATTTCCTCAGATCCGTCCAAGAAGACAAGGAGTTCAACGTGCGTAAATTGACAGATTTCGCTTATGAGTTGAGAAATTTGTTCCCTTTCGGTTGGTTCAAAATCATGATTTCGAAACTTATTTTTTTTCCAGCAACTTCTCATTATGGCGGATTTTTTGAGACACAGTACGAGTACAATAAATTATTTTCGAGATGTTTCGAGGTTTGTTTGGGAAAAAAAAATTGAGTCGCGTTTCATTTTCAGCAATGATTTCCCTCTAGGGATCACTTCCTAATGATTTCTCTCTAGGAATCGATTTACCTCCTCCTTTAAGGGCCACTAGAGCTTTCAAAAGTGGTCCCTATAGGGATATCACTCTCTAAGGGACATGCTAGTCTATTGTTATAAAATATAACAGAAAAAGCATCTCCTGTTCAATTTTATTCAAAACTCAACAAAAAAAAAATCAAAAGGCCCTATAGGGACCACTTGAGCTTTAAGGGCTTAAAAGCCAGACTTTGAAATAGGGACCACCTAAATTTTACCCCTATATGAGTCATTGTTTGTCCCCGGTAGGGGCTGCTTCTTCTTCTAACCTCTATAGGGACCACTCTGGCGTTCCTAAGCAATTCAGTTGTAAAATAGCACAAATACAACTTTTTTTAATATAGAAGGAGGACAAGATAAAACTGGATACCTACCAAACTTTTTGCGAAATTTTACTTTCAATCTAAAATTGCTAGTCGATTTGTACCCGAAAATCATCAATAAAAAGTGCATTTAATGTTCCACAAGGTTGTAAATTTGAATAAAAAAACTTTAAAAAAATTTTTGACGAATGACGTTTTTTTGAAGTAGCGGATGTTCATTTGAAATTAAAAAAACAAGGAATTCTCTACTTCATTTTTTTCAAATTCATAAAAAAAGGGTTTCCAATTATTCAAACTTATTTTTTTCAAAAAAATAAGTCGCTTTTTTTATTTTTTTCATTAATGATAGAGGATAGAGGAGCAAAAAAAGAACAGGACCACTGAAAAAAATAAATATTTAATTTTTTTATTAAATTTCAATTTGAAACCGCAACACAATTTTTTTGACGCTAATTTTAAGTGAAATCTCAAAAAAATCTTCCACACTTTTTTTTTGCAAAAATTTGGTTTATGAAATCAGTTTCCTCGGGTTTTTTTCTTTTTGAAATTCATTTGAAACAGGAACCTTATTCTTCGACAATAATTTTTTTAAATGTGATCCCAAAGTTTTTTTCTTTTTTTCGAAATAACCAATACAAGGTTGAAATTATTTTGAAAAATAAAAAAAGATAATTTGTAGTTTTTTTCTTTTTCCGGCTAGTCTTGACATATGCATTTCTGATTCAAATATTCCTAGAGGCTTGAAGGACACCGGGTTACTGTAGAATCGATCGATGAACTTATCGATTTTCTGCGCTCCCTCGTCAAGTTGGACATGATCCAATTGCACCAGAGCGAAACCCTCACCGTCACTTTTGTCCACATGGTTTTGAGAAAGTTAGTTTTTATATTGATCATGTCAATCAAAATATTAATTAAGGTTCGGCTGGGATGAAGCCTTGAATACCTGGCAAAAATTCCTTTCCGGACTACATTGTTCGAATGGAATGGTTGCTCTGCTGAGAAATTGCCTGACTTCGAATAGGGAGGACGGCAAAAAGGATGTCCAGTATGGTTAGTTATAGTCCCTTTTCTCTGCACCCTCCTCGTCTCTCGCCTTTACCTGCTATTTTCGTGTTTCTCTGACCTCGCATGTGAGGAAACAAAGAGACGCAGAGATTAGAGAGCTGAAAAGTTAGGAAAAACGGACTAAACTATAAGAAGGAGGGAAAAAATTAGATGTATGATTTTTTTGCTTCTCTCTTTCTCTCGACAACTCTCTCATCATCACGTGCTGTTTTTTGGTTTCTCTGTTCTCGCTGGTGAGATGGAAGAGACGCAGAGAAACCAGACCTTGTATAGTGTCGAATATACGGATATTGAGGACAATTCAAAATCTACTTTTGAAATTTCATTATTTTAAATGAAAAATTCACAAAATCTAAAAATGTATAGTTTCCACCACGATGCTTACCGTTCTCCTAAAAATAAAATTCAAAGTTCCACTTCCAAAAAATATCCTTGTATTCTATCGATTCCAAAAAATATTCCAGTCCTCCACCGAGCCGCGACTTTCATGTCGAAATCCCGAGTTAATTGTCTCTACGCCGCCGTCCTTCTACTCTCGAATCGGGCCCAAGAAGCTGAAGGTTTTTGCGTTCAGAATGAAGTTTGAAAGTTTTATAAAAGAAAAACTGAAATATTATCTTAGGAATCGGTGGATCCGCAGGATTGCGTGATGGTCATGCGGCTGATGAACTCGTTGAGGTCGAGAAAAAGTGAGTAAAGGCAAATTATGAATATTTGTCGAAAATCTTCATTCAAACTTGCTCATCTTTCTGTTTATAAAAACTCCTTGTTTAAATCTACTGATTCTTGAAATTTGGGACAAAGGAGCGATTACCATAGTTTTTCAATTTTAGCATTTTTTCTTTAGAACATGAAAAATAAATATTTCAAAAATCCTCTCTATAGAAGCGGAATTCTGCGTCTTAGTGGCCAGCATAGTAGTTTTTTTGTAGACTCGTAGTACCGTAAACTTCCAAAGAGTTCATTTAATTTTAGCCGTCAAAACTCTCCAGTGGCCGCTAATAATTTTTTCAGTACATTGACAATTTTGCAAAAATCCAATTTTTCTTGGCTCATGCATTTGAAAAAAAAGCTTTGAAAATTCCTGAAATGCGATGTCGCGCCGAGGAAAATGCGATATCGCACCAAATTTTGTAGTTGGCGCGCCTAAAAAGCAGCACTTCTGCGAAATCGTCAATGCACCGCCAGCGACATCGTTTTTCCCCCAAAAATGTCCTTAGTGAACTTTTGCTTTTTCCAGTTTGACGAACAGTTTATGCTCGATTTTGCTTCGTTGTGCCTTCGAAAGTTGAAACTCGCCGAAAACAAAGAAGTCGCGCAGATGATGCAAGTCGATCTGCTGAGGATATGTGGTTTGGATGGAAATCCTGGAAACTTCTGAAGGAAGCATGAATTTTCAGACAGTCGGCACATGGGCCCAACTGCTCTGAGGGTCTACGAACTTTTTGCCGATTATGGGGTCGAACTTGGCGTCGAGGAAAGAAATCGGCTCTCGGCGGCCATTGAGAAACATGGAAACTTGGCCAGGTTCGTGTATTTTCACCATTTGATTTGAGGGATAGAAGAGAATGAAATTGACTTCGAGTTATAACAAAAAGATATTGGAAAATTATTTCTACAGAGAGTAAAAGAACATATTTATTAGTTGAAGTCCCAACTTCTACCCGTTTTCAACACTCGATTAAGCGGTGAACTCACTTTACCTAAAAATGCGTTTTTCAAAAATTTCGTATTGATGAGGCCAGTCAAAAATCCAAAATTTCTTTTTTGAAACTTTGAGGATTCTTTCTCCGAAACGCGATCTATCTTGGGTACCCCAGACTCCTCTAGAGACCACCTACCTCCCCCTGAAGTGACCAGTTTTGCAGGCTTTAGTGCCACCAATAGGGTTTTAGTCAGTAGCCTAGAAACGCGTCTTTTCAGGGGCCACTTAAGCTTTCTGGGCCGAAGGATCAGTCCCCTCACCCCTATAAGGACCATCTTCACTTTACCCCTAGAGGGTCCATTTTAGAGCTTGTTTTGACCCTAACCCCTCTAGCGACAAAGATGGCATTCTTAAGTGTCAAGAAGATTAATGATTTCCAGACGCTGGATGTTCGCCCCAGAAGGATTCCTCAAACTATCCGCCACTGATGAAATAATAACAGAAAGCGAGGAATCGAAAATAGAAGAACGACTCAAAAATGACTCAATTAAGCTCGAAACTCATACGTGACCCTTTTAGGAAGGTAAATAGATTTTCTAGGCTTTTTATAATTTTTCGTTGACTTTTGTTTCTTGTTGTTATTGCATGTTGTTATACACTCGAATACGGGGAAAACCTTTCGTGCCTATGTAACTTTTTATTTTACTTGTTATCGACTTTTTTTTGTTGTTTTTTGTACAATTTTTGGATAATAAAATAGACCAGCTATCGGTGAAAGGAAAGAAGGCGTTACATAGGCAAGCGCTTCGTGAACAGCGTTCCTAGCGTTACAGTATCGTCTAGAAACAAGAGAGAAAAAGATCTATGTCGCTAGAAAAACCTGAAGCGCTACGGCATAAAATAGACGTGTGGTAAGGCATATTTGAAGGGAAGTTCGGGTTAAAAATAAGGTTAAATGATGTGGGAAAAGAGGAGAAATATACACATAAAAAGGCAGTGGAAAAATATCCAGAAAAAAAAGGAAATTTGTGCCGATTTAAAAACGCACAGCGCAAGTCGAAATTTTTTGGGCTTTATACATTTTTTATCAATTTTTTGGGGTTGGATTTGTACAATTTTTTTTTCAATGGATGCCAAAAAGTATATACAGAGTAATGTGATGATTACTTCTACAACTATCTACAGTTCCTGCACAAAATAAAATACAACGAGGCGTTCAGAATTATAGCAAGTTAAGAACCTGTTTCAAAAAAGTATTGGGTAAACGCTGAGAGGTGAGTGTTTGCGAAGAAAAAGGCGGCAAAAGTGAAAATTGAAAAGAGAAAAAGATTAGAAAATCAGCAAAAAAGCTAGAAAAGGTTTGGGAAAAGGAGATTTGTACAAAAGTTCGTTAAAATCCTAGATGTGCTTCTTGATGGTGACGAAAGCGGCGGCCAGAGCTTTTTCGATCTTTTCGATTTGAGCTCCGAAAGTTTCACTGCAATAATATTTTCAGTCAACGCTTTGAAATTTCTTCAGTTTCAGTGTATAAAAAAACTTTCCGAAAATTTCTGATTTTAATATGGATTTAATATATCTTTGATTTTTCCTGACCGGAAAAGGTTCAAGCATAACCTTCTGCATTCACTTTCAATATCCTTCGAGCTCAAACTTTTTTTTATTAATCAGTTCGAAAGTCCAAGAATCTCTGATTTCATGTTTCAATTATTGGAACCGATACGATATTCAGCTTTCTCAATTTAACTTATATCTCCAACTAGGAAACGATTCGAAAATTTTTCTTCAAATTTCTCCTACTTGAAACGAAACTTCGAAATTTCATTTCGGCCACAATTCTTGAAAGATTTGTTTTTCAAAAGATTTTCTATTCCTTTAAAACGCAGTTCGTTCAAATCAGACCTGTTTCGCGCCAATTGGACACGTGTTTCTTTCCGCAAAAAAATATCGTATAATAAATTAGATCCAAATTGAGAATTTTCGCTTCAGGACCCTTATTTTTTGGTGTTTTTTAGCAGGTTTGTAAAGAAAAGTTTTTATTTGTGGAAGATTTTTTTTATTTTTATTCTGTTCTTTTAGAACGTGATCGTCTCGTGACCGGAACGCACTATATTCATTTTCTTAAATTCTGGACACACTCTGAATTTATCGCTCCTATCAAATTTGTATTCCTTCCTTCATTTCTGATTTCCTGCTTCCATTATTAGATATCATAAGATATTGTGCTTCTTTCAGCTAAATAGATCAGCCAAATCAGAATCTTGAACAAAACTGACTCGACTCTCTTGAGCGAGCTTTCCGCTTCCCGCCACATGTCCGAAAGCTGCATCAGCGACTGTTTGATGTCGCCGAGCTCGTCACATTTCTTCGACATATATACGAATCCGAGGCCGTTCTGCACGATGAGCGTCACCTGGCATTCATTCATCGTAAATTATTTCGAAAAAGTAAAAATCTTTTGGAGAAAAAAAATCGTCCTGTCAGCCCATTTATGGCTGATATGCGACGCAAATATACGTACAGTTCCTTCAGAAAATATATAAAAAAAACGCCTTTTTATCATAATTTTTTTGTATTGAGTCTAATCTCTCTGAAACTTTCTGGAGTTGTTATGACTGTCATTTGTAAAATTCTGGTGGAAATTCAGCTCGCAAAAAAAGGCAGCTCCGTAAAAATTCAAAAAGACTGAGCTCCACACAAGGAAGCTGTGAGCAAAAAAATTTTTTATCTTTTCTGACTTTGTCTGATTCTACACCATTTCCACACTATTTCCAATCAGCCTGTACAGACTTACTTCTTCTCTGAAATAATTCAATAAAACAGCAGAAACGACTATACCTTCAATTTCAAGGCTTGTTCAAAGTGATTTCTTTTAATCCACAACTATCTCTGACTCTCCAAAACTTAGTTATCTTTCTCTATCTCTAACGACAGTTTTGAATTATGCGGAATTACTTCGAAAACGGTCATATTTCAACTCAAAATAAAGTTCTTGAACCTATTCCATTACAGCCGTGTGAAACTTAAGAAAAGAATCGAAACACCTTTTTTTTCTCTATTTTATTAAATCTCTACCGAAACAGTAATGTTTCCTAGTCAACTATGAATACTTCCGAAAAAAGCCTCCTTTTCTGTAATTTTTATTTTTCTGTTCGAGTAAAATAAATGAATAAATCAGATATGATCTTTAAAAAAATCATAGAGCCCGACACGAACCGTTTTGCGGAGCTCGCGGACCTTCTCAACGCTGGACACTTTCAGAGTCTTCAGGTTTCTGCGGACATTTTTGTCGAAAGCGAGGCTTTTGAGCAAGGTGCAACGAGTGTTGTAGGCCTCGGCGCAGGCCTGGGAATGAAAAGATTTTTGGCTTCGTTCAATTTTGAACTAACGTCGGAGAATTCCCTCTTCATCGAACGGTAGCCGCAAACGTCATCTGGAATCGTAGTCTTTGATTATATTCAATCAAATCAAATCGTATCAATTCACTTCAGAAAACTTTATTTTGAGCAAAAACCTATAACCAAAAACGACGCTAGCATTTTTTGGATATAATAAAAACATGTCTTTCAATTTTTTTATCGTTTTCTGGCATCTTTCATATTTGATTTTCAAGATCCTATTCGATTTTTTCTTAAAAAGGAGCTTTTTCCCTTTAAGCTTCACTTAAAAATTTCCAGTGAAACATTGATAATCATTGAGGAAACGGGAATCACCGAAAAGGATCTTGGACCAGGCCGGGAACTGGTCACAAGGCATCGGCCAATGAGGCGCGCCCAAGCAACTCGTACACCAGTGGATGCCGCACGAAGAGCACGAGCACGTGTTGAACTCTGCAAGTTGAACACTTTGAATCGACTTTGATCGTTCTAGGTTTGAATTATTTTTTTTTCTTCGAAAATAAGAACTTCTGTACGTTTTCAAGTACACCGTTCGACACGAAATAAAGTGCTCTACAGAAGGGAAAATTCTTCTGAAACCTTATTTTTACTGCACATATGCCTTTTGAAGTTCGAAGACCTCAAAAAATGAGAAAGGAGTTGAAAAAACTCTTCAAAATCAGAATTTTTCTGAAGATTCCTGGAGACTAAAACCCTATAGGGACCACCTTTGAAAGCTTTAGGGGCCCCTATAGGATTGGTGAAGTGGTCTCTAAAGTAGATTCTTCAAGCCCCTTTGCCCCTATAGGGATCACTCTGAATTTCCCAAGTGTTCTGACCGGTTTTTCAGTTAGAATCTCAGGAGAAAAGTCAAAAAACCTTCGTTGTAACAACTGAAATTTTTTTTAGTGGCCCCTATAGGGTTTTGACGTTTTAGTGGCCACTATAGTAGTCAAATTAGCGGCCATTTAAGGGGTTAAAAATTACTGGCCATTTTAGAGGTCTAAGTGCTACTACCAGACCACTAAAAATTTCAGTGGCCACTTTAGGGGTCAATTGATCAACATAAGTGGTCCAACCGGTTTTAAAATTATTAGAGTTACTGGAAGGGATACTGGATGAAAAACTACTGAAGTGGCCACTAAAACGGAAAATAGTTGCCTCTATAGAGGTGGGTTTAGTGACCACTTTAGTGTCCTCTCCAAGTAGTCCTTGGCGAGCCTCTATATGGCCACTAAGAATTTACCCAGTAGTTCCATGTTTAAAAATATTGAAAAGTACGAAAAGTTCCTGAAGCTCGGATCTTTTCTTCGAATGTTTACCATTTGGTCTGGGGACAAGACACATGTGTCTGCACGACGGACAGTCATGGATGTCGCCGATTTCGTCGTCGCTATTGGCAATCAGTTCGCAAGCCGTTGACTGAAAAATACCTTTACAATTTTGATAGTCATCTTCTCCAACCCTACCTTGATGTAAAACTTGAGCAAAGGAAGCGGAATGATGGCCGGCAAAGAGTCGAATTCCGACGAGTTTACCATGAACTGAAAAACGGGTATATTATTGGGAATTGATGTTCAAAGGACCGGAATATCGAGAGGAAAAACGCCGGCGCGGATTTTGTGGACGATTTCGGTGTTGAGGCAACTGCGGCAACGCCAGCAGTCGTCCAGTTCGAACAAATCGTCGATCGACGCCTTCGAACAACGGTCGCACTTCTGCGATTTTTTCAATTGAATCGAAGAAATTTTCAATCGTGAAATCGAGCATGATAGTTTAAAAAACGAATTTCAAGTTTTTCCTGCAAAGTTTCGATGTATTTTGGCCGCAAAAAAACAAGGTTTAAAAAATGTTTCAATGGAGTTATTTTGTAAACCTATGAAATAATGAAATTTAAAACTCCAAGGGCACGTTTTTTTTGGTCTTTATCATTTTGGCCAAAAACTGCTCATGAAAAACTTTCCGGAAAAGTACTGCCAAAAAATAAACTTTTTTTAATTAATTTTCAGCGTGTAAACTTTGAGACGGCCTCATCGACTATAAGGCAGATTGACAGGTTTTTTTCAATTGATTTGTTGAGATTTGGATACCTTAAAGTACCTTTTCTCAAACCTTTATCAAAAGTTCAAGCTACCCTCTTTTGTACCTCTCTTATTTCTCCTACAAGTTTCTCTACGTAGGTCAGGAAAAAACCAAAAAATTTCTACTTTTTACGAGTGTGCAATCAAAGACCTTATGCTGGGAGGCTGAATTTTGAATCAAACGCGGTGGCTATATCTCATTCTATAATCGTTCTGGAGTGATCCCCAACTTTTCCAATGCCTCCCTAAACTCCCTCACCATGTTGACCATCTGAGGGACGACGGCGTCTGCGTCTTCCTCGTCGTCACTCGGATACTCGCAAGAATCCGTTTCGATTCTCTCGAAAGACTCGTCCGCCAAGACGCATTCGTTGTTTTTGATCAGCGACATTTGCCTTTTCGTCGTCAGAGTTTTCGCCTGAAATCAAATTTCTCCGTTGCAAGGAAAGTTATGTAGAAGTAAGATAACTTTCTTTCAACTTCTTTGTTATAAGTACCGTTTTGGCCATGAACTGCGAGTTTTCGGCGAGCAGATAGGCCGTGTAGTTCGTCAAGACCTTCTTATCAGCGTTTCTGAGGGACCTCTGGGAGCGATGATCGCTGCAAAGCGAACTTTTTCAAGGATATTCTGAGAGTCGCGGCGGAACCTGAGACGCCACTCGGCGAACGCTGTCGTCGCGACGGCGACAACTTCTTTGAACGATTTGGCTGCGGTCAGCGACGCCGCGAATCGTTCGCCAGCCTTATGGCGATCGTCGATTTCGATCGAGGAATTGACGAGAAGCCTGCGAATTTTTTGATAAAAGGCAAACAATAAGAGTTCACGGATTTGTGCCATAATCAACTTGGTTTAAATATCTACTTATTATGCTTCTATGTTTCTTCTCTCACACACAAATTTTTTTTCTTTAGAGGTGGGGTTAGTTAATCCACCTAGTGGTCTTTTTCCCTCCCTGCAACATCACCATACCATCCCGATGTTGCGGAAATAAACTGATCGAATGATAAAAATTAATAAAAATGGAAAATCTTGTTACATCAAACAGAAAATAGCTTGGTACATGAAGGGTCGTAGTCTTTCACCAAATAAATAGTTTTTTCCTTCTTTATCATTACAAGGCCCATTTTTAAATGGTCCAAAAAAATGGTATAAAAAAACCTCAAAGCGCCGTAGGTATCCAACAAAAATCCTTTTTGAAAAAAATTTTTAACAAAAAAATTTTTGATTTCGAGCTTTTAAAGTCGGCATTTCATTGTGAGACCCAATTTTCCTAACAGCTCTTGAAATCCCAATTTCGCGGGAATATTTTAAACGAATAATGCGTCCATTTCGGAGTCGCCGAAACTACTTCGGACGCGGCACAGTTTAATATTTTGGCTATGGATGTTTTTTTTTAACGATTTTTTTTTCCATAAAGAACCATCTGGTACCCTCAAAAATCATTAGGAGTTTCAAAAAAGCCCCAACAAACTAAAAAAAAAAGACGTTCAATTTTCAAGTGCATGAAGCATGAGAACGGACTTGGTGATGCTGGGCTTGACGAGGGACCGTTCGAAGACGAGCATCAGCGAGAGCTCGCCGAATTTCTTTTCCTCCTCCGACAAGGCGGCCGACGCATCCACGATAACCTGCCGTCCCTCGAGATCCACCCAGATGACGTCGAGGTTCTCGTCTTCTTCCAGATCTTTGAACTGAAAAGATCAGAGATTTCCCAGGCTCCCGAGTCTTTCGAACCTCCAGAGCGAAGTTGAAGTCGGTCCATTTGGCGGTGTTGATCTCGTACCAGTTGAAAGTTTGGGGGGCTCTGACGTACTCGGAGATGTCCAAGAGGTCGAAGGGCTTCGGAGTGTCTTCCAGTTGGTCCTGAGAGTCCTTATTTATTTTTATTTCCTGGGTAATTTACAGTTTGGTCGGAAGGTTGACTTTCGATGCTCTGACGTCGGACGAAGACCGTCGACTTGCTCTTTCCGGTTATGTAGTCGCCGAGGCAGAATCTGAGGAAAAATGGGGTTCTGTGAGTACAAACCTGAATGGGAAATGAATGAAAAACTGTACAGATAATCTTTAAGAATATACATTTTATAGCTTTTCATTCACTTTTTTGTGATTTTAACAGCTTGAAAAAAACCAAAATTAAAATTTCGATCGCTCTTTTTTTGACTTCAAAAAATTTCAAATTTTCGCTTTTTTTCCGAGCTTATCTTTTGATCATCCCAGTTTCAAGAATTTTCCTTTTTTTATTAGGTCTCAACTTTTTTTAATTCTTTGTCATAGAAATTATGACTCTGACCTATTTATTCCACTCATAATTAACCAAAAAAATTTCAATTTTATATTTTCCAAAAAGTTTTTTTATACTTTACAGGTTCATTATTCCATCAACTTTTTCTGATGCCACAAAAAAATTTCTGATCACAATTGAAGAAGCAGAAAAAAATGATGATAACCCAAAAATAGTGAATTTTTAATCCGAAGCGTCACCACATAACATGGAATTTACGTTAAAAATGAACAAGCCTACGTAAATTTTACGGTTAGAGAGCGTTAAAAAATGAGAGGGCAGGCTTTTTCTTTACTTCTTTCTCTAACCGCTCTCTTGTTTACGAGTGCTCTCTAGCTTTAGGAGCTTCTGGCGTCGAAGATTCATTTCAATTTTCTTCCTCCCCCATTCATTATCTGTCCACTGACTTCATGTCGCGACTCGGCTTGTAGACGTCGTCCTCGACGTGGACGGACGTCTCCAAATCGCAGCCCTCGACGTCTTCCAAGTCGAACTTCTTCTGGACGCGAGCCCGACCCGCGTTCCGGATGTTGTACTCTACAGAATATGGTCTTCATCTTCTCAAGAAAGAAAAAGTTTCAGACTTCGGCTGAAAAGTTTTCCGGCCAAGACGCGGTGATTCTGATGTGGCTTGTAGATGGTGTACTGTACACGAGGTCCTTGTTCTTCGGCCTCCTCTTTTTCGGCCTCGACTTCCGGGTCTCCGAGTTCTTGCATCTCAAAATAAATCTTGATAAAAGGAGCAAATGACTTCAAATAACGGTTTTTTTCTTTAATTTCACATCGTTCCCGGATTTTTAAAAAGCTTTGAGAAAGTTTCGAAATCGTTTTTTTTTTGGTGATAGACGGTTCTCAAATTCTTGATATGATTTTCAAAAGAACCTATTCTGTTTTCGTTCTATAATGAGACTGAAAACAGGGCATCGTAGAAATTCGGACGTTTTCAGGTCTATACGTTTCGAAAAACCTCAGCAAAAATTTAAAAAAATACTTTTGGAAAAAGTTTATCCCTGAAGCCGTGATGAGTTGAATCCACTTGCTTCAGACTCCTTATACAGTACTGGCCATAAAGGTATTTCAAAGTGGTTATTCGAGCATAACTTCTCTGAAAGTGGCTCAAATGACTTGAAACTTTGCAAAAATTTCAAATAGCTACGCAGTAACTTTTTTTCCCAAAAAACACTTGTTTGCTCAAGTCAGACCGAATTTGAGAGCAAAAACCAAAAAAATCGTGAAAAATCAAGATTTTTTTCTCTTGAGATTCGAAAAAAATCATATCTTCAAAGAAACTTCGTTTTCGAACCAGAAACTTTTTTTCCCCCAGTAAAACAAGTCTTCGGCTTTCCAAAAAAACCTAATCAGCCCCTCACCAACCCGATAGTAAGAGCGTAGTGACTTTTTCTTCGGAAGGCCTTTTGCGTTTTTGACGCCTCGTCATTCAGATGGACTATACGAGGTCATTTTTTTGTTTGAGGACACCCTGTATCATGTTGAAAAACTTCGAAACACCCTCAAAAAAAGTTTAACACTGATTTCTTAAGCTTTCTCACTTTATCTGCTCTCCAGAACTCACTAACTTCACTAGGACCGTTTTTTTGAAACCTCTGATTTGAAGCGGTTATGCTCCTTTTTTTCAAAAATCAGAACATTCTCGATTTCTCATTTCAGATTTCAGAGCTTCTTTAGAACCTCGATGAATAAAAAAATAAAAAGAAGACCCACTGTGTTTTTGCTTACTTACTCAAAAAGATATAGTGAGTTATAATGAGTTTCTTAAAGTTCTCAAAACTTCGTTTCAGCAAGTGTTGCTTAGAGGGCTCCAAATCTTGTGGAAGATGATAAAAAAACCCCTTTTTTTCATATTTTTTTAATTGTTTTAGATCATGAGATAAGTTTGTAACTCCTTTTTTTCTAGCTCTCAGATCAAAGATAGGCACTGTAAAAAAAGTTTCTTTAAACTTTATGGGAAAAATAAGTTTTTTTGATCTTGTGAAACTAATGCTTCAGCAAAAAATTTAGCAGTCTTCAGGATGTAGGAGCCTGAAATTTAGCCATTAATTATTTTCAAATTCACGATTTAAAAGCGATTGACCAGATAAAAACTATTTTGAACGCCCGAAAGTCCAGAAAAACTGTTCAAATCAGAGGTTTCAAAATCGGTCCTAGTGAAGTTAGTGAGTTCTGGAGAGCAGATAAAGTGAGAAAGCTTAAGAAATCAGTGTTAAACTTTTTTTGAGGGTGTTTCAAAGTTTTTCAACATGATACAGGGTGTCCTCAAACAAAAATGACCTCGTATAGTCCATCTGAATGACGAGGCGTCAAAACGCAAAGGCCTTCCGAAGAAAAAGTCACTACGCTCTTACTATCGGGTTGGTGAGGGGCTGATTAGGTTTTTTTGGAAAGCCGAAGACTTGTTTTACTGGGGAAAAAAAGTTTCTGGTTCGAAAAACGAAGTTTCTTTTGAAGATATGATTTTTTTCGAATCTCAAGAGAAAAAAATCTTGATTTTCACGATTTTTGGTTTTTTGCTCTCAAATCCGGTCTGACTTGAGCAAACAAGTGTTTTTTTTTGAGAAAAAGTTACTGCGTAGCTATTTGAAATTTTTGCAAAGTTTCAAGTCATTTGAGCCACTTTCAGAGAAGTTATGCTCGAATAACCACTTTGAAATACCTTTATGGCCAGTACTGTACCTATTTCAAGTGTTTCTATTTCAAATTTATTTTCGAACTTTTCCACTCACCATTTTAGCGATTCTGGCCTCCTTTCGCGCCTTGGCGCCACGAGTTCTCTTGCCGACGCCGGCCCTCAAGGTGTTCAACTGAAAATTGTTCTTTTGTTTTTCAGAAACTCAGTAGAAATAAAATATTATCACAGAAAAGAGCTAGAAGGAACTTAGGATTTTTAAAAGTTTCGTTCAAATTTTGAAGTCGACAAGAAAATAAACCATAACTGGAGGTTTTCTGCATGACACAAAATTATTTTTTACTTTGAAGGAACCTCTTTCCCAACTAAAATTCAATAACCGTCCCTCAAATAAGTCATTGGAGTCCAAAATTTAAGTAGAAAGGCTCAGAAAAATCTATTTTGAAAGCTTTTTTCTTCCTAGACTAGGAAATAGTTCTTCAAATAGTGCTTTGGACTCTTTTTTTTTAAAGGGTGAGTTTATTATGTGAACTTTTACATCCGAATATCCGTAAAAAATCATGAAAATAATCCTTGTGAATCAAAGTTTTGAGTGAAACAGCACACTAAATTTTTTTTTCGTAGACCTTCATCATCTAAAATATCAGTATTCATCCCTCAAATAACGCTTTGGATTCAAATTATGTAGTGCAACAAATTTCAAAGTCAAATTTCAAGTTCAGACGAAAATGTTGACATTAGTTCCTTTGCCGCCGGCGGTGATTGTGTCCACGTCGCCGTCGTCGTTGGCCTCGTGCAATGCCGCGACGTTCGACGACGTTCCTGGAAAAAAGATGAACTTCTTTCTTTTCAACGGCAGTTTCTCTTTTGAAAAGAGCCAAAATGATGAATCGGTCGGACCTTTGGACGTGATGGCGCACTCGACGACCGCCACGGGCACTTCGGACTCGTCCGAGCCGTTGAGGATCACCGATGGACAGATCTGCAAACTTTCATCTCATAAACTTTTTGAAAAATCAATGAAAAATAAATAAAATGAAGAAAACAAAGTTGGTATTTTCAAATCCTTCAAAAGCATGTGGTAAATGGGCTTAAGAAAAAAAAAAGCCCAAGTGACCATTTAAGGGAGTTGAAATGAGAAAAAAATCCTTCTAATTCCTTAAAGGGTGCAAAGAGCTTTTGACAAGCTTCTTTTTCTTACTTTTTTCACGAAAGGTCTCCTCTTTCCAAGAAAATAACCTTTTAGAAACCTTGGAAGAAGAAAAAAGATTTTTTTAAGTACCTAAAAGATGCAAGAAGCTTCTTCCAAGCTAATTTTTCAAGAAAAAGGACCTTTTTATCGGCCTTTTATTCATCTCGTTCTGAAAAAAACCTTCTTTTTCCAAACACTTCCTTCTCTGAAAGCTCAAGAAGTTACAAAAACATCGAGATTTTTTTTAACTTTTTTTGATAAAAAAAGTCAAGGAAAAAGGTCACTTAAGTGATAATTCAGCCTTTTTTCTTCGATAACCATTCACCTCGTTCCAACGGTTATTGCGGTTGATGGAATAAGGCACATGGCCGACCATGCCGTCGGTTCCTTCGGACAGAAGACGGGCCTTACGTCTCTGCAAAAAAACAGCGAATTATTTCATGCTCAATTTTGAAATATCAACTTTTCTTAACTCCAAAAATTTGAATTCTTTTTTTTAATTTTGGTATAGACTCGTCAGTGGGGATATTACCTTGCCGAGGACGTGATTTGGGTCGTCGATCGACTTGACGACGACCCCGGCGTCGGCCATGTGCCGCGCGTGGCGGTCGGCCGCGGCGTTCCTCCTTCCCTTCTCCTTTCGTCCTACTCCTTTGCCCAACTCAGGAAATTCATTGTCGCTGAAACATAACCGTTATTTTGATGATATAGCTGATTATTATTCTTTATTTTCAGTATTTTATTCCTCAATGTCATATAAAAAGAGTAAATGAGAATTTTTTCCATATTATCTGGTGAGGAGACTTTTAACGGAACGCATAAAAATTGAGAAAAGCTGTTTTCAGGTCATGCCCGACTTCTGTGCCTCCAAATATCCAGCACCATGTTGTAAATCGACTAAATGCAAGCCTTACCCGAGAAAAATTTCTTCGAGTCGTAAAAAATACTCCATTCCTTATTGGGAGCATAAATTTTATTGTGTAATTTCCCTACTTCAATGCATACCTTGCTTTTGAAAGCCACTAAGACGCGATTTCGAGATAAAGCCTTTCTCTATTCATTAAAATGCGCCAGAAACGCGACACTTTTCTTGCAAAACATTCTTGCGTATTGAAAAAAAAGTTCTTGCAAAAAAAAACTGATAAAAAATTAATTTTTCGAGTGTACTGTCCCCGGCAAATACGCACACTGTGTAAGCACCAAAAAAACGCACGAGTTGACGACAAGTTCTTGTTTTTTTATTTTTTTCAAATTTTTTTCAATATTGTTTTTCTAGGCGATATGAGTGGCGAAGAAGAAAACACCATTTACGGTCCCACGCTTCCCAGAAAACAACTGGTCGTAGAAGAGAAAGAAGAAGTAAACATTTTTTTTTCAGACGGGCAAGAGAATTGTTAACTAAAAAAAATTGAGGTTGATCTTCAAATCGGACCTGCTCTACCGACCGAAAAGCTTCTTATAACGACTAGAACATCTTATGGACCTAACTTGCCTGGAGTTTTCGAGGTATCATAAAATAAAATTTTTAACTCGGCGATAGTTGGATTTCAGAATGTGGAAGCAGATAATGACCAAGAAGATTCGGACGATGAGGATTTCGTCAGAAAAATTCTTAATTCTTACAATTTAAAATATTTTTAGGGTCCAATGCCCATTCCAAAAGGGGGTGAAGACGACGAAATTTCCTTGAGAAATTATCGCTTTGCCCTCGCTGAAGAGAAAAAGCCGATGGAAGAGGTTTCTAATCACGAATGAAAATTTTGTTTGATTTTTGTTTTAAGAAAAGTGCTCCAAAACGAGAAGATTGGATGCTAACTGTGCCGAAAACTCTTGGGAATATAGGACTGGGACCTAGAACTTTTAAAGTTTGTATTCTCTTGAAAAAAGAAACGAAAAAACTTTAAGCGTTCGGCTGTCGATACGGACAAATCTTGGGAAGACTCCCCCACAAACAAAAAGAAACCCGAAGAAAAAGTTTTTTTTTCATTCGATGAGTTAGAACGCTATTAGTTTCAGAAATCAGTGCATTTCAAGTCGAAAGTTGAAGACCCGGTTCAGAAAGAAATAGGACCAAGTTTTGTTCAGCTACATCAAAAGGATCGTCGTGAACAGCATAAAAACGTTTGTAATTCTAGAAAAAATCAAGTTTTCTTTCTTTCCAGAAAGAAGAAATTTGTGAAGGTAGACGACCGTTTGATCGCGAAAAAGACATGGCTGTTGGCGGCTTGAAACCGGGAGCTAGTAAAGAAGCTGTGGAACGGATGAAAGAACTCGGAAATCGTTTCACTACGAGCCGCGAGGCCAAATATCTTTGAAAAATCCTTGTATTTCTCTTATTGCACTTGTTTCATTGTTCTAAGTTGTTGATCCATCAGTGAACACTTGGTGTTTCAAAAAGCAAACAAATAAAAGCTACAACGAAACGAGTTTTACCACTTCAAAGAGCAAATTTTTCGTCATGAGGTAGAAAAATAAGAATCAAAAACACCAACTTGAAACTCGTGGAAGGTCTCATGGCGGTCGCGCGGCTGTGTAGTTTGTCAGGAAATGGAAAAACACGCCGGTTTCGCAGAGCGTAAAAACAGAACAGAAAAAATGTTCAAGCGTCGCTGAGAATTCGGTCCTTTATATTTGTCGTCGCGCCAAAAGATTTTTTGAGTTTGTGATGCACACACGTTGCACTAGCACGTGATACCGTATGGCCCGCCCACTCGCAATTTTGGTCTACTTCATCGAGATTGTAGTTCATTTGGGCCTTGTTTATTGTTTTGTTCGTTTGTGTTGTGAAATAGATCAGACGTCAAATTGAAAGGCTTGCACCTGGTGCACCTAAACGTCTCAATAGCGTCCAGTCTTAGCAACTTCATTCCTGATAAAAGTCTTTTCGATGAGTCTTGAGATTTTTTCAAGTTATTTTTAGCGGTACAGTCTTTTCGAGGAATCTTTCTGGGATTTGCGAGGACTTTATCAAAAATCGAGATTTCGTTTAATTTGATCTGTTTTTTTTTTAATCTTTCAGACCCTTCTGACTTCATTAAAGTTTCACCTTTCTATTTGCTTTCTTATCGGAAATAAAAAAAACTGACTTGAGTTCAAAGTCGCATTGGCTTCTGGCAGACATTGAACGGATTGGACGAAGGGTGTCGGGGAAAGGGACTGCGCGCAGCCTCTGAAATACACAAAACCATTTTTTTTTGTCTTCAGACGACGAAGTTCGATTAATATTAAAGCGAAAAAGACGAGACGAAAAGTCCAACTTTTTGTGTTGATTTTTTTTCCGAGTGGCGGCGGCGGAAGAAAAGTGGGTCCAAAGAACGAACGTCGGAAGGGCAAAGTTTAAGCTTTTTTTCAGTTTCTTATCAAGTTTATTGTGTAAATTATTAGTTTGAACATTGAAGTTTAGACAAAGCGACGATTTTTGATTCCAATTTTCTCTCAGACTTGTTCCTCAGCTTTCAATTAGATTCATTATTAGAAAGAGAAATCGAAAAACGTAGTTCAAAGTATGAAAGAAAGTCTCGTTCGCTCAAAAATCAAGAAAAGAACGTCGATTCCAGTCTTATCTCCGCTATCAGCTTTTATACTGTTTTGAAAGCAAGGCAAGTTTTCGAAGATAACCAACGATTTTCAAGGAAATTTCAAACATTTTTTGATTTTCTGAACGTAATGAGAAGGAAAAAAGTGGAGAAAGGGTAGAAAAAGGACAGGGACATTAATTGCCGTCGATTTTCGGCCGACCTCAGACTGAAAAATATGGAAATGTGGCGGCATTTCGCTCGTTTTCTCCAGTCCGTTGGGAATCGGAAAGAAAGATTTCTGTTTCAAAAATAGAGCGAGATGTGTTTCTTCTGGAAAATAGAAAGAGATTTAGGTTTAATAGAGGAAACTTGTCAGGAAAAAAACTTCAAGGAATTTTTTTCAAATCGGGAAACTTTTTCAATCAAAAACAAAGGAATTTGGTTATTTAATTTTGAAAATAATGATTTTTCGTTTTTATTGAAATATATAGATGTTTTTCGGATTGAAAAAAAGTCCTGAAAATCTTTTTCCAGCTGAAAATTAGTATTTTGAGCTCAAAAAAGTCGTTTCAAGCTCATTCTCAACGTGTTCTTCGCTCTAAAAACTTGAAAGACTCAACATTTTCCCATGAATTTCTTTTATCTCAACAATTTTCTCTTTGGCTTATTTTTGAAGACTTGACTCCAAAAGAAGCTCTAGTCCGTGTTCAATACAACTAGACTTCTCCAAAAACAGCCGCGTCGCACAGCCTGGTCACATCGTGACGTCATTCTCGAGAGACAGCCGGGAAAATAATGACGGTTTTCCCTTTTTCTTATCACTGGTGTCAGCAGGTCTGACACCTCGAGGCAGCAAGAAAATTGGGAAAAAAATGGCGGAAACCCGTGATTATTTGCATCAGAAGCGCCGTTTCTCTTGGTCTTTCAAGCCCAAAAGAACAGAAAGAGCGAACAGACACGGAGAAAAAAAACAGGGAAATTGGCGTTCGATGAACGATTTTCAGCTGGGCGCGTGACCGCGAAATGATCAGCTGACGGCCGTTTATGAATGCGGAATCAGATAACTGCTTGGCTCAGTGGATAGAGAGATTGGATATGATTTGAGAAGTCATTGGATCGATCATTGGTTTTTTTCCCAGCAAAAATAAGAAAAAGGTCCTTTTCTCATCTATGAGAATGGAGTGGAAGTCCTGTCGAAGTAAAACTTCTGAAGGAGACCAGGTTCTCTAGGTTAACTTTGAAACGGATTTTTTTTATTGAAGAAGGTTGAAGGAAGTCTTAAAAATTAATTTTTAGATGAGATTGGGCCTAGAAAACCTGCGGAATCAAACAAAAATGTTCAAAAAGATGAATTTCTCATTTTTTATCTTTTTAGTAACATCAGCCGCATCTCAAATTTGATAAGAATCTTCAAGACCAATAAAAACAAGAAAAAAAAGTAGGAAAATCGTACAGCAGACGGGTCACAGGCAATCGCCGCCTTTTGTGGACGACGCCTCGGCAAAAAAAAAAAACTCGTCGACGGCCGAGAATGGCAGGAAAAGGCGTCGAGGGCAGCTGCAGATCATTTGCCCTTTTTTCTCGAGGGACTTGGAAAGAAGTTGAGATGGAATCATTTACTTATTCATCGTCATGCGAAGACGTTTTTGAATTATATTAGAACTTGAGGCCACAATTTCGGTGAATAAGGTCACAAGAACTCAAAAAATATTGACTTTAAGGCTTATGGAGTTGAAAAAATCGAGAAAAATAGCCTGGAAGTTCATGAACGTTCTCAAAACTGTTAAAATGAATGGAAATTTCGAAAAACTTGAGCGCGAATTTTTTGAATTCCAAGATCTTGTATAGCACACTGTTACTTAACTTCTGAAAACACATAACAAAATAATCTTCTTTGATTGTATAGCACACTGTTACTTAACTTCTGAAAACACTTATAACAAAATAATCTTCTTTGATTGAATTGAAAGCTTCGCTGAAGCGGGAAAGATGAGAATATGAATGAAAACGGAAGGAAGGACGAGGAGAGACCCCTTTCGAGAGCTCTCAAAGAAGGAAAAACAGACTTTTGATTCTTTTTGGAAAATTCTTAATATCTTTTACTTTTTTAGAAACCTTGAGTCTATTAGAAAAAACTCACTTTCCATTAGACTGGTCCAAAACGGAAACGACTACTAAAAGTTCAATTTTATTCAAAGCTTCAACTTTTCCTCATGGAACAACGTCTTCCAACAATGCTGACGATGTTTATACGACCTCTAAAAGTGTACAGCGTCAGTAATTTGAAGAGAGAGAGAGAAAGAGCTGAGAGGACGAAGCCAGGCATTAGAAGGCCGACTAAGCCGCGCCTGGCAACTGCCAAGTGTGCCGCCAAATTTGGGCATCCGGCTTCTATTTCGATGATTTTTAAGCTACGATGAACGTATTTTTTTTAGGTTGAAGCTGAGGAGTTTGAGTTCGAACCTTTCTGCTTGAAAAAAAGAAAAAAAAATTTTTTTAACAAGAAGAAAACGCACGCTACGCGACCGCGTCAAGCCATTTAAAAATCGATTGCCTCTATCAAGTCCATATAAGAACAAAAAAAAACCTGTAGATCAGAACTCTTAAGGAAACCCTTGCATCTGACCTAGCAGCAGCTGTCTCTGATCACATTTATCCCTGGAGCAAACTTGACTACCCCTTTACCGCAATCTTCTATTCTCTCCAATGAATCTTCAAATATTTCCATGACAGAGAAAGAATATCAAGTTCGATATGTAAGCTTGGCAGTCTGGGGTCGCAAATGACAGCAAACACGTGCGCGCCGCCCGTCTTTTCACGCTTTCTCCGGCCTTTCCAAACAAACTTTTCGAACCTCGGAGCAACTACGAAACAACAAAAGAGAGCTTCTTCAAGCATTTATGAGCTTCTCGTACAGAAAGGGGAGAAAATGGATTGAGAAAAAATAGCCTTCTAAAATAACCAAAGTTGGAAGAGCTTGTGCTCCATCGAGAACGCGTGAAATCCGGCTTTTTCTTGTCAAAAAATTTTTTGACGTTTCTTATGCCGTGTTCAAAGTGATTCCGCGAAATTCAAAATAGCCGTCAGAGAAAGAGAAAGATAACTAAATTTTGGAGGGTCAGAGACAATTTCGCATTTCGCGGAAATTACTTTGAACACGGCATTAAATTAACTCTAAAAGAAAATTTTCCATGCTTCAAAATATTGAAAAGAATAAAAAAGTTTCCGGATCTAAATAATTTTTTTGCTAGTCTCGTTTGCCCTTTGCACCAAGGTCAAGATCAAGAACATGTGGCACAAGAGCAGCAAAAAAATAAAGAAGAAAAAGTGGATCTCATGTGATTTTGAGGGATAAGAAGGTTCGTGCGTCAAACTTTTTGCCGCCCCCTTCAACTCATTTCTCTGCTCCTTCGACCTGAAACCGAAAATCAACACATGGAACTTGTTTACTGGGTTCTTTGAAGGGAGGAAAACTTAGAAAATGAGGAAAAACTGAAATTTTGGAAAGTTTCGTATCTTTTGAAGAACACTCTTGTGGCAAAAATTGTGTCATCGCGGACTTTTTTTTTCTTCAAAAAAGCAGGTTTAATATTTTTTTTTTCTTTGACCATAAACTTTTATCCCTAAGGAACAAAGGTTTAAAAAAAATTTTAATTTAGCAGTGGAGCACTCTTGTATCAAGAAATAAGCCTTCCCCAAAAAACCCCTATTTTCATGATTTTTGTCATCTTTGAACGTTTCCAAACAACATTAGGTGATCAGGAAAAGAGGAAAAATCAGGGGAAGTGAACTTTTTTCCGGAAAACTGAAAATGAAGTGTAAAGCAGAAGAAAAGAAGCAAACAAGTTCCCAAATTATCGCCGTTTTCCGTTGCGAATTTGGTCGGAAGTTGCATTTTAGCGATATTTCTTGTTCTGAAATAAATGAAATGTTTTTGTAACGGATTAAAATAGACTATAAACTCTTTTTCTGGCACTTTTAACATGGAAAACTAGTTTGAACTGTTTTTCTTTTATTCGAAATTTTTTTTTCTCTCGGTTGAAGAAGAAAAAGAAAAAAAAGAAGAAGAGCGGCGGAGTTATTGGAAAGTTGGCAAATGTTGTTTGCCTCCTCTGCCCAACGTTCCTTTATTTTCTTTTTTCATGGTTTTCTGTTCTGTTCAACACAAATCAAAAAAATTTCCTCCTGAGTCTGACTCTGAAAAGAATGGGGTTACTGAAGAGGATCACTCGAAGTTCCTATTGAATCAAAACTGGTCAATAAACTGAATATTGGGCTAACCAAGATGGTAAGAATTAATAGAGATCGGCTAATTTACTTTTTAATATTACTTGAAAGATGCTTAAAAAGTTTCTAAAAAAAAACCTTTAGACATCAAACTGAAGGGATATTTGAAAATTTTCAGAAGGATTGGGTTGAAATAGGCATAAAAATGAGCTTTTAAGACAACGGAAATTGGCTGATTTATCTTGGCAAAAAGCTGAAAATTGGTTTGAAATGATCTTTTCCAGTAATTGGATATTATGCTGAACTCAGTTCCGTTTAAAAATCACTCATCAAAAAATAAATCGCGGCATTTCAAGCCATTCCAAATGCCACCACCGCATCTCCAGCCGTTGTGATCTTATATCTAAAGCTGTCAAAACAAAAACCTAACAAAAAATCTCAAGTTGCTCTGAAAACAAAGAGAAAAGCGGCTGCTTGCGAAAACAGCCAATAAAAAGGGATTATTATGATATTTTTCAAGGAAACCTTTTTTGAAAAAAAGAAGGCTCTCAGAATTCCAATTATGCAACGTCTTTATCAAACGTGCAAATCTCCAGATTCCCACACTAGATAATTTGAATTAAACAGCTGGAGCCGAAATGGAAAGCGAATCTAGTTTCCCGATTGGAAAAGGTAACCCGGGGGTCTTTTATTTGTTTTGAAAAGTGAAAAAGAGAGCTTATTTGAGTGTTGGAAAGGGAGAGAAACTCGATATTTGAAGGAAAGTTTTGGAGGAAAAGTTGTCCTCTGATATTTTGGATTTCGAAGTATGATGTAACTCTGATAGTTTTGAATGATGGGACGGCTGGGGTCAGTGGTTTTCTTCCAGTTCTTATCAGTTAACAGAATTTTGAAAAACTTTCTCAAAAAAATTCGGTCCAGACTTCCTGATTTTTTTAACTTTTTTTCCAATTTTTTTCATCCAAATATATATTAATGATTATGAAAAAAACCTTCAACTTCTTCCAATTCTCTTCCAAACGTCAAAAAAATCTGATAAATTGAAGAATTCCTGTGTTGCAAAAACGATGGGGACATTCTTAATAGTTATGAGATCTTGTTTTCTGAAAAAAAGCTGAATCTCACGGCCTAATCTAAAAGTAGCTTTTCAAAAAAACTTCTTTTTAGCAAAACCAAGTGTAAGATCAAAAAGGTATATTTGAAAAACATCAGGATTTGGATTTCATCGTGAGTTTAAAAACCCTTGGAAAGCCTGATACTCTCCAATTAGCTGTAAGATTCACCTTACCAAAAAAAAACCAGCTTTTTACTGCTTTCCAAGTCAAATATCAACAAAGACGCTTCAAACAGACCCACTTACAGAAACTTACAAAAAGAGAGGCTGGACTAGTTCTGGATCGAACATGAGGCTCATGAAAACAGAAAAAATCAGAAAAGACTTACTGAAACTTGAAACGAGACGATCTAGTTGGATTAGAATTATCGGCTCCGAAATTAGTAAGAGCTCTTTGAATTAGGAAGCCAAGATTTGCAGATATATTCGAGCAGACTCACTTATTATTTCAAGATTTCAAGCCCGAAAATTAAATATCCAGAGGGGTTTTAGTGGACTTACTAACACTTGGGAAGTTTACAGTATGGCTAAAACAAGTCTTTAAAATCTCAGATCAATCCGAAGAAGTCTAACTTGAGTCTGGGTAGCTTATAAATCATGATCAAAGATTGATGGATGAAGCATGACAAAATTTTCCAGTTCAACGAAAAATCATGAAGCAGACCTACTGGAACCTCGGACCTCAGTCAGCCCAGACAGGTCCATAGGAGCTCAACCCAAGCCTAGGTAACCTGTGATCAGAGAGGTCAGTCATGGATGGAGAGCATTTCGAGGAGGAGGAGACGAAGAAAGAAGCCAGCTGGGACGGCGTCACCAACAATGCTCGATTCTCTCCTTCGGAGGCGTGCTCTTCGACGTCGTGCGCCCTCCGACGCCATCTCCTCCTCCTTCCGCCTCCGTCTGGCCTCTCTGCCGCCCTCCGCCTCCCTCCGTGCTGTTTCCACGCGATCAGCTGATCTCTCTCCGCCGTCGACCATTTCGTTTTCCCGCGCGCGTCAATTTTCCGCGCTGCGTGTGAGAAGACCAAAATAATACTCCGACTGCGGTTTAGTTTGCAAATTTCGCATGCACCTGAGGGACAGGGAACATTCGAGGTTTGGTTATGGCTAAAAAAAATTTCCAGCCATACTAAAAATCCAATTTTATTCTCATTCTCGACCTAATTTTCAAAAAAAAAACGATCTTTGTTTTGAAAGTGAAAACTCCCATCTGATATTCACCTAAAAAATTTAGGTAGGCAGTCCATTTTTTTCAAAGCACAGGATCCGTAAGCTTCGATTAGCACTTAGAAGATAAGCTTTCCATAATCAAAATACTATAAAATAAATCCCAGAAGCTCTGCTCTTTGTTGAAAAAAATGTTGTGTTCCTTGTTGAAAAAAATCATCCTGGACTCACAGTATTATTAGAGAGCCATTTTTTTATTCGAAATATGATTAGATAAAGGAAAAAAATCAGCGATAGGAAAAGGAAATAAATGCGAAAAAAAGAAACAAAAAATGGTGGTGAAGGATTTTAGTGATGGACAAATTAAAACAGAGTTGAAAATTTTGGTAGAGAATATTCTAATAAGCCATTATCCTTTTTCAAGACAAAAAAACCTTTTTCTCAAAGTTCGCTTTAAATTCTGTTTTAAAATATACTGAAAAACTATAGGCCACTCTGTTTATCTAATTTTCTAGCTTCTGACAGCAGCGACATACCAAAATGGAAAAAAATCTGAAAAAAAATTATGTTCCTCGATTAGTTCTCCACTCCGCATATCAGTATACCCATGCAAATATCGAAATGGCGCATCATGACTGCTTGGCGCAATGGTAGCGCGTTCGACTCCAGATCGAAAGGTTGGGCGTCTCGATCCGCTCAGTGGTCAGAACTTTTTTTGCGGCTTTCTGTCACTTTCATTGAAAGGAATGAAACTCCTTTTTATAAATTTTGAAAGATGAGGTGAGCGATTAGTAATCTTTTTCTCTTCAAATAAAAACATGATTTTGATTTATCTCAGTTGAATTCGAAAAAAAAAGTTTTGAAAAAAATTTGCTTTCTTTTTTGTGTTTCGCAGAGGGAAAGTTTTTTTTTACTCAGTGGGGAAAAAAAAGCTAGCTTCATTTTTCCAAAGTACACCAAGCAAACTATTGAACATATTTTTCTTATGGTCGTTACGGTGTGGCCTTCGCTTCCCCACAACCAGAGAAGTGTATGCATGAAGAGCCGTTTCCCCCTGTACATTTACGAAACCTTTTTTTCAATTTTTTACAGCCGTGTCTGTTACCTACGCTTCAAGCGCGTTTTGAAAAATGGAGGCTGCAAATCTCGAAGGGCAAGCTTCAACTTCGACAAATGTCCAGGTTTCTATTAAAAGTTATCTAAAAAGATGATGCTATTTTTTTCAAGAAATATGAATTCTGTGTTGCGTGCCAGTCCATGATTCCTACAGAGTCTTTCCAAGCTCACGTCGTCCGAAAAGAACTTTTTGGAGTCTGTGACAAACCGTCAACTAACTTGGAAGGCCTCATCTTGTGCAAACCGGTAAGTTTTATTCTAGATCCTCCAAAAACCTAGAAATTCAGTGTGGCGCATATTTCTCCATTGTCACGTATCGTATTCATCTTCATAAGGTTCACAGCGCTCGATGTACTGTAAGGAAAGAAGTATTCAATTGCGAAAAAGATTTTTCAGTGGGTAAAAAACTTGAAAAGCTTTCTGAAAATCACTTCAGGTGTTCCGAACGCAATTACAAAGTTTGGGGACCAAGTTTCGCAAAACTTCCGGCTTTTCACATCATGAAGTTTTTTATCTTGCTTAATTTTCATCGTTGATTTTGTTTCAGGGCGTTGTTTATGAAAATTATCGTTGTTTTCAGTCTCAGGCTCGTGTAATCGCGCCGAATTCGGAGAAGGTTTGAATATTTTGAAACAAAAAATTAATCATTAGAAAAATTACAGGAAGTTCCTTTGTTTGTCAGAGAAGAGTTTTGCACAGCTTTCCTCAACAAACACACCGCCGAGGATGGGTGCGTTTTTCAATGTTCTGAAATTTTAACTTAAATCGGTTACGTGGATTGAAAACAGAAAATTTGCAGGAAAATAACAGTTCTCTACTGTGTTCACCACTTACACGATGATCCAGATACCAAGTTTCCAGACAAATTTTGCGATAGAGTTTTGGAAATGCAAGAGCTCGAGTATCCAGTTTCGAGGATGGTGAGAGATCTAAAAGGTTTCTTTTGAATCTTATGGAATAATTTCCACAGTATGTGAGGAAGAAAAATACATAGAAATCCGTTTAATATCTGAACTATAATTTATTCGCCACGACTTTTTTTTCTGGCACCCAAAAAAAAAGAAGAAAAAAAATATTGATTTTTTTTTGCTCCTGAGATTGTTCAAGCAACCTCCTATTAGAATTTGAAAAATTAGTTCGAAAAAAAGGAAAAAAATAAAACTTCAGCTGAAGCTGACAATTTCGCGGAGCCGGGAACGGATACTCATCGACGGATTCAAAGCTTGACAGTGACTCTATTGAAGAAAGTTTGCTTCAATGTCATGAAGAAAAAGTTAGTTTTTTTCTTTTTATCTTGGTCTTGGCCCGAAAAAAATTTCTCTTATTGTTTTCGTTCATGTCAGAGATTATCCCTCAGTTTTTCACTAGAAACTTTCCATTTTATAATTTTAGCATATAATTTTAAGGTACATTAAATCGCTATCATATTTTTGAATTCAAAAAAACGAAAAAAAAAATTGAAAAATGTCTCAAAACGGGCTGAGTTATAGAAATTTCATAATTTTTTTTAAGAATGGTATTTGTCTCAAACTTGCGGCCTCCTTCCAACAGTCGCCTTTTCCGACAAAATCGCCCCTGCTGACGTTCCATTCCTCAAGAAACTTTATGGTAATTTTTCGCTCAAATCTCATCAAACAATGATTTTCAGCAATGGAAATCAATTACAAGAAAACGATGGCAAGGATTGAAAAGTCGAATTCGTTGCAACTCTTTGAAATTTTTCGCACCAAACTGCGAGCCAACCTCATTGTACCGAACACATAGTAAAATAAAATTGCGTTTTCTAATAGAAAAAAAATGTTTATGTTGAACAAGATTTGTACACCCATTTTATTTGATTTTAAATCCAATTTTTTTCCAAATGAAAATGTATTTTTTTTACAGTATCTATTGCTTATAATAAACTCTTACCGAAGAAATAACATCGCAGAAAAAAAGGTTTTTTTGAGAAATAACTTTCATGGCACAGAAAATTTCATTCTTCTGTTAAACAAGCTTATTTAAATTTCCAAATAAAACAATTGTTGATTCCGTGTATATGAGCTAAAAAAATTCCAAAAACAAGTTTGTCTTGTTTTTTTCTTTTTGAAGTACGGTACTCTGGCTGCTGGCGTTTGACCTACGTGAGCGTGTATGCAGGAAGAGCCATTTCATTGTACATTTACGCACTTTTTTCAAAATTCTTCATATTTTCAAGTCATAAAGTCAAGAGTCTTTCTTCAAATATTCAAATCGCCTTTTGAAGGATGAAAGCTCTTGAAGAACATACTTCACTTCCAAATAAAGTGCAGGTTCCTATTTGAACTTTCCTCATCTTATTTGCTAGTGCACCTCTTTTCAGAAGTACGATTTCTGTAACCTGTGCCAGTCCATGATTCCTACAGAATGTTTTGAAACTCACGCTGCTCGGAGAAAGCTGTCAGGAATTTGCGAGAAGCCGTCGACTGAGCTTGAAGGAGTCGTTTTGTGCAGAGTCGTGAGATCTCTCACGAATATTCAAATTCGAGATGATTTTCAGTGCAATACCTATTTTACAATAGTTAACTATCGTGTTCATCTTCATCACGTGCACGGTGTCCCAAGTGCTGTGAAAAGGGCTTATTTCAAAAGCGAGGAAGATTTCACAGTTCCCGCAGAAAATAGGAACATCTCTCAGCTCGTTCTTTTCAGATGTTCCGGTTGAAGCTGCAAAACTGGGGCACTAAGTTTCGCAAGATTCCCGGATTTTCTTACCATGAAGTTTTGCTGTTCTTCTTGAAGTTCTTCATTTTATTTTAGGGACTTGTTTTTGAAAGTTATCGATGTTGTTGGACCCCGACGGGGAAGTCAAAATGTGATGACAAGGTTCGAATTTTCCGCCGGAATTGTTTCACTTGTAATCCCAGAGCCCGGCGAGTACATCGAAAGAAGATTTTTGCACGGCTTTCCTCAACAAAAACACCAGTGTTGATGGGTGCGTGATTTTTGGAGAATACATAGGAAAGGCTTTTTTGAGGCTAAATATCCCAGAAATTTTTTTTTCAGCAGTGTAAGGGTTCTATATTGTCTGCACCACATTCACGACGACAGCGGCTATCAGTTCCCAGACTCACTTTGCCAGGGGATTCTGAAACTGCAAGAACTAGGATATTCGATGTCTAGGGTCTTGAGGGAATTAAGAGGTTCGTCTGTTTTATCCGAGTGAAATTTTGAAAACTTTGCATGAGCAGAAAAAAAAGCTACTATTTTTTTTCTAGTCTTTTCTAAAATTCAAGTAAAAAATTATCATTTAGTGGAAGCTCATAGTTACGCCCAACCCGGAACGACGATGTACCGACGAATTCGGAATCTGTCTATGATTCAATTGAAGAAAATCTGCCAAGATCTCTTGAACAACAGTGGGTTTTCAGACTCAAAAATATGCGAACCACCTCATCTTTTTAATCAACCAAATTAGTTGCTCTTTTAAAGATGTTGTTTTTTTGCATTTTTCTTCCTAAATATTTTTTGAAGGATGGACTCGGTCGCAAAATGCATCTTTCCTGCCAACCGTGGCCTTTTCCGATAGTATTGCACATTCTGAAGTGCCGTTCCTCAGAAAACTTTACGGTTATTTTCTTGTTTGATATTCTAAAAAAAATATGTTTAGCAATGGAAATCGATTACAAAAAAACGATGGAAAAAATTGCGAAGTCTGATTCGGAACAATTATTTGAAATTTTCCGCACCGAACTTTGCGCCAAACTCGTCGCTCCAAGTTCAGAGTAAAACATGATAAGTTTTTATTTTGTTCAAACCAATCATTTTTCAGAGAATCGTCATGATGTGAATGTCGGCTGTTTTTTTTCTAACTTAATTTTCGCGTCATTGTTGATTTTTTTATTGCCATAAACTATTCATATAAGCGAATTTATGTAATACAGTGTTATTTGAAAAAATTGAAACCTTTTTCAAATCAATATGATTTAACTAGGAAGGTTGAGAGATATTATTATTTCTTGGCTTCGACTGGAGTCGGTCACAAAACATCGGCAGGGACCTCTATTCGACTATTAAAACTAAACAAAACATAGTCCGCCCAACAGAACGAACAGTTGAGTACAGAACCTGCTTTTAGAAGCTTTACGCAAATTATTTCTTTTCCACATGAAAGACTTCAATACCGAAACAACCAATGGATAAGAGCGCGTAGGTACGAGCAAAACACAGCTGCATTGGCGGTTTCCCTTCCTCTCTTTTGAAAATTTGAAATTTTCATCCTGAAGCTCAAACCGGGAGGGCTATCCAGAATTATCTTAATCCGAATTGCAATATTTTTTCCTTTTGATCAAAGTTTTGAAATGCTAGAAATTTACGCCATTGAAATTGGAATGACCCATTTCTCGTGCAAAGAGCCAACCTCGCGGCTGATTTTTCGCATTTTTTTTCATCTCTTTTTTTTTCTCTCCTTTTTTGATCTTATGAGTTTTAGCTACGGTTGTCGCTTTTTTGTTCAAAAGTTATGATTGTTTCAGATATTTTTATTTAATTCATTTCCATTTCGAATAATCACGTTTAAAATACTTTTCGAGCAAATGTCGACGCAAAGCACGAAACGCGTCTTTCTCGACGTGGCCATAGATGGAGTGATGGCTGGTCGTATTGTTATTGAACTATTTGATAAGCTCCGTAAGGAAATAATTTTTATTTCTTCGCTAAATAATTTTTAGTCCCAATAACATGTGAGAACTTCCGGCAACTTTGCACGGGAGAAGCCGGTGTAAGAGACGGCGTTCGGCTGCACTACAAAGGAAGCACGTTCCACCGAGTCGTCAAGGGTTTTATGATTCAGGTAAGTAAGGTTCCAGTTCAATCAAGTTAACATTTTTCAATTCCAGACCATGATCGACCATTTTGTTGTAGAAATTGCGATTTTTTCAGGGCGGAGATGTCACTGTTGGCAATGGCACTGGTGGTGTCTCAATCTATGGGAAATATTTTGCCGACGAGGGTTTTTTCGATTCCCATTCGGAACCTTACTTGGTTTCGATGGCCAACAAAGTAAATGGTTTTTTCATTTCTTCCAATAACACAACTTTCCTCAGGGTCCTAACACAAACTCCTCACAGTTTTTCATAACAACTGCTTCGGCCAAACACTGCGACAACAATAATGTTCTTTTTGGGAAGGTAATCTCAGAATCGGAACAGTTGAAGAAGCAAGCGAATTTTCCAATTGAAGGTGGTCAAAGGATTTGACGCTCTGGAAAAGATTGAGCGAGTCAGTGTCAACGCGAATCATGCACCTCGGAGTGATGTCCAGATTTTGAACTGCGGCGAACTTTTTCGGAAGAACCCGTAATTTCAATTTACTTTTCATTTCTTTTCAAGGTTTTCTTTCAGTTTTGAACAGAAAGTAGAGGAAGTCGTGTCCAAGACTCGACAACCAAAAGAGAAAATTGAGGTTGACCTCCATGGATTTTATTTTTTCAAACATTTTCAGGCTCCTGAAACCGCCAAAGTGGAACCGAAATTTTTGGAAAATAACAATTATCTGCGCCGTTTTTCAAGATCGCCAGATGTGAGAAATTTCTTTGAAAACCCTTGCAACTAATTTTTCAAGAAGTCGGCGAAAAGACGTCGATATTCGCGTTCTCGTTCGCCGCAGAGGCGGCCGAGAATCGAGGTTTTGATTGAAAATGAGCTGTTTTTGTTATGGTTATATTTTCTTTGAGTATGGTCGGGGCAGATCCTCGAGGACCAAAGTAAAAGGACGCGGAAATACTCTTTACGATCCTCGGAGGAGCATCACTCCGCCACATTGGAGAGAAGAGCAGGTGCCGTTGTTTTCTCTTTCTTCCCAGTACGAATTGAAGAACCCAAAAGGGAGAGGAAAATTTTTTTCACTAAGAAAAAAACATTTTGCCGCAAAACTTATAGAATTTCGTTTTATTCGTCTAGGAAAACTTCAGAAAGCAAGATTCAATGAAATTTTCAGAAAACAGATCTGAAAGACGAAGAAAAATAATCTTTTAATGAGAAAAATCTAGTAGTCAAAACATGTTTTGGCAGGAAAAATAGCAGTTATTTTATTAGTTTAGATCAAAAAAATTTAATATTGAAGGGGTTTTTTTCAAATGTTCAGACTTGATTCCAATTGCCAAAAAAGGAAGATGAACGAGGAAAAAGATATCATTTTTAAAAGCATATTTTCCTTCACTGCGACCAACCACATCGAGAACTTTTCTTTAAAATAGAAAATCCATTCTCGTTTTTTTCACGAAATACATTTGCAGCGACGCGTTTTCTCACTGGGAGAGCTGCACAAAAGGCGCGAAAAACTTGGCTTGGGGCCAGACGGCGTCGTCAAACGCGAGAGACGCCACGAGCAGGTCTGAAAGAGCAGTTTTATTTTTACTACAGTATCTTTATTGTTATCTCGAATTTCTATCGAAATGTTTTATCTCTTTTTCCCTTTTCTGTTCAAAAAAGATTTAATAATTATTTATTCGGGCAATTAATAACGTAACGATGATTAGAGTTTTCGCTCTTTGCTTGAGACGTTCGTCTTTTGGGTCTTGTGTTCTTCCAAAGAGTTTGTTCTGGGTCTGTTCACTGCCGGAGACGGTTTTTCTCGAGAAGGAGTCTTCATGTTTCTCATTTGGCGAGCCAAGGCTGGAGATCTGTTCTCATCGGAGTTGTTCTTCGGATGGCTCATTTTCGGCGGAGACATGAGGGGGGAAACCTGGGGATTGGTCACAGGGGCCGGAGAGAGTCTGTTCTCGAGACGAGGTCCTGAAGTCGGTAAAGTCTTCGCCGACGACATTCCTTCCCTTCTCTTGATGTTGCTCAGTCTCATTTCTTCTGTCGACTTCGACCCCGATTCCAGTCGACTGCCTTTCCTCATCACCTCCAAATGTTTTCTCATCAAACGATTGTCTTCGGTCACCCTTGCCAGTGTTTCTCTCATCTCACGTATCATCTGTAAATTGAGATTTGTGATGAACCCAACTGAAGTTATTGGGAAGTTTTTTTTAAATCGAAAATAATCGACCTTTTTTAAAAAACTTTTTCATCTCAATTAAATTTCTTTAAAAAAACTCTCAAACAAGGACATGTTTCCCATTATATACTTTTGAAACTGTCCATGAAAAATTATCAATTTCATTTTTTTCAACATACTTCGATTATTTGATCACTACAAACTTCGAAGGTCGTTGCAAGAAAAAAAGACAATTTGAGACCAATTTTTTTTAATCAGAAAAAGTGGAGAACCTGTACGTAATTTTTAAAAAAAACCTTTCCAGTATGTAGAAGATTCTTCTAAACAGTTTTTAGAAAATCACAAAGTTTCTAAGAAAAAAGTGTTTCTTTTTGGGTTCCTAAAAAAATTGATTTTCCCTTTTGAATGTTTTGAAAAACCAACCTGCAAGATTTGCTTCACATCGGTCTGCTCCGGACTGTTCACTTCGACAGCGTTTTTCGCGTCGCGAAATCTTCAAATAAGAAGTTGTCGAAAGCAAAAACATTGCCGAAACTGTTTCAATCGCGTTCCAAAGTTGTTTTCTCTGCTTGTGTCGTTTCCAACTTGAAGAATATCGCACCATGTACTTTCGATACGCGCATTGAATCACCTGAAATGTTATCTTTTGGATTTAAATCTCTATTTGGTTTGAAACCAGAGCGGCTGTATTCCGCAGTTCAGCCTGCGTGGTGTTCCCCAAAAGAAAGGTGCTGACGTTTTTTTGAGCTTCTGATTGGACGATCCGATGTGCGGCGACGGCGATCAGAAGCGACGAGGCCACGGCTCCCTGTTCATTTTTTTAAACTCACTTTTGATATTTTCGAAGAATTACTCACAAAGACAGCGACAACAACGGAAAGAATTCGTCCAGCCTGCGTCCTAGGTACAATGTCACCATAACCGTTTAGAATGAAAGTGTTCCCTTGAGTGTTTTTATATATTTGTTTTCTCGGTTCCTTCGAACTCACAGACAAACCAAATCGAAATGTAGTAGATACGCGCAATGTGCTCTACTTGATCGTCCACAAAAAACCACCTAAATTTTTTTTTCCAGCGCTTGTTATTAGTTTTAGGCGAAAGAAAACCTTTCGAATTGAGTAAAAGCCCAAGCCATGGCGATCAAAAAGACGACGATCGTCGTCACCAATGTTTTGATTGGCTGATCTTCGAGCAAAGTTTTAAAGACGAAAGTCGAGTCGATCGTCACCTTGTTCATGGCAGCAACCGCACGTGTTCCAGAATGCTAAAACGAATAAAAGTAATTTCTCCATTTACCGCGACTCGGTGCAGTCTCTCCTGTCTATCTCTTTTCAATCTGTTCTTTCATGCTTCTTTAACCTAATCTGTGAGGGAAAAAGCCAAGAAAAGTCATATCGAAGGATGAGGCACGAAAACTATGCAAAGTCTTGAAAAAAAAACTTTTCTCAACCCAAAAACTGACCTGAAAAAAACGACTGTGATATACCAAAAATCGAGTAAATTGATAGAACCTCAAAAGCATTAAAACGGCGAAAATCGTGTCTTCGGGCACCTTCAAGGATTTTGAGAGTTGTTATCGGTGATGGCTAGCCGAACCTGTCTGATTTCAACCGAGCTGGGATCTATCGAAACTTTAAAATATTCCCAGTCAGAATAATCGGATCCTGGATTTTGTAGTTAATTAAGGGGGAGTCTTGACAATTAGGTAAATCTATAAGAAAAATTGCAAGAAAAAGTTATTATTTTTTTGTAAATTTCTACAGTCCAAACTTGACGCAATATAGTTATTTTTTGAATTTTTGTACAAAAATGCCAAAAAAAAAGGGAATTTTCTCGTCAGATTTTCATCATCCATCAGATGAAAAAAAATGCTATGACATCTGGTTTTTTGTTTCTAGAATCACCAGGTACGGGACAAAGACCACATATGACCATCTCTACGAGAAGGTTCAGAAATCGCTGACCACTCAGAATCAACAGCCAATCGCCTTCCTCGCCACGTTCTCTCAGCTGAAACCCGCGACGCGTGGGGCGATGCGTCGCGTGTCGCTCACCAGAATCTCGTTGCAATGGTAGATTACGACGAACACTTCCAGGGCAACCGTGGACATGACGATTGCGCCGCGCATCATTTGGGAGGCCAGGTGGTACTGTAGAGATGAGAAAAATCATTTTCTTCTTTTCGAGGCTACAGAGTTCGCTCCAACACTCAAGAGTTCTGACGCGGCTAAAATGCTCACTAAAATGCTCAGAAATGTCCGGTTCACTTTACCAAGGTTAGAGTAGTAACGCAAAGCTTGTGAGTGATCATAGTGATCCCTTAAGTTCTTTGAAGCCACTGAAGTGATTACTAAATAAATGAGAAACGTTTTCCGCGTTTTATGAATGGCTTTTCACACCCTTTTTGACAGAGCTTTTTCGTTGGACCAACCTAATAAGACTGATTAGAATGAAAAAAATAAAATCAACCTCCCAATTTTTATAACTTAAAAAAATAAAAAAATAAGTCGTTTTGAAACTATGATTTATCGTACCTTATCGATGCCATAAGCCCGAAGAGCTGTGATTTCCGTGTCGATGAGCATGAAAAACAATTCCAATTAGAGAAAACACGATAATTGTGTCCGTTAGTTGAATCCTAAAAATTTGTTTGATTTTATACAAGTTTTTCTGGAAAAAACCTTTTTTTGATCAGCAAAGATCGACGCTTGTATATTTGTATAAACTTTTTTTATTTTCGGTTCTGAAAATTTCATTGATTTATTGAAGCTAACCCTAGTAAGAATTTTGAAAATTTCTGTTTGATCCGTGGAAAAGATTTTTCTGAATAAGGTGGTGAGTGTAGAGAAAAATTTAGTCTGACAAAAAAAGTCAATTTTTAGCAAGGATACGAGAAAAATTGAAGAATAATTTTTCAATCACCCACATTTTTAAATTTTTCACAATTTTTTTCAAAAAAATGTAATTGAAGAGATTTTTGAGCCGAACCTATTGATCTTCCTGTATACAGTCGGCTGTCGGCGTATAGTTTGATTATTGTTCGGCGATTTTCCTGGCGCGATAGGAGCACCTAATTTGGCTTTTTATCCTCGAAAAATGAGTTCTGAGAGAACCTGCTCGTTCAAGCGCTTTGCCAGGGCCAGCGACCGCCATCGGAAATTTAAAATGAAGGGAAATCAAACATCCTCACGTTATTAAAGTTTTCTAACTGACGCGCTTTTGTAATTCATTAATCTGTTCAGATTTTGAAAGTCAAGTATTACGTCACTCCAAAACGCTCTGATTGGTTTATCGCCTCCTTAGGGGCGGAGCTTGAGCTAAAACTTGACATTCGAAATCTGAACAGACTGTAGAAAAAATGGATTTCAAAACTATGTTGATGAAAAACAAATAACTCACAATCTTAGCAGATCTATCAAAGAAACAATATCAGGATAAAAAAATTTACTTCAAGCTTCTGATACATCTGAAAAGTCTTCATGCAGAAGAGGAGGAATCAATTTTAAGAACCAGTACTCATAGGAAAACGAAATGCAACGAAAAATTAAGGATTTTAGATTTGGTCGACGTAGGGAACATTGGCGATGGATCCGTAGGCGGAAAGCGACGGCTTCTTCAGCCATCCAGCCAGAGCCGCCTTCACATCTTCGGCTCGTACCTTAATTCGGAAAAAAATTTCAAATAAGAATATTATTATTGGTTTTATGATAAAATAAATATTTTTTTTATAAAGAGTTTCCGGCTAAAAACTTGGAAGGTCAACAAAAATCTTAATATTAAAAAAATTGACAAAGAAGGTGGATTTGAAATTTTGCAACATCACTGAAAAGTTCACACGAGGCGTCTCAAACCGATTTTTTTGAACTTTTTGTTCAATCATGAAACCAAAAAAATGCTTTTTTTAATACTTCATCACGTTTGAAAAAGGAAAGTTTCTCGAAAAAAACGGAAATCTCGAGCCTCGTTTCAAAAATTTCTTAATCTCTCACTTTAGAAAAAAATTTTGATAAATTGGAAAGAAAGTTCGGACTTCTCGTTCAATCATCACTTTAACGACTTTGAGACTACTAACGGATATTCCTCATTTTCTCATATAAAACTTTTTTTAGAAAAAAAGCCTTTCAACTCAAATATTAAATGAGCTGATTTGTGAATGAAAAAAACGATGGAACCTTCTTAGGGGATCAAAAAAAGCAATCAGGTACAAAAAAGATGCAGAAAAAGCTGTACAAAATCGGAAAAAAAGCGATTATCACGAAATCTTTTTTTTTTATCAGAGGAAAAGTAATGCGATATATTGATAAACAAATTGAAAAAAGTTGATTCATCAAGTCGAAAGTTCAAAAAAAAAAGTTTCGGAAGATCTTTTATCGATTTAATTTTTGTGATAAATCTGGCAAGAACAAATAATTTTCATCAGAAATCTGAAAGATACCTTCGAAATGGCTCGAGGGAGGGCTTCAGAATCGGCGGACGACGACAAAACGTCGACGGCCGTCTTGACAGCCGTGGTCTGGCTGCACTCTTCTTTGCTCTTGATATTGTTGGCAACCGCTCTTCTCAGTTCTGAATCGTCCTCAGTTTCTCTAGAGCTCAAAATGCCAAGAACCTTCGATTTTATCGAATTTGGCGTTTTTAACAGTCGAGATGGTCTTGGACACGAGATCTCCCACGACGTCTTTGTGTCCGTTTCCGCTGGCGGTCATCTGAATTCCCACCAGACCCGCCCCTTCGTACACAAACTGCACGGGTTGAGCCGAGAAGGTCACGCCGGACGAGTTCCTTGGAAAACATTGATTTTTAGTGGGGTTTTCAAGGGATTTGTTACTTCTGCAAGGAGCGACAAGCACGGTTCAAAGATTCGAGGAGGACGGCCTGAACGGCGAGGCGATCGAAATCCGCCGATCCGGCGCCAAGTCCAGCGAAAACGACGCTAGTCGTGTTGCTACTGGCGGCGGATCGACGCCAGTCTCCCCCCTAAAGGAGAACTTGGTAGGAATACAAAAAATGGTGGTATTTGGACATAACTTTGAAATTTTCCATCGATTTGAAAAAAAATCCCCAAGAAATGCTTTAATAAAAAAAGCCTCTGGGCTTTCTTTTTTGAAGAGAAATAAAAAACCTAGTTTTTTTTTCATAGCTTCTCAAAAAAAATTAGCTCGTTCTTTGACGTTTTTAAATTGGAATTTTCCAGTAAAGCTGGCAAATTTCATGAAATTTACAAGTAATTTTTCAATTTTTCGAAAAAAATTATAACCTTCCATCTTCCATTAGTCAAATCTTAATTTTTTTCAAATCGAGACACGTCTCAAAATCAACTATTCAGAAGCATTTTCTAAGTTAAATCAAAAACTTTTACGGGACAAATTTGCAATTCCGGAACAATCTGATTAATACAAATTGTAGTGAATTCCGTTTCTACTACGAAAAAATAGGAGCAACAAACCACATAAGGACTAGGAACGAAGCTGGCGGCAGGTCCATGGTTTATCGGAGCATTCGAAGAGCCGTAATACTCCAGTTGTTCAGCATCGACGTTGACACCAACGAGTACACCGTTTCCAGTCACGAATTGTTTTGCCTAAAAACTTCAGAATCGAAAACAAAATTTCGAAAACTCATATAATTATCTTTGAAACTATGTACCTTTAATTGTATCTCATGTTGAATAAAAATTCAGAAAAAGTTAACTCACAGCGAAATCGACCAACGCTGAAGATTTGATATTTCCAATGTCGTGTCTCGCAGCATAGAGCGAGTTCGCCAAAGATCCGGTTCTGAAAATTTTTTTTTAACAAAACTTTACTACAATGAAAAGATTGAAGAGAAAACTAATGCTTTTGTTCTGATCATAATTATTCAAAATTGAATTCGTGAAACTTCATTTAAGAAAGAAAAACCTGAAAGCGGCCCTATGAGCGTCTTCAATGGCGATATCAATAGGATTACGGTAATCACGATCGGCGTGAAGCGTTGGAACGACCTAAAATTTTTAGAATAGTCATCAGAGTATTTTTTTTTTCGAGAAAACGCAAGGACGAAATTTCATCCAACTGAACCCTTTTCGGACCCAAAGTTCTGAGAACTGAGACGAAAAAAAGTGATATGGGTATTTTATCATAAAAAAGGAACCTAAAAAAGGTCAAAAAACGAAAAAAGCTTAAGAATCTGAAAGATTTTCCTGTCAAAATTCAAACCGAAAACGAACATCCTGTAATTCCCAAGGTTTGAAAGCCGGCTGCGCAGTGACGTGTCCCAAGATGGACAAAGCCAAGGGAGCCTGATCCCTTGGAACGCTCAAACTCACGCCAAAAACGTCTCGTGAAGCGAATGACCACTAAAACCATCGCAGATTCTTCGTTTACCTCGAAAAACGTACCACTTTAGAGCCACTCGACCCAGATGACCACACCAGGCTCAAACCACTGTAGGAATTGACGTCACGACCCACGAAATTGCGCAAATGATGCACCAAACCGGCGGATTTGGGCGTTTTCATACCTACTGCCAGCTCGGAAAGCAAGGACCTTAAGTTTATAAAAATGTTCCACTTTTTTCACATTTATCACCCACCAAATGACTTATGGGCCCATTGTTGTCGATTGCGGCAGTGGTCAAGCCATTTTTGAAGCTGTAAAAGAACATTTGAAATAATGGAAAGATAAAATTAGAAACCTTCTTCAAATTTTTCGTTCCTTTGGCGATAGGCAAACGAGCAGCTTTAGCAGCCTGGTGAGATGAAAGCGTCGCTTTGAACATTTCTCACCAATTTTCTCTGAACTTTCATATTAACAAAATATTTATGATATACCGCAGATGACAACTTTTCAATCCGATGGGACATTAAGACTGATGCCACGAGAAATCTATTAATTATCATTTGAAAGTTTGTTAGACAAAATGAACTAAAAACTTCAAGGTAATAAATTTAAAAAAAAATAACCAAAAAAAAATTCAAATAGAAACTTTACGGAACGCGCAAGCACAACCAAAAACGCTAATCCACACCATGACGTAACTTTTGAATTGCGTTGAATTTTTTTTGATTAAAATTTTTCATCTCGTATTTGATATCATTTTTTTTTTCATTTATCCTAGTCCATTTTTTTGACGTATTCGATTATTTCATATTTTTTGATAAAAATCTTAGTCCAAATGATATAACTTACCTCCTTATTTTCCCTCTTTCTGTTGAGCCGAGCTTTTTTTTAATTTTCCGTTCTAGTGAAAAATTTTGAGTTTTGCTCGTGGCGTGGCAACTTTCGTGTCTTCAAAAAAAATCGCAATTTGTTTGCTCACCGACTATTTCCATGCATTGTTTAGCTTTCTTCGGAGACGAACGGTGACACAAGAAGACGAGTTTCACGCCTCAATTTTCTTTTTTTGTGCTCCCGTTCTGCTGAAACTAAGCATATATCATCGAAACAGTGACTGGCGTGTTCAGAAAAAGTTATAATTGTTTTGAGCCTAGAAAGCGTGGAGAATTCATATATGATTGCGCCGCGCGCGTTGAAAAGCCGTCCAATTTCTGACTGTTCGACCTCCATTAATTTCCGCGGATTTGTCTATATTCGCTTCCAAACTTTTCTTTTGGTAGGCTTCAAACTGAGGATGGGAGCTACTTTCACGTTGAACATTTGTATACTTGTGTGGTGTAAAGTCGCATTCCACTCAAAAGAAGAAGTGGACTGAGACTGTTGGGATAATCCGCCCGGTTCTCTATAAAGTTCCTTCCTTCCCTACATCTTTTTTCGGATAATTTAAGGTTTTTTTTTCCCATAAAGTCCTTAAATATTCCTCTTCTAGTAGAGAAGTTGGACTTTTTCGAGGCCTCAAACGTATTTTGACCTGGCCAAAATGGCACACGCTCATAAGGAATTCCACGCCAACCAGTTCCACCGTCCGTTTATTTATGGATACCCTTTTTGGCAAGATTTTTATCGCTTTTCTTTTATTACTTGTTGTTCCTCCACGCTAGTCACAGTGTTTAATGGCACTAAAGATCTTAAGAAAGTTCTCTAACAAAAATTTTTATACCTATATTTCACAGAATCTAGGATTGTTAGCTCTCGTAGAAATCAGAAAACATGCTGTCAGTTGCAGAAAGTGAGAATTTTCGCCAAGCAGCACTTTTTTCACGCTCATCAGATAATTCTCTTCGCGTTTTACTCTTATTCTAATTATTCAATTCATTAAAAACCGAAACTTCTTTTTCCTTATCCCGAAGAAAATCCGAAAAGCTGTTGTCACGCGCAGAAAATGAGCAATTTTGCAGAGGAGATTCGGTTTTTTTCAGGTCCTTGGGCCCAATATTGTGCACTTGGCTCTTCCCTCCGCTGATTGGAGTTTTAAGGGGCTTTCCTCCAAATTACACTCAATTTCATTGAAGGACGACGATGGGATTGTACGAATTACCCGTCTTTCTCGCAGTCTTTTTGGCGTTTAATTTGAATTAAAGGCAGTTGTTTTTCCAACGCCTCTGTTTACGAGACGGCGCCATAGGAAATACATTTTCTAAATGAGAAAAAAAAAATTGGAAAATTCGTTTTCAGTGTGAAAATTCTTTTACACTTTTGTAAGGTGGAAAAAAGAGCACAGGCCATTTATTTGAATTGGCGTACTTATGCATGCTATTTTCACGGAAAGAGCACACTTGAAGCTTGAAAATTGCTTTTTTTGAGCCTAACCTTCATTTTTATTTTCATATCTTGTTCAGAATCTCTCTACAATGTCCAAAAGTCTTTGAAGCCTTTCTCCTTTTTAAACATTGGAAAAAGCTCTTCGCTTAGAAACTTTTTCTAATTTGTCTATGTCCCTTTAAAAGGAACACAGTAAGGCTCTTTGGCGTTAAATAAAAACTATCTGTAAGAAAAAAAGATAACACAGCAAAATTTTTTTTATGAGTTATTCAAACTTCTAATCAATGTCAGAGCCCAGATAAAGTTGAACTATGGGCTTTTGCCTTCAAAAGCAAAAAATGAATTTCGACTCAAGAAAATGACCCAAAAAGTAAAAATTTACGGAATATATTTCTCAATGAACCAATTAATATGAAAAAAATTGAGCTGAGCGAGATTTTGTTTTTTTATTTTATATTTTTTTAAGCTGAGAAGTTAACTACACCTGAAACTTTGAACGAAGATTTCGTATGATTTTTCAAGCTTCCTATCATTATTTTTTTCCAAATTTTCCACTTTTCTAAATAAATTCTTTTCATGATCAATCCTCCCACCTACCTCAGCTACAGGTATAAATTTTCGGGAAAAAAAGAATAATTGAGGCGAAACGGCAAAAAAACGCCACCCAGGCTGGTTTAATTAAACAACTTGAAACATTCCTGTCCACTTCATTCCGCCTCTCGCTTTTCGCCTCCTTCCGCCGTTCCTTTCGTTTGCCAGCCCCTTAGGCCAATCTTATACTCGAAAGTCGATCTTCTGTCTAGTTTATTTGCAGTAATAAATTCGGTTTTTTTCTTGTAGTTCATTCGAAGTTCGTTCTTGAAAATCTTTCACATTTTTTGTCTTCTGAAAAAGGTAATTTTCAGATTTTTTTTTTGAATTCTCAGTCTTTAATATTGCATGAAAGACTACATCAAAAAAATTTTTTTAAATTTAACTTTACAAATTTATTCTTAAATCATCTTATAATGACTATCTTCTCATTATTTCTCTCTTTTGTTTTTCAAAAACTCAAAATTCCAAATTTTGAATTGAAACGATTCATTGATCTTCTATCCGAACTGCGACAGATTTTCTATTCCGCCTTTTTTTTCGATCCTATTGTTGATGAAATTCAATTTTCTGTCCCCTTCATTCAAAATTTCGATGAAATTTTCCATGTATCCAAGTTTTTCATTTTTTTTTCTTTGAGTAGCCGTATTTCATGCTGGTTTTTTTCGTTCTTTGAAGTATAAAATGAAAATTTTTTGTCATCCCTTTAGATCTACCCTCCTTTCCAAAGTTTCTCTGAAAGTCAAAATTTCGATTCTTATCTTTTTCCTCGAAAAAAATTGAGTAGAATCAAAAATTTCCCTTTTTAGAACTTTTTTTACAAATTCCTCTTTTTTTCATATTTGTTTACCTTCTAGAGAGGCCTTAACTAACAGCTTCATATTTCATAGGGCAATTTTCTCTTTTTAATTTCGTTCGTCCAAAAAAGATATCCACTTTCATTGGTTGAGCCGTTCAGAATAACACAATTTTGAATTATTCCGTTCTTTAAGAGTTACATTCTGTTTTGAACGATCTTTAGCCTTTTCTCGACAGGTTTCTGTCGAATTTTTCGATTTTCTCTAACTATCCAACTTTTTTGTGTTTCGAACCCACGTACAAGTCATAAGATTTTTGAAACAAGAGGTCGTCAAACGGTAGTTTCACCTGGGTAATCTGTCAGCCGCGCGCCCAGTTTTAAACCATTCTTAAACCGATTTTTGAGCACATACAGTAAGATTTTCGGCAAATACTGTATGGTTACTAACTCTTTTTTTTCCTTCCGAATCAGAGATGAAAAATGAAGTGTGACCCTTGTATTCCGATTTCTGGTGTGGTTTTTTTTGCTTGAGGAGAAAACTTTACTTTTTTAATTTTCAATTTAGGCTTGATGTTTGAAAATTAAAAATCGAAAAATGAATATTTCTGCGAATTTTATGAGTTTTCGAACTTCGATCATTCCAGAAGTTGGGCGGACAGAATACCTAATTTGGTTTTTCGACCATTATTTGAAAAATATTTGCTCTTGGGGGACGTTTTTCATGATTATTGCGAGTACGATGGTCAACTCAATTTTTCGAATAAATTTCTTACTTTTTTTTGTTGGAGTTACTACGAAAGTTTTGAATCAACCAAGAGGGGGATATTCAAAAATACCTAGAAAAAGCAAAAAAAGGAAAAAAAAAATCAAAGATAAAAGCTGAACTTCTTCACGATTATTTTTGAAAAAAAGGTCAACCTTTTTGTTTTTCATTTTCAACTCGGTTGCTTTAGATTCAAGATTCTTTGAAACTTCTCACGTTTTTTGGTTTTTTGTTTTCGAAACTTCACGAGTCAGCTGAAGAACGCGTGAGGTTTGTGTGTGTGGCCGCTAGAAAAACTCGGCGAGAAATCAGAAGAAAAAAAGTTATTTGAAGCCGTAGTCAGGGGGCACACGACAGCACACAACCGTTCGCTTAACCCGCTTAACTTGCGAGTTTTTTGCTTTGTTTCTCCGTTGGTACTGCTCGGAGACGATGAGAACACACTCCCACGCACTGTTGTTCATCGTGCCAACTGAGTTCAGTTGTTCCCGAGTAGCTCCGCCCCGGTTCGACTGCAGCGTCGGTCATTCTGGAACTTTTCCCGGGCTCTCAGCTTCATCGGCTTTTTTAAAATTTTGTTTGATCTTAGTGATCACAGTCCTACTGTATCCAACCATGGGCTTCTAGAGTTTTTCTCAGAGGCCAGTTCTTTCTAGAAGTTTTTGAAATTGTATGCAATTTTTGAATCGGAAAGGCTAGTTTTCACTAGGGATCATTTACTAAGTCATGCTCAAAAAGCTGATGGAACTTTCCAGTTTGAACTCTTTTTTAACTTTGATTATTTCCGGGAGCGATTTAAAAGCTATGAAAATTCAATTTCACTGATCCTAGAGACTTTTTTGGAATTAAAAAAAATCGCACCATTATTTCTTTACCAGGTGGTCGCGAAATCTACTGGTCTGATAATGTTCTATACAATATTAGATGAAAAATTTGTATTAGGATAAATTTCCTCTAGTTTTAAAACAAAAAAACTCGTTAATTGAAAAAAATCACTTTTTTTTTCAGAAAAACTTGGTGAGTTCGTTCCAAAGATTATTCGAATTCTGGTTTTTTTATCTGTTTCTTTTCCTAGAACCACTCCGCCCAGTTTGATTTAAAGGTCGTTTGAAATTAGCCGACTCTTGATTCTGGTTTTTGACCATCCAAACTTTGTTGATTGGAAATCTATTGACTGTCAAAATCTTCGAAGAATATTTTTTTCACAAAAAATCAATTTTAAATAAAAGAAAAATCGACATAAATTTTAAAATCAAAAATTGGAGAAAAAGTTATGCTTTTTTTCGATACTTTATTCTAAATTTGGTCCTCGACATCCTCATTTTCATCCAGACCTTTTTGAGTCACCCATTTTCGCGTTTTCAGAACGTTTTCCTTCTTTCGGGACTCCCTAGGGAGACCAATTCGCATATTAACTAAATAAGGCCTATTCCGAGGCCTAAGGTTCCCCACAAATTTCGTTTTTCGTTGCGTTTTTACGACCTCTTGCCTTAAAAAACGTTTTTTTCTGTTTTAGGAGCACTAATTTCGATAATTAATAAAAACACAATGAGCAGTTGTATTGTTTAATTTAGCTTTAAAATTCCTGGAAAAAATTTTTTGAACATGATCAGAAAGTGTCAAATTTTTAAAAAGGCAAAAAAAAGTAGATGGGAAGGTTTTCGATCAGTACTGTGTGATCAAAAGAGAGAAATAATCGTTTTTGGCGCCAATCCAAAACGGTTCGAACAATCCTTTTGCAAACAGTTATCACGGGGCCTCCGTGCGGATCACTAATCACTCCGTTTGCTCTTTTCTTTTCTTTTTTCCGTCTCTCAGACGGATCGGACCGCCTCCTCTGTTTCTCACTCTTTCACTTTTTGACCCCGCTGGTCGCTCGATCAGTTCTAAAGATAAGAAGATAGTTCTGCTAGATTTGAGTTCAAATCAATGAATAAAGCACTTCCTTGTTAAAAAAATCAGAAATATTTTTTTCTGACCTCCTTTGAGCTTCTAATCAAAACTCTCTCTCAGAAAAAGTCTTTCCATTTTGCTTTTTCAAATTTTTTTCTAACTTCTGGTACCTTTTTTTCGTTTGACAAATTAGTAATTATTCGATTTATTATACTCACTATATTAAATAAAAAAAGATCAATTTTTCATTAATCGCTAAAATTTTGTAGCGAAATTTGTAGCTTTCGGTTCCATAAAATGGAACTAAACCTTCAAAAATCCATATGAAATATGTCTCCTAATGTTCTAAAAAGATAAGAGACTAGGCGAGCTTAACTCTCCACCTGAAAGCTCGACATGCTCAGCTCAGCTGGTAGAACTTTCGTCTGATGATAATAGGGTCCATGGTTCGACTCCTCTCCTCGTTCGGTTCTCATTTTTGTCGTTTTACGAACCATTTTTTTTTTCTTCTTGATTTTCTACACTATCGTTTATATTTCTATTTTTCAATAATTTTCAAAGCACTGAATATTTTCTTTTCAGAATCCGCCAAAGATGTGCTTCCCGACCGAGCCTCCTGCAAAAAACGACACGTACGTTTTTCTTCGAACTTTTTTTATGATCGTTACTCCGTCCATTATTTAAAAATTGCCTTTGAAACCCGACAAAAAGGCGATTAAATGATCATTTTTTTTTGGGTTTCCCGGAAGTCCTTAGTGCACAATGGGCCTTGTCGTAGAAATTGGCGGCGATTGAAACAGCGCAGAAAAAGTGTTGCTCATGTTAGAGGGAAAGAGGGAGAGAATTTGAGAGTTGGAGGAATAGAGAGGCAGAATAGTTTTTAAGGAAATTCTGTCCTTGATGAGCTTTAACAAAAAAAAAATAGGAACCATCAGAATAATTGCTTTTGAGTGAGCACTGAAGGGTTTTTTTTAACGAATTTTAATTAGTTTTTAAAAAATCGCAGATAATTAGTTTCAAGATTATTTCTCGTTAATATCTGCCTTAAAAAATCCAAAATTAAAACTTTTTTTTGCAAGTCAAAAAAAGTATTGAACTTTAATTGTTTTACATTCAATTATTAAAGTTGAAGGAAAAAACGTAAATTTTCCGATTTTGAGATTCTATTTCGGCTCTGCATTATTTCGTTTTTTGATTTTGTTGCTTCTTATAGAGATTACTGTTGCACAGGAAGTTCTTATTTTCTTGAGAAATATTCTAGTTCGATAAGCTAAACATCTTTTTTTTAAAAATCTAATCGAATTTTTAAAATTTTTGTTTCCGGTTCGAGGGGATATTCGATCTTTCTCTTTCGATAAATTCCATGTATCCGAGGGAAAATATTCAAATATTCAAATTTCCTTTTGGTCAGATATGGTATCGGAAGAATTTAGTTGAATGATAGGGGTGTAAAGAAACGAAGAAACCCTTTTTCAATATATTTTGTTGACCAGTGGGTTTGAATTGATGCTACCCGCCAAAAAGCCGCTTCGCGTACGCAACGCGTCACCCTTGCCAACCTCGTCTTCAAGTTGTAGAGAATTGGACTATATATCCCTTCGACATCCTTCCACTTATCCGTTATATCACACGAAAAGGTCTTTTGGCGCCTCGCCAACTGATAACAAATCGAACAACACGGCGACGGCCGATCGGATTCACAAACAGACAAACTCGCGTCGCGCGGCCAATCCTTCCTTCCTTCTGTTCTGTCTGTTTTGTGTCTTTCATTTTGTTCCGCGGGGTTCTGTTTTCATCGATTTTTTTTATTAGTTTTGCTTGGACTGGGCTAAGGTTCCCTTAGAAGTCATGATTTCAAAAAAGTAGATTAAATGAACTTGCCAAAGTTTTCAAAAACATAGAAGAATGAAACAACTCGAAAAATAATGGGAAAACTGCCCTTTTCATTGATTAAAGCTCTTTAAAACAGTTAGAAACACATTCCTGAGGATTCTGCAGCTTCAATCAAATTAGGAAAAATTTTCTTTGCTTTTACACCAATAACGAGTTTTCCCATCAAAAATGTCTGGAGGGAAAGAATCAAAGTTGAGAAATTAACAAACTTTTTGCGGTTTGCATATTCAAAACTTCCTTGGACCATTTTCATCGATCTCAACACGCTTTGAAGCTTTTCCTCCTACTTTCTACCTTCTTCAATCAAATAATTTTTTTGTTTCGAAGCAAAGAGTTCAAAAAGTCACAGACTTTGCTCTTGTGGCTTGGCGCCCTTTAAATCGTCTTTTTTTCGTCTTTCTTCTTGTTTTTTGCTCTGTCTGATTCACACGGCAAATTGAACGGCGCCGACCGCGCGGAGACAAAAAAAACGGCCGAAAGTTTTTTGAATTTTTTCGTTCTGTGCTTTTTTGACTACACACACATGTTGAGATGGAGGTTATTTATTGGAAATACTTTAGAAATCTTAAAATTTATTTTTTTAGCGGGAATTTTTTTCATCCTTTTTGATTTTTAGTAGTTCAGTAGTCATCCTAGCTTTATAACGATAAAAGTTTCAATATAAAAAGTCAAAAATCGTACTGATTTCTCAAGAATTACTAAAACAATGAACTTAAGAATTTTCATTTTTTTTTTGCCTTTTTTAAGCTTGAAATGAACATGCCCTTTTTCTTGCCTAGAAAAGGAAAAAAAAAGTTCTTTTTGTCCGACCTGGCCATCGCCCGCGGCGATTTTTGCATATGAACAGCGCCCGTTTCGCCCATATCTTCTCTTTTTCTTCTTTTTCTGCACTTTTTTCGTTTTCCAGCGGATCAGAGAGCCTGTTTGTGGTGGCCTATCACTTGATTCGCTTATCAACTTTCCTTGCCACTTTTGCTTTTCGCCACCTTATTTGCCATCGCCATTTTCGCTTCAGCTTCTTCAAGTTCCTCTTCTATGAATCTGTTATTCTTCTTTTTTTGTTGTAATTTGAAAAGTATGACGATATGTTAGAATAGAAAAAAATTATTTTTTTCACTGAAAACAAAGAAAAAAATCACCAAAGTTCTAATTTTTTTGAACAAAAAAACTATTTATGAGAAAAAAATTAATTTTTAAATTAATTTTTTTGTTTCTTCTGAAACTTTCACTAAACTTGTTCTCTGAAACGCTTCGAACTCATTTTTTTGATAATTCCATCCCCCCCCTTTCATTTGATGTTTTGAAAAAAATTCTTTCACGAGCTGACGTAATTGCGGTTCTTTGAGAGAAATGAAGGGAAATTCCTGACACATGGACCTTCCGCTTTCGTTTTTCGAAAGATTGTCCCAACAAAATGTTGGTCTTTTGCATTGTGGTTCGGAATCGTAAAGGGGTAAAAATAGTAGGGAAATGGTGATAAAATGGGGCAATGAACTTTTCGCAACATTTTCTCTTTTAAATTTTTGAGAAAAAAAAATTAATCGAAATTTGTTTTGAAAAACTGGAGGAGAGAAGAAAGTATTGGTGGATTGAAATTTTCCAGTTTAAATTCCAAAGAACATCTAATTTTAAATTAATCCATGAAAATTTGCATCAAACTTCAGTTCGAAAGCTTGAACGTTTCGAGTTCTTTCATTTCTTTTTCCAGTTCGGTTTTTTTCTTGAAATTGAAAAACAAAAGAATAACTGAAATTTAAACGTTTATAAATAATTTTTTTATGGGAACTAGTAAAATTGAGAATTTTTTTCGTTCTAAGTCTCGTTTTTGATTACCATCGTTCATATCGATTCAAATAATTGAAAAAAATTGGATTGTGGGAATTTCAAAAGGTTTTTTAAAAAAATCGGAAATGGTTAGATTTAAAAAGTTCAGTTAGGTTTTGAAATCGCAGTCAATACTAACAATATTTATTAACAAATCTTTGATAAATTTTTTTTTCCATTAATATTTGTACAAGTTCTATGTAATTTTACATTTATGTAGACATTCGAGCTTTTCGCAATTATTTCTCCAACACTAAAGGCCTTTACCGCACATGATATGATTTAAAGACGCGCCAGAGTCTGGCGGCCAGACCCAAACCGACTTGCGCGCGGTGGCATGACAGTGAAACAAGCTGCTTGACTTCGAGTCTGATTTGAACTAGTTTTGAACGTGATCTTTGAGTCATTCCGCGTGCGATCATGGCATTCCAAGTCGGGAGTAAACTCAAGAAAAAAGATATTAAATAAAGGAATCGTTCTCTGAATCTTCCTAACGTTTCAAAGACCTCAACTTCTGAACCAACGAATCCAATTGGCTTTGAACTTTTCATTCTCGAGCTCACGAGTCCGACCTTTAGCCCTCGGGAACGAAGTCATTTGAGCGGCTCTGCAGAGAAAAAAGAACAATTGAATCTGTCGCCTTTTTTTCACTAGAGAAATTGACGCCGTCGACATCTCCAATTTCAGAAGAGCATTCTTCGAAGAGAGAAATGTTTTCGTGGTTCCTCCAGAAATTATTATTCCTCTCTCAACGGTCTTTCTGGTTTTCCTGTTTTCAAAACAGAGATTTTCCAGTTTATGTTGTGGAGGTCTCAGCTGGTGTGTTTATGAATGAGCCACTTTTTTTTTCGAAATTGAGTTGCAAGTGAGGAAGTTCCGTTTCCTGTTTCTGGCAGGATTTTTGTCCAGAAAAATTCTATTTTTCTGCTTTCACAGTAGATTTTTCACTGCAAAATTCCCTTTTTTTATTCTAGTTTTTCAAAAGTTAGTGCCTTTTTCAAGGTCCTCAACTTGATAGGAATGGTTTTGAAAAAACATATTTATGGACGTTAAAATGTATAGGATGTTGAAGTTGCAGTCCATAATAAGTGTCACGGCCTCATTTTTTTTCAAAAAAATATTGTTTAGAAAAAAATGTTGAGCTTCATGGTTGAGAGCTGATGCCGAAAAAAATTTTTTTGAATTTCGGTCTGATCCTTTTTTTTCAATTTTTTTCCAACTTTAAAGTATTTTTTTCAGATTTTTTTCAAAAATTGCTCTGCAGAGATTGTAAAAAAAGAAAAACTAGAATTTTTCACTTTCTTCCAAAAATTTTTTTCATTAAATTTTTTTCATCTTCTTCATTCTTAAATTTTCTAGTCACGACTTTGCAAAACTCTAGTCTTCCAACTTTTTTTGCTGACCAATTTTTTTCCTTCTGAGAGTATTGAAATGTGACCAACACGCGAACGCTTCAATATGCATGTAATTTGAGGCGTTTCCAAATAACATGATTTTTTTTTTCTCGTTTTTTGCAAGAAGTCGAGTTTCTGTATAGTTTCGTCAAGTTGATTTTACAATATTTTCGAAGCTTTTTTCATAAATAAGAGCCTAATTTTGTTTTCTAATAAATAATTTTCGAAAATGAAGATTCATCTTCAATTCAATTCATTGTTCAATGTTGCTCATCCTAGAAAAAAATAATTTTCTAGGATGAGCAATAAATTTGAAAAAGGGCAGAAGCTTCTGGTACCTTTTTTGAACAATTTTCTTTTTATTTGCGAAAAAATTTTTCATTCTTTAAATTCTTTAAACCGTTTTTCTTTACCTTCTTTCATCTTTCAGTCAGAGTTTTTTTATTTTTTTAAAAAACAATTTTTTTCAAAAAAACATTAAAAACTCCTCAAAGAATGTCAAAATTCAAGTGACATCCATGGAATTTGATGTTTCCATTGGCGGGGAGAAGCTCCCGCCGTCGTTTAACGGAAAGAAAAGGCCTTGGTGAATTGAATCATCAAATTCTATGGTTGGAATTCCGGAAACAAGGGGAAAACGAAGAGAAAATGACAAAACTAACACGACGAGGCGTCCTCCCAGGACCAAAAAGAAAAGTATTTATTCCGGCCGCCGCCGTTGCCACAATTGTTTTAAAATCAAAAGGCGTCGGCCGCTTCTTCTTTTTCTTCTTTTCCGTTTTGATTTCCCATGTCCTTTTTTCTCAAATTCCTTATAAGAAGCAAAGTTGAACCTTGGATAGAAGTTTGAAAAAAATAATAAAATTATGTCATTGAGGTTTCCAAATGTTTTATTAAAGAAATTCAAATGAAGCGATCGCAAAAGGTTTTTTTCAATCCAGATAAAAAAATTTTGAAAGCCCGTCTAGTTTTTTTTAAATCAAATATCTGTTGCTCCAGTTATCTCATTTTTTTCCTTTCAAGTTCGTTTTTTTGTTTATTATTCAACACTTTTCACCGTTCGATTTAAAGAAAAAAAGATTCAAAAATTCGGATTTTTTTCCAAAAAGACCTTTTTTTAACAATCTCATTTTTTTATTTTTTTCATTGATTGTATGAAATTTTTTTTAAAATCTATCTCTAAATCATTTTTGCTGTTTCGTTAATTATTCATATTTCCTTCCAAGTTATTACTTGGTTTTACTGTTCAACTAACTACTTTTCGATTGTCTGTTTCTAATGCTGTGGGATTGGATCAGGGAAATACGATTCAAAAATATGTCGTAAAAAAAGAAAAAAGAGAAACATCGATTTTTTTATACATTCGTTTTCATTATAAGCCCTTATTTTTTTCTCTGTTTTGCAAAAATATCATGAGAAATAAATAGCTCTAGGGTTTCAAGTGTACCTGATTTTTTTGACAGCTTTTTATGGATTGAAATGAACTTGATATTCATTCTGAAAGATTTTTCAAAATTTTAAGAAACATTTTCTTTTCGTTTAATAGTATAGTTTGATATTTTATTACAATAATACCATAGCATTGTACGAAAAAAGGATGTAATAATTTATTTTATCTTCTTCTTTGAGTTTCGTTTTTTTTTTCAAATTTTGCGTATTTTGAGCGGTTTCGAGTGGAAAAAAAAACGATTTTTTTTCATGCCAATCAATAAACTTTTGAACATTTTCTAATTCAGCCTTGGGTATCATGTTTTTCTGGGGAAGTATAAGTTGGAAACTGCAAGTTTTTATTCAAAACCAGTTTTTTCCCCAATGCATTCGGTAGACATGTAGCAAATTCATCATAACTTGTCTTTTAGTTTTTCTTAAAAATATTTCTTGCAGCGGTGACATGGGCTTCGACGCGGCGATGCTGAAGAACGTCCTGGAGCAATTCGTCGACGAGATCGCCGAGGAGTCGTCGGATCTGATCGCCGACCGGCCCCGGTTTGCGCACGCCGTCGTCGTTCTCACGGATGACGAGGGAGAACTCTGCCAGGTATTTTTTTCGTTAGTTTTGTGGCTCGGAAATGAGATTCTTTTTTGTCTCGAAAATGGTAGAGAAGGGAAATAACTATCCTTGAAGGCTATTTATTGAACTCCCTCTGTTAAAAAAAACCACAAACAAACTTTTTTTTCCCAATCTTTCATTTTGTTATTTTTGGCGTAAACGCTACAATTTCCATTCGAAAAGAAGTTTCAAAAATATAAACAAAGCAAAAATAAACTTTGATTCCATTGGAGCATCGTATTGAGTTACGATGTTTTTATGACGCGAATCATCGAAAAATTGGCCGTTTTTCCAGGCTTCCTGCATCCGACAACTCGACGTCATCGTCCACGAAACGACCAACGCGTTTGTGTTCGTTTTTTTGAATATTTTAAGTCGAATCGGTGTTTTTTTTTGCGTAAGATGTGCTGAAAAGGAAAGTTATGAGTGCAAAAATTGAGCAAGGGTCCTGTTTTGTCATTATTAAAAACATATGATTGAAAAAGTTCGGCCGAAGTCACACGGAAAGTTTTTTAACAGGTCACTAAGTAGGTCAATTTTTTTAATATAAAAAGATCAAAATATCGAATCAAAATTATTAACAATGTCTGAAGCAAAAAGAAACTGTAGGAGAGCCTCGAAAAAATATTCTGATGAAAAATTCAAAAAAATACATCAATTTTCAGTTTGAATTCATATTTGATCAATCAGTTTTTCATTCCAAAAAACAACTTTTCAATTTTTTTTTTTCTAAATCCTCTTTCAATTTTGAGCTCACCATCAGTTGACGGTTTTTTAACTTCTTCCTCGAGCAAAAAAAAACTACAGTAGGCTACAATAACTTTTCATTCGAAAAAAATCCTCTGGTTGTCTAAAAGCTTCTTCAGAACTTTTTTTTTGAATTGATCACTTTAGGGACTCGGAATGGGAAGACGAGGAGATCCAGCGAGCCCTCCGATCTCTCAGCGAATCTCGAGAGCTTCTCGGCACGCCACGACAAAGTCTTTTCGTCGACGACAACGCCAATCCGTCGGTGACGTCATCTGTGAAGGAGGTGACGACGTCTGTCTCCACCAGTCGGGCCACCAGAATCGAACGCAACTTTGATGTGGGTTTCCAGGAGTTTTTGAAAAATGTACCTCAAAGGCGTAGGGATAGTAAAAAAAATCACCTTTAAAAAATTGACTTCTTATGATAGGCTTTTTTTTTTTGAATAGCGCTGCACCTTTTCCTGATGTCATTTGAAATGAAGTGGAAGAAAATTTTCAGAAGTTTTGGAAAAAAAAAGCAAACCTGAAGAAGTTCTTGGTTTGTCTATAAAAAAATCGTTGGTAAAAAAATGTTTTTGGTGAATTATGTAAAGTATGTCATCTCCATTACCGAAAAAAAAACGAGAACAATTTTAAAAGCCGGTTGAAAGAGGGAAATGAAGTAATTTCAAGTCGTTTTTCACAATTGGACCTGAAAAAGCACAAAAAAAAAATTAACTCTGATTACATTTGAAAAAACTTTTTTTTTAAACTACACGCGATTCAAAAATCGTCTCTAGTTTCCAGTTTCAAGTGAAAAAAAAACTTTCCATCATTTTTAGTATTAATTTCAGACTTTTTAAGCTAGAAAAATGTCCAAATTTACATTGATAAGGGGGAAAAAAGTCGGGAATGCGATTGTCCATGGAGCAAAATTGCGGCGTAATCTGGTTTTCCAAACCGACCGACTTTTCCAGCATGCCTTTCCGATTAAAACGTACTTTTTAATGTTATTTTTTCCTTGCCTGTGAATAAATATATATGAAAAACTTTTCAGTTTCCATCAATGTCGCGAGTTCGAACGACGCCCTCGCACAACTGAGCCATCTACAACGATTTATTGACCCTCGATTCACGGTCAAAACTGATGAAAATGCGGATTTCTCAAAACTATCGAATTTTCTTGTTCATTTGCTTATTCTTGTTCACATTGCTTACTGTATTAGTGTAATTGTATGTATTTTTTTATTTCCATTCACTACTACTCACTCCATATCAACGCTGTGACTGATTTATTTCGAATGATCTCGTGTCAATAAAATTGATGATCGAAATTGATGGAAAGAGCTGGATTGAGCCATCGAAAAAAAAGGATCCTGACACGATAATGAAAGAGACAGTGCCTGGTAGGTGGAGAGCCCAGACACGCCACGCCCTCTTAGCAACCCAAGCTAGCTTTGAATCAACTATAACAATAACGCATAGAAAAAGACCAAGAAGACCTATCAAGAACGGAAAATTGTTCATAGAAGGATTGACTCGCTTTTTTAAATTTTTATTCTCACCAATGATTCGAATAACCGTTTAAAGGCGCAGGGAGGAGCTTTGAATTTTTTTTTCAGGCATTTTCTTCAGCTCCACGCTTTTCGACCCCCCTTGCAGTTTTTAAAAATGATCAAGTATTTAATGAAAAATATGGTTTGAAGATTTATTTCGAGAAAAATCGTGCATTTCAAACGAAAAGAATCAAGAACCATGTTCTAAAAACGAGATCAAACTTCACAGAAAACTTTCATTTCTTGCGGAAATCCCAGACGGAGACGCGGCCATCGTTGGAAGACGCGACGACGCGTTCCTCGCCAGTGACGTCACTCCAAAGGACTTGGGTTACGGTAGCCGTGTGGAACTTGAGATGGAGCAGAATGGACTGCTTGGCGACGGAGAAGACGCGCATCGAACCGTCCCAGAAGCCGGCGAGAAGCTGCTTGCCGTTGGGCGAGAATGCCATCGACGAACAGCCTTCCGACCTGTAAACAGGAAATACAAGATGAGACGCCAGCTATTTTTTTCCAAGAAACTATTATAAATTAATATTTTTTTCGAACTTTAAGGTGCAAGAATTTCTTCAATTCGTTTCAACCGGGCTTTGAAACCTTGCCGCATTTGGAATGGCTAGCCAGAAACTCTAGAGTGGTCCCAAAGGCCTTTGAAGGTTTCCCTCAAAGGACCACTTGACGTTCCTCTTTAAGGGCACTAAAGCTTGCAAAAGTAGCTCCGGGACATACTAGTCGAATATTGTCGTGAAATCTCATGAAAAATCAATAAATTATCGTTTCTAGGAAGAAAAAATGAACAAACGATGATATGGTCAAGTTCGTTTTTATAATTTTCGAATCTGAAAAAAACCTACAGGGACCACTTGAGCTTTAGGGCCGTACTGGTCAGGAAGCACCTGAACTTTGCCCCTAAGAGGCTTCCCCTTAACCCCTATATAGATCACTTGGCCGTTCATAAGAAAACGTTTTACCGTTACCATCATGTTATAAAATTAAAAAATCAATTCTTCTTGAAATTGAGTAACGTTTCGATGCCCACGCGCGCAAGTCGTTTTGAGGTCGGTTGCAATTTCATAGTAATTTCTTCGCAACGTTGAGAAGTTATTTATGCGTCAAATGCGTTTCAATGAAACCTTAAAATTGAGTGGAAAGTTTTTTGAGGAGTTCGGACATTCTTCCTCGGGTCAATTCAAACAAAAAAAAATTCTGTTAATTGCTCATGTTCTACTGATCAAAAAAAGATCCTATGAAAAGTTTTAATAGCCTTTCCAAAAGTTTTAAAGCTGGATATCTTGAAAAAATGGACTAAAACTTTCCTTTAGCCTCTTTTTCGTTATTTTTCAAAACAAGTTTGACCTTTTTTCCCCCGCCCTTTTTCATGTCCTTGAAACAGAACATTCTGGCTTGAGCCATCGAAAAATGGGTCCTGACACGGTAAGAAACGAGATAGTGCCTGGCTAGTGGAGGGAGCAGACAGGCCACTCCCCCTTAGCGCCCCAAGCTAGCCCTGAATCAACTCTAACAATAACGCATAGAAAAAGACGAAAAAGACCTATCAAAAACGGAAAATTCTTCATAGAAAAAGTGAAATCTCACCAAGGGGGATATTCAATCAAAATCGGACTTTGCAAATCATCCACTGGGAACATTTTGATCGGCGGTTTGGCCAGTCCGAATGCAAAGTTTTTCGAAGATGTCGCTACGCAGAACACCGAAGTGTTCCCTAAAGTGATCTGAAAACCAGAATTTTGTTTTTATCCCTGAATAAATACTACCGTATCAGCTTCTTTCCGATTTTCAAGACGAGACACTGAAACATTTCCATTTTCGAAGCCGACGATTAACCGGCCTTCAACCGAAGTTGCCATGCACATGGGAGTGTCCTGGAAGTCTTTCTTTGAAGGATTTTATCGTTTAAAAAGTTCAATCCTTTAAAAAACTAAACTCAGCTGATTTCCGGCCGGCTTAAGTCATCGAAAAAAGGTCCTGACACGAAAATAGTAAGATAGTGCCTGGTTGGTGGAGAGCGGAGACAGGCCACGCCCCTCGGGTTCCAAGCTAGTCATAAATCAGCTATGCAACTTCTTATTACGGAACTGTTCTGAAGAAAAACTGTAGCCGCCAGTTTACGGCTAGCTTGAGACGCTAAGAAAGGGTGGTCTGTCTGCGCCCTCCATCAAACAGACAATCTCTAATTTTTAACCGTGGTAGGACCCATTTTAAGATGGCCCCTTGAAAAGGGTCCTTTGGGAAGAAAAATGAAAATTCCATTAGATCTCTTGGTCCCGGGAAGGAGAAAGAAGGTGATGGAAGTTGAAAAAAACTTTTTTTTTCAATATTTTCTAGAATTTTTTTCAATTTATATCTGAAATGCTCAAAGAAAAACCTTCTCCACCATTCGGGAATACTCCTCGACGGCTCCTTGGTCGAGCAGAATCGACATGCAAATCGAAGGACCATCCCCTTCGGCATAAAGAATCCGAGTTTGATCGAAAGCTATAGAGCGGCAAAATCCGACATGTTCGACTTCGTGTCGGGAGATCAAGTCATAGCGCCTTTCATTATTCAATCTGAATAGAGAATAATTAAAAGCAGAATTCTTGAAAGAAAAAAAAATAGAAAAGTTTTTGGATTTGTGTTTTTATTTTTTTCAATGAAGTTTTCGTACTTCACAGGTAAAGAAAGGTATGTTTTTAGAAAAAAATATCTTTTTGAGGGCTGTCAAAAAAATTTTTTCAATCTTTTCAACTCCCAAATTCGGGTTTTTCTGCTTGGCTTAACAAAATATCGGACATCTAGGAATCTAGCTCTGGAAGCCAAGAATACAAAAAAGCTCAAAAAAGGCAGGTCAAACTGAAAGAAGAGCAAAAAATCTGTTCAGAAAGTCATTTAGAATTTTTGGAACATTTTTACGGTCTTTTTTCGAACTTAAAAAAGATCTTTCTCGATTCGCCTGTCTTATCAATTTTTCTATCAAAATTTTCCGGAGCAGTTTTCCACCTCTAGGACTAAACTGAGAGCTTGAAAATGGAGAAAAATAGTGTTAAAATTTAAAATTTCAGGTCCACTTCGAAGCGGTCTGACTCTTTGACATGGTTTTTATCTGGTTTTGTGTTTTTTCAAAATTCTCCCTCAAAAATGGTTGATAATCGAAATCTTATTATTCTCACCTATAAACCAGAATACAGGTATTCCGAACATGCACCCAAAGATAGTAATCGACAAATCCAACTGCTAAAATCGGCCGATTTTCTTCGTCATCTGGAAATTTTCCACATGTTCATTAAACCAAGCTCTTTTCTCACAACTCATTCTCAGTCAGAATAATAAATTTAGAGAGTATCTGGAATATTTTTTTCTCTAGTTCCAATCCTGATCCATCTTGCTTTAAATCTGCGGTGAACTAACTCATTTTGATCCCTCAATTAAGTAGCGTTGGAAACAGTAATGTAGCGTTGGAAACAGTAATCAATTAAGTAGCGTTGGAAACAGTAATGTCTTCAAAAGCGGTTTTACTATTTTTTATTTTCGAAACAAAATTTTCATTTTTTTAGCGCTTACCATAAAGATTCACGATACGAAGTTGAGTGACGGTATCGAAAATTTGTACAGAACCATGGGCGGTTCCGATCGCCAGACGGTCGGGCGGACCCAGGGCGCAACACGTCGCCCCGCCTCCCAGACTCTGGTGCACGAAAAATCGGCTCCGGCGGTGACGTCATTCCATTTTCTACAGTAATTAGAAATTTTTTTATGAACCGTTTTTTTCTGGCTGATGAACTCATTATAGAAACTTTAATTGGTTCCATCGCGAATTTCGTTGTAAATATAACTTATGAAACAGAGATCAGAGCTAGCGAGCGAAGGAAATCGACGGTGAACTGAAGAGAGACCAGACAATCAGAGAAATCCGACTTCTCTGGCGTCTCTCTTGACCGCCGTTGATCTCTCGTTTCTCCCTACTTCGAACCGCTTTTCAGTTCTTCCAGATATCAATTTTTCCAAAATTACTTGAGACTTTTTATATTTTTTTCAACTATGAGAAAAAAATAGAGAAAGAAACACGTTGAATGGCTTCATAAAGCATCACGAAAACATGCCAAAATCGAAAAAAAATTATTTCTTTATTCATTTTAACTAGGAGAAAACCGGAAAAACAAATAAAAAAAGCTGAATAAATATTATAGAACAAAACAATCAATTCAAAACGCAACAACACAATGAAAAAGACCCGAATCGATTTGTTCAGTAGAAGGCTGGATTTATCAATCTTTCCGGCGGCTGCTCTGAAACAGATAAAAAAATTAAAAAAATTTTTTTGGAAATGATTTTTGATTTGAACAGTTAAAATTCCGGCTATGTAACCGAAATCGATAGAAAAAAAGCTTTTTGTATTTTAACGTTTCAAAAAGTAACAAATCAAAAAAATAAATTGAAGAATCGGTACGTTTTCAAAAAAACGAAATTCCCTCTGGAGAGGATTTTTCTTGAATCTTGAAATTTTTTGAAAATCAAGGTTTTAATTTTTCAATTGCATCTAAATTAGTTTCGCCCGATAAAGGTCAGGGTTACAGGGAAATAAATTGTTGAATAAAACTTTTGAAAATTCGAATTATTGAAGGGAGCTTTTTTCGGACAGCAAAAAATAGATAATAAAGGATCTAGGTGCATTTGGACAATGTAAATGGATAAAAATTACTTTCAATTAGACTACCATCGTTCAGAAAAGTTCAAAAAAATAACAGTTTCTTGGGATTTTTTTCATGATCGTTTCATTCAGTTTTTATTGTAGAAAGCGTTCTCTAGAAATAATTTTTTTGCTTTTTTTATCTTTCGAAAAAGTTGTAATTTCACTAAAATCTATTTTTTTTTCTCGAATGATTTTTGAAAAAATGTTTTTTCGTTTTTTTTGCGTGAACTTCTGCAAAGTGAGAAAAAAATTTAAATTTCTGGGAGCGGAAATAGTTTTTAAAAGAGAAGGATGACTTGATATTTTGATCTTTTTCCAAATTCAAGTTTTTGCCATGTTCTTTTTTTCTAATTTTGTTACATGACTTTATTTTTTCCGGTAAAAAAGACCTTATATCTGCGATCGTCGCGCTCCTTTTCGCGTTCTTTCTCGCGTTCGCGGTCCTTGTCGCGATTTTTGTCGCGCTCGCGTTCGAGTCGCTCCTTCTCCCGTCGTTCTTCCTTTCGTTCGCGTTTTTCCCGCTCTTCGCGCTCCTTATCCCACACGACATCCTTGATCTCTTGACTGAAAATCGCAAAAATAACACATATTGTTCTGAACTATCCCTGTTTCAAATCGACAACTTGTTCAAAAAAATACTAGCATTGCACTGTTCTTAACTAGACAATGGTTATTCATCCAAAAAAAAAAAAAACGGACTCCATGCTTTTTTGCTGAGCCGTCGACATGGTCGGGAAGAACTCCTTGAGCTCGTTGAGAATCTCCTGAAAATCGAAAAAAATGAACAAAATCTAGTTTTTGACCAAAATGATAAGAGGAAATTGAAGTTCTTAAAATGAAAAAAAAAATTTGAATTCACGGTTGTGAAATCGTCCCAAAAAATTGAATTTTTTTCAAGGAAATTTGAAAAAAACAAACTATAGTTTAAAAGACCTAGGCTGCTGGAAAGAAAACATAATTTGCTACAAAATTCAAAAAAATAAATCTGTTTCAGAAAGAAAAAAACTTTAATTATCAGGGTTATGGAAATTTGTTTATATCGTCTTTTTTTCTTTTTTATTTGAGCCATTTCCTTTTTCTTTTTTCTTGCTTTGTTATCAAGTTTAAAAATGATTTTTTTTCGTTTTTTTTCTGAAAACAGAAAAAAATATTCCTATCGGTCACATTGAAAATGTGTTCATAAGATAATTGATCTTTTTCATGAAGCCGATAATAAAATCAGAGTAAAAAGAGCCGGAAAAAAATTGGATTACCGGCTAGTTTCAGGCCATCTCATCCCTCAATAAAAAAAGAGCAAGAAACGCTTTCCCACCATATTTCATACCGCTTCTGATCTATCACCCTATTGGCCAAATTTTCAAAAAAAATCGATTAATCGAAGTTCTATTTTAATCAAATGTTTTCTCTTCAACTCACTTCGCCCTGTGATTGAACCAACTCGGTGAACTCCTCGTAAGTGAAGTTTGTCAAGACGGCCTGGAAAAATCCATTTTGCGTTCAATTATTCGAAAAAGCTGAAAACCCCGTAAACGATATCCTTGAGTTTCATGACGGCGAAGAAGAAAGATTCCTTGAAATGTTCGTTGTGTTGCCACAATTTCCTGGCAACCAGCTTTTGCAAGAGATTCGTTAAGAAGCTCTCCAGTTGCGAGAACTGAAAAAAAGCGGTTCGAATACTTATTGGGCTAACGAAACAAAAAATTGTATATATTGCTGGGGTGCTTCAGAAAAAAGCATCGTGACTGACTACATTTCAAAAAAATCAAGTTTAAATAACATTTGAAAAAAATTTTCCTGACCAATTTCAAATATTGTTTTATTCCCTTTCATCTTGTCTCTGGTCAGGAAGCTTATTGGAAATTTTCAATTGACCAATTTCTATGCCGTTAAATGCCTCTCTGACCTATTCAAAATGTTCAAAACTTCCAAGAAATTCTCTAAATTTTGTAAAATCTCTAAAAATAATTTTTCAAATGTATTGCTTTAAAAGCCGCCCAAACGTTGTTGAGAACGAAAAACTTTGATTCTTTCAAATATTTCACATAATTTCCAACGTATTCTTAGAAAGAAAAGCAGCTCCAAGTTTGGAAAATTCTACCGATAAAGCTGTGAATCAAAAATTGCCTTCTTCCTAAGAAAAACCACTGAAATCACCGTAAACTTCGAAATATTTTGCAGAACTATTGGAAATCTGAACGTGATTCTTTGATCACCAAACTATAAAAAGAAAACTGAGAATCGAAGATCGACGATTGATTCGAATTAATCGCGCTTCAACGAACCTTCTCATGGATACAAACGAGCGTGTTCATGAAGATTTGCGGCAAAGGACGCGACTCAAAAAGTTTCTCAACCGCTTTTGCGGCCGCTTCTTTCGTCACGAAACGGGGATCCAGCACTTCTCGTATACCTGGGATTTTTTCGAATTTTGTTGATGATACCGAAAAAATAAATGTGATAGGAAACAGTTCTTAAAGCAAGCCGTTATGACCCTATAAGACCTCTTCGACGTGAGAATTTGGTACAGTCTTTTCAGATTTTTGATGTGAAATTCAATGACGTCATTCTAAAACGTTCTCTGATTGGTTTGCGCCATTAGAGGCGGAACTTGAGCAAACGACTTGGTATTCGAAATTCTGCAGTGAGATTAAAAAGGAAAAATCTAGAAAGCTCCTTCCTTCCTGGAGTTTTTTTGGGAGAATATTTTTATTTCATCCTTTCTCTTCGTTTTCACTCACTTTCCGCCTGGAGATTCAATTCTTTCTCATTTTGCGGCTGAATGAGATGGTACTGAACAATGAGATCATCGACGGCGAAACAAGGGTCTCCAGTTGTCATATCTGGAAGAAAATGTCTTCTTTCTGTGCTTCTCATTCATTTCCTACCTCGAGCATTGTACAACCGCCGGAAAACCAAAGCCACCGATTTTTGATACTCGGATCGGAGGACGAATTGTGGGAGAAGGGTGACGACCTCGTCCTGGACGAAAAGATGAGAAAGACTTGTAGAAATTGATGTGTTCAAGAACAATTGAGAGATTGAATATTGAGTAAAGTTGAAAAATTGAAACAGGAGAATATTCTAGACCATACGTCGGCTGGATCCCACCCCCGAAAAGTACGGCCTATTCCAGTACATTTTTTTTTTCGCGCGCAAAAGACTGGGGTGGGATCCAGCCGATGTATATTCTAAACGATTCTCATCTTTTAATTTGAAAATAGACGAATTAGAAGCCAAGTTCATAAGAAAGGAAGTCTACAAAAAGCTCAAAACGAACCCTGGAAAGACCTCCGATGATCGGAATCAAGGCTCGAACGTCCGTTCTTCGTTCGTCGTGTAACCTCTTCACACGGACGACCAACTCAGGGATCGCAGGGGCTAGAAACAGTTATTTTTTCAAATTTTTCAAAAGAAAGGAATTTTTTCGAGGAAAAATTGAAATTTGATGGCTTCTGGGTTAATTTAAAAAATGTTGACTACAAAAAGTAGGAAAAATCGTGATTTTGCATCAAGAACTGATTTTGGCATAATATCATGGTGAAGATAACAAAATTTGCTGACGCAGAAAAAAATTATATCAGCAAAAAAATGAGCATGAGAAGAATTTTAGATGTTTCATGAGCTCCATCGAAACTAATTGCAAATTTTAATTTTAAAAACCCTATTTTTTTCCAGTTTATTTATCGATAATTTTTAAAAACAATACCCGCTAGAGAAAAAAATTTGAAAAAAATTGGATCTCAGAAAGGTTTTTTTGGTTTTTTTAATTAGGGGACTAGCAATGAAAAACTAGATTTTGAATTCTAAGTTCATTTTGAAACAGAAAGTCCACCTTTAAGCTCAATTTCAAGATCCATTTCTCGATCAAACTTCCTCAATTTTTCCAAAAACAGAACGAATCTTCTTTCCTACCTCTTTCAGTCAGTAAATGAACAATCCTTGCGACGAGAGTTTCAGCCCCGACGGGACATTCTTCTACTAATCGCAACATTTGTTCGTCCCGCATTCCGATCGCCTTCACTGCCGGCTCAATTGACCGGAGAACTACCTGGAAATGAATCGAAATTTCCAAATTTTATTGTTGTTCTATTCAGAGATCGTAAAAAAACTAGACATTTTCGAAAAAAATCTTCTATATTCTGCAGAAACAATTTTTCTTCTTTTTTTTTTGAAGGGAAGTTCGAACAAAATTCAACAAATTTCATAGCCGACGTCGGAAGGGTCCCAAAAGACTCCTTTTTGGGTAAAAAAAACCCCTTTTTTGCTGCCTTTTTGCGCCATTTTATCGGCTCTTATGAACCATTTTTGCTGCCTCTCCCTTTTCCCACCATTTCTCAAGATCTTTGAGAGTCTAGAAGAAATAAAAGACTCGGAAAAAGGATTCTTATTCTGTTTTTTTTTGTGAGAAAGATCGATTTTTACAAATTTCATAAGCGGAGTCGGAAAGGGTGGAAAAAAAGCTACATAGAAATGTTCCTTTTAGGGTGACAAAGGCTTCTTTTCTGCTGCTTTTTGCTGCCTTTCTGAGGCCTTTTTTTAGCCTCTCCCCTTCAGCGGCCATTATCCACTATTCCAACTTTGCCCGAGTTTAGTCTATTCTCCAAAAAAAGGTTCTTATTCGCAGAAGTTTAGATAACCTTTTTTTTGAAAGAAAACTTGAGTTTTTTCAATTTTCAATCAATCAATGTCACTTAACCATCGAACTAAAAATAATTTCCTTTTAGAATATCCATTTTTCGGAGACCCAAATCTTCATTTTTCTTTCCCAAACCTTCTTGAAAGTGGTCGTTCCATAGGCATAGACGTCAGCCAGGGGCAAAAGAAGGGAAGGATCGAAGGGCATGATTCCCAAATAAAGGGTCAACGCGCATCGGAAAATGTCCTCTGTCCAATCCTCGCTGGGCTGCAAAACATCATATTCCATTTTCAAACAAATTTTATTTATTTTTACGCGTAAAACGCAGTAATTAAAAATGGAAAAAGTCGACTTTTTCCACGTTTCAGGACATTTTTTTCGGGGGTACTGCGTATGAAGTTTCTAATAAAAAGGGGCCTGACCCTCTAAAGTTCATAAAAAAATCATAATTTCTATTATCCCAATTTGAATTTGTAACTTTTTTTCTATTTTAATAAAGTTAAGGCTCGAAATGAAAAACCATTCTCTTTTCTGAAAAAAATGAAATTTTTTTCATGAAAAAAACACTTTTCGTCAAGAAATAAAGTCTTTGTGAAAATGATTAGCCTCGAAAAATACGGGGGTTTCTGTCCTAAATCGAAAAAAATTATAAAAACTTGAGACTTCGAAAAACAAAGATGTGACAAAGAGTATTTTTTTAAAAGCTTCTGGTCCTCTTTTTTTCTGACCCTTAATCTCAAAATATTTTTCTCGATCACCTAAAAATTTTGATCTATTTTTATCGATGCGCTTTTTGAACAATTTTCCGAAAAATACCGATTCTGGGTTTCTGAAGTACACTGGCGGCACGGGCTCAAGACATTCCTGGAGTTGTTCTTTCGCCTTCTCAGTCAGGGCTCTTCTGGAAATAGCGGAATATTTTCTGAAATTCAAGGAAAAAGGAGACCTCAAATGAGCTAGGGCGCAGAGTTCCTTCGCCGTGTCGACGCAAGCTGATCGGAGCTGAAAAAAGGAGAACTTTCAACTCATTGTGAAAAGATTCTCATAAACGAAAAACAAAAACAAAAGAAGATATTTTTTTGAAGCAAAATACGAAAAAAAAAAATGTTTAACTCTAAATTTAGGTATTTTCATGCCCAATTTTCCCCTCACAATCAAATTTTATAAATAGAAAATTGGAAACCTCAGGTTTATCGATAAGTGTTCTTATAAATGCTCGGGAGCGCTTTTTGAAAAAATTTGAGGTCAAGAGAGCCAAAACCAGTCGTTATTCCAAAACAGAAAGGAAAAGGTCCAAAACGCTAGCTTTTTGCGTTCAAAAAAAGGTTTCAACATCTTTCAAGAGTAAGAAATTAATCACTTCAAAACTTCTATTTTCCTCTCAACTAAATTAAGACAAAGAAAATTCAGAACCTCAGGTTTATCGAGAAAAGAAAGGTTGAAGAAAAAGTTGAGAAGTTCGCCGCGTTGTCGGTTTCTCGTGAGGATGAGTTCTCGGAGGGTTGTCATTCCAAAAGCGCCGCCGACCTGCAAAATTAACTTTCGGTAATCAATTTGATTCAAAAAATCAGTGAAACTCATCGAATGGAAAAAATCCACGAATTCATCCTGTAATGTTTAAAAATATGAACACCTTTGAAAAAAATATTTGTTCCAAAGATGGTTAAATTTTATTTTATTTTCCGCTGACAATTTGAAGAAAAACCTCAATAATTTCCATCATTTTGTAGCAAAAAACTGATGAAATGTGAAAAAAACTATTTTATGTCCTCCAATAAAAAGTTTGAAAAATAAGTTAACACTTGAATATTCTCAAAAACGTCTTTTTTGGTTGGATTTCAACTATTTACCGGTCTAACTAAACCTTACGACATGTTAAAAATTATGCCTCAACATTCAAAAAAAAACAGTTAGAAAGTGAGAAAGATGACTAAATATTGGAGAGTGAGAGATAAGTTCAAATTTCGCGGAAATTACTTCGAACATGGTATTAACTCCCGTTTCGAAAAGTAGATTTAAAGAAACAATATTAGATTTTCGCTCAGTAAAACCACGATGAGATCATCTTTTCCAAACTTAAAAGAAAAAAAACGTAAAAATCAGAAAAACCCTTTGTTCATCCATTATTCCTCTTCAAAAACTCCAAATCACCTTATCAAGACAAACGGTTTTCAAGTACTCCAAGGCGTTCAACGTCACCAGCGGCGAATCCAGAAGCATTTTGTGAAAAAGCCTGGAAAATTCCCATTTTCCTTCGGATTTTCCTGGAAAAGACGAACGCTTCCATGTGCAACTTCTTCTCCATCAGAGCTTTCAGAAGTTCGCACATGACTCTGTCGTAACGTTCCAGTCGCGCCGTCCTCGTCAGTCCGTCGGCTCCTTCGATTTGCTCGCGGAGCCAAGTCGTGCAGCACGAATATCTGATTAACTACCCTTATCAACTAGATTTTATACTTTGAATAATGTAAAATTATCCGTTTTTCTTTATTTTTCAGAACTCGACTGAAAATTGATATTGAAACCAAAAGAAGCCTAAACTTCGAATAATTTTAAAAATAGGACTTGGACCTTGGTAACGCGAACGGGACACGAATCGGACTTGTCGGGGCATTTCTAGTGACCACTTTAGTAGCCTCAGCGCTCTTAATTGACCCCTAGAATCGGCCAGAAACGTCCGGCGCACGTCCGTTTCGCGTTTCCAGTGTCCGAGGACATGTTGTGGAATGCGGGACTGAGGAGTTTCTGAGGAGTCCCTACAGAGGTTTTTTATTTAAAGGGTCCCTATGGAATCCCTCCAAAGTTTCTCAGAGAAAATATACACAGAACTATTGTGCGCGCTACCGTACATTACTTCTGCATAGAAGTTATTGATTGGCCAAAAAAATTTTTACCCCAATATTCGGTTGGTAACCAGAGTTTTTCTATAGTTTATCGATTGTATATTGATATTATCTAAAGATAAACCTTATATAACTAACACTGAGAGAGTCAAAAGATCGTTACAAAAAACACAACAGTACACGATTGAAATTTCATACAAAACCTCCTTCATTATTGCTCAGGTTTAAGACAAACTAATTCATTTTTCAACTCGTTAGGGTTGACCCCTTGTTCATCTGCCCATCCAATATTGATAACTTACTTTCTAATATTTTCTAATGCTGAATCAGTGGCAGTGAATAAACTATTATTATGCTCCAACGAACCCTTGATACTGAGCGTACAGCTCGGAGAGCCACAATAACGCAAGATCCGTTCTTTTCTTGTGGTCCTCGACGATGAAGGCGACCAATCGGTTCTCGAAAGCCTCGGCGTCTTCTCGGAAACGACACGTCAGCCGAACGACCAACTGTTGGTAGATCAACGTGGCGCCGCCTTGGACCACTCTTCCTGAGGAGGGAAAAGTCAGAAAAAACCTTTTCAAAATCAGAGATAGAAGTTTTTGTGATAAACTTGAGAAAAATTGAATTTCCCATCGTTTTCAAAGGTTCAACTATTTTCCTCAGAGTTATTGAAGGAAGTTTCATCAAATAAAAAAAGGGATGAAAAAAACTTATGTTAAAGTTAGAAGACGTAAAATTCGCCTTCGATTTCAAGATGCTCCAAAAACTAAGTGAAACTCGATTTCCCGCTTCAAAAATTCTTTCTAAACTATTTTTTTCGTGAATTTTTAATGATTACATGTCGTCTCATTTCCATAAAAACCAACTTTCGGCCCTCAAAACGCTGTCGAAGGCGCATTCGAAGAGCTGATCCATTTCCTCGGAGGTCAGTTCCTTCGTTTCCTCTATCAGATTCAGAGCTTTTTTCGATTTCAGCACTGGGGCGCTCTGGAAATTGAAAGATGACACGGTTTAGCGGAGTTTCTAGAAACGAAGCCCTTATCAGAATTTAAAAAAATTCTTTTTTTGGCATACAAAAAAATAATTCTAGCACACAGCAAATTTTTCAAAGTAAATTATCCACAATAAAAAGCTTTTTTATTGTCTCAAAATATTTTCAAATTCAGATCTTTCATTGATTTCAGCTTTTAGCCAACTTGGAAGGTAGAAATAAGTTTCACAAACTCTCTAAAAACCCGCAAATGATCGAAAAGATACTTTGTTTGTCTTGTATCCTTTCAAATAAAGACGTTCTCAAATATTATAAATTCTTCAAACGTAACTTTTTCAATTGTTGAATTTTCATCAAAAATAATTTTTGGAAAAATTTTCAACAATTTAATCGTATTTCGTGTGAATAATAAAACTAATGATTCTGAACTTCAGATAAAAAGATCAAATTGGAACCAACATTGCTGTTCCGAATTTATGTTATAGCCAGAACTTTATTTTTTTCATATAATGTGTACCGTGAACACCACGCAAAAAATTCTCCATAAAATCAGATATTTTGAGTTTTTCACTCTTTGGGCGAAACTTTTTCCACATTGGTGGAGGTTCCAAAAGTATTATGGAATGATATTTTTCAAAGAAAGAAGACTCCTTTCTTGAGAACTATCGAAAAAAAAAAACCAAGCACCGAACTTGGTTTATTTTTAAGGGCGAAAACGCTCTAAACTCCTGAAAAGATGAGAAAAGTTCTACTAAAAGGTTGCTAATTGAAAAATGAAATTTCTCTGACTTTTTTTTGCTCTGAAGCTGAATTTTTAAAGCTCTTTTCTGACCGAAGGCGGTGGCAGGGCGCCAAACGGGACTTGGGGCGGCTTTCGGGACAAAATCGTCGTTGGCAAGTGTTGCGGCGTCGGCGCGATGGCCAATCCTTCCATCCGGGCTTCTTGTCGTTCTTCAAATTGAGAGAAGATGAAGTTCAGTTAGAAATGTTGTGAGAAAACCCCGGAACTGTTCTTTTTTGAGCTTTTTGACCTGTTCGAAGCCCGGTCCGACCTCGGCCTGCGTCGCCTGGGTGGCCATCATTCGAGATAAATCTCGTCTTTGTTCCTGGAAAAACTTTATTTATTTTTTTCTAGAGCTTTCAGAACTGTAATAAAAAAAGTTATGTGGGTTTTAAGATTCTAAAAATCTTCCTGAGTTGGTATCAAACAAAAAAATAAAAATTTATTCTATTGCCGAGTTCAATTTGATTCCGCGAAATGCAAAATACCCGTTACTTATGTTAGAGAAAGGAAAAATATCACTAAATTTTTGGAGAGTCAGAGATCATTTTGCATTTCGCGGAATCAAATTGAACACGAAATGTCCATAATAAAATTTTTTTATAGCTATTTTAAAAAAATGAGAACTTGAAAAAAATAAATCTGAAAAAAACTTGCGTTACTTTTTTTCTACCACTCCTGCCAGTTTAAAAAAACTTTTTTTCTGATCATATTCGATACAATTTTAATGCTGATAAATATTTTTCCGCTTTAAATCTTACTTCAAAAAGCTCATTTTTTTGAAAAAAATGTCTAAAAAAATTGAGTAAAAAGTTCTTCAATCTATATTTTTTTGAAAAAAATCTATTTCCTTACCGGAAGGAAATATTTTTTTCAAAAATTTTTTTCAAAAAAATTAGTTGAAATATGTTGTTAATAGCTTTTACTAAGAACTAGTTATTATTGATATTTCCACGAATTTTCATCAAGACGTCCTAAAATCAAGCTATACTGACTTTACTGCTTCTTGGAAGGATCATTCCAAGTTGTACATAAAATTATCAATGTGATCCTTCGAAACTAACCTCCGTTCCAGCAGCCGCAATAGGTGTATAACTTGAACTGAAAGTGGGAGGCATTTCTTCGGGTAACGTCATCTGAAACGCATTTGAAGGCTTTAGAGGAACAGAATGTTTGAACTGGGTATGATTTTTAGGTTGCTTTCGGAATGAATCATTTACATAAATTGCAACGTTTTCATCTCTTAAAAAAAATACTTTTTTTGCTAAAGGATTTTTTGAGCCGCTATTTTGCTCCTATTTTTTCAGTTAGACCTGTTTCTTTTCTTGAAATATTGTGTAGCCTTGCCTTCTAATTAGCCACTTTTGGAATGTTGCAAAAATAGAAAATAAAATGTTGAAAATTGGATCTTTTTACTAAAATAAACAAAACGGGATCTTTTTCCCATGAACGCATTCTACTTCTTCTCAGAAGACGTCGCGACGAACCAATGAGATGAGGACGAGTTTGATGACGACTTCGGTGTTGAGCCGCTCGAAGACGTACTGCGACGTGACGTCGACGGCCGTCAGGACCGCGTCTTTTTCGTGGTTCAACTTGGCGGGTTGGGACGTCGACGGCTCCTCGTCTTCGTCGTCCTCGTCGAACAGACCCGATGATTTCGCTGCAGGAGAAAAAGTTGTTCATTTCGATGAAAGAAACTATTAACTTTTTTTTCTGTCTGAGAATACTTTTTTTTTTTTTGTTTGAATTTTATTCCAAACAGTTGTTACTGTGCCTTTACGACGACTCTTGGAGTAGTTATATAGAAAAAAAGAGGCCATGAATAGAAAGTATTTCAAAAATCTCATTTTCGTCGAACAAAACCGATGTTTTGGCTTAAAAATAATAGTTCATTTAAAGAAAAAGTTTTTCTAACTTCCTTTTCTGACTAAAAGTACATTTTTTTTTTTCAAATTTGGATAGTCAGGTCTTACAGTGCTTCATTTTTTAAAGCAGTTGTAGAGCGAAAAAAGACGTTATAACTAGGAAAAAAAGGCCCCGAAAATCTCGTTTTATTTCGAAAAACTTCGATTTTGTCGCTTCAGAGATAGTATTTGTTCAGTTTGAAGAAAAACTTCAATTATTTTTTTTGCGTCTAGAATACATTTTTTTTTGAATTTCATTCAAGGCAGTTGTTAAAATGCATTTACGACGACTTTTAGAGAAGTTATATGGAAAAAAAGACGCTATAAATAGAAAAATTTTTAAAAAAATCTTGTTTTCGTTTCAAGGAAAATGACTGTTCAGTTTTAAATAAGAAGTAAACTTTTATCAATTTCTCCAGTGTCTAAGATACACTTTTTTTCATTTAATTTCAACCAATTTTCCGTTTTTTTACTATGACAAATTTTTTTAGACTATATTCAGAAGGGAAAAATCGGAAAAAATTCCAAGAAAGGTCCTTGTCGGGCATAGTTTCTTTTTCTGTTTCAAAAACTATTTTTTGTCTCTAAAAGGGTAAAGAAACATTTTTCTTCATGGTGAAGCCAAGGTAAAATTTTTTTTATGGTAGTTTAATCAGTAATGGTCCGACTTCATAGAAAGAACTTATCAAGTTCTAATTTTTAAGTAAATATATATTTTTTTCCAGATTTTCGATATTGAATAGAAGAAGAAAAACTTTTCTCAGAATTTCTCCCTTTTTTTCTCACCTTCATCGTGCTTGGCCCTCTTTGCAGGGAGCGGTCCATCATCCCCGGCCGCTTTTTTCTGCACCTTCGGAACCAAGTGCGCCGGAATCGCTTTGCTGATTTCCTGAACAATTTCATACAAATCTCTTCGAATAATTCAATGAAAACGTGAGGATTCGATCCGAGATAGACGAGAAGAGTCGAGATTTTGCTCTGAAAAGGGACGGCGGCCGGAAGTTTCAGGAATCGCATCAGGTTTCTTTTCAGCTCTTTTCGGACCGATTTGACCTGGATTTTGGGTTTGAATTCAGGTCAGATCTTTCTTGATTCGGAACCTGACTGGTTCCAAGTGTTGGGGGAAGGTTGACGTGGAGGATTTCCATGGCTTCGACGACTCTGTGGAGGGCGTTGTCCCAGTTTGGGCGGTTCCTCGCGACCATACAAAGGACGTCGACCGCCGTGAGCAGGTTCTGGAAAATGTTACCTTTTTTGAATGAACTTGCTCAACAGGGGGAGTCATTTCACTTTGCGGTTGGGATTTCCTTGAAAATTGGCCAGAAAATCTCTTTTTTTTGTGAAAATTCAAACCTGCACGACTTCCTAGTTCTCAAGAAATGAGAGCTGAAATCCTCAAAATTGCCTATTTTATAAATTTTGAGGGTTTTCTTCCACGTTTTTTTCTCTCAAAAACGAGGACGTTTTGCAGATTGAGTTTCAGAACCTTCTTCTGGTACATCAAGGAGTTTCTGGCCAATTTTCAGAAAATCCCAACAGCAAATTAAAATGACTTCCCTTGGAAGTACATTTCGATCAGAGAAAACACAAAAAAGCGCATTTTTTATGAAAACTTTCTCGTATGGAGCTCAATCTTTTTGAAACTTCATGGAGCTACGTTTTTTTTTTACTGCGAATGGAAATCCTACAGAGTCTTACAAATAGCAGCTATAACAACTTCAGAAAGTTACAGAAAAATGAATTTCATACAAAAATGCGTTTTTTGGCATCTTTTCTGTAGAAGCTGTACTGCAAAAAAATGAAAAAGACCATCAAATCATAAAAATTTCAAGGTGAGCCTCTTTTCTAAAAAATTTTCTATCTCTCTTTTTCTGTATGAAGAAAAAATTCTACATTAAACTAAAAATGGGACCTTTCTTTAAGAAACAGGGATCTAAGTTCAAAAGAAAACGAAAAAATCAACTTTGTTTTCGATACGCTAATGACAGAAATTACTATAATTGAAAAGTTACACTTTTTTCTTAAATTTATAGCAGTACGAGAGACTCTTTTATACCTTTTCCTACTTAAAATTTCGTTTTCGCCAAACCTGGGCCGAAATGTGCATGATCGTGGTCTGCTTGATCATGGCCAAGAAATTCTGTTCAGCTTCTGTCTGAGCTTTTCGGAAGGAGATGAAGCGGTGTCCACGCGGAACATCGTTCAGGGAGACTCGCGAAAACCGAGTATTCAGTTCGTTTGTGACAGGCGGCGCGTTGGGGTGAACTACTTCCTGAAAAAAAGGGAATGTTTTGGGAGCAACTAGAAGTTACAAACAAAACAGTGTTAATACTTCACAACTCGAGCTTCGAAATACAAACCGAATGAGAAACGGTAATGTAATCTAAACGTTTCGATGTACTTTCGCAACTGCTAAATCACTATATACTTAGTATAAGACTATAAATGGGAAATGTTTTTTTGCGAAAACTCTAATTTAATTTTTTTGTGTTATATGACTTTTTGATGGTTTTTTTGAAAAATATATTGAGAAAAATTAAGTATTTTTTTAAACACTTTTACCACCTTTTTTTATTTTTTTGAAGATTTTAAACAAAGATTCAGATTTTTGAAAAACTTTACATACTAACTCAGTTGAATTAACATTTTTTTTGCCCATTATAACACCTCCATCGATTTTTTTCTTTCGATAAAATTTTCTCTCAAAAAAATTTTCGTCGTTTTTTTTTACTTTTCGGAAGGTTAAAATCAAATTTTATCAAACATTTTCAAAGAAAAAAAGCATTTTTTCTCCTTTAACAAACCTCTTTCGGTTTCGGCGATTGACACAATATCATACTTTCCAAGAACTTCAAAGTAACTGTTCGAACTCTAAAAACGTCCCGAAATAACTTTTAAAATATACAAAAGTCACCCGTCATTATCAGAGTCTATAAGCCGCATTATTCGGCCTTTCAGTAGTCCAAAGGCTTCCCAAGTTTGTTCAACCTAAAAAAACCTTTTCCAGTATTTATTTATTTGAAAAGGCAAACCACAGGGGCGTGACTCCTTTTGACGACCCATTCCAGGATTATTGGGTACAAGTTTGTGCAGGCCACTATTACCTTAAAAAATCGTATGAAGACAGAAAATGAAAAAAAAAACTTACTCTTTTGACGACTCGAATATATTTAGGGACACTTGTATCGTGTGTCAAGTAAAAAGTTAGTCGATCCAGGGCTTTGGGACAAATTTCCGGGTCTTTTGCACTGAAAACGATTTTTAAGCCCTTTTATGAAAGATTCTGGGCATAAAATTTGAAAATTCAGAACAATACCAACCAAGCCTTTTGAAGAAAATCCACAATCAAACACATGACACGAGCCTCCCGAAGTTCGCCAAACTCGAGCATTTCGTCCAAAAAATTGTCAAGCAAGTGGTTCGGTCTCACCGGATCCACCAAGATTTGCATAGCCTAAAAAACAGACAAAAAAGATCTCATAATGAAATCACAAACTTACCGCAGCCAAAGCCTTGACTTTCACGTCGAAGGTTGTTCCTTCTCGGGCATCTCTCAACGCGTCGGCGACCCTCTGAGAAGCCGATTCTCCATCTTCTAGGAGTTCTACAAAGTCTCCCATACTAACCGTCCATATATATCGAGTTCTCTGAAATAATATCTTGCAGGCAAGTTTGAAACTACCAAATACTCATAATAATCGACTACCAATGGAAAAAAAAAGTAAATAAAACAGTTTTCAGTGAGAAGAAAAACGATGATAACATATTCAAACATTGAAAAACTTTTGAAGAATAAAAAACAGCGTGCAATCAAAACAGAAAAATGAAAACGAAATTTGTCTGGCTTGTAAAAAAATTGAACACTGTTTTTGTGTCTGAAAATCGAAGTTCTTGCTCTATTGAAGTGTATATAACTTTAGAAGACAAGAACCGCCTGAAATATTTTAAAAAAACAGAAAAAAAGAAGCGAAAAAAAGTCTCAAAAAAGCCGGAATTTTTTTGAAAAAAAGCGACTCTATTTCTCAGCGGCGCGCACTTGATTTTTTCAGTTTTGGCGAAAATTTAAATTTTTCTTTTCCTCGTTTTCCTCGTTTTTCTCTTCTTTATTTTTTTTTTCATTTTTCAATGCTTTTTTTCCGTTTTTAATCTATTATACGTTTTAAGTTGATTTGAAAAAAATATTCTCTAATTTTTTTAGAATGCTTCATTTAAACTTTTTGTTATTCAATCCAATTATTTTAATGTTTCTTGTATTAAGCCTTTACAATATATTTTCTTACAAGTTACACTTCCTGCGTCTATATCAGTGTTTAATACAAATAAAAATACAAAAAGTTAATGAATAGGTTTCTCAAACGTGTCGAAGAGATCTCAAGTGGCTCTAGGAAGGCAAACTTTGTGTGTCGTTTTTCCCGCTTTTCACTCACTTCTTTTTTAATCTCCCACTTCAGGATTTTGCCGATTATTTAGTAAAGTGCGAAAATTGTTTTAATTGTGTGTTCCGAAAATCTTCCGCAAGAATATTCATAAGCTCGTGAGGCCCTTTGTGGGAACGCCGTATAAATTAGTTTGCGTCCGTTGCTCCTGGCTTTTCGGCTTCTTCTTTTTCCTTCCGTTTGTTTTTCGCTTTCAAAATAAGAAAAAATGTTTTTGCCGTGCTCTGAGAGAAGTTCCCACTGATTTCCAAGAGTGTTCGAATTTTTCCTCTGTTCATGGCTACAAAAAGTTTTCTCGATAGCGGAAGATAAATCAAATTTTGAGACTCGTGGTTGCCGCCAAAAAGCAACGTCGAGAAATGTAATTTGTCCCTGGGGGACAACAATTTTTCGTTTATCTCGCTTCCCGTCGAATTTATCGGCTTTCAGACGTTCGAGTTGCCTCCTCTGATCCTCATATTTGCTCTCCATTTTGTTTTTACTTTTTTCTAAGAATTCAAGGATATTAAACCAGTTATCAGTGTTTTTTCTTAAATTGTATTTCTTGCGGTTCGTTTGTGAAATTTTCCCAAGGCTAGTTTAGTCATATGAAAAGATTTTTTATTTTTAAATTTCAATCGCCCAGTTCTAGCTAACATTCAAGATAAAGGTTTCACTTTTTGTATTCAAATGAAGTCGCATGATTTTTTTGAACGTACAGTTGAATAATTTCTAGCTTCATGCTTTTTTTAAAAATCTCATTCTCCTAACGACAATTATTTTTTTAAATTTTTGAAGATCAAATTTTTGGGATTCAGTGTTTTTCTCCCTAACTTTGAGGTTTGTAGAAACAAGGTAGTCGAATTATCATTTAAAAAAAGCTTTCTCCACTATAAATTATTTTGAATCGTACACGTGTCAGGTTTCATTTTTATCATCAATTTTTCAGTTTTTCTTTTTTTTAGCTTTTTTTTAAAATTCAGTAGAATTCCGTGCCAGTTTCACGAAAAATTCAAGCTTCAATATCTCGAATAAAATGTAAAAAAATCGAAAAAGTTTACTTTTTTTGAGTGACAGCAAAAAAATTAAATTATAATGTTTAGAAAATTTTTCAAATTTTCAAATTTTTTTCTTTAAAGTTCGTTTTAAGGCTAATCTCATGAAGGTCTCAAGGCTAACAGCCGTTTTTAATTGCATTAAAGACTTGTTCGGCCTAAAAAACTGCAGAAAACATTTTTTGAACAGATTTTTTCTTTGGAAAGGGTTTTTCTCACCCTTTTCTGAATAATTTATGGAACCGTGGGAGTTTCCTTCTCGTCAACTTTCTGTTCAAATGACAAAACGATTGATTCATTGGTGGACGCGAGAATCCGGTTATTTCGATAAAGAAGATGGAAAATGAAAAAGAAGAAGAAGGGGAATGGAAAAGAACCTGGAGACGACGAGCAATTACTCTTTTCCTTCCATTTTCGTCCTGCGAGTCGCACTTTCATCCGTCGCCTCGGGCCATTTTCTCCCAGGGCCGCTAATGGCTCTAACCACTTTCCCATCTTTCTTTCCGGTCAAAATCCTGTCATCTATTTTCACGTTATGCTCTTTCATAGATCATGAATTTTGATAGGATAAGCTCAAAACAGATTGATTAACTATCAAGAAAGAAAAAAAGTATTCTTTTCGTTTCTTCGGTACTCAGTTTTCTACTTAAATATTCAATTCCTTTTGGATTTTTTGAATTTTCTTTTTCTGAAGATTCAAGTTAACAATAGCGTAGTTATAAATTAAATATTGATGAAAGTTCAGCTGCTCCTTATTATATTCTTCTTGGACATGTCAACTTTTTCGAATCATTTTTTTCTTCTTAATATAATAATATAGTATTCAAATTTATTAAAAAAATGTTTTTATATTAAAAAAATAGACTCATTTTTTTCCAACAATTAAACTTTTTTTCAATTAACTGGTTCTTATCTTTCTCAAGTTTCCCCACAATCAGTTGCTAGTAACGAGAAACTAGTCCATATCGATTTTTTTTCTTTTTTTCCAAATTCCTTCTCATGCTGTTATTCTTTAACTTCAGTTCATTTGGAAGTACTTTTCCTGATCAAAGTTCTTTTTTTATTGGATGAAGAAATACACTTTTAAGACAAAAATTTGTTTACGTTCTCATGTTGAATTTCAACACAGAATTTTTAGATTCAAAAATCTAGTTCTTTAAAAAGCGGTTGAAGCGATTCGAATTTTTAAGTGAGAAACTCAGAATATCAAGGTCTATCGATAGAAAAAGTCACTGGAGATATATTTTTAATCTGATTTTTTTATTAAAAACAATCTAGGTACACTTTCGAAATTGTCACAAGATTTTCAACATCTTTTCCTTTAAAAAAGCTTAAAAAACGGAATGATCAATGTGAATCATCAATTATTACAACAAAAGGGGTTCAATGTTCCATTCGAAAAGAACTGCAGATTTCTGATCCTTGGTTCAATGGTTCGATTTGAAGTTTTGGGCTTCAAGTCACTTGATTGAAAACAATTTTTATATTTTTTAAACAGTTTCATTTTATTTTTTTCATAGCTTTTTGTTGTTCAAGTTTTCTTTTTTTATTTTTCTCTATCTTTTCTGGCTTCTGACGAGGTCATTTCTATCAGCTGTTTTTAATTTTCTGAAAGCTTAAAAACTCTGGGAAAGTCTAGAAGAAGATCCCTCAGAGTCGCTGCCTTCACGAGCTTCTAGATTTTGAGACATGATTTTTTTTTTTGAACTCGCGAAATATGGGTTTTAAGCCTAACTTCCTGCACTTCAAAAATAATTTTTTTTTTTTCAAAAAATTAGAAGGTTGGGTGGTGGCAGAGACTATAAGGAATTCATCCAGAAATTTGAAAGTTATAGAGCAATTTTTTTTAGAAATTGCCGTTAATTTCTACTTATTTGTCCTTTTATCTTTCTGTACACTTTATTTTGATTTTGTCTGTGAAAAAAATATATTTATAAAAATAATTTTTTTCGAAATCCAAAGGATCAAAATCCTCTCTGTCTCCACCGGAATATCCCATTACACCGGGAACGTGAGGTTTTTTCCTGTGGATATCAGGCGGAAGAAAAAAAAGGAACAGCTGCCGTCGGGTGACCCGCGGGTGCCAACTGACCAAACGGCCCATTTTCCAATCTTTTCCCGTCATAACACCGGCCCGTCTCGTGATGTTTTCATCCATTTTCTTCACTATTTCTTCATTTTACACCTTCTTGAATAGAATTCCAATGAATCGAGCTCATTTAGCCTAAGTTTTTGAAGAGCTTAATAGTAAAATGAGGTTTTTTCCTCATTTTTTTTTCTTATTTTCAATCGATTGATTGATTTTATAAAGAAATTATGATAATTTGGCAAATATTCATACAAGATTAGAGCTAGAATTATTATTGGCCATAATTTGCGCATCAAAAGTACATAGAATTATTTCTCTATGACTAACTTTTTTTACCAAAAATAATCTCCTCTTTTTCCATTTTCGAACAAAAACAAAAAAAGCCTTCACTGAAAAAAATTGGCTTTCCGGTAGTATTGACTTACATCTAGAGTTGAAAAAATTCATTTCAGAATTCGAGAAATAAATCTTTATAATGCAGTTATTTTCTTTCCGATTTTTTAAAATGACTTTAAAATGGGTTTTTTTCAAAAAAAAAAAACCGCTCTCTTTTCCTTTCCATTCCACTGATTCTTGTCCACTTTCTGCTTTTTTTTATTCGGGAAAATGTTCAACCCACTCTCTGACGTGTATCAATTACATTGTGGGGCAACCTTGAAACGAACTGATTTCATCGCTTTTTCCATTGTCTCGCTCTCTCAGTTTCTCTTGCAACAACTGAATTTGGACTTTTCATTTCAGAAATGCGAGGCGAAGTCTTCTTATTATTATGCGCTTTAATCAGCTGCTCCGTTGGAGCTTCTGCGAAGGTGAAAACGATCGACGAGGAAGATAATTTCTTGTATGAGGTCCGTTTTTTTTTCTGGAAATAAAGTTTTACAATGTGAAAAACTCTAAGTTAGATGAAAACGGCGTTTGTTTGAAAATTTCGGAATTAAAAGTTTCTCGATCTTTTCATCCCATATTACTGTTTCCGCCTTTTTCTTATTAAAAAAAGTTTATTTTTTTAAATTGTTTTACGACCGGTTCAACAAAAAAATAGACCCCACAAGACTTTTTTTCGAGCATTGGCTATAAGATGATATCAAAATCGAGACTATTGGGTGAATTTCAAAAACTCTTATGATAGCTTAACCTAACGAATCGTAGGATAAGCTATCATAAGAGTTTGAAAACAGGGCATTACATTCTGAGTCTGGATTATAATAAAAAAGTTTGCGTTATTTTCCTTTTCCTTTTTCTTTTTCAAACGTAAAACTTTTTTTTTGCTCAAAAAGACCGCGTGAAATGTAGATTCGTGTACGCTTCAGTAAGTTCTCAAAATAATTTTAAATTTCAAAAAAAGTGTTAAGATAACTTCAGAGGTAGAATTAAAGAAAAGGAAGCTTTCACCGAAATAGAAGATATTTCAATGAAGAAAAGTTCAGTCGATGGCGAAAAAGGCGATCCGGAAGTACAACAAAGAGTCGAAGGAGCCGTTCCGATGGGAGTTGGACAAAATGTTGGAAGTGAATCGACAATTGGCCGACGGGATCAAGTACTCCATCTACATGACCATCGTCAAGACCAACTGCAGAAATGTTCGTTTTGGAATCATTTCCTTGAGGGGAAAGTGTAGAACTCTTTCAAATAAGTGCATCTCGTTTTGAAGGACGACCTATTTTTCCAAATTTGGCAAAAGTTATGAAAACATCGCATGAAAGGGAGCTAAATTTTTTTAAAAGTTTTCTAAAATTCTTTTCAGCTTCATTTTTACGCCTGGGTTTTATGCTCAGAAAAAGACCTATATAACTCTTTTGCCGACGTTCAAAAGAAAATGTTTTTTTCTCACTTGCCATAACTTTATACAGTCTGACCTGTCTGCACTCTCTTTTCACTAAACGGCCAGGTTTTGTTCAGAAAAAGAAAAATAGCATGTAGAAACATGAGAGGAAAGAGAGCGCTGAGAAATCAACCTCTGCCGATTTTTTTGATCAGGGTGAAGAAATTTCTTGAAAAAAAGAAAAATTTGAAAAATTTAAAGTTTTTTTGTCATTAGTTCAAAAAAAAAATCGCTCAAATTCTTTTTTTCCTATAATTTTATTTGTTATCGTTCTCTTCTCATTATTTGTTTGATAACCTCCCGAAAAAAAAACCATTTTCCATTTAAATTTTTAGGACGAAGACTCCAGCGCTGACTGTGAGCATACCGACGTCGTCAAGGTATTTCTGTATCTTTTTTGAATTTTCTGACCCTTCTTATGATTCAGAAATGCAACGCCGAAGTCAAAAGAAGAATCCGTCGTCATGGAATTCAAGAGACGGTGATCATGAAGAACTGCGAGGAGGAGTTCACCAAGGACTTGAAGAAGTTCGAGTGAGTCAAAGAAAGAGAAAATCAGGCTGAGTTCATAGGGAAAATTCTGAAAAATAAAAGGTTGAAATAGAAAATTTCCAGCAAGAGAAAGATCGAGTTGACCCATGACGACTCGATTACGGTAGAAGATTTGCGAAAGGCCAAAATAATCAAGCCGCGGGATTACGTCCATTGGAACTCCTTCCTCGATTTCATGGATCGGTGAGAAATCAAAAGAGATTTCAAGTAAAAGTTTAAAGTTTAAGTAAAAATTAGGTAAAATTTAATGTCAAGGAAAGAATTTTTTTGTTGACAGAAAAATCGTTTTCAGCAAATTGGTGGAAAGTACTTATGAATTTTAAAATTTTCTAAAAAGTTTGAACTCGCAGTTAGTACTTTTTCAATGAAATTAAATTCTTCACTGTATCTAGTTTTGAAAACTCAAAAATTCCACTTTTAAGCTTGAAATTAATCTCAATAAAATTGAAAAAGTTTCGATTTGAGCAAATTTTTCACAAGGGATAGAAACTCTGGCATGTGGTCCCTAAACCCCAATTTTCTCTCAAAAATTTCATATTCTAGACTCGACTTTTTAAAGCTGAAATAAGCTTGAAAATTTTCTGAAACTTTCGTACAAAAAGGTATCTGAAAAAAACTTGAGGAGATCAAAGTGGCCATCATCCCAAAGTCTGCCTATGGACATATTTTCAAAGTTTTTTACTCGAGGGTAGCTTTTGAGACAGATTTGATGCTGAAAAAAATCTTCATTCAAAAGTCTACTCAATTCAGACCATTCCCTGTAGGAACAAAATGAGGAAAAATTCTGTAAAGTTAAGGGTTTCCCTATTTTAATATCACGTTCGAGAAAGTTTCTCTATTTTGTTAAAATTAATTTTAAAACTATTTCGAAAAATTCCTTTGAAGTTAATTTGACATGTCATACAAAACCGCTTCACTTACAGTCATGAGAAGAAGTACACGGACAAACGCGAAGTTCTGAAGAAGTTCCGGGTCTTCAAGAGAAATCTGAAGGCGGTCCGACACATGCAGGAGGCCGAACAAGGCACCGCCGTCTATGGAATCACCAAGTTCTCCGATCTTACCTCTTCTCAGTTCAAAAAGGTGCCTTTCTTTAGAGTCATATAAGTCTTGAGAGTAAAAAATCATTTTCTCACAGATCTACCTGCCCTACCAATGGGAGCAGCCGGTGTACCCTCTGAGAGAAGCCGACCTCCAAGAAGAAGGCGTCGACGTCGACGAAGAGCCTCTGGAGAACTTCGACTGGCGCGACCACGGCGCCGTCACTCAGGTCAAAAACCAGGGGAGCTGCGGCAGCTGCTGGGCCTTCTCCACGACAGGAAACGTCGAAGGCGCCTGGTACCTCGCCAAGAAGAAGCTCGTCTCTCTCTCCGAACAGGTTCGTTTGAGTTTCAGGCCTATACTCGGCTATACTTAGGAACGCCAGAGTGGTCCCTATAGGGATTAGTTTGGGTGAAAAATAACCCATATATGAGTTCAGGGTCTCACCCGTAAGCATCTAAAGCTCAAGGGGTCTCTATAGGGCCTTTTGATTTTTTGTTCTGATTGGAAAGTTGAGATGGACTTGACCATTTTATCCTATGTTGATATTTTTTTAATTCAAATAATTTCAATTCATCAAGTTTTTCGCATGGAAATGCTTCCTATCATAGAATTTATAACAATAATCGACTAGCATCCCATATGGACTTCTTTGCAAGCTTCAGTGGCCCCTATAGGGGGAGGTAAAGCGGTCCTTAGAGGGTTCAAGGGTCCCTAAGGTTTTCCCTATAAAGACCACTCTGGAGCTCCTAAGTGAAGCATCTTCAGCTCGATTTTTTGATATTCATGATGATAACTTGACCAAGATTGAAGAAATTGCAACTTTGTTGTAAACTCCCTATTCCTCGAAAAAAAATAATTGCAGCAACTGGTCGACTGCGACACCTTGGACCAAGGCTGCAATGGAGGACTTCCCAGCAACGCCTACAAGTTAGTATGAGCAACAGTGACGTCATTTATCGGCTTTTCAGACAAATCATCGAGATGGGCGGTCTGGAGCCGGAAGACGTCTACCCGTATGACGCCAAGGGCGAGACTTGTCATATTACTAGAAAGGTCCGAATGATTTTCTCTTGATTTCTCCAGGTTTCATGAAGAAGTTTTAACGTATTTTCTAAGCTTTTGAGGCCTATGTAAGCGCGCTCACCATTGAAATTGTCAGATTTCTTGCTTTTTCAAAGATTTCCTCGACTCTAATTTCAATTTTTGGTTTCATTCATATCTTTAAAGGACCTGGCCGTGTACATCAACGACTCTGTCGAAATTCCCCACGACGAGAAGAAAATGCAGGCTTGGCTCGTCGCCAAAGGCCCCATTTCCATTGGTACGTGCATTTCTCCATCAATCCCCACAGTTCAAAAATCTTTCTTCCATCAAAAACCACCCGAAAAACGGTTTTATTTTCGTTCCGACACAGTGGGATCCGAGTTGTTTGATGAGAGAAAAAATAAAGTCCGTGGGCGGATTCTCGAGATTTCGATGTTGCTTCGAAAATCGATCGAGTCGGTTTAGCTTCTCAGAGGTTTGAGAATGAAATTGTGCAATAATTAGGGAATTTATTGGAGAAGTTAAGTGAAAGTCGCCGCAATTTACAAATAGAATGTGAGTGTGAAAGATAAATCGAATTTTTAAAATGATTGAAAGAGAAATTAACTGTGAGTTTCAAAAAAAATGATTGAAAGAGAAGTTAACTGTGAGTTTCAATGAGCTGTAAAGTCATAAAAATGATAGAATATTTCTCAGTACCCAAAACTTGAGCGGCCGTGGAGCTGCAGCATCCTTGCGACGTCTCTCCGCATCGCGTTGCTCCTTTTCAGCTTCTTCTTCGTAATTTGCGCAGATTCAGTAGGGAGAGAACCTTCTGATGTTTCCCTGCAAGTTGATAGAGTGGTTAAGGCTCTTGAGAATCATCATAAAGGTCAAAAGTTCGGACCCGCTCGAAAATGGATGAACTTTTTTTATTCTTTAAAGAGAGAAAAAAAGCGAGGCTATGGATTTTCAGTAAATCATGAAAAGTTTACCCGTCCTCCGGTACGAATGGAAAAAGTTCATGTGCCGGTTTGGTCAGGAAGTCGACGGCCGCTTTTTGAGCCGTCGCCACGGCCCATTGGACTAGTTTGCAAATACCGTAGAATATCACAACGATGAAGGATTCTGTGAAGAGAAATATCATTGAAAATATTTCGCAAAAATTGGAATTCCGAGTGCCTTTTGAAAAATTGCTCCTTAAAAAGATAACGATAGTTTTTTTTTACGCGTGTTCGGATTTTCTGTAACTGAAGTCTCAAAATATGGAGTGTCGCACGTAAAAGAGACCGTAAAAATCACGTATCGCGATATATCGTTTGTAGGGCCCAATTTTTCTAACATTTCCAGAAACAAATGCATCAATTTGGAATTTGCCAAAATTGATTTGAACAATGCGTTAATTTAGAGCGATGATGATCGAATAAAAAATTAAGTTTAGGAAAAATTGTTAAAAAAACATATGCTAGTTTGAACTCACGCTCTCTCCTTTTAACACTGTAATGAGCATTCCTTTTTGCGTAGTACGAATTCTGAACGTTGTACTGAAGACATAGCGGTTTTTTGTTCAAGTATCTGAACCCGATTTTTCACAAAGTTAACCCGAAATTTTGAAAGCATACCGTAACCTGGCCATCGCTTCGATACCACTTTCCTTCCTTCCAATCGACTTTCCAACGTTCCCATGACTCGTGTTTTTCTGCTTCCGATGATGCATTATTCGGTCGCTGCTGCAAAATTCAAAGAATATGATATGACGGCGAGCAAATTTTCATAAAAAGAGGATTTCGGGCAGGAAATATGCAACTTCCGGGGATAACTCATATATTTAATAAACAGAGGACAGAAAGTCGTCTGAACCTCTTCTTTTCGCACACTATTTTTTTGATTTTGGCGAATCAAAAAGTTATTAGTGAGCGATGAATGAGCCATAGGACCTAACAGGTTCAAAAGTGCGCGACGGATGATTTTCGGGTTGAACTGACACTTTTTTGTTTGCGGATCTACGTCAATCGCAAATAGTTTCGACATGGTATCCGATCACAAAAAAAGACGCTTCCACTACAGTTTTTTTTTTCTTTTTTTGAAGAGTTGAAAGAAATCTTTGAAACTTGCAGAGAAAAATCGGAAAAAATTATATTTGAACAAAATTTTAACCTCAACAGCTTCTTAACGATTTTAAAAATCTTTGTTGGGATGGCCCATTTTTTGGAACGGTTTTAGAAATTTAGAACTTTGAAATTGTGAGAAAAAAAGTTCCATTTTTTTATTCGAAAAAAACTTTACAGTTTTTACGAAGTTCTCTGTAAATTTCGCGGAGAAAAATGGTATCAAGGGTACCTTGGATTGAGCACAAAATAAAATTCACGAAAACTCCAATAAATGTCGGAAAAAAAGAAAAGAATTTGAAAGGTTAGTTGTATCTGTTGTTTTCGGATTTTCGCTCGTACAAAATGACAGATATTATTTTGTAACTACAATAAATTTTCCCTATCTACCTACTTCTCATTATCAGAATATAGCTGAGAAGATCTCAATTCGAGAAATTGAAATCTGAAAAAGAGAACTTATCACATTGTTACATAAACTAGATTGCTTCTTCTATTTTGGAATATATTTTTTGATTTATAATTCGCTATTTGATCGTATTGTAAATTTGACCGATTTTTACTGAACAAGGAGGGGAAAAAAGTTGTAAAAAGCTAGAAACTCACTGTCGACCTCCGAGTTTTTTCCTCATTTTGTTGTCCTTCTCGCCCAATCTTCTGAAATATAATTCATTTTTTTTTCAAGAAAATTAAGAATTCCATGAAATCATCTCTGCAAACACAGAGAAAACATGACAGAAGGCCTAGATATTTCAGGAGAGTCAAAATATTTGCTGTCCTTGTATTTTTCAAGAGTGAAAACAAGGCGGAGGATGTTCTCAAAAGGGTAAATTCCTGAAGATCTGGGTAGAAAGGAAATAAAATCAGAACATAAGGTTTGAAAGTAATTTTCGAAATAAAGCAGGAGAACCTGATCAAAAAATTAAAAGGGAAATCAAGAAAAGAATCCAAATAAAAATAAATGTTTGACGGTTGAGCATTTGAAGATTCTTTCTCTTGAAAAATGAGCTTTAGACTGGATAAATCTCGTTTTTTTGTCCAGAGCAGACCAGGAAGACATTTTCGCGCATTCGTAGTCGACTCAAAAATCAAATTTCCTTTTTCCTAAATCTATTTCAGCGACGCCTTTTTTTCCTTCTCATTGAAAAGTCGAGTAGAAAAAAGGCGATGAAAGCTGTGTTTTATCTTTTTTTGTGTATTCGAATAAGAATTAAGGATAAATTTTAAATAATTTTTAGTTCTTTCGATTTAAAAATGGTAAAATGAGAAAATAAGAAATAGAGGAATAATTGAGTTTTGTAAAAGTCAGAGAAGGTTTGGTAGGGAAAACACGTAGGGAAACCGTGTTTTATATAATTTTTGAGTCTTCTCGACAAATAAGTTGAGTACCGTTTTTTTTTTCAAAAGTTTGTGTTGATTTTATTTGAAGAATGATGTTAGTGCAAAGTACAGTAAATAGAGTATATCCATCAGCAGTTTTTCGATTTCGCAATAAATAAATCTTTATTCAAAGAACCATAAACAAAATAGGAACGAGGGAAATAAACTTTAAAAGTTTAGTAGGACTTTCAAAAGAAGAATTAAAAGTTGACATGCTTACAATCAATTTTTTTCTTTTTTTATTTTCCGAGGGTTCGAGAATGATTCTCTGGAAAAAAATTATATAAAAATAGTCCAAAATTCGATCAAAAGAGATATCCTAAGAAGTTCTCAGAAAACGAATAAAACTAGAGCAAAGTACACCAAATCAAAAAAAGATTGGGAAGCCTCACAAAATCTCAGAAAAAATGAAGCCAACAAAACTCGAACCGACTCATTTTTTCCCTGTATTTATACGAAGCGAATCTTATCTCTGGGGGCCACAAGAACCGTGGGACCTTCGCAAACACAATTGAAGGATTGCCCTGATGTTGGTGAAGCTCAGATGACGTGAACATTTGCGTTAACAAGGAAGATTTCGCACCCTTGAGGCCTCCTTTTTCCCACTTTGTTCTGATGTCCTCAATGCCTACACGGGAGGTCACTGAACTTTGCCGTGGGGAATTTCTTGAAAATTGGCCATGACGTTCATGGATGGATCAGAGGAAGACTCTGGAATTATTAACATGCAAAACTTCCTAGTTTTTGAGAAACAAGGGCACAAAGCTTGAAAACAGCCTGTTTTAACAGATTTTCAGGTTCTTTTTTCAATAATCAGGAAGTTAAGAGTTTCGGTTAAGACTTTCGAAAGTTCTGGCCAAATTTGAGAAATATCCAAACTGCAAAGTAAAATGGCCTTCCTTGTTAGCCAATTTTGTGTAGGTGGAGATGAAACTTAATGGGATTTTAAAAAAATCGCTTCAATTTTTTTGGCAGTTTTCAAAAGGAGAATTTCAATATCAATCATTTGAAAGAGTTATAAGAGAATTTCAAGTGATCACTTAAAAGAGTTCAGGAGACAAAAGAAAAACATTTTATTTATTAAAAGGCTCAATTTTACTCTCAATCTTCAAGTTTTCCTTTAAGTGATCCCTTCGGACTTTTTGGAAATCTTTGAGATTTTCTTTTAGTTTTGGAGACAATAAGAGGAAATCATTAGGTTTCTCAGAGCTGAAGTTGGCACTTGAGAGGTTTTTGATGCAAGCAAAATTTTTCCAAAAATTTAGAGCTTTTTATTTGATTTTTTTCGTATATTACAGCAATCTTGAATGAAAATATTCGATGAGTCACGTCTATTTTTTGGCAAAACTTATTTTTTTGAATTGAAGAAGTTTTTAAGGTCGTCGACGTTACTCTAATAAATTTTTTTGAAAAAAATAATATCATTTTCAAAGAAAAAAAGAAAGACTTCTCACATTTATCATACACGGAAACAAAGTAATACAAATGAGGGCGGGGAAAAAAATTCACGACTGAATTTCTGACAAAAGCGTAGTTGACCAGAACCACATGTCGGCATTGTTTTGGCGGCTTTTTCTCGCGTCGAACTTTTTATGAACGAAAATAGAGCGTGCTTTATTGGCCTTGTTGAGGTTGCCACTGGAAAAAAACAAGGGTTTCAGTTGGAAAATGTTCATTTTTACCTGAACCTGCTGGTTTTGGGCATTTTGAGCATTCTGGGCTCCAGGAGCTTGGTTCCAGTCGACGGATCGTTTTCCGTAGTAACCGTAGTAGGGATAGTAGGAATAGTAGTACGGGTAGTACGAGTAGTAGTATGGGTACTGAAAAGGAATGTATTATGTATAAAAAAAGGAATGTATAAAATACAAGACGTTTTTGTTAAAAGCGAGAAAAAGTAATTTTAAAATTTATTAAAAAGTTGTGAAACACCTGAATTGCACCGATTTCTGAGCACGTGGAATGATTGGTGGTTTCAAAGCGCGGCCGACCAGAAACTACTTGCGCGCAAAAACTTTATAAATTATTATCAGCAGATACTGGAATTCTAGTCGATTGGGTACTGTTTTTCCGCAATTTTTCCTAGCCATTCCAAATGCGACCACATTTTTTTCTAAATTGAAAGTATGTTCTATCAAAAAACTGCAATAAAAAAATCACTTTGAACCATATTCCTCCGTCAAAAAAACTCACCGCCAAGGCGTAGTATTGAGCATCAGCCTCGTAGATGGCGCAGCCAAGGAAAGCGAGAACTAGAAGAAGCCTAGAAAAAATTAAAATCAAGTTTAAAAAGTTTTTATTTGAAAACTCACGGGAAAAGACGGCTCATTTTTAATATTCTTCTTGACAGATCCTAGGAAAATCCCCCTTATTTATAGGCTTTTTCGATCTCTAAACAATAGAAAAAAAGCGGCCAGCCCACTTGGGGATCCATTCGAAAAAATTGGCTCTGTCAACAGAGAAAACTGCGAATTGCAGGTAGAAAGTATGAGCACAGCCACACCCTTTTGCTCTTTTGTTTTTCGACTCTTGAATGGAATTTTTTCAGAAAATGGCATTGGATTTTTGTGGAGAAAAGGCTTGAAAAAGTTCGAAAAACTGGAAATTCTCAATATACTCAATACTTATCATTGCCAGGAAAATGGGCAGATTATTGCGAAAGTATTTCTGGGATAATTTTTTATGGCTCGGCTCAATTTTGGCTTCAAGGATGAGAAAAATCAAGATTTACCTGCACTGTTTTAAATTTTTTTATAAAGTAACTTTCGTCGGGTTTTTCTTTCTAATTTTTTTGACAATTATTTAAAAAAAAAAAGTTATTCAGTGGGTTCTATAAATGTCCCGAAAGTGAGCTCAGAAATTGTGGAAAAAAAGTTTTCTTATATTTTGTTTAACCCCATGTGAAGGCTCTTTCAGTCTCAATACGAACAAATCCCTAATTTTCAAGGAAAGGAACTTCAAATTCTAATTAAAGTATCGAAATCAGTATAAATGATCATTCTTACCTGGTTATAGCCCTTTTTCTCAAAAGCCCGGTAGTCGTGGTTTAGGCTTTCAGGGTATTCACCTGGTACATCAACGAGTATTCTGCCCAATTTCCAGTTAATCCTCAATCAAAAAAGCCTTCCTAGAGATTCCTATTCCTTCTAAGGATCCTAACAAGACTTTATGTGAAATTCTGCAGGCCTGAACGCGAACACGCTGCAGTTCTACCGTCACGGCGTGACGCACCCCTGGAAGATCTTCTGCGAGCCGTTCATGCTCAACCACGGAGTTCTCATCGTCGGCTACGGCGTCGACGGCCGCAAGCCCTACTGGACCATCAAGAACTCCTGGGGCACAAACTGGGGCGAGAAGGGGATACTTCCGGTCAGTTTCCTTCTTTTTCAAGGGACAAGAGGAAATAGGTAAATGAATAAAAATGCTCGGTATTTGGGTAAAATAAAGCTTCAAAACTGCCGCTTTCAGAGCAATTTTTGTTATAAGGGAAGTTGGCTTCAGTTATTTCCAAATATTCGATTTAATCAAGCCCCCAAAAAAAGCTACCGGTCAAAAAAATGCCTGAAGTATTGGTTAGTTAAATTTTATATAATTTCCAGTTTTACGTAAAAAAATAAACTGTCTTTCTTGTATAATTAAAAATTTTTTTAAATGTCACAGAAAAATGTATTTTTTTATTTGTTTCACCGCTTTTTTTAAACCTAGTTTTTGCAACTTGATCTTCAGGTTGCTGTTTCCCATTTACCTACTCAAAGATCAAAGTTTCTCTTCAGCAACAGACTTTCCAAGAATTTGCAAAAAAAGAAAAGCAAACTTTTCGGGTTACTTGGCGCTTTTGATCAAAAACCGTTTGGAGCCAAAGTTTCAAGTCAGCTGAGTTTTTCTTTTTCAGAAGAAAGAGAAACAGATGGGAAATATCCTTAAAATCATTTTTTAAAAAAATTTTTTTATTTTGAATGACCATAAACAAAAGAAAGTGCTCGGCAAGAAAAAAAGCCGAGTTAACACAAAAAAATTAATACTTTTGAAAAAAATCGATTAAAGACTGCACTTTGAAGCCCATCTGCTCGCAAAAATAGAAAATTTTTTTGGATTTTTTTCTTAGTTTTTTTCAAGAAAAAAATCAATAATTAAGTTCTACTGCATGGTTTCATTTTATAAACGTTTTTTTCAGTCTCTACCGTGGCAAAAACGTCTGTGGCGTCACTGAAATGGCCACTTCGGCCATCGTCAAACCTTGAAATATTCTGAATAATCTTCCAACCTTTGCTCAATTTCTCATCATTGTTTTCTGACCATTCTTGTGAATATACGTGTGAATGTGCAAATAACTTCAGTTGATTTTTTTTAAATGTATAAATAAATGAAAGTGTGAGAGAGATCAGAGAAGAATCGTACAAGAAGTGATAAAGTACACAAAAAAAATTTTTTTTTTAAGTTCTGGTGGAAGTGAAGAAATCAGCGATTGCTGTCGGAAGCTTCAGAGTTTGGGCGAATTTCTCGATTCGCAGCGGATCGACGCCCAAGTTCACTTTTCTGGAAGAAGGAAAAGTGATTTTTTCAATGAACGTTTGAAAAAAAGATTGAACTACCGTAAATTTGATTTTGAAAGAATTTTGAAAACTTTTCACGGATTTACCAATATCGTGGCTTAAAAGTTATGAAAAAGAGTAGGAATTGAAAAATTTCAACTTGTAAACTCGTTTATGGCCGTAGCAATTTTTTTCGTTTCATTTAGTCATTTTTTATTTACTCGATAAATATACACGGCAAAGAATTTTTCGCTGCGTAAATGGGATCGTAAATGACGTAAATGATCTCACATATGATCTAAGTTCGAAACATTTTGGAAAAATCCAAAGAAACTTAAAATCTGAATTTATTCATTTTCACCTGAAAGACATATTAGTGACGTTGGAGAAGCGATCGGCCCTGAGAAGTCCAATTTCGACGAGATGATCAATTTCCCGGAAAATCCAGGAATCGCTGCTGACGGCCAGCGCCCGGTAGAAGGTGTTCACCAGCTTTTTGTATTCTGAAACTCAAAATGTTCAATTTCATTGCAAAACTTGAATATTCCAATTTTTTTTTGTTTTATTTTTGGATTTCATGCTTTTAGATTTCTCATGGGATACCCGAATAATCACTTTCAATTAAATATTTGACGTTTCAAAATTTTTTACTTTTCCCCTTCAAAAAAAATAAAATGGTCGAAGCGAACCCAAGAAAATATATCGATAAGTGATTTGGGCTACGGTAGTCGCGCTTTCCGCAGGCCGATTCCGCAAAAGTCGGTGAGCGCACAGAAAAACGCACTGTTGTCGGAGGGACAAGTCTGGAAATATCACAAAAAATGCATTACCAGTGAGTTCATGGTAGCAATGATTTAAAATAAATTTGATAAATGTAAATTTCTTGAAACAGGTAACTACTGATTAGTTATTTTTCAAAAAAAACATATTCAAGTTCTTCAACTTTATCTTGAATCCTGACGTTATTATTACTAATTTTTTGAGTTTCAGGTTTCAAAACTCCTCAAAACCTTCCAACAACTTCAGTTTCGGCTCATAATCTGGACTGGCGAATTCAACAGCGTCGCGAATCGCCGACTCGACTTCCTCCTTGCAGAAATCTTCCGGCTGAAAACTTCCAATAGTTTCAAATTTGAGACCAAAATTTGAACCTCGCAATCGACAATCCTCTGCAGAATAATCGCCACAACCTGCTTTAAAACACAAAGATCGTAGGTCTAAAAAAAACAAAAATGAAATGTAGGAAGAGATGAACAGAATACTGTACCTCGTGCAAAGACCTCAGCCACTTTTCCGGCCGTAAAGACTCCAGAAACTCTTGATATTCTGGAGACGATGCTGAAAAGTGATTTTTAGCTTTATGCTTCCTTTTTAGTTTTTAAAAATCTTGGCAGCATTGGGAATGGTTCTAGACGCCGCAAGCGGAGTGCGCATGATAAGGTCAACTATTCATTCATCATCTTTCAAATGCTTCCTTATAAACTTGCGCGCAAGCCGTTTTTGGTCGGTCGAACGCTTCACAGACACACGGTAAGCCATTCTACCTGCGACCGGGGTTTTTTCAAAACAGCAAAAGGAAGTTTATGAAAACAAATGACAGATTCATGGAACTTTCATAGATAGAAAAAAAAATCGCGATGAAAAAATGAACAGGGCTTTTGCGCTCCATGGATAATGCAATCAATTTCTATTCAAAGTTGAGAAAAAGTGACATTTTTCACGTGAATTTTAAAGAAATTTGTACTGTTCGCTCACAGAAAGATCTGTGGTGTGGAGGACCAGAAAAAGTTATATATTTCTGGATAAAATGACAATAATCTTATCAAAAATTCAAATTTCGCGCTTTTTTTCAAACCCAAAAAAATCAACTTCTCACCAGCCTCGGTCTCCCTCGGGGCCATGAGACTTTTGAACGCCTGGCGGTACTCTTCGAAATCAAAGTCGTTCTCGAAAACGATGCGAATCCTAGGCATCCTGGACGATCCACACTTTTCCATGTGCTCCAGGAAGTCCTAAAAATGCTATGAATAGAAAAATCCAGAATTTCGTTGCGACTTGAGGCGTGACGGACAAGAAGATGAGCCATGGAAGACGAGTCGTTTTCTTCTAACAAAGTGTAGAGGAACTCTTTCTGATGGCTCGTGATCAAGGCGCCAGCGTCTCTCAGAAGGAATACCCAACTTCCGCCCTGAAAACTCCCTTTTTTGTCAGCAATAAGATTTTTTCGGTCATCCCTTCAATTTGAGAATTTTTCTTCAAAAAAAGTAAGTCCAGCGCGACTTGATTATTTTCGAGTGTCTGCGTCTCTCTGTTCCCTCACCGGCGAAGTCAGAGAATTTTGCAAATAGCACGTAAACATGAGAGTGTCGGCGAGAGATGAGGAGGGTGCAGAGGAAAAGGATTATACTTCTTATAATGCGCGCGAAACTGCCATTAAAGTAGGTAAAACACAGTAACCCAAGCTTTTTTGCGTGCTTCGCTTCAAGACCTTCAAACTGAAGTTATACGGTATTTTGGCAAAAAAACTTTGAAGCTGACGCGGAATAAGCTACATCTAGAATTTTAAGAAAATTGGTTCAAACTCGTATTACGTCATTTTTAGATTCAATTCAGTCTTGACAGTTTTTGTGTGTCTGCGTCTCTCTGTTCTCTCACTAGCGAGGTCAGAGAAACATGGGAATAGCACGTAAGATTGAGAGATACGCCGAGAGAAGAGGAGGGTGCAGAGAAAAACAGCAATTTCGCCGCGAAAAAGGCAGAATTAACACGTTAGGGTTCTGAATTGTCGTGAAGAAATAATCTTTTTTAGACTGATCCTTCAATAAATCATTGTTTTAATCTGCAAGACCCACGTCTTCTTCCTTGGCCAACGTCTCCTGGATCGATCCGTCGACGGCCAGTTGCCCTGCAATTTCTCTTTCTCAGAAAGGTCCAGGTTCAGCCGAACCAACCGACGTTGATGATCCTCAACTCGATATCGTAGGCCTTCAGAATCTTGTCCAGAAGACTCTGACGTCCACACCCCGGTTTTCCTTCCAAAATGCAACACTGTCCTTTCTCCGAACTGATAAATTCAGCAACAAGGTCGTTGATTAACCTAGAAAACGGGGAAATTGAACTATTTGAATTGACTTCCCTAACTTTTTTCATAAGTAGTCTGAAAAATGTTTCAAGAAGCAAAGCCTTAGCTACAAAATTTGCAACTTGCTGGGGAAAATGTTTGGGATAACCACTTCTCGAGGGAACATTTAAGCAACATATGGAACTGATATTTAAAAATGTGTGAAATCGGATATCAGGAAAATATGAAAAATCAAAAAAACAACAAATAATAATGATAATAAAAAGCAATGAGTCAGAAATTTAGAAGACTAAAAAAACTTCAACGAAACGCATCAAAATGTACAGAAAATTCGTTTCATTCAAAAAAACATTATTTTTTTGAAGAATTCAAATCCTTTCTTGATAAGGAACATGTGATATTGGAACAAAAAAACAAACTTTGTAAATTTCTTGTGCACGTTTTATATATCAATAATGAAATGTCTCAAAAAGCAAATTCAATTATATTTTTAAAAAAATTTCAATTATAATGGAAATTCTATAAAATGGTTCAATTAAATTTTTTTAAAAAAATCGGTCGAAATCAAGTTATCTTCTTTTTCTTGGAACATTGCTTATAGAAAAAAAGAAAAAAATGAGGAAAAACACGCAAATTCCCCATTCCCTATAGCAATTTTCAAGCGTCTTCCGTAGTTAACTTTCTTTTTCTAAGGAAAACTGATTATAAAAAGTGGTTTCCGAAGTTTAATAAATGTTTTTCAGCTTCCAGAACCACCTTTCTTGCTCGTCGAGGCCAACAATCTCATCGTCCAAACTTTCCAGGGCAATCCCTGCGTATTCTTGGATCATTCCATTCATTTTCTGCTCAAACCTTCTGATTTCGAACATCATAAAAATTGATGAAACAGAGAAACTTGCGTTGGGTAGGTTCAGTAACCTTTGAAAACATTAGGAAAAACCGAAACTTCTTAGAAAAAATTCATTGGATAGCACAATCTTATCAAAATCAGAATTCGCTTAAAAAAGAAAAAAAAATCACAAGTAATCCGGAATGCCATAAAACGAGTACAGATGGGGTTAAATTGAATTTTAAACGACAATAGAATCAAGAATAGCGATATAGAAGTGAGACTTGAGGTTGAACCAATGAGAGCCGTGGGCGTTAATGGAATGAGGAAAAATAACAATAGAACGTACAGAAAAGCAAGATTTTTGGAATTTTTCGCGAATTCCGGACAAAAAATGTGAAAGAACCATTTACAAGAGAGTTAGTTTGAAAGAACATTGAACAACTACACGTTTGACGATGAGATTTTACAAAAAGTCAGGAAAAAAAAAATTCTCTTAGACCAATTAAAGATTTTTTTCAGAGAAAAAAATAACAATCCTTAAGTATGCTTTAATATTTAGAAAAGCTTTAAAAAAATCATAATTGAGCTTAAATTGAAAAAAGTAAACTAAAAATTGGAAGACTGGAAAAATGAAGGGAATTTCCCGGACATATAAACTTTTATGCTGGTGAAGACCGCAGAGATAGTTTAAAACTGAAATTGAAAAGCTCAAATTACCTCAAAAAGACTTTTAAAAAAAATGGAAAGATAAAAAATCATAACAGAGGCACTTATCAAGAATTTCCACAACCAAAAACACGTTGGTCGCACGGAGAATGGCTGAACGCGTAGCGGCTGCGAAGAGGAAAACGCGACCGACCAGAAACGACTTTCGCCCTACGCTCTAAGTTCAGCTTTACCGTTTTAAACTGAGCAGCAAAATCATGAGCCATTCTAAATGCGGCCAGAAGGCAAATATTGATAAAAATGAACCGTTTTCAAGATTTTGAGCACAAAAAGGTACAATGTACACTGGAAATGGAATAGAAATCTAGGCGGAATTTTTCTTCTCGGCCAGCCGAATACATTTTTCCGCTTCATCCGTCGTCAGACAGAGCCGGATTCGTCGCTGAAGAATCCCGCAGTTTTTGCTTCCGACCAATCGCACCAAACTGGAAAAAACGTCGAGTTAATTGGCTAATTAAAGGCACATTTTCAAAGACAATTCAAAGACATTTTCCCTTAACTTCGGAAAGTCCACTCAAAATTTCACAAAGCTTATAGCTGATTAACGGCTGACTTGAGCCGTCGAAAAAGGGGTCCTGGCGCGATTTAAAAATAAAGACCTCCTGGTTGGTGGAGAGCGCAGACAGGCTACGCCCCTTTGCGCCCCGAGCTAGCCGTGAATCGACTATATATGGCAAAAATGTGGAAATTGAAAAAAATAATTTTTTTGAAACTCTGCGAGTGCAACGTGAACGATTTACATGAGATTTCTCACCTTTCTTGATTTTCCTTGATATTTCGTTCAACTTAGCTCATTTTTCTTCATATTTTCTATCACTTTTTTCTCCGTTGTTTTCAAAAATTCTCCGTTTTAAAGAAACAATATTTAAATATAGTTCTTGAAACTAGGTGAGGAAATGGTTAGGATTAAGAAAAAGGAAATTCAAATGAGAAAAAGAGGCGAAGGACTGTTAAAATGTATAAAACACACCGTCATTTCAGGTCTTAAAAATGTACCCAGGAAATTTCAACTCAATTGAATTTTTTTCAAACAGTTTGATGACCAAAATTCAAAACATATTAAACTTTTATCTTGCTTCATGTTCCTTCTCTGTTCTTCCACTTTCCACTGTTTCTTTCTCTCAAAATTCCCCAGCCAAGCTACTCCAGATAGAATAGTGAAGTTCAGGAAACAGTAAAAAAAAAATTAAGAGGAATCAAGTTCAAAAGAAAAAGAGGATAAGAACTGCGAAAATATTTGAAACAGGAAACCTTTTCGGGTATTAAAAATGTACCCAGGAAATTTCAACTCGATTTACTGCGTTTAAAAAACAAATTCACCTGCAACTGGCTAAGATGAGCAACATCTCATAGACATAACTGTCGCCGAAGGGTTCCCTTCCGGCCAATTGGTTGCAGAAAATGCAATAAGTCCTATAAACCGCCATGAAAAGGACTTCTTCCTGGGCCGTCGTTTGGATCTTCAAAATACATATCTTTTCTGGTTCTGAAACCAAGGAACCTCGCTCAAAACAGCCCTAAAAACCATCATCTGATGGAGTTTGAGTCCCTTGACGATCCGGACTCGCGGCGGCTCCGAAACGGCTTGTTGGGCCTCCATAACCTGCAAAAAGGGGGTTGGAAGGCGGAGTTTCCGGGCTTCAAACATGTTGGACAGTGAGCTGCTGGGCGTCGCCGTTGATCGCACAGCGGATGGCGCGGCGGAGCAGATCGAGAGCCTGTCTGAGGTCTCCGCTGATGGCGGCGATCTGCAAAAATCAGTCTGGAGAAACAAAAATTCGACGATTTTTTCGTTGCTCAGAATGAGAAATCAAAAATTTGATGGCAAAAAAATTTTGTATGATCATTGGATCCACAACCTCAAAAAAAAAACCGTCTGAAAAACTTTTAAAAAAGGTTTCTTTGCAATTATTGATTATCCATGAAGCCTTTCTCAGGAAAAGGATAAATGACCAATTTGAACAAAAAACGGATTTTTTTCAAGGATGATTGGAGCACACGACAGCCTCACAAGGGAAGTTTTTTACTTGGCGATAGGAAACTTCCTGATAATTTGCCAGAAAACTTCTTGATGGCCAAAAGAAGATCCTGGGAACTTCAGCCTGCACAACTCCATAGCTTTTGAGAAAGGAGATTTTGAAGTCAAAAAAAATAAATACTAAAATCAGTTGAAAAAGGCCATTTTGAGGTTTTGAGCCGTTATTTTTCCAAAACTAAAGAGTTGTGCAGATTGAAACTTTCAGATTCTTTTTCTGGTACATTAAGGAGTGTTCGGGCCAATTTTCAGGAAATTCACAGCCGCAAAGAAAAATGACCTCCCATGTCTTGGAAAATTATTGAATAAATTGAAAAAAAAAAGTTTTTTTCTTTTCTTTTTTTTATTAACCTTTTTTTGATCTCAAGTTTGGTATTAATTTTTCAACGGATGCAAATTTTGATTTTTTTTTTTTTTTTTGATTTCGCAGAAGTTAGACTCGATGTTTAAAATAATCCACAAGTATGATAGAGCATTTACTTTGAAGATAAAAACTCCTAAAATAATGGGAAAAACGCTTCAGATATTCTTTTTCAGAGCTTTTTAGTTGCTTTTCAACATTTACACGATAAAAAAGGCTCAAAAGTGAAAAAGTGTTTTTATTGGATATGCTAAGAAAACCTGGAAAAAGGGCTAAATTTCTGGAGATTTTTACAAAATCACCCTATGTTCTAGATCCTACATTTTGAGACCCTATCTTCCAATTTATTCATTCTTCTTCAAACCAACCTTCCTGGACACCAATTTCACGGCATCTGGTGCAATGACATCCGGCGAAAAGATTCTGGCGTGGATGATCTGTTCGATTTGATCGTACTCGTACGGTTGGAAGATCAACCTCCGTTTGTCCTAAAAATCATACTTTCCAGAGACTTTTTCTCATCGAAAACACACCAATCGACTGGAAATCCTCTGACAGAGCATTCTTTCGGGGAAATCGACCGTGTTGGCGATGGCGATGATCGTGACGCGAGATTCTGGGATCGCCGTCCAGTCGAAGATGTCGTAGAGCACCTGGGACAAATCAGAAGTCAATAGAGATTCAAAAATGGTTTTTAAACTTCAAAAAAATCCTTTTGAAATTGGAAGTCATTGATTAAACTTTTAAAGAGTCACATCAGTAGGCAAAGTCGAAAAGGGTCGAAAAAGGCCCCATAGAAATTTGTCTTTTTAGGGTGAAAAAAGTTCCCTTTTTGCTGCCTTTTTGCGGCCTTTTTTTGAGCCTCTCCATTTTAGCGTTCTATGTCTACCATTCTGATATTGCCCGAGTCATATCTTCCATTAATGTAATTTTAAAAGATTTTCATAAGTTTTTGTTACTTTTTTTTCAAATTTTTCAGTTCCATTTCAACTGCCTTTTGTTATCACATGAACGATAAAGGAAAAATAATATTAAACGATTTCTAGAAATTTCATCAAACACTGTATTTTTTTGGCTTTTTATTCGCCATATATTTTTTCATAGTAGTTGGAATTACGAAACTCTATAATTTTTTAGAGATATTTCTTCTATCATTCCCAACTAACATCCTGTTTCTTGGTGTACAAAGCGTCGAGCTCGTCGATCAGAATGACGATGGGCGGTCTGGAGCGATCTCCGCATTTCAACATGTCGTTGAGCTTTTTTCGCGCCGTCGCCGGTCCCATCTTCGCCGAAGACGTCGTCGCCTTCCACGTGCTTTGGATACTGAAGAAAAAAACTTTATTTATAATAATAATTCATTAACAAATTAGTAAGAAGCAGGAATGTGCAGAAATCAGTAATCGCCGGCAATTTTTATAAGCTCAAAACTGTTCAAGAAATCATTTATTCAGTCAGATTCTTGGTTTTTGACCATTTTAAAGAGAAATCATAGTTGAGGAACCGAAAAGGCCCATTTGAAAGTTAAAATATTGAACTTTCAAAGAACATTTTTGAGAAGAGAAAAACCATATTTTAGAACAAAATTTCACAAAAAACTAGTTTAAAAAAATCAATTTTCGATAATGGATTTTTCTGCAGCTGTGGTATGAAACCGTAAAGAGTCCACTTAGGTCTAAACTTGATAATATGAATAATAATGAAAAATACAAAATTGTTTGTCTTGAGAGAATAGATATGAAAACCTCGTTGAAAAAAACAAACAAAAAAATCTCCTAATATCCCTGATTTTCAAATAATCAACAAACCCATTGTAAATCTCGACGAAAACTTTGGCGCGGAACATTTTGGCGTTGACTTCGGTGAAGATGAAATTGTTCTTTTTCGACTTTTGGAGAGTTTCGATGACCTATAAATTGTGGTTATGAACAGATAATAATTTAGAAAATTCAATTAGTTGATAAAAAGGAACTTATCACAAAAAAAAATCGTAACAAAAATCGAAAAAATTAGAGTTTTCTACCAAAAATGCAAAGGAAACCACTTGATAATTATTTTTCATTCTGAGAATAAATTATCTCACTTCAAAGGAGTTCAAACCTTTGTTGAAAAAATAACTTCCCAGTGATTTTTTTATACAAAAAAAGCTTCAAAAACGCTTGAAAATTTAAAAATTTTAAACAAAAAGGATGAAACTAGTCGATTCTTTTTTTCCATTATCATTTTTTTCGCATCAAAAAAGCTTTAACGAATTTTTTTTTCCCCATTGGATTGTTAAAGTATTGCTGAAAGTTAATTTATTTTATCCTTTTAGAAGACTTTATTGAAGTCTTAATAACTCTAAATCTAAATAAAAAAATTTTCTGGATCGCCTAAAAGCTAGTTTTTCTCATAAATTCTATTCGTTCTTCGAGACTCAGAGTTTTTTCGATTTTTCTGCCCCTCACCTTCCGAACCGTCGCAGTTTTTCCAGTTCCGGGCGCTCCTCCGATGTACATGGCCCGACTTTCGCCCTCTTTCGGGTCGATCGCCTCTTCGATCAACATCCGCACCGCTTGGGACTCGAGCTCTCGGCCAGGCAACTCAGGTGGCACCTACATTTTTTTCTTGAAATTTTTTTCCAAGTACCTATTGGTTTCAGTTTTTTTGCGATTGTTTTTTTAAAGACAAAGATCCTTTTTTTATTAATTTCATAAAATTCGGTTAATAAACGTTTTTTTAATTTTTAGGTCAAAAGCGAAAAAAACTTGAGGAATTTCACAAAAAAATGGCCAAAAAAACCTGTTGCTTTTTTTACAAGAAAAAGAAAAAAATTAGAAGAAAAAAATCGATTTTATTAAATTAAGTTCTTCTGGAACTACAGAGCTTTAAATAAAGGAAAAAGCAATAAAAATTTTTTTGATCAAAAAAAGACTATTAAAATTCTAAAATCTCGATTTTAAAGAATCGATAAATAGGAATAGAGCCAATAACTCATCTTTAAGGCCTAAAAAGCCAAAACTTTCCAAAAATGTCTGAAAATTGTCATAAATTCCCAAAAAAAAGTACCTCAGAAAGATGAAGTCGATTGGACAAATTTCTCAGCTTGTCCTTGGTCGTCATGGGCTTCTTAGGATCGAATACCGTTCTCTGAAACAGGAAGTTAATTTTCCGAAGAAGATTTGAAATAAAACCGGTATTCGAACTTTCGGGATCGGAGTTCTAACAGGTGAATCTTCATCTGAATCGTCGTCACTGGAATCCCGACGTCGATTTAAAAACTTGAGGTTCTATAATCCATTTCAATCAATTTTTCAGTTGATTAAAAAAACCTGAACTCTTCTAGTTCCCCCAGGTGTTTTATCAAGTTTCAAACGAATCGGAGTAATTGGCGGCTTCTTTTTCGTTTGCTGAGATAATTTGAAGTTATTCTCTTTTTTTAAGTCCTCAATTCCTACCTTTTCAGCCTTACTTATCCCATTGATATCCAGAAAATTCTCAGGCCGTATAGTAAAGTGAATACGGCTTCTCAACACGGGGAAATTGTCGTCGATTTCCCCGGAAGCAGGAATTTTCGCGGATTTCTTATTGGCATCGAAAATTGGCGTGAAGGGATTTCGAGTCTTTTTCCTGAACGAGAACAATTTTTTTTTAGTTTTTGAAAGTCTCGGGAAAAGTCGGAATGGTGGATAATGTCTTCCAAAAGGAAAGAGGCTCAAAAAAGGCCGTAAAAAGGCAGCGAAAACGGTTCCTTTTTCGGGACTTCTAGTTCTCCCAGAGCTTTAAAGGCTCGAGAAATGGTGGAAAAAGGGAGAGACAGCGAAAATGGGTCAAAAGGGCAGCAAAAAGGAACCTTTATGGAGCCTTTTTCGACTTTGGTAGCAGAAGAAATACGTTATTGTGATGAAATTTGAATCATAATTCTATTTTGATGGGAACTTTAAAACGATTCAAGGAAGAGAGGATCGAGTTTGCTCTTGAAACCTTAAACTTGAATCCAATCTGAAACCGTGATGAATGATATCAAAAACGTTATTTCTTGTCATTTTTTATGAAATGCTGGATTTGCTTATTCCATTATCTATTTTTAGCGGATAAAATCAAAATTTTCGTATAAAGCGCTAAAAAATAGTTTGAAAGATTCGCATTGAACGTTAGATTTAATATATTATTTTTCTTGTTACTTTTCTTTCATCTAAAGATTTTTATTCGAACTTTACAGATTTTCGCTTTTGTTGCTCACTGATGAAGTTATTTTTTTCAAAGATTTGTACTTAAAAAAACCAAAAAAATTTTTTTTCCTCCATTTTTTTAAAGTTATTCTAACTAAGCGTCTGATAGATCTATCATAAATAGACAGATGAAGATATTCGCCCTTTCCTCATTTCCCCGCTTCAATTTCCACTTAAAAATCATACATTCAAGTAACACGATGTTCAAGGTGTTCTTTCAATTTTACACGCTTTTTCTGGGAAAGTATTCTCCAGAACATATCCCACTACTGACTGTATTCTGGCGACCCTGCTGTTCATCCGATCGATGGCGCCGTCGTCGTCGTACTCCTCAGATCCTTCCTCGTCGTCGTCGAACACCTTGATGTTCCGCAACCGACCAGCCACGACTTTGCTCGGGGTCTCCTCCTCTCCCCTCACATTCCCGCTTCTCTTCCTCGTGAAAGGCGTTGAAGAACTGTTTTTCTTCGGAAGTTCGCTCAGAAGATTTCGCGAGGCTCTCGTGGATCGGGACTGAAATTTTATTATAGTTGCATCAAACGGAAAATAAGGCAGTCATCAGAAGTTTCACAGAAATTTTCAAAAATTTGAATTCTTATCTCCGGATTCAAAAAGGTTTGTTTGCTATCGATTCGCCCAAGGGACCTGACAAAAGTTTCAAAAAAAAAAACTTCGCCTGGGAGAATTTTCTTCTAGTGCTAAAAACAAGCTATTTCGCGGATTTTAGGAGGCCAAAGTGGTCCCTACAAGGTTTAAAAGAGAAAAAAACAGTTCCTATGAGGGTAAAACTTAGCTAGTCCCTAAAGGGTATGAAACACTAAAGGAAAATCCTACCATGGCTGCCCCTATAGGGACCACTCTTGAGTACTTAAGTTTATGTGGGAGAACTTTTTTCTATTGCTGAAAGTACCCTGATTCGTAGACCTTATGAATATGAATTTAGTCTCTCAAAATGTTTTTTATAAGCTATTTTTTCTCCTGAAAACGATTTTTTCCTTTACGAACCACAGAAGCGGTTTTTGGAGTCTTCGAGGTCTCAACAGCTTTTCCGGGAGTACAATTCGTTTGACGAACTCTGCTCGAAGATCTCGTCATTCTCCGATTTTCCTTGTCGCTGAGGCTTCCGTCGACTTCCATCCCGTCGACGTCGGCGAAAATATCCGAGATTTCCATGTCCTCAGCGTCGAAAAAATCTTCTTCGACGTTTTCTGAGGCCGCCAACGCCGACGAGTAAGTCTCGTCACAATCGGAATCATCTGGAAAAAGTGAGGGTAATAATTTCGAGGCAATTTTCGGGGAACAGTGAAAAAAACACCAAAATCAAATGGTCCAAAAAAAAAGGAAAAATCCAGAAATACTTTTCGAACATACTATATAATTCTCAATTCATTCATCAATCTGAACTTTTAAACGTATATATTTTTAAAAAAAGCTTCTTTTTCTTGACAGTTTTCAATTAAATTTTCTCAAACTAAACGAACCATTTTCAGAAGACGACGAGGAAAAATACGATATGTTGTGGCATACGTCTCCGAGGCGCTTCACTTTCATTACAACCTTTTTCAGCTGAAATCAATTTTCTCTCTCATCATAAAACAATCTCAAAACTCACTTTTACTTAGAACTACTGAATTTATACTCTTCCCTCTGTTTGGAGTCGCCTTTTTCTGACTTTGATCCGTGAACCTTTTTGGCGTCGCCGTTATTCGCGTTGATCTTCTTGTTGTCTGAAAAATATTCATATTTTCCTTTCAAAACCGTAGAAATTACCTTTGATTTAGCGGGAGTTGTTGAGAGCATTTGCGATGTGACTGTCTCCCGGGGTAAACTACGGCTCCGACTCTTCATTTCGACTGCAAACTTACGAATTTTAGTAAAAGCACCATTATCAGAAAAAAGAGGAGCTCCTTTAGAACAACGAGCTAATAAGAACCTTCAAAAATACCTCAGCCCCTGTAAAAGACTCGGAAACATTGACTTTCAAGCTAATTACAAAGAAAATGCGGTAAAATTTGCAATCTGGAGTCTCGCGCGCGATTTTCAAGCAAGGCACTTCGGCGGCGAATCGCGGCCAATACACACAATGTCACGCGCAAAGTGCAGATGTAAAATATTTCAAAATTCATCTGACTAGAATTACTTTGAATACCAAAAACGAAAAACATAGCAAAAGCTCAAGGCAATATATTCCGTTTCCAAGGAGATACGATTCGCAATTCGATTTTGATTATTAGCATGTTGTTTTCGCGACGGAGAAATCTAAAAAGGAACACATTGATAAAGAATCGCCGACAAGACGTCACACACGGGTCATCGATTTTGCGACATTGACTTTGGACCTTCAACTTATTGCTTGAATTCCGAAATGATGCCGAATGTACTGCTAACGGTTGATGATTATCGTCGAGAAGCAGTGAAACGACTGCCCCAAATGGCCAGAGACTATTATCAGAGCGGATCTGAGGCGGGTAAAACGCTGTTTCGAAACGAAAAAGCATTCGCCAGGTTTTTTTGTCACTCATTTTCGAAAGAAACTTTTTTTTTCAACTTAATTTTATTGTCTAGTGACTTTTTAAATGTTCTTCAAAAAATGCATTTTACTATGTAATTAAAAGCTCAACATGTAACATGTTTGAAAAGTAGATTATAGCCTTCTGATCCGACCAAGATGCCTAAGAAGCGTCGCCAAAGTGACCACTTCAGTGGAATGGTTCGGAGCGACTCACGCGTTCCCAATCGGAATCGCACCGACAGCTTTCCACAAAATGGCAACTTTCGATGGGGAGCTGGATACCGTGAGAGGTCAGACTTTGAGAGAGATTCATTCAAAGAAGTGATGTCAGGAGCAGCAGCTGCAGGTACAGTGATGATCTGCAGTTCCTGGAGCACGACCTCTATCGAGGAAATCGGGGAGGAAGCCAGGAAAACTGGCGCCGTTTTGTGGTTTCAGGTAGGGGAATCACTTTGTTCTTTTGGAAAAATCTTATCTTTCAAATTGTGGGAATTTTCTGGAACCTTGCCAAAACACTCTTTTTGTACCATGGTCCAGAGAGCTTAAACGTTTCCACCCGCCAATTTTTCTAGTTTTTGAGAAAAGGACACCTCGAAGTCAAAGAAAAGCCTCAAAATCCGTGAAAATGGGGCCTTTACAAGAGATTTGAGCTCTTATAATAAGGGCCTTATTTCCTGGAAACTTGGAAGTTGTGCAGGTTGAGACTTTCAGGACGTTTTCGTGGTACATAAAGGAACGTTTAAGACAATTAAAAAAATTCTCAACCCAAAGATTATATTTTACAAGAATTTTCAGCTCTACGTCTACAAAGACCGCGACGCGACCGAGTCGTTGATCAGACGAGCCGAAAAAGCCGGAGTAAAAGCCTTGGTTCTGACGGTAGACACCCCGGTTCTCGGCCGAAGACTTGCCGACACCCTCAACGGCTTCTCCTTGCCGTCTCCTCTGAAGTTATCTTGATTCATCTTCAGAAAAAGGAAGGTATTCAGATTCGCCAACTTCGAGAACAGCGTCACCAAGGCCGAGATGCCGACTGGAGGTGCTGGCAAATCCGGATTCATGCAGTACGTCAGCGCGCAGATTGATCCGTCGCTCAGTTGGGAAACTCTTCGGTGGATTCGCACGTATGCTTTTTCATATTGAGATATGAGTAAAGTTCGAATTTCACTGCGCTATTTACTATGGATAGATTTGCCGTTCTGAAATTTGGGGGTTTTTTTTTAAATGATAATTTTTTTATTTGTCTGAAACCTTTTGAAGATCTCCCGCAGATCCTGTGAAAACTTTTAAAGTAATTCTGAAAATAAGAGACCTCAAAAGTCTCTCATTCAATTTTTAAAACTTGAAACTTGAAATTTGAGGCTTTTGTTCTCAAAAAGAAGAAGAATATGTAGATTTAGAGATTCAGGACTTCGTCACTGACGTCAAACATCTTTTATCACGTTTAATTTTTCAAACATTAAATTAATTTTCCCTGTAAATTCTAGTGTATGCAGCATTCATTAACCCTGAATTTTCTTCATCTTTTTGGTCCTGCATACGATACAAAAAAATCATACAGTCGTCTACAGTAAGACGGACCTGCCCATCCTGGTCAAAGGGGTCATGACATCCGAAGATGCTGAATTGGCTTTGAAGGCCAAAGTCGACGGAATCATCGTCTCGAATCATGGCGGTCGGCAGATGGATGACATACCAGCTACAGTGGGTTTACAAATGTTTGCGAAAAAGAAGTCAGTTTTCAATGCCATCTTTTTCACCAGGATACGGATGAAAAATTGAAACGTTTATGTTCAAAGGGATTTCGCGAAATGCAAAATGGCGGTCAGAGAAGAAAAATATAACTAAATTTTGGAGAGTCAGAGATAATTTTGAATTTCGCAGAAATCACTTCGAACACGGCATCAGGGTGACATTGGTCAGTTCAGAAATCCTTCCTGAAACTCCCTTTTTTCAAGCTTCAAAGTTCGCGATTCACCGCCTTCTACCTTGAAACTTCTCTTTTGTTAAAAAAAATACAACTTTTGGGATTTTTTCAGATAGAGGTCCTGCCAGAAGTGATCCAAGCCGTTGGAAAGGACGTCCCGGTCTTTCTGGACGGCGGGATTCGCAACGGCAGAGACGTTTTCAAAGCGATCGCTCTAGGGGCTCGCGGAGTTTTCGTGGGAAGACCCATTTTGTGGGGGTTGACCGTTGGGGTTACAAAACTTTCATTTTCATTGAAAATTGGGCTCGAAGAGCAAAGTGATCTGATAGTCAACAAAAACTTTAAAAGTTGAACTTTTTTTTGTCTGTCTCGAAACATTTAATTTCCACCAAGTTCTACGCATCATATAACTTGAACCTCTAGTTATTTTTTTGGATCAAATCACCCTCCAATCGGTTTTTCAGCGAGACCAAGGAGTTCGGGACGTCCTAGCGATTCTACAGAGCGAGTTTCTACACGCGCTGCAATTAACAGGCAAAATTAGTTCAATCATTTGAATTCGAAAGATTTTCTCAGGTATCCGTTCGATCGAGGAACTACAGGGCGAGAAGAACGTTGTCGTTCACAAGAGCGCCTTCTCGAAAATATAATCAAAGCATTTATTGTACATAAATTTTACATCTGAAATGGCTTACAAACCGGTTTTTTTCATTTTTTTTTTACAATGTAATTAAGTGCGAATGGTAAAGCGATTTTAATTCTGTTGAGTGGGAAAGATTAGGCGGGAATCTTGGGCAGACCGAATTCGTCAACTTCGAGACCGTCAGCAACCTGGAATTATTTTTTTAAGTTTTTTTCTGTCAAACCCCTAAAAAAATTGGTTTTTAAAAAGTATTTTATTATTTTATTACTATGTTATAATGCTTTTCCGTTCTCAAAGTGATGCCGCCAAATTTAAAATAGCCGTCCGATAGTGAAAAAGATCTGAATACTGGAGAATCAGAGATAATCATATTTTTGCTTTTTTACTTGGAACACGCAATAAAACTCTTTTTTGAAAGAACAGTTGACAGATTCTAAAACTTCAAGTAACCTACACATGATTTTTCTCAGACAAGAAAATGTTCCACCCTGAGTAGTAAAATCAAAATGAACTGACTCTTGTGGCAGTTTTCGGTTTAGAAGTTGGAACCCCAGGAGCCGCCAGGGCTTCATCCAGGTAGTTGGTGTCGGTCTCGCCGAGGTCCAGCTCGTCTCCAAGCATCGCCAGTTCGGCTTCCAAATCGGCTTCGTCGATCTGAAAAAAAAACTGAATTTAACGTAATAGTTGACATTCAAATCTATGAAGTAAAGCTCAGAAGAATGGAGAAAAGGGTAAAAGGTTGTGGATTTGGCGAAACTTTGTTAAAATTTTCCTTAGACGGCCCGAATTACAGATTTCGGCATGATTTTGGATGAATAGCGCTTGAAAGTTAGCATCAAAGTTCAAAGCAACGCATTTTTGTACTGGCTGACCGATTCAGAGACTCGATATCTCCAAAATGAGGCAAGTGATAAATTAAATCTTAACTGATATGTAATCGAAAGATATGAAGTACCTTTTGACTAATTCCCATTTAGTTTTTAAAATCCGCATCGAACACACATCTTTCCAATATTTTCATTAATATACTGCATGAAACGTACGTCAGGAGTGTCGTACTGCCGACTCATCGCCTCCTGGATCTCATTGTTCAAATCGAGCATATCCTCCATTTGATCTTGCAAGTCTTCGATCTGAACCAAATCATTCCCAAATTACAATTTATATCCTTTTTACCTTTCCAATATCCATCTTTTTGTATTCTTTCTGCATGGTACGCAGTCCGTCTTTCATCGCAGCTACAGTTACCTGAAATTTATCAGTTTATTTTTATATTTTCAAAAAGCCGACAAACCTGATTATCTTTCATTCCTTGAATGGCGAAATTGCTCTGATCCACGTTGAAGGCTTGTTGATCCAGTTGACCTTTTTGCGTTTCGTACATGCGCTTTTGCTTGAGAATTCTGGAATAATAACTTTTTTTTCAATATTTTCTGTAAAATAAAAAAAACCGTAAAGCTTTCTGTTTGATAAGATTTTTGCTGGGTCCCTCGCGCATTTTGGACATTTGATCACGCAGTTTCATCAAATCGCCATCGAGTTTTGCGATTTTCTTCTCGATACTCTCGCCTCTTGATTCAATGTTGGCGATCGCGGCATTCAGATCCGGCGGTGGTTCTTTCTTGGAGGAGCCGAATATCCGCTTCATGTCCTTATAAAAAATGGGAAACGTTTCTCATGAAACAATCTTCTTGAAAAAGCGAGAGGATACTACACACACGAGGAAGTTAGACTTCTTGATAAAAGAAATTCCTGACGGCAATTTAAAAAAAAGGAAGAAAACGACAACTTTTGATAACTGAAATTGAAACAGCTTTTCCGATCGGTTATTCGAAATTGTGACCGTTATGACGGGAGCGAGAAGAAATTTCTAGACATTTCAACTTTCCGACACCGGAAGACATTTCAATTCAAAAATAGAATAAGCATTAGTTGGCTTAACAAAATTAGAGAAGAATAAATTGTAGCCGGAAGGAGGCGTTTAAAACTACATATTTCTAGACGCCATGAAAGTTAAAAAAACTGACATAACTCTCTATTAATATGAAGGAATAAAAATAAAATTGAAGAAATTCAAAAATCTCGTGAAAAAAATTTCAGTGAGTAATCAGTTTTTGGCGATTTCCCAACCGCTCTGACGTCACATTCGCGTCGGAACCCTTTCAACGAACATCGCTGGACGCGTCGCGTATCGCGCCGCAAAGGCGTTTTCAGGGAACTTTTCCCCGTTTATCAACGAAAATGACGTAAGCAATTGGTTTCCTGCCAGCTTTTTTTGTAGTTGTCCTCGTTGATCTTTTATTTCCACTTTGTTTTGTTTTTTCTATCATAAACATACTTTTTTCTTTTAGCCTAATTTTTTTTGCCTGCTAAGTGATGGAAAAGGTTTTTGGTTTGACCTGATTAATGAAATTTAAACCTCAATAATTGGGTTATATTTTAATTTGCTTTCAGCTCACTCTCGCTAAACGCAATTTGTCAAGAAGGTGTGAAACTAGCCTTGATGTTTCTGCCGTAATAGCATAATTGACATCGAAACCATTTTGCGGGAAAGGGGATAACCTAATTAGAACGTTGTGAGAATTTTGTCGTGGGATAATTTTAACGCGATTAAAAGATGAAATTCATGTCAAATTTAATTAAAAGTTCGCGTTTCTTGATTTTGCTCAAATAAAATGGATCTAAATTTAGAAACAAAAAAAAATTATTCTAATTTACACTTTACAATCTCTCAGTTTATGTTGGTTTTCCTTACACTCTGCAGAACTAGTTGACTGGATTAATAGAAACTAAAAAAAAATCATCTTTCCAAATTAAATTTTTCTCACCACCGTCGGCGAAAGTGGCGTGATAGTATTTATTTACTCGTTAGCGTTTTGCATCTTTTCTCTCTCTCGGAACATAGCAATCACTCGCATTTACTCTTTCACGCATTTTTTTTTTCATACTAATTCAATTTATTTTTCAGATGTGCCATTGAGTGAGTTTGAACTTGCGTGTTCATAATCCCTGTCTGAAAAGTCAAAGAAATTGAACGTTTACGTTCCTGTAATGAGTGATTCGCAGCGTGATAGTGGGTCGCCGACGGCTGAAGAAAAGCCTAAGGTTTGTAGGATAATAGGAATTTTCAAAATTTGAAAAAAAATTTTTTTAGGAAAACTCGACGACCAAGGAAACCAAAGAAGCTAAAGAAACCAAAGAAAATGAAAAGGTTGAGAAGAAAACCGACTCAAAGTCAACCGAGAAAGCAAAAGTCAACGGGAGCGCTAAAGACAAGGAAAAGGATAAAGACGATATCCAGAGGATCGGGAAACCGAACAAGCGACATTTCTTGGACCATATCGAGATCCAACGTGTAAGATCTGTTCTTTTTTTTCAATTTATAGTCTGCTCAGATTTTTTGAGGTCAAGTCATCGCTCAAACTCCGCCTCTTATGCGTAAATCAAATCAATCAAAGAGCGAGCCATTCACAGAGCGTTATTGGGGGCGGAGTTTGCTGAAAGCATTTTTTGAACTTTGCTCTGAAAATTCTCCCTAATAATTGCAAAAGAGTATATGATTGAAAATTTTGATATCTAAAAAAAGAGGCCGCTCGCAATAAAGTGGTAAATTGGTTTACCTTGATTAACCCCAAAAGTTACCTGCGGACTCGAAATCAATTTAATCCTATTCAGAACCTTCTATAAACGTCTCATACCGGGATTTCGAAAACTTTCAGATTTTTGTGCAATAATTGGTCATTTACCATTTTTAGGTAAGGTAAGTTCATGTAATTTTTTTTTTTGCAAACGGTCCTGGATCTCCCAATAAATCGAGTTATTTTGAAAGACGTTTATCAATCAATCCTTGTTCAGTAGCCTCGCCTGAAATGATTACAATAAAAACCAACTTCATGTCTCGAGAAATTTTTTTTCTCCCAAAAGACCCGAAAAAGATTTTTGACTAGCATATGGTAGTGAAACAGAAAAAAAACGTTTTTTCGTGTTAAGGAAGCTTTGAACCGTGTGAAACTCTACGTTCTGTGCGAACAGCGAGTTTGGGACGACCGAGGTACCGGCCACGTGATGTGCATCAGTGCAAACGACGAAGAGGAGCCTCAGAATTCGTCTTCTTTCGTCATTGTCGTCCGACTTGAAGCCCAAGGTTCGAGAAAATCAAAAAATAATGATAATTGTGTCGTGAAATTCAGACAAAAACGTTTTGGAGTCGAGGATTCTGATGGACACAGTGTACCAGAAGCAACAGGTCAGTTAGTCGGGGAAATGAGCCGTTTCTGAAAAAATAAGCTGTGTTCGCTCTCTGCTTCTTCTGTGTTTGCCTTTGTAGTTGCGAAAAGAGACGTCGCGTTTCTTTTTCTTGATTTCGTCATGCTTTCTTATTGTTTAGAAGTAGAAAAATAAATGAATAGGATAGTTTTCTGTTAGGTATTTGGCTTCCATTTGAAAAAAAACTAGTTTTCCTTGAGTTTTTGAGATTAAAAATTTTTTTAGATCTTCGGATTAATTGATTTCCATTCGGAAAAAAAAATATATTTCTTCTTTGAAAAATTTTGTTTCAGTTCTGAGAAACATTTTTTTTTCCCGTCTTTATACGATTGAGATTTGTCACGTTACCCAACCAGCTGAAGATGAAGATTCGGTTTTCAACATTTTTCGGCTTTTTTGTGATATCGCAATTTCTTAATGAGCTATTATAGTAGACTTAAGTTTTTTATTTCGAAAAATGTCTTCCAGCCTTGCCATAAGATTGAAAACTGTGAAATGAACGTTCCAAAAGTTTTTTGAGAAAATTTCTTCACAAAGTGTTTTGCGGGGGTGATATAGAAACCGTTTCGCTGGAAAATGTTTTGAAAATTTTGAGAAAAACGTTGATATGTAGGTCGTTAAAGACTACGCTTTCGAGCACAGCACCAAGGATTTTTTTGTATGGATTTTTTTGTAAGAAATATATATAATAAGAAAAATATGCGATAAGTAATGAACAAAAAAGCTGAAATTAATAGTTTGTAATTATTTTTTTACATATAATTTGAATTTTGATTAACTTCACAAGATTCGTGTCAAAATTCAATATGCTAGGTCATGAACGTGTTTCAAGAGGAGTGTGACACTGGAAAACGCTAGGAAACATGAAATTTGATACGTCACGACTTACATAACTGCCGCGTCTTCGCCTTTCGTTCAGAACGGCCTAAATGAATATTTTGAATTGAATGGCTGACCGCAAGTCTGCGCGATTTGAAATGGTGAATGTCGATTTTTTTTTTTTTTTGAAAAATCAAAATTTTCATGAAAAGTTTCCCAGGCATAATCCGATTTTCTTCGATTTTTTCAGGGCTTTTTTTGATTCATCATAGAGTAGAATATAAAAGCTGTTTTATAATCGTTCCTCGTTTTATTCGCCGGAAGTCGCAAACACAAGGTTTTCATGAAAAATTTAAGAAGGCTTTTAACCATTTTTCCGGAAAAGAAATCTCTTCCAAGAAATTGATAAAGGCTCAACGAAACACAAAAAAAAAGTTGAACGAATGAATTTTTTTTCGTCGTAGAGCACTTCTTTTTCTGCGATTTCTCAGACATGAGATTTTTTTTATCGGAGTCTTCGAAAAATTTATATAAATTCCTTTCAATTTTTTTTTCCGATTTTCTACAAAGTCTAATAATTATTGAGCAAGAAAATTGTTTGGAAAAAACAATTTAATATTCAAAAAAGGCCTGGTAAAAAATTTTACTTTTTTTAAAACAAAAATAATGGTCCTCAAGAAATCGAAAAGGTCGGAGAAGTGCCTGAGAGAAACTCAAAAGAAACGGAGAAAGTTAGTTGCGCGAAAATCCAAGGTTCGAATTAAAGCGACGTGTGGTTTTGTGCGTGCGCGTGTATCCCATCCATGTGTGTAGGTTTTTCCTTCTTCTTCTTCTTCTCCTTGGGTGATTCTTTCCGCTTTCCGGCGGCTCTCGCTGCGTCTCTATTTTCGCACGATTGCGGCGGTGTCCATCGCCGCCTGGTATAACGTCTTTTTGCCCCTTTTCCTTAGGCCTGACGACGTCTCCTCACCCCCACGTTTTATTCATTTCACATCCTCCTTTTTTTTTTCTGCCGTTCGACTTCCAAGCTTTTCCCTCTTGTGAGAGCCGAGCACATGCCCAGCGCGCAACGTCAATTTCTTCTTGTGAGCCCGCGCTGCTTTGTTGTAATTCTTCCATTCCCTATTTGCACCTGCCGTCGTGCTTCTCTTTCACTTGGAAAAAAACACTTGCTAATTGGGATTAATGGACTTATCTTTTAAAAAAAAGTACCTTTAGAAAGTAGACATGCTGGTCTCTTTGCACCTGGGTTCCCCTTCTTGAGAACAAATTGGGATATGAAGATTCTCTGATGGACGTATTCGAGTGAATATTTTCTAAAAGTTCTTTTTAGACCCGGTAAAAAATATTCTTGTCGAAGCAGAAATTAAGAAAGGAGAACAAATATCAAATCATTCATGCGAACATTCAAGCTTTTAAAGAAATTCATAAGTGATGTTTGCTCTTTCAAATCTGTTTGTTTACACTTTTTCCTGTTTCAAATGTAAAAACTTTGGAATCGAATCGAAAGAAAACAACAATAATATTCATTGTGATGTTCCGGCTGTTTTTCTTCTCGATTTTCGTCTTTAACTTTTTTTTTTCTCAAAGGAATAATTAGGCTTTTGCATACATTTTTTTTATCGAATTTAGCAACCCCTAAAAGGAGTTCAAGGCAGTAAATGGTGTTTTTTTTCCATCTTCGTATCAAGAAAGTCGACATTTTGATGCCCTGAAAAATCTCTTATAGTTTTATCATTTCTCCAAATTTCAAGGATATCATTCTTTCACAATGATCCTTTTTTTAGAACACTAGAAAAACTTTTTTTCTTTTTCGCTTTTCGATTAGTATTCCTTTCTATAAATGGAATAATGCATATTTCTTCATTTTTTTTGGGGGGGGTAATATCTACTTTCTTGATTTGCGTTTAGATCAAAAAGAGATATTATTAGAATTTGAATCGAAATGTATGCCTAAAAAAATTGTTAGGTCATTTCTTTTTGTAGTTTGGTTTTTTTCTCGTAAGTCAGAGGTGAAAAAAATTAAGTAAGAGAAAAATCTAGTTTTAGAGAAGTTTTCTATCGTGATCTTCTTTCACAAATACCCCAGTGTTTGAAGGTTTTCTTGAACTCTTATAAGAAACGTATTGTGTCGGAAATGAATGAGGTTTGTTGTGGACAGGGGCATCGCTTCAAACGCAACTCAAAATGGATTTGTTTTGGCTGTCAGCCAACGGAACGAAGAGAGGATGAGGACGACAGACGGTGAGAAACGAAGCAAAACCGCCGTGGTCTGGATAAATGTTTCGAGAAGAGGGCGCCAGGCGACAAAATGCCTCCCACTGAGTGGTTTTTCTATTTTTTTTATTCCTGCACGCGCTTGAAAGATATGCTTCCAATTTCGCGCTCTTGCTCATTAGAAATCGCTTTTCAAAAGTTTCTCTCGTTATTTTTGGACGCCACACGCATTCGGAGTATATGAAAAACAGATTGGACATGAGCCAATTCATTTTTGGGCTTCCAATTCGATTTCACGATTTTAAATTTCAGATCCTTTGAAGTGTAATATCAAAAGATCAAATGAGTTCAGTGCAAAACAAACAAAGTTCATGCCAATCTTGAAACCGAAACTTTGTTTCAATTTATGAACGGCAGAGGGTATAGCTCCCACGTTTGCGCTTTTTTTTCTCATTAAAAATAGCATTCATGAGTTTCTCTCACGTATTTTTGGATTCTTCCAGCTTTCTGGCATGAAGCTTTAATATTCAGTGTTTTTTTTTCTCAATCATTATATTACGAAAACTTTTAAAGTTCTCAAAAACGTTTGAAACCCCATGTTTTTATTTGAAAAAAAACTTTTTTGTGGAACACATAAGATCAAAATTTGACGATTTTTTATAATTCGTTGACGTATTGGTGAAAAAAGAAATAGAACCTGATGAAAACTAAAGCAAAAGCTAGGAATTTAGTTCCATTCATAAATTTTTTTTTTCGCAGAAACGTATTTAGAACAGCTGCTTTTTGTTGCGTTCTGCAAAATGTATTGCTACTCATTTTCGTCTTTTTGGTCATAAAATGAAGCTTTTTCATACTTTCAAACGTTTGATAGCCATTTTTCGTTCCCATAAGCGTCTTTCAAGCAGTTCTTCAAATCTGAGATTTTCTTCTCGTATCCTATAAGCTGGTATCAACCTTTGAGTGGAGGATCTTCTACTCCTTCTTTGTATCATCCGCATTTGGTGGGAAAAGTGCTCAGAAGAAGATTTTAGAGCGTTTTTTGCGGTCTTGTCAATGGGTGGTTGCTCCAGCAACGTTCATCTTACTCCTTGTTGTTCCGAAGAAATGTTTGAGAATCGAATTAATGGAAAAAGCCCATTTGACTCAATTTTAAACTATGGCGTGACTTTGGCTTCGCGTCGGGGGAATTACTGATTTTGAGTTTTGTTCTGAAATATTGAGATTCATGGAATTCTTTGATTCATTTTTTTAAAACAAAATCCAAATAAATGGAATAAAGTGTTTCCATTTATTTTTAATTGATGGTGTTGTGAAATATTTGGCCGAGAGGCTTTTAACATTAAAAGATGGAGATTTCTTGAGCCCCCCGTCCACCCACGTTCTTATCAGCTCTCAGGTTTATTTGTCAACTTTTGATAAGGTTTTGCGAGAAGCGGTTTTTGTCCTTTTTTTTTCTTTCATTCGATTTATTTTTTTTTCTCGCGCATTTCTTCATCAACACCGTTCGTAGTTGCGTTGTTCAGAAGGATTGGGGAAATGCCGAAGAGCTTGACGACATTGTCTTTTGTCGAGAATCACGTGGAGGACGACGCGACGCCGTCGACGTCTTCTTCTTCTCCTTCGACATCTTCCAGCTTCTTGGCCCTGGGGAATTTCAATGCAATTGAGCCGGTGCTTATTTCCAACGTGGTTATGTAGTCGCGCCCGCTCTCCTTTTCCCCCTAATCTCACTTCCGCCGAAGTTTTTTGAGACTTTGTAATAATCTTTCTGGGAGATTTGTGGTTCATTGGTACCAGTTACCGAGGCGATAAAGCGTCACGCAGATTATGGGAAATATTATTGAACTGATAAGAATAATCGTCGTTGAAATTGAAATGGATCATTTTGAGGTGGTTTGAAAAGCATTTATCGCATTTTCGATTTAAAGTAAAAAGGTTCTTGTTGTAAAATAAATGTTGGAATGGATATTATAATGAAGAGAAAAAAGACAGCTTATTTTGGATCTTCTTCAAACGTAAAAAGAAGTTTAGATTTTTCTAATGATTGGTTTTAAAAAAATAAAAAAATAAATAGTTAACAAAACTTTTTGATTTTACACAGGAGTTCATCTTGATAGTAGTTTTCAAAGAGGCACAGCTTATTTGTTCCAGCCGCATTCAGTTCGACCAAAAATCTGTAATCGAAGAGTTTTTGCAGGAAACTCTGATCGTGTGGTCAGAATCGGACACTTGCGACCTGGCGCTGTCGTTCCAGGACAAGTCCGGCTGCGAGGAGATTTGGGCGAAGATCTGCGAGGTCCAAGGCCGAGATCCCGGCGATTCTGATGCCGCCTACGAAGACCTCGACGACAGCGACACGGCAGAGTTGTCGACGACGACGAGTCGGATGACCCTTCCTCCCATCGAAATCGGCCGTCTTTCGGAGCTCGAGTCGCTCCTCCAGCTCCACCTCTCCACGTCTTCAATGCGCGAGAAGATCGCCAACGCCATCGAGAACGAAGAGTCCGTTTTTTGTCCTTTTTCGGGATAATAATCACTTTACTCCGAGACGCAGAAAGGCGCGATTTCCTTTATCGCAACAGGAGAGGAACTCTCAGAAAACCACGAAATAGCATGCGTTGGAGAATAGCTGCAGCGCCCTAGTAGTTCTTCAATCACTGCAAAAATTAAATTCAAGTTTCGGTAATTATGCTCTAAAACTTCTATACGTTTGCTTTCTGTTTCGAATTTCGTGGCAAAAAAAATGACTTCTGTTCATGTTTTTGGGATTTAACGATGAAAGCTTTAGTAAAGAAATATCTCCTAATCTCAAACATTTTTCATCTGCAAGGCTTCATTCTTGTTTTCTGAAGGCACTAATTTCAGTTCTCAACGAGTTGAATTTCAAAATTTGAAAGCTTTTCTGCTGTTAAGATGTCTTTTAATAATGGTTAAAAAGTTTTTTTATTTCTTGTAAGCTTTCCTACGGGACGGATTATATCAAAATCTCAAATTCAACATTTTCTCGAGATTAAAAGTTCCGGCTCATATTGCATTTGATTTTGCCCCCTGAATAAAAAACAAATCCAGGAAGATTATCTTGCTCAAAACTTTGCCTCCCAACTTATTTGTGAGATTTGCAATAAATTAAATTAAATTTTTAACCAAAGCAAAAACTGAGAAGTTTCTCAAAAGATGAAAATATTTTCAGCACCCTGCCGAAACTCTGCGAGTTGTTCCAAATGTGCGAAGACCTGGAACATACAGAAGGCCTCAAGACTTTCTATTCCATCGCCAAGAATCTTTTCATGCTCAACAGAACCAGCCTCAATGAGGTTCGTCCTTCTGTTCCGAACAAAATCATGTTAATATTATGTTTTTTGCAGTTGCTGGTGGATGACCGGTTCATGAAGGATCTGATCGGAATGCTGGAATATGATCCTTCTTTTGATACGCCGAGGAAACATCGCGAATTCGTCTATGATAAGGCCAAATTCCGGGAAGTTTTGCGGATATCCAGCGATGAGCTAATGTGAGGAAGATCTCAACGGCTTTAGAAATCGGGACGTTTTTCAGTGATAAGATCCATAAAACGTACCGTGTACAGTACATCCAGGACGTCTGCCTTCCCAGTATGGGCCTTTTCGAGGAAAATTTGCTCTCCGCCCTCAATAGCTACATTTTCTTCAGTCGCGTCGATATTGTCACCTTGCTCCAGGTTTGTAAAGTGCAGAAGAAAGCGCTTTTGAAGAAAGAATGAAGCTTTTAACATCGGAAAACCAAGAACGATGTGAGATAAAACGTTTTTCTTCAAGCAAAAATCGAGCATATTTCTCGTATTTTGAAACCAAATATCTTTTAAATATTTGACAGCATAAATTAAGGCTTATATAAATGAATGAATTTATCGGGAAGATTGAAAGAAATGTTCTATTCCATTTTGGCCCCTGAGAAAGAAAATTTCACTGGGTGTCGCCAAACATATAAAATGTTAAAATTCATCCAAAAAATTAAATGATGGAATGAAGTTGATCAAAATAGGCAAGGTATAAAATTTTACGAACCCTCTAGACTTTAATAAAGTTTTTCAGATTTTCTCTTAGATCTTGATAAACTTTTCAGGGGATTCGAACTTTTTTATGCTAATAAAAAATTTTCTTCGAAGTTTCTGTTTGCATTTTTCAGTAATTTCTTCAAGACTTTTTTGAGAATTATAAAGAGTCAATAATCATGCAGAAGGACAAGCGGTTAATGAAAGAGCTTTTCGAGCACCTCCGAGATCCCAACACTTCCGTCGAAAGACGGAAAGAATTGGCGCTCTTCCTCAAAGAATTCATCACACTCAGCCAGGGATTGCCTCCCAGCGGAGCTCAGAGCAAGGAAAACTTCTTCAAGGCAAATTTCATCGATTGGAATTGAAATTAATAAGGATGTGTCTTCAGAACCTGCAGACGAACGACGTCTTGGGAACGATCGAGCCTTGTCTCAAGTCGCCGGACGTCGAAACCCGCGCCGCCATGGTCGGCATGCTTTCTTTGCTGGTCGAGCACAACCCCCAGTTGGTCCGCGACTACATGATCAAGCAGGCCAAGGATAAGGAGGAGGTTCGTCTTCTCAAGTTTCTTGTAGAAAATGAATGATGAAGGGATTTCGGAGTCTTTAGTCTCAATCTGTATGATTTTTAATGTTGAGTCAAAAGTCTTACACAAAGTGAATAGAAACAAATCAGTGAAAATCAACGATTTTTTGGCTTTTTTTCTGGTATTGTACTTTTTATCCTAGTTTTGACTTTTTTTTTCATATTTTACAATAAAGGAAAATTTGTAGGGCGATATTCTGCTGAACCGTGTGATCGTGCACATGCTCAACGATAAAGACCCAGATTTGACGACAGGATCGCAGGCGGCCTTGGTTCGTTTCTCTTTCTTTCGAATTTTATGATCCTTAGCAGTGATTTGAGTTCCTCCCTCGCTGATAAAAATGAATAAATCAAAATTTAAAATTTAAAAAGGATTACAATCAAATATTGAAGCCTTGGAGAAGTGAAGGTACAAAACTTTCTAAAATAAAATTTGATAAAAAAGGCGGCTGAGCATTTTTGCTTGAGGTTTCTGTTTCAATGCTCAGAAACAGTTTTAGTTATTGTCTTATTTCAACAGAAAAAAGAAAAACTGGAGTTTTTCGTTCAGATGCTAAAAATCTTGCTGGACCCCGACAACATGGTGACGATGAAGGCGGAACGCAGCGAGTTCCTTCAGATGTTCTACACGAAATCCATACAAACGATGATCAAGCCGATTTTAGAGAACACTGAAGGACGAGTCTTGAAACGGGGTACAGTCTTGAAGTGTCGGAAAACTTATTTATGAGAAAAATGGAAAATCAAACGGCTGGATGAAAAGATGTGCTAAGATTCAGATGAATTTTGAAATTTTTTGGATCAAAACTCACTTTTAAATGGGATTTTTTTCGCTCGCCTCACTTTACTGTTTTCAGATGTTTTTCTTTTAATAATTTTGATGGTTTTTTCTGTTAACGACTGGTAATCCGGAGAAAAATGCATTTCTTGAAAGGAAGTACCGTGATATTGCAAAAATTTCAGTGAAAATGAACCTTTCTCGGAATTCGGGCTAGATTTTAGAGTAAGTGTCAAAAAGCAGAGTTCGATTTTTTTTTTTTTCGGATATGAATCGTCTTTTTTCACTGAGACTTCAAATAGCTCTTAACCAGAATAATTATTCAAATAAAAAACTTCCAGACGACTACGTGACGGCGAACCGACAGTCGTTGATCGTCCGACTACTGTACTTCTGCATCGAACACCATTCCTACGCGATGCGGCAGTTCTGCATAAACACGGATCTGCTCAACAGCGTCCTCGTTCTGCTTCAGAGCAAACACACTTTCTTGTCAATTTGTTCGTTTTTGAAAGCGATTTGTTAATTTCATCTTTTCGGGTGCGAAAAACGAAACCTACAATGACTGCGTTCCATAAGTTTTCTCAATTTAGGAAAAAATTTTTTTGCGAAATTTTAGCTCTTCTGTAGTTTCGAGAGTTCTAGCTTCATCAATATACATTCCCTTAGTTTTCACTACGTTTTTTCTCTCCCAAAATTTTTTCCTGCATGTAGGAGTCAAGAAAATTTTATCGATGATGGATACCCTGTCATCTCTCATTTCAATCATTTCAGTCGCCCTAAAAATGATTCGCCGTGTGATTTCCAAGAAGGACGAGTTCTACTACCGACACATTGTTCGCGAAAAAGTGCTCGACCCTGTCTTCGAGTGTTTCAAGCGGAACGGATCCCGTTACAATTTGATGAACTCGGTCATGCTCAACCTCTTCGATTTGATCAAGACGGTGTGGTTTTTAACATAGTTTTCTCGTCAGGAATAAAGATAGCTTCAAAAAAAATCAATAACATTTTCGCCTTGCAGGAAGACATCAAGATGCTCTGCAAGTACATCGTCGAGAACCACAGCGACGTGATCGAAAGTGTGACCTACGTGAAGGTTCTGTCAGACCTGAAGCTGCGCTACGAACAGAACAAGGACCGCGAGGAAACTTCGAGCACGAGATCCGACGACAGAAGCGCCGCCTCGAGTCCGCGAAGCTACAAGAAAGAGCGGCAGGTGCTTGGAAATATCCTCGAATGGCTAGAAAAACATGTATAGCTTGAAAAGGATAGGGAAGAGGGCTTCAAAAATTAGCAATTGAAAACGACGTCTTCCCTTATTCCAGGAAAAAAACAAGATATGAAAAATAAGAAGTAGAAGCAGTGAAAAGCATCAAAATTATCATAGTTCCTATGTAAGGGAAAATTTTTCCTAAAGTTCCCGAAAAGTTTCTCTGATCTAGAAAAAAATTGAAGAAAAAACTACGTTTTATGATTTTTTACTTTCAAGCTGCTCCAATAATCACATGGATTTGTGGCTCACTGTGCTTTCTGCCGCTCGCGTTGGCATTAGGGTCGCAGAGTAGGGACTCTGGCAGTAGTGTGCCGCGTGTCCGAGTGGCGAAAGACTTGGAGTGCGGTTAGAGAGGCCAAAGGATCGACTCCTCTCGCCGCCGCGCGTGATTGCCCAATGAGATAAAGGACAATATGACACCTAGCACTCATGAAGAAGACGTTGGCTCTTCTGGGGCTGACGTCTTCGACAAGTGGGTGTTCGCATGATACAGATTATGAGAGATGAGGGCTTATTTTGCAATTTTGTTTTATTTTTTGGAAACGTTTATCAATAAACTTTTTCAAAATTCTATTTTCCAGGAAGAACAGTGGTTCGATGAAGACGACGACGATGACGAACCCGTCGACTTCAAGAAAGACGTCGTGAAGAAGGAGGATACACCACGAAAAACTGGCATCGAACCCATGTTCCCATCGGTTCTGAAGAGGAAAAACGCAGTGGATGAAGACGACCTTTCCGTTTTTGAGACCGGTTCTCTTTCCACAGTCCTGATGCCCAAGAAAATCGTCATCAAGGTTTTCCTCAATTTTCGCTTCCTATAATTAGAATAATTTCCTGCAGGTTAACTCGGAGAGATCGCGAACGCCGTCGCCGGCATCGCCGAGAGAAAGCGCCAGTCCGGCCAAGAGTCCCATCAGAGAAGACGAAGTTTCTTCCTCGCAGAGCACCAAGGAGAACAGTCCGGCTCTGACTGTTAAGGTACAAGAAAGCCTGAAGGAACTCATAAAGAGAGAACACTTTGAAGTCGCTGGTCGACTACGATGAGTCGGACTCAGATGACGAAGAGGAGGCCTCGCCGGACGCCATGCCGTCGTCGTCCACCGGAAGTCCTGTCCAAGAGGAAGGGGTGAGTTCGGATAATTCAGAGCAAAATACAAACTTCGAAGAAAAATTGCTCATTTTCATCTAAACATTCATGCTGAATCAGCTTAAGAAAGTTCATAATTTTTGTTGTTCAAATTTACTTTTCGAAGCTTTGAAAAGGGAAAAATTAAGAGTAGAAGAGCTCTCACGATTATCAGGGATGCCTGTGAATATTTGAGTTTATTCACTTTTACACCAAAGTTTTGGTCGAACTTTTCAATTTTTTCCAAACCTGTTTCTATAAATTCCTTGTTTTTCAGTCTGGCGACAAGAAGACCAACGACGTGAACTCGCCCGAGCACAGCGACGTGTCGTCGTCGACCAACGAGAACGGCGACGGCAACAAGTCGCCACCGGACGGTGAACAGAAGACCGAGAAGACGGAGCCGCCCGACGCGACGACTGAGCTTCGCCGTGCGAACAAGCGACACTCGAGCGGCGACCAGGATCCCTTGGAAGCCAAACGTCATCGCAGCGAAGAAGGCGTCTCCGAAGCCTAGGCTTTCTTCTTCTCTCTTTGTGCTCTTTCGGATCGAGAATAATCTCCGTTGCTTTCTGTCTCTTTCCATATGTAATATAAACTATATGATCAATGTATTTTTTGCGACTGCCTTGGAGTTCACTTCGTCGGGAATGTGCGCGAAACGAGAACTATTTTATTTGAAAATGAGTCCTCAAAAGTGGAAAAAGGGCTGTATATGCGCCAGTTAATTTTCAGCTTCTCATTTTTCAGAAAGCTCCCTTGGAATTTTTTTTCCGAAGCTGACAGTAGAAAGCTCATTTTTTCGCAATGCTTATGCTTGTATTTCAACTTTTGAAGTTTTATTCTATTTCGCTCGCTTTCACGACGAATTTATGTAGGGTAAATGATTCCGTTCTTGTTTTTTTTTTCCTTTTTGAGCAGCTGTATTTACACGCATCTCAACTGTACCTATTGTGATCAAATTGATAAGTTCTTTGAAACAATTCCTTCTGAATCTTAAGCTTATTGAAAAAGAAGTTGTCCGGGTTTTTGATATTCATCTGTCCCATTGTTACCAGATACTGTTCCAAATCTCCTTTTTTGTAGTTGTTTTGTTAAAAAGACATGCCTCAAGCTATCTCCCGGTGATTTCTCGCTTCGTTTTACTTTTGGATATTTCTGGTAGATAGCCTGAATATGCGTTGGGCTGGATCCGTCGCAGTAGCCGATGTCTTTTCCTCTGCTTTCAACTCAACACAACACTTTTCGTGACCTCATCAGGTAAATAGTCCTGCTCGAGATTCGTTACCTTCTCTTTCAAACTTTCAGCGAATATCAATTCGAATCGGACTATTCTGTACTCGAACCTGAATCGTTTGTTCTTTCCTATCCTTCTTTTGCGCTTTTCAGCATTTTGCTTCCATATAATTTTATTTTCTTCTCTCCTCTTTGTGGACACTGTTCACGTGATCGCCTTTTCATACATTTGTTATTTTTTCTCCTCTTTTTCCAATACAAGCTCTCCTCATTTTCCTCGAAACACGCACATACGCTCTTTTCTCATTTAAAGTTGTAAATTGTGTCTACTCGATGGTAAATTTTCAAAAGATAAAAGGATTCTTGCGGTATAACCGAGGTAGTATTCAGAAAAGAAAAACGTAATTTCTGTCCGAGTTTTAGCTTACTGTTGAAAAACTTGGCCTTTTTCAGATTTTTCGGGACTTTTTCGGAACATATTGGTTTTTTTAGTTTTTTTTTTTTAGTTATCGGTTCAGATATGATTCTAGCTTTCAAAAAATGTCTTAAAAGTTTTGGCGCTTTTTTTCAGATAAAACCTTATCTATGGCTAGGGTCCGCAAGCCATTTCTTCAGAACGATTCAAAAAATATGTTTTTCACATTGTTCGATAGAGGAGACTGTCCATTTTCATAATCCGTTTAGTTTTTGAAAAAAGCTCCACTAAGAAAAAAGTTATGGCCAAAAAACGAGCGCGCGCGGCGCACAACTGGAGGCAAAATCTCACGGTTTACCCGCTGCCGCACGCTTTCTTTTTAATTGTTTTTGCGCGTTTCTGGACTGTTTTTGAATCGGTTTTCAGTTCTGAGAGGTTGTCCGAACTGAGCCTCATGTTTTGGTATGAATCTTTTGTACAATCCTCATAAGAATTTTTGATAAAATATCAAAAAACTACCTTTTTTCTATTCAGAAAAATTATTATCATTCGATTTGGAAAAAAGAAAAAATGAAAAATAATGTTATTTCGAAATAAAACATGAAAAAGTGCAATTTGACTCCGAAAACGGCTCCTGCGACATTTAAAAGGGCGCATCGGTGTGTTTGACGCAAACACTGCTACGGACGCTTGCACGAAATCTTCCGAAATTTCAAAAAATTGCCATTTTTTTCGAGGTTTTTCAAAGCCGTTATTTTTTTCGCGTCGATCGATTTTTCATAATTTTTTTCATTGATAGAGTTTTGAACGCTTAATAACCTGATCAAAAGTATAGACGCGATCCTATTCTCTCATGCGACAACGAGGCAGGCGAAAAAAGGAGGTTTTGGTAAAATTCAAATATAATTTGATTCGCTGTCCCAATAATTGTTTTCATTTTGAATTTTTATTTTTGGACACACTGTTAGTTTTTAAATCAAATAAAAAGTATACCATGTCGCTGAAATTTTTTCGCATTTCAGCTTCAAAGTTTGGTGTCACTTTACAAGCTTTAATATTTTTTTCGCGTCGGTAGATTTTTTTCATTTTCACTCAAAAAATAAAGAAAGTGTTAATGTATAACATACTTAAAATTTAGAAGCGTTCCTCACTTGGTTTTCTGAAACGCGACGATTTTGTGAAACTTGTCAGTTTTTTTCGTGTTAAATCTTACTTTTTCGCTTATTTTTGAAAAATACATAGTTTTAAAAATATTCAGTCTTGTAGAGCGTTGTCGATTACATGGATTAACAGAAACAGTTCATTTTTAAAGCGGGACTTTAGCTAGTATAAACGCCTCAAAACCGTTTTTGCAACAAAAAAATCGTCATTTTGGTGGCGTGAAGGGGCGGGGCTTTGCGCCCCCTATCTATGGCGCGCACTTTTTCAATGCATTTTTTCCGGCTATTTTTTCACAATCACCTGAAAAGTGTTTCCTTCAGTCTCGAGACTGTCAACCACCGAAAACACGTTGAATCAACCCATTCGAAAGCCAAAACGGCCCGACTTTTTGCTTTCCTCAACCGCAATTCCTATCGCGTTCCGATCCAGTTCTGCCTTTGCTTGGAGGCTAATTCCCGTTTGATTTTTCTTGTCGCGGCAAATTCTGCGGATCGTCGCCGCAAATCTTTGCGCTTTTCCGACTGCTGTAATGGAGAAGAAAGCGATTCGCAACGGTTCTTTTTTGGGAAACCGTTCGTCATCAATCTTTCAGCTTTTCCTCCTTCATTACAATGAGTGGGTGTAAGATCATTTTGTAGTCTGGCCGATGGTTTCGGAGTTCGATTTTTGATTGAACAAGGTTGAAAATGGTTGTTGCGAAATAGTTGCGAGGAAATGAGAAAAATTTTAGACCACTTCAGGGTTATGACGTTGTTGTAGCCACTAGATTAGCCGAATTAGTGGCCTTTTGAGAAGTCAAATTGGCACTGCTAGACCGCTAAAGACTACTGTAGTGGGCCTTAAGAAGCGAAATAGCGGCTTTTATAGAGGTGATTATAGTGGTCACTTTAGCTTCCTCTCCAAGTAGTCCTTGAGGAACCTCTTAAGTGGCCACTAGAGTTTTTTTCCAAATTTATGCCGATCTACTGGAAATTTAATAGAAAAAATTTCTTCCAATTGATAAATTTACCAAAAATTGCTTTTTTTCGATTTTAACTGGACCAATAAACCCAATAATTTGTTGTTCATGTCTCCAAAAAGAATGAAAAGTTCAATCAGTATTATTTTTTAAAAAAACTTGGGTTTCATTCTTCTTTCACCAAGGAACGTTTTTTACCCTCGAACTTTTGGTGAAACTTTGCTGAAGTGTATTTTAGGACCCCCTGATCCCAGAACAAGAAAAAAAATTTCTCGCAGTAGATCTGGTTTCCGAGTTATGGAGCTTTAAAGTCCGCAAAATACGCGAATTATGCAAAAAATGCTCTATTTCGAGCTTTTTAAGCGTCCTAACTCGAAAACGATACATATATCGCGAGAAGTTTTTTTCTTGTTCTGGAGTCAGGAGGTCCTAAAATACACTTCAGCAAATTTTCATCAAAAGTTCAACCAGGGGGTAAAAACGTTTCCTAGTTAGTTGAACAGTCTTAAAGTTTATACGATGAATTAATTGACTGTTTCCAGTTCTTCACAAATACATGAAAAATTCTGATTTTTGCTCCCATTTTCAAACCCTTTTTAATCAGAAATTTTTCGTTAAACTTGTGCATGAAACTGCGAATCAAAAATATCTTGTGAGCAATTGGAATGTTTAGGCTTTTGAAAAGGGTTGATGAAAGTCAGATTCAATAATACTTGATTCTGAAATTATGTGTTTGTTGCGGAACATGAAATTCACAATCTTTTCAACTCACGAGATTTTTTTCATTAAATTCCACTCCTCTGTCCGTTCCTGTAAAAACACCCAATCCAAAAAAAAAAAAAAAACGATTTATTTTCATTTCGCGGTTCGGTCATTTGGAATGGAGAACGCTATTAATGTACACATGAAGAAGCAAGGAAAGACGGAAAGGGAAGAAAAACCAGTAGAGAAGTTGAAGATGGGAGTAAAAATGGAATGAAAGACGTCGGGCTTCTTCTCTCGGGGTGTTCTTGGAAGCGCGGGGCGTTTTGTTAGGTTGAGACCGTGGGTAGCCGAAGCTCGGGACATGTTTGGGAGTGAAGTGGGAGGAAGTCGGGACAAGGATCTATGGCTGCCAGGCGAGGGCGTATTGGCCGTTCTTCTCGATCTTGCAGGTCTTGCCCTCCTGGAAATCATCCATTTTTTGGTGAGAATAGAATATTTCTTTTTAAAAGATAGATTATAACAATATTGAGATAAACTTCTAAGAAATTTTAAAAGATTAGATTTGAAATAATTATAGATGATAGTGAGTTTGAAAAAAAGGGTTTCTGGAAAAATCATACTAACACCAGAAGCACAAACTATTCTCTTCTGAATTATTTTTCGAATCATACTTTTCTACTTCTCTATTTATCGATTTCAAATGAACAAGCCATATCTTACCTTGAAGTGACTCTTGTAGGCGAAGTCATCAAGAGCGACGACAGTCTCGAACTTTCCGCCGAGGCTTCCTTCGGCTCCTTTCTGGATCGCGTCGGCCGCTCCGAGGAGATCCTGAATTCAAATTGTGGATGATTTGAGTTCAAAGCTAAACTCTCAATGAGTGACTTTTTAAAAAAATTACGATATTTTATAAAGTTTTTTTCTGATAGATAAAACGACTAGTTCTGCTAAATTTTTTTGAAAAATAATAGGTACGATTAGTGAAATTCGTGTTCTAGATATTACAAAAATCTCAGCTTCTGGAAGGACGAAAAAAAATATATTGGGCTTTTTTTCTTTTGAAGTTCTGTGAAGTACTTTTCAAAGCGTCAAGGAATCTTCTTTATAAAGATTCAATATATTTCTCCAAAACTGACATCTCCACCAACGGCGCCCTTCATCGCCGCTTCCAAATCCTTGTTGCAACATGTGAATCCTGTAAAGTGATTATTGTAAAATTTCCACGTCTTTTTCAAATCTTCAAGCTTTCTCCAAGTTTCCTATAAGCTGATGTTCGCCTAAATTGAGTCTGATACAAATTGTAATCGATGAGTTAAATCTGAATCATCTAGGTACCAAAATGAAATTTGATTCTGTTTTTCTTCCCCCTGTTCCGTTCATTCTCGACCCATCCTGGACAAAAAACCAGAATAATGAGTTTCTAATCGCGAAGCTTCCCAATCAATTTCCTTGACGACCTTTTACGGTCGCGCGAATTACACCAAGAAACATCCGACGGGCAAAAGCAACACAACAGAATAAAAAACCGATCAGAACAATGGAAATCTTGGACTTTCACTTTCCCGACACATTCCCATCTATTTGAACAAAAGCCCCTGCTGATTTGATAATCAATTCGTTTTAGCGGAAGCTTCGAACATGTCGTTTTCTCTTTTCACTTTTGATGAAACAAAAAAACGAACGCCAGAGACGAATTAGTGATACTCGAGGAACTTTTCGATTCGTTAGATAACGGGTTTTTAGTATTAAAAGGTCCCCGAAAAACAACAAAATTCCAGAAAAAGGAGAATTTTTCTTTGAGTTGACTTTTCAAGATTTTTTCACTGGATTTTTTTCAAAATATTAAGGCTTAATTAATAATTAAGCTCCTACAATTTTTTGACATCAATTTGATGTTTATTTTTAAAATTTTGTACGTTGTTCAGTATCCTAAAAACTCTTGAAATTCATTCTAACGTCTCGAGTTTTATAGTTTTCGCCACCAAATTACTCAAAAAAACAAGAAATTCGATGATTTCGACAATTGAACTTTTTTTCTCACTGAATTATCTCCTTTTTTTCTTTATTTTTTTCTCATTATTGGATCAAGATAACCCGATTTTTTTATTCAGCAGGATTTTTCAGTGATATAAAAAAATCATCAACTTATTTTTTTCGTCCTGAATAGCTACTAAAAAAATCATCGGTTGTTTTTTTCCAAAAATTTCTTAACTTCGTCAATACATTATTTTATGATAACCTTTATTTTTTTCACTCTAAAAACTTGGTTTTTTTTCCTCTAGAAGATTATTTTTTTAACTGATACAGTTTTTTTAGAAAGGAAAACGAACCGCTGTCGTTGATGTAGCAGTTGTCCTGGGCGAAAGCGACGGCGACGACGGCAAGGAGGACGACTGCGGCGGCTCGCATCCCTTCTCTCGGCTGCAAAACACTTGGTTTGACTTTTTCATCACTCGGAAAAAGGCGGAATTGTAGTATTATTTATTTTTCTCGGCTTGGCAGCGGCATTTTCACTTTATGCGCGAAGCGGTCGCGACGCGTTTTGGCGCCAATTTCAAAAATTATCGCTTTAGATGCTCTTTGATTGGTGCTATCTTCATTTATTTATTATGAAACAAAAAAAAATAATTTTTTTTTGAAGTAATTACTTCTTTCTGAAGGAAACCTGAGAAAATCAAAAAATGCGAATTTTTCGAAGTGGCGCCTAAATTGCAAACGGGAACTGCAAATGCCATTTTCAGCCGAGGAAAATGAATAAGAAAAACGAAGTTAACGAGGATATTTGCACAAATATGACATTAATTTTTGTCGGAAGGTTTTTATTGAAAATTCAATGAGGCCAGTAGCTTAGTGCTTGTTACTGTCGTTTTAAAATAATGTCATTTTCAAACTTTCAGGCTGATATTCTGAGCATATACATTTAAATTACTCACGACTTGAAAGCTGGAGGAAATTTAATACTTGTAACTTTTTTTGAAAAGTGAGAATAGCAATCCGAGTAACTTGAAACTTAAAATTGAGAGACACCAAATTTACTCAAGGACGGTAAGTGTTGATGCAACTTGAAAGCCAGTGAAGAAAAAGAAAGATCAGGAACTGGGTCCGAGAAGCTGGGGAAGCTGATGGGGGAGTGTGGCGGTAGGAGGTCGACCAAAAATGGGCGGGGCGAAGGTTCGAAAAGGGGAAAAGACGAAGAAGACGTCAACAAATCCGAGGATCCGCTTCTTCTTCTTCTTCTGCTTGGTCTTCTTGGGCCGCGGATTTCGCGCTTCGTCGGCTAATTTGCTGATCGGACGCCATGATTACTTTATTTATTACTCTCATGCCATTTTACCAGTTGAGGGGGAAGAAAAGTCCGGTTCTTCACGGACTATTGGCCTTAGATGAGGATCGTATAGTAGAGATTTGGCTTGTACTTGCGGGGGAGATCATTTGAGAGGGAGAAGCTTGATTTTTCTGCTTCGAAAGTTTCGATTTGAGTTCAGATTGATTTACGAAGCGTAGAAGGAGTTTCGAGCTCAAAGATTTTCACTTTCTCAAGCAAATTTTGGTTAAGAACGGGGAAAGTTGAAATTAAGAGATTCCTGTTTTCAAACGACTTTTTTTCTTGGAGACTTTTCAATATTATGGTCTCACAACGTTTTTAAAACAAAATCAACATTTTCTCTGTAATTTCCATTTTACTGTACTACATTCACTGATAAGCAGGGAAATGAAAATAATGCTCTTTGAAATAAAAATTAAAAGAAAGAAATGGAAATGCCAGGAACGAAAGAAAAACGCCGAGGAAAGGGAAAATAAAGCTTTAAAAAAAATTCCAAAAAAGGATTTTCATAAAATTGAAAGAAAAAAATCTTGAGGTTGATCCGCTTGACTTTTGGATTTGAGATTGGTTGTTCGAAGTTTGATTCTTTGAATAATCAGCTACCACCGGAAAGAAAAATTGGATTTGCTAATTAGAAACTTTTGTGCCGTTCATTAAATGACAAAAATGAAACCGGAAAAAGTTGTTATTGATGCATGAAAAATTCAAATATAATTGATACCGAAAAGTCAGTTGAAATACGCTTCAACTTTTCTCCAAATAGAGAAGGCTTTGGAACATTTTCCTGTTTTAGAAGCTTCAAAACTATTATTTTATTTTTTCAAAGTTGTTATTCAACCAAATTTCTATGAAACACCGCACGATTCAGAGCACTCCATAACGAGATTTGGAAATTTGACGTCTCCAGGAATATTTTGCGTATTTAACCTAAACAGCGCGGCAATAAAAACAACAAAAAGAGAAAAAGCGCCATTTTGAACGTTTTGTAACGAAAATTGAGAATAGTAAGGAACAGCTCCAACATTAAAACACAGAGATCTTCGAAAAAATCGCAAGAGAATCGAAATTAAAAAGGAAAAGCCCCGAGAGGTCGGTCGGAAAACCGCCAATGAGAAACCCGTCGTCCCGTTGGGGCTTAAATATTGGGCGTCGTTGCGCTTTTTTGCGATTTTCGCGGAGGCCGCCGCGCAAAACTTTTTGGCGACGACGTACAACGACTCGCAACAAAAGCATTACAGTGTACTGCCGACGGCTTTTGTCTCTCGGGCCATTCGGAGATGCAGAACGCGTCTCACTTTCTTCGTTTCGCACCTCCTCTGGGCAACGGCTCTTTATCAGTTTCACACCAGTTTTTCTAGTTTGTTCGGAAAGGTGAATGTAGTCTTAACTCTGTGTTAAGATCTATATATAGCTCGTTTCGCGCCAGAGCTACAGAATCCTTCTCTTCGATGCGCGCGGACTTTCTTTGTGCATGCGCCTTTAATATAACGCAATTTTTAGACCGCACGCTTCGAACTCAATGATTCTGTAGCTCAGAGGGGAACGAGAATCGGACAAACTGGGGCTGAAATGGATTCAAAGATCATTTTTTTCAATTTGAGAGTCAAAAGTTGGCTCAAAACCAGTTACATTTTGTTCACAGTGACTCAATGTTGTTTCCACCGCATTGCGACCAGTTTTGATCAATTTTTTTCAATTTTTTCGAGCTTGAAAGCTATCGCGAACGTGTGTTTGTTAAAAGAATTTTGGAGGTACTCAGGGATTGGAGTTTTCCATCTGGAATCCTTCTTGTAATCTCGAATTTTAATGATTTAATTTCGTTCCAATTGAATTCTAAACGAATGAGCACTTCCATTCCATGTGTGAATCGACGAAAAATATTTTAAAATAGTAGCAAATTGGCTGGAATTGTCACCGCAAAAGCTTTTACATTTCTGTCACCGGTCGCTCCAAGAAAAAGCGTAAAGAAAAAACAAACATGTCCAAAACGGGTTCAATTGACATTTATTGTAAGGTAGAGACGTCGGAAGGTACCGGAGGGAGTAAATCGGTGATTTGTGTTGAGGATTTTCAAAGCTTCAAGGAAGGTGTAAGATCAAAAAATCATTGAAAACTTTTTTTCAGCTCTCCCAAGAGTGATCGCTTCCTTATGTGGTTGGGAATTTCTCGAAAAATGGCCAGAACTCTCCTTGATGTGCCAAAAGATGAGCCTGAAAGACTCTACTTGCATAACTTCCTAGTTTTCGGAAGTTAAGGTCTCATAGCAAAAAAGTAAATGACCTTTTTCTTCAGAAAACTCTTCAAAGTCAGAGAAAACCCTCAGAATCGGTTAAATTATGCCATTTTTGGGCATTGAGCCCTTGTTTGGGAAATGTAGAGGTTATAGTCCATTTTTCGAGACTTGAAAGGGTGGGACTTCTCTGCGCCCTCCTTATCTCTCGACGTCCCTCTCATGTTTACGTGCTGTTTCCATTTTTCTCTGACCTCACCGGTGAATGAACAGAGACGCAGACACGCGAAAACTGTCAAGTCGGGACTTTCAGAATCTTCTTCTGGTACATCAAGGAGTATCCTGGCCAATTTTTAAGAAGTTCCCAACCGCAAAGCGAATGACCTTTTTTTGTTGGGTATACTTTTCCCACAGAAAGGAACAAACCAACAAGTTACGGAGTAGTAAGAAATCATCTTTTGAACCCACCAATAAGGTAAAAGATTCTTCACACCTTCCCTGGTCAACAAAGGCTATAAAAGGACAAAGGAACCTATCTTTGGTCTTTTTTCGAACAAATGTTTTTTTCAAAAAAGGAAAAAAACAAGTATAAAAAAGAAATCTTGGTTCTTTTTCTCATTTTTCAGTTCTGTTATCTCTTTTTGTTGCTTCCGAACGCCACTCCTTCCACGAGGCCCTCGAGACCACAAGCAATTATTTTTTTCCACGTTGGTCAACAGAAAAACTGAAAAAGCCTGTGGGTCCACTCCATTTTTTCTCAGTCCCCAGGATTCTTCCAGACGTTTTTGTTGCTTCAACTGACCCAAATAAGCTTCTTGGACGCCGGGAAAATCGGTGTTCATGCGGCCAAATTGACACGGCTAGATGAAAGAGATAACGGAAATGGAAGGAGGGTTAACACGAGCAAATTGATTCAATTAGGGAAAGTGGAAGTTTCATCGAAAAAGAGGATGAATTGGAAGAAAGAAGAAAAAGAAGAAAGCTTAAAAAAATTATATTGAAGAACAATTATTTTTTTATCAAGAATAAATATTTTTTTCTGAAAACACTTTAGAAAAAAATTCTAAAGAAAAAAATTAAAAGTTATTGCGCATAAAACTCGAAATCTTTGAAGTTCAATGCAAAAATAAAACATAAACATTATAAGGAAAAGCTCGAGCATCATTTCTTTCAGATGACACTATTTTAAAGATTTTGAAAATTTTTTTTTTCACATTATAGATAAAACGAAGTTTCAGAAGGAAATATTTATTGGACCAGCATTATACACAGACATGATGATGATGCGTGATGGGGTCGAGTTTGGATCCTCAATCTTTTTTCTTCTCGTCGACGGCGACCTTCTTCTCAGCGGCCTTGTTCTTGTTGCTTCCGATGAGCCAAGCGGTGCGGCGGAAGGGCGAATAAGCCGGAGCCATCATGGGGCTACGGTAGGCGGTGCTGTACGGCTCGTACATGGGGGCGTACTGCTGCTGGACGGTCGGGTAGCACGGAGGAGCGGCGCAAGGCTGGTAGACCGGCTGAGGCATGTAGACTGGCACTGGCACCGGCTCGCGGACGACGACTGGAGCTGGAGCCTGAGGCTGGACCGGGATGTAGCAAGGAGGAGCAGCACAGGCCGGAGCTGGGACTGGAGCTGGAGCCGGAGCCGGGTAAGGGTTGTACATTGGCGGCTCTGGCATCGGAGCTGGGGCTGGGGCAACTGGGGCCGGAGCATAGCAAGGAGGCGTCGCGCAAGCCGTGTATGGGTCGTAGTATGGCTGCATCGGAGCCGGCGCTGGAGCTGGCATTGGAGCTGGAGCAGGGGCAGGAGCCGGAGCGTAGCATGGTGGAGCAGCGCAGCCGTAAGGGTTGTACATGGGGACTGGAGGAGCCTGAGCCGGAGGTGATGGTGGAGGCCCGGCTGGCTGAGGCGGCGAGATGACGGCTCCTGGTGCCAGTTGGCATGGGGGGTTCGCACATGCTCGGTACTGAAAGAGATTTATTGAAGACGGGAAAGGTGAGCTAGAGGATCTCACCTGGTAGTACTGAGCGTTGGCGACTGCCAGAAGGGTCGAGACGCTGAAAATGTTAGAAATTCAGAGGTTTCCAAGGATTTAACAGTCATAATTTTGTATTTTGATGAAAATTCAAGTTTATTGTTTCCAAGGTTTGTGGTTTAGGAGAAATTTGTAATGGAAAATAAGAAGCTGAAGTTCAAAAATGAGGAGCAGATTTTTGTATTTTCTCTAGAGCGTGTTTAGAATGAAGTTTGAACGAGAAAAAATGGGCTAGTTTTTTCTAAACTTCTAAATATTGAATCGGAGATTAAAAGTGTATTTCTGAGGGCTAAAAAGAAATTAGTGGTTACTCTAGAGCTTTTGGTTTCATGAGATGTAAATGGAAGTAAAAAAAAAGTTTAAAACTAATCAAAGTTTCTAGCTCTAGATCCTTTGATTATGAGCATTTGAAAGATTTCAAAAAGCAATTAAAGAATGAAAATCTGAAGAAGAACTCACAGAAGGGCCGATTGCATGGTTGAGATGATCGGAGCTCGAGAACGTGATGGAGAATGCCACGCGGCTCGAGGCTTTTATAGCAACCCGGGCCGTATATTCCGGCCCGGCCCGGTTACGGCCAGATCAAACACATTCGTCTACATTTTTGACATTTTTCACGCGTCGCTATGTGGACGGATGAAAAAATTGGTGGCAGGTATGGGCCGCGAGCAAACATCAACCCTCAGGCTCTTTCTGTCCATTCTCAAGGTTCTGAATGTGACTTTTGTTGGGATTGTCCAGCTCCTTTCCATGGCTCGACTTGTTTCGAGGTCAGAGATAAATCGTGAGTTTTCAGGAATCATTGAGAAAGGTCTATTCGAAGAAAACCGTGGGAAGATAGCCGAATATTATAAACTTTTTGCCGTCTTGATTTTTTTCTACAGTGGGACGGCTCGATTTTCGCAGCTGAGAAAATAAAAATAAGGCCTTCTTTAAAGTTTCGTGAAGGATTTTTGTGTGAAGCTTCTTTACGGTGTTTCTCGGTTTTCAGGCATTATTTTCTAATCTTTGAGTAACTTTAATACGATAAAATTTGGTCATTTTATTGATCAAGTCGGCGAAAGTTCAATAAAGAAATTGTTTGCCAAACCAGATCCAAACCGTAAAATTGATACTAGAAATTCACCAGAGGCCCTCTAGATGAAGAAAAAAAGTTCGGAAAAAGTCCTGATTCCAAAAAATTATAATAAATAAATGTTGAAATGAATCAAAAATTTCACAAGAAAATAATGATTTAGTAGAAATTTTTCGAGTCAAATCAACTTCAAATATAAAAAGAAAAAAACTAAAGAGTTTTTAGAACAGTTTCAGAAAAGAAAAAGTTGGATTTTTTTAAATTAAGTTCTAGTCATTTACTTTGCTGTTGAGAAATTCCTCAAGTTCGGTCGGAAAAAACTCCTTGACGTACCGGAAGAAGATTCTGAAAGTCTCAACCTTCACGACTTTTTATTTTACGAGAAGCCAAATTAAAAATTCTTGTCAGAAGCTTCACCCGATTCTTTTATTTTTTTTAACTGCTTTTCAACTTCTGACTTCTAGTGTAAAACTATAGTTCTGTGAGAGTATTTTTCGAACTCCAATATCATTGTTGTATTTTTAAAATCAATATTTACTTGAATATCCTTGTTCAAATTTTCAATTTTGAGGCTCACGTGATCTCCGATTGGTTCCAAACAACGTGATGCTAAGCTCGACCTACGCAAATTCCAGGTGACAAAAGAACTTTTATTTGAAACTTTTGCCTGTTTTTTGTCCACAATTATTTTTGGAATGGCCATTTTCCAGTCTGACTTTTTTTTTACTATTTATTCTTCCAAGGAACAACGCCGATTCTTATGTTTGTTTACCCATTTTAACACCTTTTCCCACGCTTTTTTCTTTTTTTGAAATGACCTGTGGCTCAAAAAGTTTAGAGAATTCTTTTTTGAACAATTTGAGGCCTGCTTCAAGCTTTTCCTGGGGCAAAAGAGTCTCAAATATCATGTCGAGGTTCAAGTTATTCTATTACATTTCTGAACTGTTGGCATATCTTTTGAGAACTAGAGTGAAGTTTGATTTTTTTAAACATGATTAGATTTATTGATTGTATGATGTATTATATTATTGTATTTAGAAATCGGCCTTTCAACGGAAAAATTGCTCATACTACAAATGACGTCATGATGCTGACTCATTCTTGTGTTGATTTTGATCCAAATGACACCTTGACAACGATTTTTGAAAAAACTCGTCCTCCTCGAAATTTCGCGCGGTAAACAATTTGACAGTCGTTCCCGAGTCTCGGAACTCGATTGTGACAAACTCTGAGCATGACTTTTCGATTAGAGAGCATAGGAAAACAGGTGACACTCTTCATTGCTAGACTCTATGATGTCATTTTTCATGAAAACAGTAGTATAGAAAGTGTTGACGCTGGGACAGTTTTTCGCCCAATCTTGATTTTCTGCAGCGTTTGATCATTTTTGAACATTTACAACTTCATTTTGTGTTTTAACTACCAGATAATGAATCATTTTCGAAAAATGTCATTTTTAGCTCGAAAGGCTTTCAGACCATTTTGCCCATTTTTCAACATTTTTCGAATATTTTTAGTGTTATAAATGACATGACTATTATAAATAAAATTTTCGAATCATTAGAAATTAGTCATTTCTCAACTTATTCAAATCAGAAAGCATCAATATTTGAGAGGTTTAATAGAACCTTGAAAAACGAAATGTAGAAAATTTTTTCCTTCAAGTAAATCATGAATTTACTGATATGTTAGATAGTTTAGTTGAAGGATATAATAATCCTTATCATTCCTCAAGAAAAATGTTTCCAAAAGAACCTTCAAAAATAGAAAATGAACGGATATTCTGCAGAAATCTGCATAACTGAACAATTCGAAATTTTTGAAGTTCACATAGAAATCAATACAATGAATCAATATTTCATTAAATTTTTTTACAATCAAAACGGTTTCTCTTTATATTCAACTTTGCATACAAATGTGTGACATTCAAGAACAGGAATTCAATATGTGGCTTTTCAAAGTCACGTATTTTCCTCTGATCAATCTTTAAAACTCCCAGGCCAAAACCTTCGTTTTTTTCTGGGGTTTAGGAGAGCTTCCGTCGAAATTCTCGTGACCGAGCCGTTTCGAGGATCCTTGACGGCCGCCCAATCGACTCCTCGACAAACGATCGCGTTTCCCAGCTGCTGCCAATTTACTTCCCTTTTATTTGGTTCAACTTTCGTAGTGCTGGTAATAGGTTTTTCTTTTGATTTTTTGATTTTTTTTTTCCGAACTTCTGTAGGTTCCATTTTTGATCTCAAAAAAAAGATTTCTTCGAGGAATAAAATTTGACCTGATAGTTTTATGTGAATTCCTCAAATAAACCCCAAGAAATCTCCAGAAACTTCATATTTACCAATAAATTATATTTTTTTCTTAATAGTAGTTCAAATATTTTCTTATATCAATTTTATAAATATCAAAAAGTTAATTAAACTTCACGTTCATTTTGCTTCCGTTAAATGACCATGGGAAAAATTTTTTTCTAATTTTTTTATTTCCAATTCCTAAAAAAACCTTGTTTTAAAAAAAGGAAAAACGCTTCATTTTCAAAAAGACAGCTCCAGGATGAATATGGAAAAACTCATCAATCACCGTTTGTCTTCTTAAGAAATTCCTTCAGAATGTCTGAGGCTTTTTTTTACAAATATTATTTCGAAATTTTGAAGAACTAATTTCGAAAAGCTACCTTTTACGGTTTCCACAGAAATTTCGGGGAAAAGATACGATCCCAAAACAAATAGAATAAAAAATAGCCGACATTTCAAATAAGGAGCCTCAAATCAAAAAAACGTAGTATTTTTTCACTTTCTATAAATGGTCGCACGGAGAATGGCTCTACTTGTGAAAACAGAAAATCGTTGAAGACGTCGGACCCAAAACGAGTTCCGCACGAAGATATCAGAAAGTATAGTGGAAGCTGCTTGTTGCTTGTTGAAATGATGTCGGTTTTATGGACCCCTTCAAAACGCAACGCGACCGCGACGCTTCGAGTATTCCAAGTGCGACCTGGTTGGTAGCGAATTAGTGGCCTTTTTCTGCTTTGAAGTGTTTTTTTTTCGATTCGAGATAGTTTGAAAAGCTTCCAATTCGAAAAACCCGAAGGATAAAACGAATAAAAGGCGAGTGGACGCGTGTTCATATACATAGAAGGAAATCGAATCTGCGGCTTTTGATTGGCTGCGGGAAAGCCGCGGGAGCCTCCGGAGGCTCACGTGGCAGACGCAGAGGAGCTCCCTGGAGTGAGCACTCTCTCGCCTCCAGCTTCTCCTCTCCATTTCTTTTTTATTCCTTCTTCCTTTTTTCCTCTTCTTTTTATTTGTGACGTCTTCAGCCCCGTCGATATTCCTTTCAGAAATAGTTGCAGAATTATTCATCGTGAATGTTCAACGGAGCACGGATTCTTCTGCTTTTACAGCTTCCAGCCATTGTTTTATTGGGTTCGTTCTTACTATTTTCGTCGTTGGAATAGAAATGATTAGTTTTTTTGTACGCGATTTCAACTGAAATTGAAAGAGAAAAACTAAACTATAATTAAATATAATTAAAACTTTCAATCACCTTCTTAAAAATTTTTGCTGAAATACAGAAATTTTATTACAATTTTTGAGTTAATTTATTTCGAATATAATTGGATTTCGATTATCTTTCATTGTTAAAAATATGAGAAAGCGCAGTAGTTTTTTTCTATAAATCTCCTCAAAAAAAGTTGGATTTCGGACATTTTTTTGCAGTTTAGCAAGAATTTAGCTTTTGAAAATTTCAAGTTGTTTAATGTTAAAATTTTTTTCGAATAGGTTTTTTTAACTGTTTTAAAACTCATCTGCTTCATTTTTTTGAATCATAATAGTTTATTATATTTTCATTTAAAAAGTTATCTATTTCTTTCAGCTTTCGAAATCGCCGAATTTACAGCTAATTACAAAAAAACTAAAAAATCAGTTCATTTTTTTCTTTGTAAAATGGAAAAATATTTCAAAAATAAATAGGAAAAACTTTACAGAGAAGTGCTACAGTTGCTCTTCGCCGAAACTTCAGCACAAATGGGTTCGTTTTTTTTAATTCTGGAAAGTCATTTATTTTTTTCCGTTTCATATCTTCAATAATATTCATTCATGCTCATTTTTCCTCTCAATTTGTTTCCACAGCAACCAATCGGATCAAGACTTTTCTCGCCTCGAAATTCTGCATTTCGCGGCGCATTTTAAACTCTTCGCCTACGTTTTTCTGCACGCGTCTGTGTGCAATTTGAGAAAACTCCATGAGAAGCGGAACAAGCTATGAAACAAGGGAGAATCGTGGGAAACGAGTCAGGGAAAAATATAGGTGGAACCTCGGTTTTTGATCTTTGGCGGGCTAAAAGTTTAAATTTTTTGATCTTTTTCAGGAATTTTATTTGTTTGATACTTCAGTAAGTTAAGTAAGTATTCCACTTAGCTTGAAACCAGAGCTGCTGATGAGACGGGGCGACCCGGGGCGCCACGGCCCGCTAAGCGGTCACATTGTCAAAAGAGCCTTCTTCCTAATTTTGTTCACCAGCTTATAGTTCACCCATTGTCAAAATTTCATTTCCAACTTTGCGGGTCGGGAATGCTTCAAATAGCGGGGCGACCCGGGGTGCGCCCGCAGCAACTCTGATTAAAATCTCCCTAAAACAAGTCAAAGCCCCAAAATAGGTTTTTGGAAACAGTAAAGAAGTCTTTTTCGCATCATTTTGAGGCTGTCCATTTTGTAATCTGTATTTTTGTGTTTGAGTGAGATAAATAAATAAATAAAAATCCAGAACCCATTTTTTTCCTGCTTTAACTTTATGTGACGCAATTTCTATCAAAATTTGAAAGAAAAAAACTCATTTTCAGCCGAAAAAAATGAAACAACAAACGAGCTGCTCTACTTGGAAAAACTTCCCATTTTTTTCGCCAACGTCAGCTGTGAATTGGTAGGATTTTTCAGAATATTTTTATATATTTAAATAAGAATATTTTGCAGATAAAAAGGAGCGATCCCTGTGGTGGATTGCACGGGAAGCGTTTGCTTCAAAGCGGTTATCAAAGAGCCGCCCGTCGAGAGAACCGTTTGTGGTGATTTATCATTTTTTTGTTCTTTTTTCTTTCTACCTAGACCTCAAGGAGCTCAATAAGTTGGTCATCAGTGAATGATCACAAGAGAGGCTCAAATAATCACTCGAATGAAATTTTTTTCTTGAAAAATCACGGAGAGAGCCAAAAAATTCGTTTGATCCCTGCGGAAAGTAGTCAGAGAAAACTTCATTGACCGCGATTTAAAAAAAAACTATGGTCGCATTTGGAATGACTGAAAGCGTCGCGGTCGGATTAACGCTCTGGCTTAGTCGAGTCTGCAGGCGATATAAAATTAGGAACCTTTGTTCAATTCTTTCTGATGGCCTTGTGCGCAAGCCGTTTTGGGTCGGACGCTTTTCGAAAAGACTTTTCAATTGTACGATTTGAATCATTCAACCCGCGACATACCTTTCAATATAGGAAGGACTTATTACACCTCATTTAATGTTTTTCAAAGTCTCTTTCGATGAAAGTTGTGAGGATTTTTCGAAGTAAAAAAAATTACAGAAACGGGCGGCGCCATTGTCCGGGGCTGCTGGAGCGACGCCATGCAAAGCGCCGACAAAATTCCGCTCGCTCGAAAAAATATGGTACGTTTTGTTCTTTTTTCTAAATACTTTCAGAGAAGACTTTTGAACCATTTTTTAAAAATGTTTTTCGTGAATTTAAATAGTTCGTACCTGTGAGAACCGGTTCATAGTTACCTTATCTCAATTTTCCTATTCCTTCAATTATATTCAGTCTCTAGGGCTTTTTGAAAATAATTTTACCGTAACCTTTCAGATTCGGATGACACAAACGGCCGACAGCAACGACACGGTCGGCGTCATTTACACGTGCGACGGATTCCTTTGCAATTCTACAGTAACCCCTACCGTATCCTTATTATTCTCGATATTTTCCCTTCTTTTTTGTTTTTATAGCTTTTCCGCTTGACACTCAGAACTTCTATTAGTAGTTTTCGAAGGATCTCTTGTCATACGGCTTATCAAGGATTACTGTAGCTTCAGTTTAAGCTTTGCACAAAACAAATTTCTTGAGTTTGTGAGTCCATTACGGGTGTTCAAATGCAAAAAAATCCTATATTCATTGTCATAATTATAAATATTATATCTATCTTCACACATTTGTACAGAGAATCGGCCGAATCAGGCCCAGTCGATGAATCTTTTGCAATTGGTGAAAAATTGGGTGCAACGGAGGACGTTGAACGTGTCGCGGGGGTTGGGGAATGGGTTGCAAACCTGAGCAATACCAAGTTATTCTCGAAAATTTGGAATTTAATGATGAGGAATTTTAATTGGATGTATTTTTAGGATTCAAGAGAACTGTATTGGAAAAATTTTTTTAGCGAATCCTATGCTTATTTTTTTTCTAATTAATTTAGAAACTTAACCTTTTTTTCTTTTTTTGTGTATAATTTTCGTTGGAGCGAAAAAAAGCCTTATTGAAACAGCTCCGATTTTAAATCAAAGCACGAAAATTGTCATTTTTTTCCAAAATTTTGATATTTTTCTAAAGAAATCCTTCAATTATTAATAAGATATCAAAAACCATATCATCAAGTTTTTACGGAGAAAAGACAAATTATCGAAAATTGAATTCTGAAACAATTTCAATATCTCTCTATTTCAATCAGTACCTGTCTGGCCTCGGGAAGGACGTCTTCGCACTTTCTCAGCGTAGATTTTGGCGCCACCGTCGCTCTTGTCGGCTTCAAAATTCGAACTTTGCGATAGTTGCAAAATAAGCTCCGCCTCCAAACCTGTGAGGCGGCGTGAAGTTCAGGAAGGCAGAAATGTTCGAAGGCATAGCAGAACTGCAAGGCGTCGTGGCCGACAAGCTGCTTGGTGCAAAGTTTCGGGTACTGCTTGTAGTACCTGGAAAGAATCAAAATCTGCACCCGACCTAAAGTGCCTTGCGCCTAGAGACATTAGTCAAAGTGAGAGTAACGCAGAAAAAAAAACGCAAATTTTCTAGACTTCATTCGCCTAAACCTTTAAAACCAGGATCGCGTTTGGAATGGTTCAAGCGTCGCGATTCTGTTCAAAAAAATCTTAGAAATTTAACGGAAATCTCTAATGCTTCCTGATGTCCTCACGCGTAAGTAGTTTCAGGTCGGGCAAGCGGTTTGCGTTGAGTCCGAACATGATTTTTCAAGTAATTTTTTTTAAAGACTTTTAAAGCCACATCATATAACCTTCTACAGATAAAAAAAAACAAAAACTTGAAACGAAAAAATGTTCAGTGAAAGAAAAAACCAATCAATAACATATTCAAACAAAATATTCGGTATGACTTTTCCTCGAAACAGTGAACGTGAGCTAGAAGAAAACGAACCTCTGACAGTAGGACATAATTGGCAGGACGCCAGCCGTTGAGACGCAGGCCGACGGATACGTTTTGCAGAAGGCGATCTGAAAGAATCAGGAATCACAAGAAGTCCCTCAAGTGATCAAAACCTCGGATTTTTCGATTTCGCCGCTGCAATTTTTGACGAAATTCTCACGCTCGATCACACAGTATTCGCTCACGAAAACGAGGACTCCTTTCTGGAAAAATCATCAAAAAGTATTGGAAAAAGCTTTTGTTATGGGGGAAAAAAATAATAAAAATTTTCTCTTCATTTGAGAAAGTCGTTGTGAAGCTTTTACCTCTGTAAAAATTTTTGAAGATGTAAAACTAGAAATGGAAAAATGTGAGAGAAAGCGGTCATATTTACTTTTTTGAAGCTTCTAGATTTTCTATGCCGTCGCGCGAAAGTAGTTTTAAGTCTGGCGCGTCTACAAATCAACTAAGAAACGAGCCCTCCGGCTTGCAACCATGAGTTTTTAAAATTGAAGACGCATTCAGTGAATATTTTCGAAAAATACTCTCCGAAACTCAGAAGTTACTTCAATTTAGGCTGTTTCTGTATGATTCCAATGTCGTAGCTTACTGGAACTGATGTCTAAAAACTCAAAAGATGAGGTGAATGAACTTTTTTAGCAACATTTTCCCCCTCTTAAGCTTCCCTATCTACCTATAACAGAAACGCGAGCTCCTTTTTCATAAAATCCCATAATTTCCCTCGATTTTCTCACCGCATCTTCCAGATGAACGGTGGAAGTCGTGTTGGTCTCCTCGACGACTTCTTTTTCCGCCTTTTCGCCGTCCATCTTCTGAGCCAGGATCTTTTCTATCTTCACCTGAAGTCAAAAGAAGCTTGAAATTCCGAACTTTTCTCAACCTCTTCCGCCGTGACTACCGCCGGCTTCGGAAGTCGGACCAGACTTCCCAAAGTTTCTTTTTCTCCACTCGAAGCTTTTATTTCAGTCTTTTCTGACTTCACCACAATTTTTTCTTCGGCGGTCACATTTTCCTTGTCGGCTGCCGGTTTTAAGGTGGCCATTGCAGGAGTTTCTGGAAATTGAAGATGTCGTTTAGAAAACAAAGAAAGATTTCGGTAAAACTTTTTGAAAAATTTTTTCAAATCTCGTTTTTAACGTTATCTTGAATTCTATAAAATTGAGTGAAAAGTCAAAAATAATACGAATAAAACCGTATACGCAAAAGATCTACAAATGAAATAAAAAATAAGAATAGTTGAATTGAATAATCACTGATATCGATGTTGTCTGGAGGCTTGATCAGGTCGATAGGCGGCGGAGACGTCGGCGATTCCGTGGAAGTCGCTTTGGCGATCGCCGGGAAGGGCAAGGCTTCGAGGACCGCCGGCCGGACCGGCTGAGGCTCTTCTTCCGGCGACTCGTTGCAAAAGTCGAGCTCCGGCCGTTTCCGACACGCTCTCTGCAAGCTTCTTAGTGTCTTTAGAACTCAACAGATGATTGATTAGTCATCTAATAAATCTAAAAATTCATTTTTAGTCATTCTACTCGATGTCATTACAAAAAAATGACCGAAAGTACAAGTGAAAACTATTTTTTTTAAAAATTATTTTATCAGGAAAAAAATATTGAAGAATAAGACTAAAAATCCCTTTCTCTAGACACTCTATGGACAAGGCGTCTGCGAAAAAGATATCATAATTACACATCAGTTCATATATGGCTATTATTGGTGTCCATCTCCATTCAAATTACAAACGATATCAAATAGACGGAACCAACTGAGAGGCAACGGCCTTAAACTCGAACCACCACCAATCCATCATGTTCACTATAACTTTATTACGCAACGCGTGTATAAATACTGGAACGGCTTAAACAGAGTTATGGTTTTTGAGGATGACCAAAGAAGATTTAAAAGTTGTTTGAAAAAAATTGGTTTTTTTGATAAGGAAGCTGCAAATTTCACAAAAATGATTCAACTCGTTTATAGATTACTTTTTCTTTTTGATTCTCTTCGATTTCGACCTAAAATATTTTTTTAGAATAAAGTGGAACTTTATCGAAGTGGAGGCAAATATAACTTTCATGGTTCTCTTCGCCACAGATCTGTCTGTGAGCGAAATAAACATTCATTCATTCAAGAAAAACAAATTATTATTTTGTTCCGCGACTGATTTTTTTCTATACAATTAGGTACAATTGAAAACTTTGACTAGAAAAAAAAATAAGTTCAGCTTTTTAGAATCTCCATTCCTTGAATCAAAAAAGCACTCCACACCTTTTTTCAAAAATTTTCGAAGTTCCAAGTGAGATCATCTCTTTACAGTTCTTTTATTCTCTTTTTCCAAAACGTGGAAATCCAAAGAAGATTTCTTTGTAAAAAATAGGAACGTATCTTTTTCCTACAAACTGAAGAAAAAGCTGACCAAAAACCTTTCCGAAAAAATCGTTTCTTCCCTCGGATCTAATTTGTTTTTCCTTTCGGCCTTAATTTTCTGACGTAATCATTACTGTAAACACTGCTTAACACGCTAATTCGCTTACAAAAACAAAAAAAAAGAAAGTGAGACGACATTTTCGGTTGTTTTCGATTCCATAAACAGTTTCTCATCAGATCGAAAGGTCAAAAACGACATTCTTTCTTTTTTTCGACCTTGATTGGGTGGAAAATTTGACAGGAATACTTGTATGGGTGCAAAAAAGATGACAAAAATAAACTGAGACGAGTTCAAAGATAATTCAAGAAAAGGTGGGAGAAAAATCGCAAAAACGTATGGGTTATACGAAGCTTGAAAAAAATTTTCAATAATCTCACATGTCAGACATTGTTCATTGAGATCTCAAATCTTTTAAACACTAAGATAAAACTTTTTCTAGCTTTGGAGCCAATATGAATGAGTGAAAATGGTTGATAATGCATTGAAAAAAAGAGGACTTTGAAATATTTTGAAAAAAAACATAGATTGGACCATTTTTGTCAATAATGATTTTAAGAACTTTCAAATATAAGCCAAGCACGAAAAAAAGCCTTTTTTCAAGTATGAAGAAATACCCGAAGGTTAATTTCTAAGCAGGTAAAAATCCAAAAAGTTAGTATTTCCTAAGAATTTTTTTCAGAGTATCAGAATGTTTTTTTAAAACCCACAAAGAATTGTAGATTTTGAAAAAGAAAAAATATTTTTATAGCTACTTAATTAGACTAGTATCATTTTAAATTTATTTTTTTCTAAACTTGAAAAAAACTTGAATAAGCAGATTTATAGTTTTGAAACACGGCATGAAGACGAGAATATTTTTGCAAAGAAGCGAGTAAAAATCGAGAAACCATTTTCTTTGAAAACGAAAACGAAAAAAGACGAACCTTGATGAGGATACTCCTGAAGCTGGAGCTCTGCGCCAGGACATCCCCGGCTAACATGAGCAATAGGACTATCCGCGGCAACATCGTCTTCGGAATCGATGGTTTCCGCCGCGGCGGTCTGGTGTTCTGGCGCCAGCGGCCTCCTTGCAGAACCCGATTTTTCTCTCGAATCTCTTTCCCATCATTATCAGCGGGTTTTCTTCGTCTCCACGTCGTCACCTTCTTCTTTTTTTCCTATATGAAACGATAAAAATAGCCGTCGATGACCTCAAAAGGCCGGAAAGAGGTGGGTTCAGAGGCGATGGGACGGTTTTCAAAGAAGATACCAGCTTTTGGGAAGATTTCGAAGTTTTCACGCGGAGTTTTTATTCAAAGGATGGTTTGATCCCTGCTTGTGAAGGAAATAGTGTGAAAAAAGAGGAGGTTTAGACGTATTTCGAATATTTTTTTCAAGACAGCGGTTATAGAAAACTTCGTTGAACGTTCTGCGCCTTTAAACAAGCCATGAAATGATTTTTAAGACACTTGGGAGCTCCAGAGTGGTCCCTATAGGGGCAACATCAGAGAACCTTGAAGATTTCCCTCTAGTGACCACTTTTCCTTCGTCGAATATGGTTATGAACCGATTTTCAAAATTTGAGGTTTAAATTCTAGTATGAATAACCGAAAAATCCGAACTTTCACAGAATTTTATTGTAAATTTTCAATTTTCGTTCATTTGATAAAAAATTTGAAAACTTTATAACACAAGTTTATTTTTATTTTTTTCAGCAATGTGCTTCAAGTGGGTTTTGAACCTTTTTTTCTTTCATACACTCCAAAAAAACTCGTTCCATTTTTCACTTTATACATACAACAACATCTCAAGACACTTGAAAATAAAATACGTACAACTATTTGACATTTCAATAAGCAATGTAAAATGCGACAAAAATCGTTGCGAAACCCAATAAACAAAGTGAAACAGCTTATCAATCGAAATACGCGTTTGCAAGATTAAAGAAAATTCGGAAACACGAAGAAAAAAAGAAGTGGGAAAGATTGGCAGACAGGAAAAGGAAAAAAAAAAATGAAAGAAATGGCAAATGAAAATGACGAGAAATAACAAGAGGTTAGAGAGTTGTCCAAAAATTGAAAAATCAACTAGTCGAAAATTGGAACGAATGAATTTTACACGAAATATACAAGACAAGAGGGATTCAGGAGCTGGTATGGATCATCGGCGGGAAATTGTCCGGATCGTCCATATTCGGGACTCCCGACTCGGAAGTTGGTCGCGGCTTGGCTAGAAAACTCTGATTAATTTTTTTGAACTTTTGAAAAAGAAAAAATTACCCGATAAAGATTTAAGCGAATTTTCTTAAATTCCTTTGAAAAAAAGCGATTCTTTTTTCATTACCAAGCAATAACGTGGATAAAATCATCCTCGAGTTTTACCTTTGTTCGCAGTAATTCGGCTGAAAATAATACGCTTTACTAGAGTCAGAGATCTTTTTTTTTGGGAGCATGTTCCGTGGAAGTCGCCATTGACATTGCTGGGACAAATGGGATGCTTTTTCTGATTTTTTTCAAAATAAAATGAAAAATGAACGAACCCTTGGCTCCTTCGGCGTTGGGGCCGATGCGGTGCTGCTTGACGAGGTCGAGTTCTCCGCCGGCGGCGTCCAGACGGTAGCAGTACAGGTAGCCGTCGTAGGTCGCCACCACGACGTGTTGCTGACCTTTCAGCCTGCAAAACAGTCTCAATATAGTTCCTTCTTCATTAACACATGGCATTGATCGATCGTTGACCATAGATGGGCAAATGCAGAACTCATTCAATCCGGGAAAAAGGGTTGGCTAACAAGAACTTTGGTGATTTTGGAATAAAATCAAGTTTCAACCCCAAGGAGGTAGTTTCGGTCACAAAAATTCATGTTTCAGCCTAGGAGAGGTAGTACTAACTTTGATTTAGGAAAACTTGGTGCACCATAAAAAACGGTCTGCGCATGTATTTTCTAAATTTAACTAACAAAGTTCACTCTCGAATACCTAATGATTTTTTCTTTAAAACAATTCCTACTTGGAACAAACTCACTTCCAAATTTCAATTCAGCCACCACTCCAAGTCTTTAAAAAATTTACTGGTCAATCTACCATTGCACGAGATCTTCTTGTCTATTCCTCCACGACTCAAATGATGTATAACTGTATAATGTATTTTCTCAAATTCTAGATCCAAGTGAACTCGTTAGGGTTCACGCTGATCTGTCAATAAATTATTATTATTATTAAAAAATACAATCGAGGCCATCTCTGAACTAAAACGGGTGAAACTTCATACGGGTGAAGTCGCTTTAGTAAAACGGGTGCGGCGCCGCAAAATTTTGAAAAGACTAGAGTTTGGAAGGTTTTGAAAGGCTCTCAAAAGTGTTCTACAAGAAAATAACATTCCCAATCCTTGATTGATCGCTTTGAAAAATTAACCATCTTGTATCTTTTTTTCGTTTTCAGAGAGCCTTTACGCGTTTCTTTTGTTTCAAGTGTTCAGTGCAATTCCTTTTCGCAAGTTTTTTTTTCCGAAAAAGATGCCAGGATATTTGGGAAGACGTGACTTCGAGAATTTCATCTTCATAAGTTGTAATTTTGAGATTTTATTTTTTTGAATTTTCGCCTAGATGCGCAAGAAAAGGTGCATTCCATGCAGTGGCAGCTTAGGGGGTGCTCTCAAAACGCGGACCAGGGCGAATTCGAAGAAGGCGAAAAAACTGACGTCACCAGGGCGACGACGTTCCGCTTCTCGCTGTTGGGCAGTTTGGCCGTCGCGAAGCTTCGCTCCACCGAAATCAGGTCCGATACCTGCAAGATTTCACGTTTCTTAGGACTTTCGTCTCAACTTCTCGCACTTTTTCAAAATATCAAACCTTTAAAATGCTATTGATTGAGGCCATGAAAGGTACCTGAGTAGGCATGTAGGCAGAAGCGGTTCTGGTGAAGACGTCGTACCAGCTCGACGTCGCCTCCGTCGTCGCTTCACTGGAAAAATTTTTTTAATAATAGTCATAAAAAAAGAAGATTAAGCCGCTACACTCACAAACAGAAAAAAAATCCACAAGCCAAGAAAAAAACCCTGAAAACGTCTTAGAAACGCCTAAAAAAACCATTGAAAAGACGAAAAAATTGAAAGTCTGTTAAGAAAGAATGTTTAGAATATCAATAAAAAAAGCGCAAAAGATGATAATAACTCAGTGAAAAACTATATCAATCGACACGAAAAAACGCCTCTTGAAACTGATAGTTCTTGGCTCCCACATGCCCTTTTAAAAACGTTGAAACTCTGAGAATAATAAACCCACTTATTGACAGGTTCCTCAGTCTTTTCCAGCTTGAAGACATGGACAGTTTCCGTGTTGGAAGAAGAGCACAAATAGGCCGAATCGGAAGAAAACGCCAGCGAATAAATCGTCACGCATCTTAAAAACAGAGGTTCTTTTTGGAGATTTCAGGATAAGAAGACGAAGAATCTGTATTAAAGCCGCTAAAAAAACTGGACCATTTTTTTTTTTGGTATATAAAATATATTCTGTAATGAGGTTCTAAATTCCAGAGGCCTCACTAAAAAAATTCTGCGTGGTTGAGGATTCCCCCTTACTTAAGGCTAAACAAATTAAGTTTTATATAGAAATCACCTCAGAAAATGATTTTTTTGTCACTTAATGGTTTCAAATAATTTCAAAAAACATGTAGAAAATTACCGAGCGACGCCTCGACGGAACTCGAAAAGCCGATTCCCTTGAGGGACACTGTACACACGAATAACAGTTCCTTTAGTGCTGGCCGTCGCCAGCATCGTGCCTGAAACCAGAAGAATTTTAAACTTTTCTTTTCATACTCCACTTTTCGACAAAATAGTGAGAAAAAATTGCACAGAAAAAAATTCAAAACCACCATTAAAATTTTTTTTAAACATAGAAAGCTTTGAAAAACGTATCTCTCTCTTGAAAAGTTCTAAAAAACTCTAGTAGGATTCTGATATTTTGTTGATTGATCAAAAAGTCACCATTTGGGTTGAACTTGATCGCGGCCAAAGTTCCCTCGTGAGCCACAAAAGTGTTCACCGACGTCAGATTCATTGCGTCAAAGATGTGGATCTGAAAAAAATAACATGAAGTTCAGAAAAACAAAGTCAACTGAGAAAAAAATTTGAAACGAAATATCTAAGTGAAAAAAATTTAACTTCGAACATAAAGCGGCAGGAATAAGTTCCGAATTTTCGATAAAAAAAATTAAAATAAACTCTGAAAATCTACATTACTTTTTCAAAGGGCGACTAAAAATTTTCTTTTTGTGCCGGAAAATTTATTTTCAATTCTTTTTCTGAAGTTGCAATTCAATTTTAGATTGCTTCAGAATGCTATGAAATTGCGGAGCATGAAGAAAAACCAATTTGAAAAATTTTACGACAAAAAAAACCATTAATTTCCTCAAAAAATTTTCTCATTTCTTTATTATCCCTCTATTAAAAAATTTTCAAAAGTAAATACATACTTCAATATCAAATTCAAGGTGGCGCTTTATAGTTCTTGAAAACTACTCTAAACATTTTACATCTCAAGGAGAAAATTTTCGTCACAGTTTAACTTGATAAAGACCAGAAAACCCGGATACCACGTTACTAGAATATTTCCCCATTATTAAATTCAATTATTTGCTCTTCAGTTCTCTTCATCCAAAAAAAAACTTACGCTTCCCGTCTCATTGTTGCCCGGATAAGCCAAAAGAGCCGTCTTGGTCTCCGAAGACAAATCGATGATTCCGAGACGATTCAACGGCGTGTCGACAATGTTGTGCATCAACTGAAACATTCAGCTTTCAATTAAAATTCCAAAACAGAAAGAATAAAATGGAAACCTTCATGTCCTTGAGGTTGTAGATCATGATCATGTCCTCAAGGCAGACAACAATTCTCTGAAAAAATCGCATTTCCTCTTGTCAAGTGACACTATCATTACATCTCTGTTCATTTTGATGTTGAGGATGGACTTGTTGAACTTGTAGTCGCAGATCGAGTTCTTGCTGGCGAAGTGGCAGACGTGCATGACTCGGGGGTCTTTCTGCGACACGAGACACATCAGGGACGACAGGAAAAGTCGTTCCAGGACCACGACGTCTTTCATCGTGGGGACTGAAGGGACAGATTAAATCTATTAAATCTATTAAGGATCCCGTAAAAAAAAAGAAAGTGGCTTGCTGTGGCTTGGAGGAAAAAAAGCCGGAAAGTTACAAAAAAAACCAGACAATCTTGGAAAACTCAAAAAAGAAGAATGAATAATTATAATTGAAAAATCTGACCAGCCCAGAGAAAAACTTGAATTTTACAAAAATTTAGCTCTTATAATCTTGTAAAAATATTTAATTTTCATTTGAAAAAAAAAATTGCATGAAAATTTGACTGAAGGCATGAACAGTTTTGAAAATTGTAAAACTGTGATTACCAGTTTTTTTGCAATATAAAAAAACTAGTTTGTTTCAATATTTTTGTAGCTTGCCGGTTGTAATTGTATAAAATATATAATATAAACTATGTAATACGTATAAACTTTCTTTGTTGCATGCATCGAAAAAATCGAGAAGATCTAAGATTTGCACATTTTTTGATCTGCTATTCAATTTCAAATGTGTGAATTCCACTTCCTTGATTCGCACTTGGAATGGCTCAAAAGGTCGCGTTGACGCCTCTTGGCGTCTAATGTTGTAAATGTTTCTTGCCCAGAGCTCCTGGTGAGCAGATTTGATAGAGAGTGCTAAAGAGGTGCCAGAAAACACATCAACCGGAGTGATCTCTTTAGAACCGTCAAAAAGGGGCCTTCCCAAGTGTGAAAATAGTGTTATCTATAATTTGATTTCCCATGGGAAAGATGGACTGAATGTGAGAAAATTCGCGTCAAATTATTTCAATTAAACATAATTGTGTGGGAAACTTGACTGTGAATGTGAGAATTCCGACATTTCAAAACCTTTTCAGTCTTTGTCGGAATCTTTTTAGTCTTCAAAAAGTAGCCAGACTTCTGAGAAAGCCCTCGAGAACCAGGTGGATTGACTGTTTGGTATGACTTGCAGATTTCTCTAGTTTGAATATCCATACCAAATAAAATCCTAAAAGTCTTCTCTGTTGACCTAAAACGCTAGTCTCTTACTATTTCTTTCTCAATTATTCAAAGGCCTTTTTTATAATCTTTGAAATCTGAGCTTCTCAAGAACTTCAAAGCACAGTTTCTCAACCTATTTCCGACGTTTTCTTTTACAATCTTTGAAGTTAAGCTTCGGAAACTCACTGGACGACATTTCGCCCTCATAAGGCAGAATGGAACTGTCGCTGATGTCCATCGTTCTGTAGAGAATGTAGCCGTCTTTGTGACCAACAGAAATTGCTCTGGAAATCCACAAAGTTCGATGGAATCATTGGAAAAAGGCTACCTGCTATCTTGGGTGAAGGAAATGCATAGGAGGTTCTCTTGCGGCGGATCTTCCGCCATCTGAAAAGTCCCGATTTCATGGCAAAAACGATTGAAAAGAAGGAAATAGGACGATTATCGATGATAAAAAGATTGGAGATCGATGAAAGGTTCCTAAGAAAATAGGAATGAAAGAGCAAAATCCCATTCATAACAAAAAAAAAAGCGTATAAATGATTTCCACCGTTTACGGGATATTCAAAGAAGCTAAATTCATTAAACAATAAAACTTAGGCAACATTGTATCAGAAAACCCTGTTTTGAATGAACCGTGTCTCGGACGAGACTGATAGGGGCCTTAGAGTCTAATATGAGTATTGTTTGTAGTGTGGACACTGTTACGAAATTAGGAACACGCTGAATATAAATTAAAGCTGCGAAATAATCTCCAATCCTTAAAAAATAAATGTTTAGAATGAAAAACAATGAAAAGAGGCTTTTCTAGATTTAATGAGGAAAATGCCGTTAGAATGGCCTTAGAAAGCAAAAGAAAACGATTCTGAAGCGCTGTTAAGATGAAGAGTCACCCACGCCGAGGTAATTGTTTACAAGAATGACTAGGAGATCAATAAGAGCGAAGATACTGCAGTTGGCGTCTTGTTCGCACATCGGTGCCGAACATCAGCTGATGGGCGTGGCCAAGAGCAACCGGGGCGTGGTTTTTCGCAACATCACCGCAGTTCTCAATTGAAAAGTTGAGATTCAAAGAAAAACTTTCAAAATGAAAGATAAAATATTAGAGAATTTTCAAACAAAATAGATTGATATGATTCTTCTAAAATTTGCCTATTTTTCCAACCAGAACCACGAAAGCTAAAGTTCGGCTCAACAGACCATTGTTCAATGAGAAGACGATACATGAAAAGTGAAAAAGTTTATTTTACATGAAATGGTTAGTAGGCATGCGAAATAATTCATTTACAGTGATGCGCGATCTGCCAAACTGTCCGCATCTTTCAGAGCAACGCCAATTTTCGTTGTCCTCATCTGAGAAGTTTTCTTCTATGAATGTAATGGACTTCGAGGGTCATACTCTCGTCGCGAATTCTATACTTCGCTTCGTCTCGTTGCTCTGACTATCCAGAGGGTTCAAATTGACAATGACCATCGTCTTGGAATTTCCGCCGCCGAGGCAATCTCGCAGCAACATTGTCAACTTCGAGTCGCGGTAGGGCACATGTGCCTTCTAAAAAAAGAGAAAATTGAGCTTCAAAACAAATTTGAAGTTTCTCCAATTTTCCAAAAAACTTTCTTCTTTTTTGGATGCTGAAGAGTTCAATTTACTCTGGATACTCTGGAAAACGAATGTACTAGATGTAAATCCCAAAGCTCAACTTGTGCAAGACAAAAAAACCAAAAAAAAAAAAAAACCTTCTAACCTATTTTTGCACCTGTACAGTCTGTTTAGAAGCTGGTTTTTCGACGTCACATGGACTAACTGAGAATTTAAACTGAGAATGAGGAACTTTTGGAGAAAAATGACTTTTACACCATTTAAAAAAACATAGAAAGCGGAAAACTTTTTTTTATCCGATTGGCTACAACAGACCTATGGAGACTTTCTCGTTTTCTAGGACTTTTTGTACGCAACTCGAATTTAAAATTTCTTCGGTTTCCCTTTTTAAATCTATTGCCACAACTTGATACAGTCCGATTTTTCTGTCGCGTCGATCTTTTCATATTTATTAGTGCTGAGGGAAAAGAGACGCAGGCAGGTCAGACAGTTTCAAGTCAGATGAAAACCTTCTCGCGCTGCATGCGGACGCAGTTCTGGAGGCAGGCGAGCGACTTGTTGATGAAGGTCATCTCCTTGAAGCGATCTCCTTCGGCGCCGCTCTCCTTGGCGCGTTCCGAACCGGCCAGATCCACCAGCTTCAGGCAAGACTTTTGCGTCGAGGCTGAAAATACCCTGTGTTCTATCGCTGCTTCTCAATAAGGCACCTTGCTCTTCATTCGTCGCCTTGACGTTGAGCTGGAACACCATATGAGACCTCGAGGAGAACTCGTTGCACTTGGTGGCGGCCGTCTTCCGAGCCGCGTCAGCTTCGGCGAGAATCGAGGAGAGCTGAAATAAGTCTATTTGTTTGGCTTTGAAGGAATGAGAAGCTTTTTAAAGATCCTAAAGTGTATCAATGTTCCAAAAAAAATAAGACTAAATTTATATTTTTCAATTCCAACCAGGGATTTTTCTGAGCATACATCGGGACTTCTAGATGAGATTTTTGTGGTTTTATACGCTGATTCGAAATCTGGTCTCAAAACCTGCGGCGGAGGTCTGTGAAGAAAGTTATGGACCATCAAAAGTCGCAAACTTCTCCGATTTAGCTCATTTTTGAGGGTATTCAGATCTTCTCCCTCTGGTCGCAGAAAACTATTGATTTATTCCCTAAAACTTGTAAGACGAAAGATCTTAACCATTATTTCGTAGCTTCTACAGTTAAAAAATTTAAAATAGATCTAGAATTGCATACAAGTTCATTTTTGCCGTTACGAACGCAAAAAAAAACTTCATGAAATCTTAAAAACTAGACAGGATCAAAAAGTGACCTCTCTCGGGGCCTTAATCGACCTGCTCGTCAGGCCGACAGTCGTCAGCTCTTGTCCGGTCAATTTCAGCTGAAAATTTTTCATTTGTTCCTTTTTTTCGTTTCATAAGTCAAAACTCACATCGACTTTGGACCTTTTATTAAGAAGGTCGAAGGCCTCGTCATTGTAGATTTCCGGCAGAGCGATGGAAAACTCGAACTGAATTCTCAGTCTTATTGATTGAAAAGCGGAAGAGAGGGAAACCTTCCATCCGATCTGCTCCAGAGATTTGGCCTGCTCGAAGATGAACTTCACGGCGCGAGGAATTATTCCCTCGAGGTGGTCCTTTCCTTAAATCCGTTCTCGATTGTTTGGAGGAGAAAAAAATCAGCATTTCTTGATTTAGTTTTTTCTATGGAAAAAAATCTTTCGGTAAAACTTTTTAATAAAATCTAGAAATTTTAGACAAACCCCTGTTTGAAATGAACAAAAAACGAACAGAAAAAAATTTTTTTCAATGAACTGTCGTTCTTAAATATTAGAAGTTGTCAAGAATAAAAAAAGATGCTTGAAAAAGCTTAAAATCCATTTTCGACGCCTTCCCAAAGACTTTGATCTTCTCAAGGACTTAGATCTTGACACAATTTGTCAAAAGATACTACTTTCCTGACCTCCGCGCATCGTGTGCGTCTTTCCGCTGCCCGTCTGACCGAAGGCGATGATCGAGACGTTGTAGCCGTGCAAGCAGGACTGAAAAATCAGCTCGTGAATTTTAGATGGTAC